TCGTTGAATTTGAGTTAGTTCTTGCCATGTTATATTACTGACTTTAATCGCTTAAAGCCGATCTTGATTCCATTAGAAATATTTAACTTTACGGCACACATGTCTATTCTCATGGAGGAATCTGTAGATACTCTTTTACAGATTTTATTTTCTCTACAGACAAGGACGTAGTAGTTTATTATCATGAAGGAATCTGTTGATACAAGTTTTGCTTCTTCTTAAAACTGGGCTGGAATCCAAAATTGGAGTTTGTTCTTGACAAGTGATTATAATACTAATTTCAATCGCTAAAATATCCGTATATTTGAAATATTTTACATCTACTTTGACGGTATCCCTATCAATTTCACGATGTTATCGTGATAATGAAGGAAACTACATATAGTCATAATTTTTATTTCATCATCAAACTGGAAGATCAGGAATTGAAATTTACTCTTGACATGCTATAGTTTGAGTGATTCCAATGGTTAAAATGCTCTCGATTGAATTTGAATCATTTTAGTCTACCTTCGAAGGTTCATGGTCATAAGGAATCTGTCAATAGGAATTTAATTTCCTCTTAAAACTGGATTAAAATTCAGAGTTGGAATTTATCCCGGGCAGGTTCTAATATTACCCATTATAGTGGCTAGCAAATAACTGTCATTGGCTATTCGTAGAAAATTCAGTTTTTACTCGTCATCATTTTTTTGAATCGATTCTATGAATTGGAATTTTTTCCTACACTGTCACTCAAAACTTGAAGAAATGTCTTTATTTTACCCATTCTGTAGGTATAAATCAAGCATATGAGTACTTGAGTTTAGGCTTAGGATTAGGATTTTGCTATATAAATAATAAATGACAAAGTGCTGGGATATTCGTCAGCATATTAGTGGATCATTTTTCGATTCTACCTCTATTTTATTTTATGTAAACAACATTCATCCATAGATCGTCCAACTGGCAGTATTCTATGTTTAGTCTAGTCATGAAATTCTTTCCAACTAAAGTAATTATTCAGCTCTATTCGTAGACTGAATACGAGGTGAAATGATTTTATTTACCCACTTTATTTATTTGCTTTCTATTTGTATCTTGATTAATTTTTAAAGAGTCTTTTTATTGGCCTCCTTTTTTCCCTTTCTTACCCAATAGAATGATTTCACTTGAATAGATTATAGTCAAATCTATTATCGCTTTTCAATGCTACCGTGATTAATCATCAAGAACGATAAAGTATTTATTTGGAAATTGAGGATAGCGTAATCAACTTTATTCTTCGTCTATGCTTATCATGACGCTGTCCATGATGAAAAGATTGAAAATATTATTATCATGGTATTCAATACTTGCTGAACAGCTGCATCCATACGCTTTGATTTTGTCACCATTTGCCCCCAAAAGGGCATTAAAGTCTCTCGTCTTTATTCAAGATACATACAATAAAAAAAAAACTCTTATTCCTTTAACATCACTGCAGGCCATGGAATAGGAATGGATTGATTTAGTCTACACGATTGTCATCGCCAGTAAACCAGGTGTTTGCACATCATGACAGTAATCCTTGGCAGTAGATTTCCTATTTCTTGTCTATAAGGAAAGAGCGATCATCTTCCATGATAAAGAAGATTGTTAACCTGTAAATGCTGCAGTCCATTTCTTCCCTTGTTGAAACTACTCATCCACAACGAGGGAAAGGAAGGTGTAGTATTATTTAAAATTGACATTTCTACTTATGGTACTCTTTGTATTAGTTTAATGGATGAGATTTATTTACTACAACCAAGATGGCAAGATATTTTTAGATGGCCAAAAACGTTCCAATAATGGCCAAATATGCTAATTTCTTGTCTACAATAATTGGCTCAAGTACAGATCCGCTATTTTCATTTCTACTGCAGAATAAATTAGACACTGCAAAACAGAGAGAACAGATTGTAAATTCCCTAAAATATTTACAGCCTCAAGCTGTTATTTCCTGACAAATATCAATACCCATTATTTTATGTGACTATTCCTACAGAATTTATTATCATGATATTTACCGTAAGGGATAGTTTAGATACATGATTACTCTACGCAGTTTATTGCCGCTGCTTGATTAAATCTTAGAATGGTAATATCATAATGATTTTGTTGTAGAGTGTCTTTAATCTGCATTACCTAAAGCTCTAGTCTTTCAAATGGGCCTATCTCACTCTGCTTTTAATCTTCATCTTATTAAGTTATAGTCTATGCAGTTACTTGTCTTAGGGTGTATTTAGTCTCCATCTTCCAAAGTTCTATCATAACAACTCAGACTCAGATTATTGATTAACCCATTTTTAATCTCCATCTCATTAAGTTTTATGCTATCAATATCGCTCGTAACTCCTTCAATCTCCATCTTATCATGTTATAGTTTATGCAATTAATATCTTTCATCACTCTATTAATAATCTCCATCCCATCAAGTTATAGAGTTATAGATCTATGTAGTCAGGCAAAATCATGGATTAACGTATTAAATCTCTAGCTTATAAGTTGTAGTCTATCCAGTTAAACTCTCTCACAACGTTAACCTAGATTATTGATGGATACATTTAATTTCTGTCTCATAAAGTGATTGTCGATGCCATTAAATTCTCTCATAGCGATAACTTCGATTCTTTATTCTACTACAAAATCATTCAATCTATAGTAAATTGAAAACTTAAGAAATCATTCCGTGTACTGCATCGATAGCAGTGGACTATACATCTCGATCAATCTTCTTTATGTTGTAAAGAAAAAATCTTATGTCAATGTTCATTTAAACCTGATGAAAAAAATTTATTCTACTTACACCTGCAAGTCTAGACTTTCAATAATCAATCTTAAGATTGTTTTGTAACATTCCCACTAGCAATTCTATTTCATATCGACCAGTAATACATGTATATAGAGTCAATAGAATTGGTTAAGCCTTAGTTGGAGTTACTCAATCGATGGTAAACACCAAGAATAAATGCTGAATAGGAGTTAACGGATGTTAGCTGCCATCAATAACGGCTGTATTCTTCCGTCTTTTTATTTCCACAATAGTTTATTAAGATGATTATTTACTGCAGGCGATAATTTCATAATTAGACGGATAAAGGATGATATAGCTCATTGATATATTGACTATATTGCAACTAAGTAGTTAGTTTAATAAGTAGAAAAATAGCCCCACGCTGAAGTTAAAATTGTTCTTATTGAAGCTAGCAATGGCGATATGAACATGATCTTCTTGCAGCCTTTCTACTTGTAATAGACAGTCTAGGCTGTCAAACTTATTAAATCACCTGTGGGTTTATACCATCGTTTCTATGTTACCAGTTTCGGAATAGTTCTTTTCCTCCTCATTTCTTCGTAGACCATAGAAGTGATAGTCCTAGCCTGGAGCTGCTTAATTTAAACTTCCAATGAGAAATCTGTTTCACTTCTGTCTTAATAAATGATGCTCGAGTATGCAATCAATCTTGTTTCAATCATGGTCGACTTGGGTAGATCATTGCTCTCGCTATTCGCTGATCCTTCTACACTCGATGCGATAAAAATCTTCTTCTACCTACATTATTCAAATTGTATGAACAACGATGTGATATAGAATAGTTAATCCCTCTATCTTATCCATTGATCCTATAAAGAATCGTATTTCCTTACAACGGTAGCCTAGACACGAGAAATTCATGTTGTCATCTTACCACAAAATGATGTTATTCTGGGTTGGAATAAAAGTTTCTATCCTATTCACTAAACATGAAGAGAATTGAATTTCTTCAAAACCATAACCTAGACATGAGAAATTCTACGTTGTATTTATCATGACATTCGTTAGGGTAGGGGCAAAGTCTCTATCTTATCCACTAAGCATAGAGAAAGTCGAATTTCTTCAATACTAGATGGTCTAGATATGAAAAAAATTCTGTGTTGTAATTTTATTATGACATTATCCCGGATAGAGGTAAAATCTTATTCACAGAGCATAGAGAGAATTGAATTTCTTCAAAGCTATAACCTAGACATGAGAAATTCTACGTTGTATCTATCATGACATCAGTTAGGGTAGGGGCAAAGTCTCTATCTTATCCACTAAGCATAGAGAAAATCGAATTTCTTCAATACTAGATGGTCTAGATATGAAAAAAATTCTGTGTTGTAATTTTATAATGACATTATCCCGGATAGAGGTAAAATCTTATTCACAGAGCATAGAGAGAATTGAATTTCTTCAAAGCCATAACCTAGACATGAGAAATTCTACGTTGTATCTATCATGACATCAGTTAGGGTAGGGACAAAGTCTCTATCTTATTCACTAAGTATAGAGAAAATCGAATTTCTTCAAAACTATACCCTAGAGATGAAAAATCAGTATTGTATTTTATTTTTAATGGCGATATTATTCTGACCAAGGATAAATGACGTAATCTCAACGACAATGATATAGAAATGATCTAGATCCTGTTGACGTAATTCTCTCCTTACTTCTACTCGATAATCATCCATATCCAGTGTTAAATTATTATCCATTTATCCATAATATCGTATAAAGAGACAGGAAAGATTATTATTCTATGGATGATGCAATTAAATTACTGGTAGCCTATTCAATGGAATATCGATATAACAGCATTCTAGCCCTTGATCGTTTCTTGCCATACGCCAAAGCTACTTTAAATTTGATCTTCTTATCATTCAATTATACAAGTATCTCCGTATCCACCAGAACTTGATCTTACAGTCTAATCAACTCCAATTGATCCATTGAATGCTAAAATTAAAAGTCATTGAATAAGAATAAGCTATTTATCATGGCAGCAAATTGACCCTCTGGAAAAACTGCATGAATTTTATGGTATGCAGATTTTTATTCTATCGTGCCTTAATTTCAATATCTATCGCCCAGATTATGGCAATTCTTGATCCATCTTTGCCATGTTCTAGTCGATCAATTTATGTTAATTGTCGAATAGCAAGGGCAGCTCTATTTTAATTTCAGATGAATTGAAATGGCCAAAGTAATCGTTGAATAATATCTTACTGGTGCATACTCCTATGCTTAAGATCCATTAAAACTGGCATAGAAAAGCTACTGAGAAGACTATTGCAACTCTATTTTTACGCAAGATTTGTGAGTTTAAAGTAGACAAATGGAGGTCGAATAGAATGTACCCTGCCAATATCATGGCAGCTTTATTTTCACCCAAGATCGATTAAAGTAGACAAATGGAAATTGAGTAGAATGTCCACTGTGAACATCTTGACAGTTCTATTTTTACCCAAGATTCATTAAAATAGTTCAAAGGATATCAAGTAGAATATTCATTTGAATATCATCGCAGCTCTTTTCATCTAAGATTTTTGTTCAAGTAGATCCATTTGCATTGCGTAGAAAATCCGTCATGACTATTTTGACAACTTTATTCTCAATTTCTCATCGATCTATTTTCATCTACATACCATAGCAGCTGTATTTGACATTGACTAAAGTAGATTAGTATACATTTGCTATCACCAGTTGTATTTAAATGATCCAATGTAATACGATTCATCATCATCAAATACATTGGCCATTAGTAGAATCAGTTAAAATCATTACATTATTATTTGTGTATGTATCTGCAAAGGGAAGGAATTAACCTGATCATGAACGAAGCTATCATTCGAGCTGCAGTTTGCTAAGAAATGCTCTTTTTCCATATTATAAAACTACCCTTGATAAGCATCGTCTTATTAATGTAATATCCATTCATAGATGATTTACATAGCAGTAGATCAATTAAAGGTGCTTTTCCATGTTAGCGAATAGACTGCACGGTCTAAATTAATTAATGATGCATATATTTTCTTTTAGAAACAACAAGAATTGGATATTATCGATGGTGCCTTGCATGGTGTTCTCCATACTAATATGGATGATCTAGATGACGGATCAATACTCATTGCCGAGGTGCGAGAAATAATTCGATAAAATAAACTTGGTTCTATTTTTGATTCAACATCTATCATTACGCTATCAACCAAATTAGTCTCGTTATAGATAGATGATTTTAAGGATTCCTTGGCGTATATCCATATCTTTCATTCATTAGATCAAGTTTAATTACTGTAGAAGAAATTTTCAGGCAACAATAATTTTATAACAATTTCATTTTTATAACCAATATTAGAAATTTTCCTGCATAGCACAAGAATTGGTAACAGCAAATGATAAAATTGGACAATATTCCGATGAAATTGATAGTTTAAGATCAGAACGACAGAATATGAGTGTAAATATAATTTTAAAATTCAATCCTTGCTAATATGATACGACAGCGGATTCCCTTTACAGAAGCAATATTTTTAGTTTTCACATTCTCTCATATCGATTAATTTTATATGTAGATGCTGCTAGAACATTTGGAGAATTTAGTCTCTAGACATGAAAAATCATTACGAAATACGGTAGTTCGGCGCCATTCTAATTCGCCAGCTGTATCATCAGAAATTGAAATTATGAAAGCATTACAAACCCTCTATCAACATCATAAAACCATGGACGAGAAGGTAAATCAATTTCTACTTTTTCATTTCACCAACAACCCAAACAAATCATCCAATTTGCCTCTCTATTCCTTTTTACTAGCTGCATCAAAAGCTTGCATTAGCTACAGAAAAAGCCAATCAAACCGACGTGAAATTGTTACGAGCTAGGAAAGAAATTGTGAAGCTCAGAAAATGTCTAAAAGAAATTGCAAAAAGAAATGGAGAATCTTTTGAAAAGTTAATTAATACCGATAATGGCTTAAATTCAACAAGTTCATTAACCAACGGGGTTAGTCATGATTGCTTTTTTTTCAACCAATTCCATGGTAGTTGTGGAATAATTGATACCATTCCTAGACCAACATGGCATTGATTTCATGTAAATTGTTATTTGTATTATACTAGGATGTTGGACTTAGCTATGCTAATCTAGATTTAAATTTTGATCTCGACAAATGTAAAAATGAATTACAAGAGGTAAGACCAATTAATTCACCGTTATGCTTCGAAATCATTCATATTTCTAAAAGTGTTATTACTATCATTAAAGGTACGAGAAGAAAGAGACATGTTAAAAACCAAACTACTGACATGTGAACAGCAAAATACTGTTACTCAAGGCGAATTATTTAAGACTGATGAAGTTATTATTGATCTACAACAGAAATTGGAAGAGGTTCAATTTGCTTGAATAAGAATGATTGCTAGCTGTTTTTATTGCAATTCTAATTAAAAATCGTTGTTGAATAATACTTGAATGAGGCAATTTACTAGGCTGTGGCTACAGTAAAAATGACCAGGATTTAACGTTACTCATGAATTTATGCAGACTTTTTGCATAGAAAGATAATCTTATAGTTGTTTTTAGTTCTGTTCTAGAGGGAAATCAGTGTAGTATAATACTTGAACTAGATAGACTAACCGACTAGCTTATGCTACCATTAAAATGCCAGAAGTAATCCTTTCTAATCAGTTCTTACAAGCTTTTGCACAGAAAAATAAAATAATCTTACTGTGCTATTCTAGTCGAAAATTTGGTATAGAATAGTGACTGAATTTGGTAAACTACTCCATTAGTCTATACTACACTTATAGCCAGAAATGCCAAGCAATCCTTGCCAATCCATTCTTTACAGGCTTTGCATAGAAAGATTATCTGATAGTTATTTTAGTGCTATTCCAATGCAAAATCGATGTAGAATAGTAACTGAATTCAGCAAACTACCTGTCTAATCTAGACTATACGTATGGTAAAAGATATCAGGACTAATCCTTAACAATCAATTCTTACAGACTTTTGCACAAAAAGAGGATCTTGAAGTTAGAATTACAACGCTAGAAGATCGATGTTGTGAAACGCAAAGAGATTTAGATAATACTACAAGCGCAAATCAATTTTTAAGCGATGAATTAACATGTAAAGAAGAATCGCAAAAAGAGGTTCAGTACTTTGTCAATTGGAGCATTTCACAAGCTCCACTTATCATCTTATTCTATCTCATATTTACCCTCTATCTATATGAAAATAATTGCTGTAGATGGAAGAATTACTACATGAATATAAAGAGAAATATATGGCAAAAGAGAAAGAATTAAAAGATACTATTAAAAATGCAGAAATTATACCTGATCTAGAAAATCAACTTCAAGATACGCTAAAAGAATTATCCAAAGTATGTAAAATAAATCGAGCTTTAGATCACGTCCAACAAGCGAAGATTGCCATTACTCTCTATAATTTCCAATCTTTCTAATTTTGAACAGGCTAACGAGAATCAGAAAGCAATGCGTAATCGAATTGTAGATCTTGAAACTAAAATACAAGATCATGAAGCTGAATTACTAAGGGTAAAATGATATAGAAATTTATCTAATACAGCTCATCATGTCCCTTTCCGATTCAAAACTGAAGCAAAAGTAATAATTCGTTTCAATCTGTTGGATAGGCACGTAAGAGGCAAAAAGTAAGCGAAGATGATAATATGAGATTATCACGCACATTGGATAAAATGCTATCGGAAACGAATCAGAGATTACAAATCCATTTAGAGGAAAGAATGACTGCTTTAGAAACCAAGGTATTTTGATGGAGAAAATGACATTCTGTATCGTTGTGGCATTCGATTTAGCCATATTTTCATCATTAATATCAAATAATAGTCAAATAGTCATTGCTACTGATTGATCTGTTTTAGAATGGTTTAAATCAAGAGTTACAAAGAGTTCGAGAATTACTAGACGAAAGAACCTACGAAAAGGTTTCTCATTATTAACATGAAATAGTTGTAGGTAGTTTAATTTGTATTTCTTATGCCTTCGACCTCTATTTGCACAGAAAATGGTGCAGCTACAACTTGAGCGCACTAAACGTGAACTTATTTCAGCAGAAGAAAAGGTCATTATTAATCCCTAGATGTATACTATCATTCTCATGATTCATGAAAGTAAATGATATTCTTTTTCTTTCTTCAGGTTATTAATATTAATATTGAAGATCGAGTATCGCCAAGGTCGACAACCGCTTTAACGTTAGTATTAATTTCATTTATAACTTGTAATTATGGATTTTAAGCTCTTTTCTGTATAGGTTTTATTGATATTCCATATTATTTAATTTGCAGCAATGGCAGAGATTCGATGAGCCATGATGATATCTTATTAAGCAGTAGTCTAGCTATAACTGGTTCATCTGAATTGAGCAAAAGCTTTGGCAAAATTGACGATCATAATGGACGTGGAAAATTAACAAGTGAAGGTTCTTCATCGACAACTTCAGACAAAGATACAGGTAGAATAAGAGAACAAATTCTTTTTTAATCAAGTTGTAATTTAATAATTTAGCTGAGCTAAAATGAATCACCATCATTGTCTTCATTTTCTTAGGCACAGCAAAAAGCATTATGGAAAATAACCCTAAAATGGAGAATAATATTAATAACAAGTTATTAAACCTGAAAATTGAATCACCTGAATCAAAGGAGATGGAGAATCGATCTTCTGGTTCCTCGCCTTTGGAGGAAAATGAATTAACGTATGCTAATAATAACGAGAAAGAAAGCTTTTTCAATTACACGTTTAAATCGTCATGATTCTATTCTCGATGGGTTGATGATTATAGGTTATCTTATAACTCTTGTATATCCAAATTTGTTTTTTCTATATAGAAGCCAGGAACAAGAACTGAAAGATACATTAGATCGAGTTAAATTACTTCAGAAGAGAGTAGCTAATCGCTGTGAAGATCAGTATACAATCGAGAAAGCTTCCTATTTGCCACTATCGCAGAGAATTGCTACACAAATGCCTCTAGCAAGAAACGATGATCAATTATTATGGGAAGCAGAAATATTAACCACGGAGCTAGAAAGGGTACTAATGTATTTGTTTGAGCAAAGCAAATAATAGCAATTAATTATTCATTGCTTGATTATCCTAGGTAACAAGAAATTACCAACTTCCATCTAAATTTCAATATCCAACAATGAACGAACTGGGTGAAAATGTAAGTTTTTATGTTAACGGTGGAATCTAGTAAAATTATTGATTCGAAATTATTCCTCTAAATTGGGTGTCTCAATCGGACTGATTAACAATTCTTTACGCAAATTATTCCTTTAAATTGAATGGAGCATCCTGTATAGTAAATCATTTACTCAAGTTATTTCTCTAAATTAAATGCGGCATTCTAAATAATTCAACAATCATTTATTCAAGTTATTCTTCTAAATCAAACGAAACATTGGAAATAGTTAATTACTCATTTGCTACAGTTATTCCTCTGAACTGAGTCGAGAATTCTGAATAATTATAGAATGCTCAAGTTATTCCTCTGAATTGAATAGAACATTCTGAATAGTTCAATAACCTAACATTAAGTTTATTCTTCTAAACTGAATAGAACGTTCTAAAATTGGATCTTTATTTTTTCCTCTTCTTTTTCTATCATTTAGTGTGAACACTTTACATCATCAATTGATAATGGTTCAGATAAAGCCGATTCTCCTTTACCTTCTCCACCAAAAGTCTCCACGGAGTGGCACAAACAGGATAGTTTCCTGCAGCGACTAGAGGGAAATTTAGGCAGCAAAGCTAATAGTCAATTTACTTCAAGAGATTCCCAAGCTTCAAATGCTTCTACTACAATTTCAGAGTAAGTAAATTTTATGATAAATTATAAGTTAGTTTAAGTATCATTTTACTAATCTGTCGTTTATTTCTACTATCTTATTTAGTAACAATTCGTCAAGACCTAAGCTAAATCGTGATGATGAAGTGGACATTGGAGAGTATACCGTTTCTGGATCATCTGAAATTAGCGAAGATAAAGAATACAAATTAAATCATACGGAAAGCAATAGTACATCGTCTCCTCATAGCAACTCTATCGATCGAAAATCTTCGATAAAACATGGGCAGAATCGTTTACGAAATTCTTTCCGCAAACTGTTAGGAATTAAACCCAAAGACGATTCTTCTTCAACAACCGGTAAAATTACAATTGAAAATTGTTTTTTCTTATCGATCCTAAATTATAAATTCTTCATCGATTCATTACTTCTAAATAAAGAATGTACAAAATGCTAATACACACACGCTCATTTTCTAGATGGTAAAATTTCAATGGATAGCCAGAGCACTATATCTGAAAGCCAAGGAAGTACTACACAAGCCAAGACAAAGTGAGTGCAGTGATTTGATCATGTCGCATATTGATCGTTATTCAATAATTAAAGCTGCAACTTTTGCAATGTAACTTAACCATTATAGTTATTCTTTCTCTTCTTGTAGATCTCAGTTATTGCAGGAAGTTCGTAGTCAAGGAGTTCCGTTTGATCATTGGGATGCTTTGACTGTTATCGCTTGGCTGGAGGTAATTTCCTAATTTACTTATCATCATCTTCAACTCAATGCATTATTAACGGTTAAAATTCTATTTTATTATTTTATTCAGCTATGGGCTTGTTTGCCAGCCTGGTTTGTAGCGATGTGTAAGAATCATGTCCAGTCTGGAGCTGATCTAAACGTATGTCAGGCGACACACTGTACTATAATCTTTTAGCTTTAATCTTCAATAAGAAAATTCTTAAGACACTATCTTTACTTAACTTAAATCAGGAAATGACCTCAGATCGATTAAAGAAAGATGTCGGAATTACACACCCTCTGCATAGATTGAAATTGATGTTAGCCGTAGATGAAATTGTTAAGGTTATGACTCCTGGTTCAAACTTTCTACCAACGGTAAGGATATACAACCACCTCTATATCTAGTTTTATAATTGCAATTTCTCTCATCTGTTATTCTGAAATTTTTTCTATCCAGTCCATAACATTTGGTAGCTTAAATTACGATTGGACTGCAAGTGAATGGTTAAGCCATGTTGGATTAACACAATACAAAGTTCGTTTTGATATAAGCAATACTCTTAATGTCGCAGGACAAACAATTTCAGATTTTAGTAGCAATAAATCTAAGCTGAAATTAGGGCTATTCGATTAGTATTGGGGAATCAATTAACCCTAATTATTAACGTTTATTATTTATCAATACTATGACTATCCATTAGGAAAAATTTCTAGGATGCTTAATTGATGCTCGCATGATGGAGCATCTAAGTAGAAAAGATTGGAAAACATATATAAAAGTACTGGATACATTTCACTAGTAAGTATCATATAATCAGAATTTCATAAGACCCTTTAACTAAAATTCATTTTCTACACTAATTACTCTTAGTCGTAGCTTGCAATATGCGTTACTCTGCTTGAAAGAATACAAATACGATTGGAGGGTAAGACATATGCAAATTTCGCTTAATACTCAGTTGATTCACTATGAGAACTAAATTATTCTCATTTTCAAATTATAGAAACTGGTAAAAAAGCATAAAGAAAACCAGCATACTGACCAAGGTACCATAGAAATAACTATTAAAATCACCGGGTGAATTCGTGATGAAATGATATTATGAATTTATAATGATATATTTTATTTCTAATATAATAGAATTACTAATATGGAGTAATGCTCGTGTAATAAAATGGGTTTGCGATATTGGACTCGAGAAATACGCATATAACCTGCTGCAAACAGGAATTAATGGTGCTGTACTAGCTCTTGATAGCAAATTTACCACCGCTGTCTTTGCTCAAAAACTCAAAATTCCAAACCATGGATTGCAGGTATAATAACATTGTAAGCTGTTTTACATTAATAATCTCTCGGTTGGATGTTAAGATCATAGTAACATCCTCCTTCCTCTGCTTATGCATATTTACTTTATAGTATACGTTATCATTTATTACAGGCTTATGGTAGACTCCATTTACAGTTTGAAGCATTAATGGCTGTCAAGGGTAACAAATTATCAATTGATCAGGTATTTAAGCAAAAAATTTTTCAGCACCATCGATTTTTATTCTAATCATCACAAGATTCAATTAACGGTAATCGAAACTGTTGTAAATCTGCTGTATACGTGTTTTAGCTAAGTGCAAGTATGGATAAAGGAGAAAATGAACCTAAATTTAAGAGAGGATTATCCTGGCGCCATAGTTTAAAAATGAAAAAAGCAAACGATTCTCTCTAAGCCAATTAAGAACCTATAATCCTCTATTTATTAATATTTTCGTAGGGATTTAAAATTGCACCTTTATTACCATTGTCTTTTAAGTCTTTCAACAAAATATCCTATTAAAAATATAACTAAGATTTATTTATGTTTCTATCATCATAAGATAATTTTTAACGATGTTAAAGCTCATCTACATTGTTTATATGATAATGTTTACAGAAGACATGTTTACGTTTTAATCCCGTTATTCCATGGAATTTTATAATATCAACAAGAGAAATATATTTATACAGATTTACTACTACGGGTACTGTAAAATATTCCCGCGCCATAAGCATAATTACAAATGTATCAAGGCCTTCATGATCTTGCGATAACTTACATCGTTAACTGTACTTGTTCTTATATCCATTTTATTCACCTTATTCAATCAACAATTTTTAATCACTCCTTAAATGTGAGTATAAGACAAAATCTTGCAGTAGTTCTAAACATCAGCAGTCTTTTCTTAATTCGTAGCATTCTCTTCTACGAAGTAAATACTTTGTCGATGAATGACTAGATCTATAGAAATTTTGAAGACTGCTGAAACTTCTTCTATACAAACATGCTTCTGGTCTGAATTTTAAAGATAGATACTAGGCTAAGCCGATGTAATTGACGACCGTTCTCAACTGTATTAAATTATAGACGTAAGGTATTATTATGCGTGGCAGCCATTTATCTATTTCTTATTTCGCAGCTGATTTATTATTACTTCAGTGCAAATATCAACATATTATGAACACACACTCAGCTGCATTAAGATTTACATGATAAAATACACCAGTTATCTTGATAACCCAAAATAAAATTATTACGTAAAGAAATCATATTAAGATGTGTGTACAATCTGTTAACTAAATATACCACCGTTATGTTATGTATATTATGCGCATCATCTAATAATTTAGATAAATGCGAGTATCAATTATTGATACGTAGTCCGTTAACTATGCATATCAGGCATTTACATCCATAACTATGACCTAATAACAAAGTTGTCTTTGTAGCCATATTAACTACTTTTAATAGGAACTAAGTTGGACTTAAACAAAATTAGCCCTTGACAATATGTGACAGAATCATCCGAAGTGGCTACATTTTCATAGCACTTACACAATAAATAGAAACTTAGTACATTCGCGTTTTAAAATATTTCAAATACAATAGAACAGATATGGGTGCTATTATATGACGCACGATTACTATAATCCGTCTGGTGGTCTGTAATAGATGCTGCTATTGCTTTACAATCGATTATAATGTAATCGACTGATGTTACTACTATTGCAAAATATTAAAACTAAATACGCCTGAAGTTAGAAGAAAAAATTTAGTATTAAATATTATCCTTGCCAGAATATTTCTATCTCATTATTTTATCTCACAGATACAGCAGATGATAATATCTGTCTATCACTTTGCAATCGTGATAGTCTAGTAGATTTTATATAATGATACACTGTGCTATTTCTGGTTTCTTTTTCGGTACGTAGAGTGACATATCATGTGTTAATTCCAATGTCCTAGCAAAAAATCAATGTCCAAATGTTAGTAAAACATTAGATGGCTACGTTCAAATTTATTCAAGGTATTGACAAAAGCTGTATGGTTTAGTAGAGCTCCTGCAGTTGTTTAGGTGTTTCAATGACATACTGTTATTCAGAAGTAAAAGGTAGGGTTGGGAGTACTGATGTCTTAAAAAGTACTTTACGAACATAATCCAAACCAGTACGATAACTGTCATTTTTATTACGACCTACATTACTTAGAAAATTTCAAAAAGTCTATGTCTACATTCTGTAAGGAAAAGCGTCAACTAAATTACACCATACAGTACAGCCAGTTCAGAAATCGTAATCCTAAGCATGCATGGACACGAAATACAGTACACTGTGCTCCTAACCAAAGACGCACCATACAAAAGCCAACATACTTAAAATTTTTTCTTCCCATACTTATTACAAATGATCGCATAAATGGCTAACCCGTCGTTACTGAGGATAACATAAAATTACTAATTATACTTATTCGTTATACTGCACATACGGTAGCTTTTTCATGTCATATTCCCCATCTATCTCAGTTGAGTGACAGCAACTAATTCTCCGGTTAATCTAAATATTACTATTTTATAGACAACTCAATAATTACTGGATAGTAACTTACTCTTCAACGGCTTTACTTGGTGTCAAAAGTGCTTCATTAGCATCGCATTTAACATTACTTTTCTGAGTTTCCAAGTTTTTTGATCGTTCTCTATTGTATCTGGCAACTTTAGGTGTATGATGTGGAATCAGTTCTTTTCGCATTGGATATAAGCTGTCCATACAGCTTTCTGATAAGTACTATTTGTAAGAATATAATTAAAAATTATAATTATCAATGGATCGCATCAACGCAAGGATTGTCAATATGTTAGGAGTGACCATAATTAGGGTAACACATCGAGTTGCATAATCTACCTCCTTAATTCTTTTAGGAGTGCGACTCTTCCTTCTGAGACTAAATCTTCTAGGGGGTAAACTGATGGTAGTCTTCTTCTTAACTCTTACCACATCGCTATCTACTATCAACTTTTTTAACGACAGTCGAGATTCAAGTGCGTTTCTGTAATTAAATACAAAAAAAGTTAGAAATAATGGTAATTGCATCCTTATCAATGCATTGACCCTATATACATTGCAAAATATACCTAATCGCATTTTTCAATTCTTTACTCCATCCTTGAATCTCTAGACGATCATTTGAATATAGTAAAAACGATTTTCCTTTGCAAGTCAATTTAACCAAGCCACCAGCATCGGCGTTCTCGCTACCGCCAAATATTTCCACAATCGAGCAATATGAAAGAGGTAAAATTCCACGACACTCATAATTTCTGTAGTGGAAACGCAATATTTTATGTCAAGAAAAACAAAATTAACATTGAAGACTATAACGAAGTTATTTCTACGTATCTTTGAAAAATTTAAACTGTACTGTAGGTTTTTACAGCTTACAAACTGGGCCGTCTATTTACTTTTTAAATAAATAGTAAAAAAGACACAGGTACCTTATTGAATTATTAGCACCAAATGTAAAGGCTTGTCTAGCATAGACTAAGATATCAGAAAACAGAAAAAACATTCTAATCTTCGATTTTTTGCCGCAGACCTGCAAAAAGGATATTTTCCAACAATTAGTCTAGTTTGAATAGTTATAAAAGTCAACAATCTAAATGCTACCAATTAAATAGATAATAATAAATTAATAGTCTAAGCAATGACAGGCGTGCTACGTATTTATTGAGAATTTGAATCGGATTAGTAAATCGTACCTTCCACAATGACCCTTCTTTAATTAATTTTCGGCCTTTAAATAATAAACAGTGAAATATTTCTGTTACACTTACAAATTAACATTAACTTTCAACACAAGGAATAATGCAATTTAAAATTTAGCGAATGTGCAGCTACTCAATCAACATCTATATTGTTATCCATTGAAATTGCAATATAAGACTGAAAGAGTGAGTAACTAAATTATCAATTAAAACTAATCTTCACTTATTAGTATCAAACCTGGAGCTACAAAATTCGGAGCTGAATTCCCTTTAAACTTATTTTGTATCATAATGACTTTGTCGTAGTCTTGATGTTCGCGGATTTTTTCATTAACAAACTCGACAACTTTAGTTATATCTTCAACTGATTCTATGTAATAGAACGTAGGACTCTTATTATGTTATTTGCATAATTAGCAATAAAATCATTAGGTATTATAATCTCTCATCCCAGTTTATAGTACATTAATGATAAATTTAAATCCTGAAATAAGACTTTAGGCTCAAACCTACGTTTTAATTTTAAGTAATCCTTATCACCAGGACGCGATAGATTTAATAATTCTTCTAAAAGGAGTTTATAACGTGGAATACGTTGAACAGGCATAATAAGCAGAGACATTAACTTTTGGCCTTTTACGATACTGCCACTTTCTTTTGACTTCTTAAAAGACGCAAAATCTTCCGATATTTTCTCCCATTTCTAAATGCAATACAATATTCAAAAATCACTGATTAAATAAAAAAGATACTGCATCAACGTCAGCCATCAAGGGAAATGTTAATCATACAAAATTAATTTCATCAATAAGGCAAGGTTAACTTACAACGATTAAATGGATTGCTCTATCATAATTGCTGGCATAGAGAGAGTAAAGCTTTAGAAAAGGAGTTAAAGCTGCAAATGCTTCGGCAATACCAAACCGCGTCATTCTCTTCAACAATTCTTCATTCACATGTAAAATTTGTTCAATATTGGAAAATATACCATCAATTTCAGCATCAGGAATGTACCCGTGATTGCGTAATGGCTCCAAAAAATGCTACAAGAACGATATAATAATTCATTAAAAGTAAATGTTACCAGATTGTATTAATATTTATAAGATAATTTTAATCAAGATCGATACACATATAAGGCAAATACTTAAAATAATTGTTATGATAAATAATCTTGATATGTACTTTAATAAATATACCTAATTATTCGTTATGATACTGGGTACAAAAAATAACACTAACCTTAATAATTACTCTGAGGTGACGTTGATATGTTCTCTCTGATTGAAAAACTTCAGCTTCTACCTTACGATACTTTTTAGCTAATGCTAACTTTTGCTGTGCAACATCATCATGAATAGCCAGTAGTGTCATTGATTGAACTGTTTGATCATTTAACTCTTCACCATGTAATGACATTAGTAACTTTGTACTTTGTTGAGCAGCTAAAGTCTTCTTTTTCTTTTTGAAGCGCTTGCCTAAAATACTTGTATTAGATGCCATACTAGTATCGTTATGATTTGTCGACATTACCGAATCTCCAAATCTGTTTTTCTTTTTACCAAACAGCCGACGATAACGCTTCGAGCTTTTTAAAATCGAAGTTCCAGCTGATAGGTTACTCATATGCGTATTATCGATATAACGTGATTCTTCATAGACAACATGAGATTCTTCTGAATTAGCCGTTGGCGCTTCCGGTATAGGAGATTTAACTAAGTCTAATTGTATCTTAATATTGCCGATATTAGTTTCTGGTAAAGCACTTAATTCATCTTGAGGTGAACACTGATTGAATCTTTTCCTCACCTCAGGCCGAGATGCAGCGGACTGCATTATTGAAGCATTTATATCGCTATTAATAGTTTTAGCTAATGGAGATTCTTCATTACTGGTATTGCAGTCAGATAATGACGGCGGATTAATAAATGTTGATGTCCGGTAGCTTTGATGTTTGTGTTTATGCATCGCTTGGCGTTTTTTCTCATATAGATTAGCTTTTTCTACAGAGTTATCGCACAAGGAATTGAGCATTGTGTTAGGTGAATCTCTTTGAGCGTCTATTTGGCTACGAGCATCAGGGGATTCTTCACAATTAATATTAGGGTTACTATCAACGCCATATCCTATTTTTACTGGTGTGATTTCTGGAGCAGCTATAGGGGAATTTACCGACGTTGCTGTTACGTAATTAGTATTCCTTGATTTAGTAGTTTGGTGATGAGTAGGACTACTGCACTCTGAGTTAGCCATCAGAGATACCTGCGATTTAGGCGCATTGCTGCTATTCTGCATTGAATATTCAATAACCTCTTCTTCGATTGTCTTTGGGTAATTATTTAAAATAGGGCTTGCATCCTTAGTAGAATTGATGCCATATTCCTGCGATATTGCCATTAGCATATTATAAAATTTTTCTTTACTGTCTTGCCTAGGGACTTTTTTGTTGCTTGCTAAATCATTATCATTATCTCCATCATCGCTATACTCCTGGATTGCACTACTATCACTGACATTAGTTAAATTGGATATACTCCCTATGTCGATATTTTCATCTCCCGGGCCTTGAGGATCACCGCTTTTAGTATCTTGGTTATAATTATCGCTTGCCTCCTCTGATGCTTTGGAATCTTGCTGTGTGCAATCATCGCTCGCTGCTTCCTCACCCGTCAACGGAGGGTTTACAGCAGAAAAGCAGTTTGAATTACTTGGCTTCTCATCTTCCAGATGGGCAGATTGTTCAATATTGTCACTGGTATTAAATTCGTTATTACAGGTGAACATGTCTGTGGTTAAATCATTCTAATAATATACACGAACATAAAGAGTGATAGTTGATCAGTAATGAAGTAAATTTTCAATCGATACTTGTTTTATCTAGCCTAAAATGAATGCCAAACATTGACTATATTAATGATAGATCGTAATCTTCTTACCCTAGATTCATCCGCATTATAATTGACAACCATAGATAAACACATAAATTCGGAAGTAGCTACATCTACCATATCGCACTTTTGATCTTTTTTAAATTCATCGATATGATTCCAATTTTCTTCTTGAGTATTGCCATTAGGACTCGATGTAACATTAGTAATATTGTTAAGATTCGATATCGCAAGAATTTTCTTATGCTTTTTCATATTTCGATTAGTATCAGTATATTTCTTAATAAGAGGAGTTGACTGATATCCTGGTGCATCGACACCAAATTTTCTACGAGGGATAGGGTTATCACGATTCTCTTTGGACGCTGAATAGGAGTTAAACATGCTAATCATACTGTTGACATTTTTGCCAGCTGGAATTGTCGATTCTAACAAATAGGAATTGAAAATAATTTGTAAAATTAAAATGTATTGCAATTGTAAAATAGAGAACAACGTTAAAGGTTCCGTGCAAACTAGTATGTACAGCAGAAGCTTTATATACGTGCACGCCAACACTGAAAGGAACATGAATAATAATAATAATGCTATAACGCCTATACGTAGATGAAATTCAATGAATATAGCGATAATTTCTATATTATTTATTCTAAATGCGGGCAATGAATCACTTTTAATGTAGAAAAAATCCAATAAGATTTCGAATCTAGGATATCTTTGGATTATACGGTATACCGTATAATTTGTGATCTTCTTGCAAAGGACTGTCATGAGTTAAGCAAGCCAATAACATTTATTCTGAATGGGTAGCGTTAGTATTAAGAGAGGTGCTGCAAAGGAGAGTGATTCTGTGTACTAGAAATTAGAATAGACCTGCTATGTTATAATAGACTATTGATGTTGCGTAACTACATTTACAGTAATTGTACTACTTCATTCTGTACTACATCTCCCAACAGGTATCATTATCACCAGTTATCCAGAACATCTTATAGATCAATGATCATATACTGTATGATTTAGTGATCTGCATACCAAAGATTTAGAAGAAGTAATCAAATTAATAACAATCATCCTGGAATTTATTGCAGAATGGGTGTTGGAATAAGTGTGTGCTACAAAGGAGAGTGATTCTCTGCACTGGAAATAAAAACAGACTACTCTCGATGTTGGTCAACAGATCACCCAAACAACCCCTTGACAGTTAAAAAATCATCAAGGTCTCAAAATATCGCTTTGAACATATTCAAGGAAATAAATTGTCAGCAAATCATTCATGGTCATGTCATTAAATTGGATTCGTTAATTATTTCAACTTTATTTCTTTCCAATTCATTAGTAGTATCGTCCATTTTTATACTATTGTATCATCGTGTAACGTTCAATGAAGCAATTAAAGTGAGTGAAAGACATCATTTATTCTGAAAGTCCCTACCTTGATTTACTAAAGGGGTGGTCACAGTCTCGTTTACTTCCATGTTTTCCATCTAGATATAGATTGAACAAGATCAATGTTAGTAGATAAATTTTGAATACCCGTATGTGACGTAACTGACGTGTCACCCCAATACGAGCGGATGACATTTTTACTACAAGGTGAAGCAGGTTATGGCTGCTCTGTACAACCTTGCCATGGATTTAGAAATTCCTCTAATGTAAATTTAAAAGACTATTTGATTTTATCCTGATGTAATTTTCCTTCCTGACTGTAACAAGATTGGATCAACATTGATCCATAAGATTTAATCATTTTTTAATTGTCACTCACGAAAACATTAGGCGCCTTTTTTACTCGATTTTACCTGGTTCAATTGGCAATTTCCAACTTTCAATGAGAAAAAGTAATGAAGCCAAATAAGATAGTGCCAATTTGAGACGTTGATGAGCTTTCTTTAACGATTATAGAAATAATGAATGTTCAATTTCCTGTGAATGAAACAAAACTTAGCAGTCTTGGTTAACTGTTGATGATTGGAAAATCAGTGTCTATTTTGGAGTTGCCTATCATTGAAGTAGCCAGTGCAAGTTCTGTCTCACAGAATCAATACGAAGACTAAGCTGCAATTTTTTAACTTGTGGCTTGTTATGCACGTCTGTAAAGTGCTAAAGTATGAATCCAAGATCGATCGTGTTACGTCAGTCATTCACACCATGATAACAAACCAACTTACTTTTGAAATTATTGAACAGACCAATAAGCCAATCAAAAGCCAGAATCGGGAAACAACCGTTGATCACGTGACTCTTTCACACCTGCACTATGAGTAGACGGTGTAGACCTGACTATGAGTCAGCCAGACAGCCCAGACTCACATACGATACGCTGTACAGTACTGTACAGTGTACAGCGTACATCAAACGTTTACTGTCTGTCTGTCTGGGTTGTCCAATCATTTTTGATTGGTTCAAAATGAATATAGTAGTGTAAAAGTAATGGCATAATCGACCATTATGTGCCATTAACTTTACCTTGAATCCTTGTGCTTAAGATATCCACCCCAATATTAAATTTATATACGTAGGAAATCTAGTGTGTAAGATAATTTAGCTGTGAATTATCTTTTAATGTATTACTTTGTGTAGAATATGTACCTGTTCATACGAATGGGAAATTTACAAGTTCATAGATAATTGACTATTGAATATTGAGTGGTCCAAGGACAGTCAATACTATGCAGTACCGTGCACTATACGTACAGTTGGTAATTTTAGCTTCTCTGGTGTACAGTACTGTTCTGTACATCTCTACAGAGACAACTCTGAAAAATTCAGGGAAGAATTTGGCTTATTAATGAAGCCAAACTTATTTACTCTTTCGGCAAGCGGCATAAAATCTGAAGGCTTCTATGCGACAGAATGTAAACCACTAGTTGGCTACATCCAGTATTGTATACTGTACTGTAGATCTACTGGATAGTAGATTATGCAAGCTACAGTACTGAACTAAACATGGTACGACAGACACCACTAAATATAGTATTGTATTGGAATTGAAGACGCATGCGCAATAAACCCCAGCATGCATCTCGACTTTTCACCATGACTACCCTGAATCTTGGGAATGGAAGCACTAAACTAGCGGAAGCACGCATGAGATACTCTTACGGCATATATTATATTGCAGATTGGATAACTTTTAGCCATAGCATAGACATAAATCAACGCTGACTAACGGTTGTTTATTGCAACCATTCCCCCTTCCCATACGATGTCCACTACCAGTACATAAATTGAGTGAATCCATACTAATAATCTATTCTATCGCAAGTAAATGTACGCTGCACCACCTTTTATCCAGTAATAGAAGAACACGTTAACTTATTACGTATTGGATCCTATATCTTAAAATTAGTCGACCAACTCTTATCCTATACGGCAATTTACAAATAATTAATCAAGAACGAGATATCAATATATTAACAAATACTACAAAAAATCTAAAATCATCAACTTATATCTATTCGTTAAGCCAGCTTATTACTTACGTGATAAGAAATGATCAAAATACGCATGTAGAGACTAAATAGTAAATTCATTATGTACATCAATTCTTCACAGTTACATTGACGATCGCTGATATACTTGCATTTCTACTTGTCCAAGTACAATGGCATGTGCAGAACCCAAGGCAAATAACAACCAAAGGTAAGAAAAAGAATACTTCAACTACAACCTTCACTAAATATACAAATCAACAACTCATCGGCTCTATTGCCACTCTGTACATTAGTCATCAGTTTTATAATTGTTGCTGTTATCACTCCAAGGTAAACATCAATCACTGTTTGAGTATAATATATTAAGTTGAAATATTACGTTTAGTTAGTATATTCTACTATGATTTTAAAATGACTGATTGATTAAGACTGGCGTCAGCTAAAAAGAGTCAGAAATATGGTATAGACAATCTACCGAAACTCAACAAATAAGCATGGTCACATAATAGATAGTACTAATTGTGAAATAATCCCATAAAATACTAAATATATCTCTACTTTTTCCTTTATTTACAGTTATTCAATTAATAGAGGGATAGCGGATGAAGAATTTACCACGGAAGAGATTGAAAATGAAACAGCACCATCAAATTCTCATCGTCTTATTCAAATAACCAGTTATTCAACATTGCGTGAAAATCCTGAGCCATCACAAAAAGATAACGAAGATGCCGACTTATTTGAGGAATACTTATCCCCTCGAAAGCTAGTTAGTCCTACTGCAATATCAGCTTTAACTTCTGTTTTAAATATTTTGACCTACTCTTATGTGTATAATAATTTAATGAACGATCCATTTAAACTATTTTGGTGTCTTCCTTTTCTTGTTATTTAAACCTAAATAGCAATCGTTGACAGGATGTACTAATCTAGGCGAAGTAAACTATTTAGAAATCAGAGTTAACACAACAGATAATACATTAGGAAATTTTGGTAATTATTCTATCATTACTAATTTTACTTTCATGTTATGAGTCCGTAATTTAAATCGATTTACTGTAATATTATTGCGTGACTAGTATCAAAATGATTAAAAATAATGTTATTATAAAATAACTGAGTAATAGTTAATTATTATAATATTGTTGTGAATTAATATTCTTGTTTCTATTCCTTTTCATTCATGCACATACCATGAAACAGGTATATGGTTACCTAATCTTTATGAGTTGAAATTAACCAACAGTATTATTTCATCAGTTAGGTAATATATATATATATATTCATATGTCATACCGTCCTAAATTTAGTAGAATTCAATCATTAAATATGCCTATATAGAATATTAGTTTTCTCATTAGCGATAACAAATTTCGATTTCTATCAATAGAGATTTAGGAACTTCATTAGTTAATTTAAAAATATTGTGGATGCCTCGTTGTCAATTAAATGAAGTGGATGGAATAAGTTGTTTATCATCCTTAAAGGTAATTCAAATGCCTTCTGCATTATATTACTTACTTCGAAAGGAGCACTTTGTAATATCCCGTTTTCCGATCTCATTTTCGATAATTTTACTGTTATAGTATTATTGTATATAATTTTGTATTGTTTATGTGGCTAATTTTGATTTTTACTAATTGAACAGGAGCTATATCTAGCCTACAATACCATCAATGATATCAGTCCAATTAGCATGCTTGAAAACATTGAAGTGTTAGACTTAGAAGGGTAATTTTACTATTTTATAGCTATTGATATGTTATGTAAGTTAAATTTCAAATATTGCAATAATCAGTATAAAATCATTATTATTTTTTTACTTTTAAACATTAATATCATACACACGAACTTCTTGATTTAAATAAAAATATCTTATATGTAGGATAAGTTATATTATTTTGTTATTTCCTAAACGAAAAAATTTATCATAACAATTCATGTACATTTGTATCGAAGTAAAGATGAGTTCTGCTAGCTTCAAGCTAATAGCGTATCTTTTTCTAAACTTCTTATCAAAAAATTTTTGCTTTTTAATTAAAAATAGGAATGGCGTTAATAGCTCTTCGCAGATTGGTTTTCTAACACTATGTCCTGCATTAGTAACATTAACTCTTGAGGGCAACCCAGTTTGCTTTTCGCCAGATATAAATGCTAGCCAAGAAGTAAATACTGCTAATGACTATCACTGCTATTTCCTGCGTTGGATTTTATATAGCCGTAGCTTGATTTTGCAAAGTATATTTTATGCGATATCTTTAACTTTGATACAATATATTTACTGTAGGAAATTGAAAATTATAACTACAAAAATACCGTTAGAACAACTTTACCCAATCTAAAGTTTATCGATAATGAACCTGTTGATCAAATCGCCTTTGATATGGTCGATGAAAAGCAACATATAGAAGATAGATCATATCAAGAGCAATATGAAAACATGGCACATACACCTCCTAGTAAGAATATCGCTATTAAATAAGCTTTCTCTCATGTTGTCAGTCTCGCCAATCAGTCTTAATAGATTTACCGAAGTGAAATCATACCTATTGTTAGTAGAACAAAAATCTTTTATTAGTAATATCGATGTTCATTTACAAATTATTAATTTTTAATTATTATTCAGTAAACCAGAGGCCAAATTCTGGCCGTCTAAAATCCGAATCGCAAATTTTACGTCGGCCACAATCGGTAGCATCGACTCGATCAGTTTCACCTATGCTCACTCCAACGCCATCATCACTTGGTAGGCAATATCATTCATTATGTTATACTCATAAAAGTAAATATTTACGGTGTGATTTAGAAACAAATTTGTTACTTTAAAGACTGTAAGAGTAAAATTCTTGTTGGTATCGCTTATTGATATTTCTACTTCTGCTATAACCAGATCAAACATCCACTCTGCTTATGGAAAATGATAACAGTAGCTCTTTAACTCATGGTAAGATTTGTTGTTATTATTTATTCACTCCTGCTTATGTATATGAAAAGAGCTAATTCCATTGCAAAATTGTAAATCATTTTTACCGTAAATTCAGCTATTGTCGGTGAAACACTATTATAGATATTAGGAAATATTACATAGGTAAGCGTTATTATTATATAACAGGATCTAGCGAAGTCATTTGTGGAAATCCAGTTCGAGCACTTCGATCAAGAAAGAAAAATAAGGTAACTTAATTAATGATCGATTTTTAGTTATCAGTTTTACTACATATCTGTGAAAACTGATACTTACTATACAATAAAAATCGAGACTTAACTAAAGTATATGGACCTTGATGTTAACTCGAGCAGGACCTTCTCTCAAAATCAATGGACGCATTTAAATCTTATAAAACAGCTACTGCTGTCTTGTATAGTTCTACTCCATCTACAACTGGATTTCATCCGGAACATACGTACGAAGAAGAAAGCCGTGGCAGTATTAGTAAAGAAGATGTTATAACCGAATTAAAAGCATGGAAGACACAATATGAAAGGTACTTAGCAAAGATTCCATATCTTTAGTTATTATATCTGTATAGGGCATATACTGATTTCACTGCCACTTTTCTTTCTAAGTATACATGTACAATAGCATCACAACATTGTCGTAGTAGGATTACTTGAGCTCGTTTGATTAATGCACACTTGGTAGGATGCTATTTAATTCCCGTAGTTTATCTCCGTGCACAAACTATATATTTAAGATAAAAATTTTTCTATTTACTTGTAAATGATCTTTAAAGATAAAGATGAAAGTAAAAATTGATACTAATTCATGCTGAATTTACTACCGTAGGGTCACTCTTGGCATCGATAATATTGAGGTAAATGCTATTATAAATTAAAAGTTTGCGTATATTTAAATTAAATCATTCAAATTGAAGTGGTTTATAGAAGTATAGTTAACCATTGCATAGATTAAAATTTTACTAATAAGAAAATATTGCATTATTCTAGATGTCTGCTATACAGGAGAGCGAATCGGAAGAATCTCCACGTAATGAGTCAAAAAAGACTATTAATCCACTTCCTCCTACACCTACTAGACCCAAAGCTCCAACTACTAGACCGAGAACAGCATCTGATTATAGAACCAGAAAATTTAAGAAAGGATTTATAACACAGTCAACAACGTCATTAACTAGCCGATCTGAAAAAGAATTATCTGCTAACAAGATGCGTAGAAGTTATGATGAAACTTTGCTAGGGTAAATTAATTTAATGGATTGGATTGAACAAGAATTTGAATTAGAATATTTTCTCATATTCATTTACTTGCTTAGTGAATTTAAGCTTTGAGTGATGAATATCACTGGCTATTTATTTAACAATAATAGCAAAGCATTTGAAACATTTTCAAATTTTTCTTCTTAGGGAATCAGGTGATCCTAGAGTCCACAGTGCCGTTGTAAAACACGAAATAGATAGAGTCGATATTATCAGAAGACCAATTACTCGGGCTGGATTTCATACAAGAGCTAAATCACAAGGTCTATAATAAGAATACCAGAATAAGCCAGATCTGGCAAAAAAAATTGATTTTTAATCATGAATAAATTATAGTTATTTCATTTAGTTTCATGATATGTACAGTATTTTTACTAATAGTAACAATTTGGCCATTTGGTCCAATTTTCAACGCTTTGGATTCACGCCAAAAATTTGATGAGAATGCACTCACATGTATGCATTGAAAGGAATACGATGATCAAAATAACCATGAATATTATAGAATAATTCTATAATAAATACCGAATCTAATTCATTACTACGTAATCTATGTTATCAGCTTTAGCGGTATAAAGAATCCTAATATGAGTGGCTGTCGCTGTGATCTATTCATCATTGTGAAAAACTGCCAAATTTGATAATTAAGTTGTAATATACGGTACTAATATTTTTCTTCCCGATCTCAATAAAAATTTACGTTATTATAATTACCGGTAAAGGTCAATTTCGTGATAGAGTAATAAAATAAAAAATGAAATCAGTAATTGAATGGTGAATATGCAAGGCCGAAGGTGTATTAACACACATTTTTTGAATATATGATAATATTTACTATACTACATAAATTCGATCCTAAGATATAAACTTATTACAATATAGTTTCATACTCTATCAATCTAAAATTCTGCTAGCAGCATGATCGTCTATCATATTTCTTCTTAATGTATTTTTTCATTAACAAACTGTTTTATGATAATGACCTTACTTTCTATTAGTAGTAAACATTGTAGATAAATAAGTCAATGAGATTAATTATTAAGTAGAACTCATTTCTACAGTAAAAATTTCGAACATTAGCTATTGTCACTAATTCAAGAGTCTGCATACACGTAGCATTCCTCATTCCCTTATTTTCTCTTATGACTTAGCTTTATATCAATTTCAGAAATAATAATTAAGCTTAGATTTAATGATGCCAAATACACTTTAGAATGTGAAAACGAAAAAAATTAGTAGAATTATGTAGCTGAATGATATCGGAATAAGCTACATTTCTATCGATAATGATTGCTATCGCTAATTTATAAATCTTTGCCTAATTTCTGGAATTAACAAGTGAGATAAAATATATTGATTTACTTAGAATCATAAAAATCAATAACTATCAGTGTATGCGATTTATCTTCATACACGTACTAATTAATATTCGATGATAAGATTAATTACTAATTCATTATCGATCCCAAGTGGTCTTAGGAAAATTACGAAAGTTTGCGTCCATCCTTTGGATGCTATACTGCTACTATGGCGGTACTCAAGTCTGATGCATTATGGGTTACTATCAAGTATTAAATTTGTGTACCCGTATAAATAGCATTCTTGTAGATAACAATTAATTTCATAACCACTACAATTTTGCCTGTGGCTGATGTATAGTGTAGTGATAGTGCCATTCTTCTTACGAACAATCTGTTAATATTCTAGAAATAATTTCAACAGTATCAATGAAGTTACATCTCCTGTTATCCGTTAATGATTTAACGATTATAATAGCTTCAAGAAGAAATTAGTTGAGAAATAGACTAAAATCGCTTTTGCATTATATTTTCGACTCGCACCGTTAGTCCATTTTATAAGTTATTAATGAAAATTTTATTGTAATTTATAAGATAGGATAATCTAAAGGATTCTTCGGTAAGTATAGTGTTTTCTTACCCGACATTGCAACAGATTAGAGAATTATAACTGATTAAAAAATTTCCGGATACAATTATCTGTGATCATTGTGTACGCAGTTTCGTATTTATAAGTAAAATAGATACACAACACTATGAGACAAACGATACATTATTTGGTATATCATTAATAAAATATTATGACAGCCTTGGTATTTGAATTTAAAGATAGCAATAACGATAAATTTACGATTATAATTTGGTAAGTATTAAACAAGATTTTCTAAAATTTGGCAGACGGCAACAACTTTTGTTTTCCGAGCCACACGCTAAATTAATTATTAGTCCAGCCTTTGAAGAGAACCAGTTAAACAAATGGAGCCAACAAGAGAGTAAATTGTCTAATCACGTAATAAAAATATATCTATATCGCTAAAATGAAAGCATGTACAGAAAATTCACTGAACAATAATTATAATAACAAGGAATATATGTTTATCACGGTTACTTAATACAACCGATTCAGTCATTAAATAAAGAATTTGATCTGAGTAATAGTTTAAGACTTAAATCATGCTTAAACCTACTGCAGATAAAATTCATCCAAACTTATAACTAAATCGAAATTAAAGAGGCACAGTGGTATTCCAATGAGCGATCTAAACTTTCAAGAGTTAATGGATTGGATAAATTCTATCGTTCGCCCTCAACAAGTAACCCAGTCGTTATATCAACCATTTTGTGGATAATAGAGATGTAATCTACACCATTACTGCAGAACCACCCTTCCCATAAACAAAATCCCATATCAAGCAAACTAGCATTACCAACTTTCTAAAATACCATCAATCTGCGAATTTACAGTTAATTACAACTTCATTCAGTATATGAACACATAGTAGCAGCATATTTTATCAAGCTTGTCGATGAAATATTAAAAGCGATCAATACTGCAGTACATGTCTGTTTAATCTCAATAATTACTGGAATGCAGTAGATACGAAAAAAAAGTCATAATATTATTTAATTATAAAGATATCGCTATAAAATCAACAAAGCTATAGCACATCTTTACTTTCTTGTCGAAGGACCATGAAATTTGCATTCACATAAGCCTAGCCAAACATTCTTTAATGATTATGTACAATATGACATAGGTTTACAATCTATCATCTATTAGAAGCTAGCAAGTTAATACATTGAGTGTGTATCTGTTGTATTTAGATTAAGCCCAATAAGGCATACAATAGCACATCAAAATACCTTTGCAATTCATCAGTGCAATTGGTTATATTACCAGTAAGTATAATCATGTGCTTTTCGTAACTGATTTCATGTCTAGATATGATTGATAGATATGGCAATCTAATATCCTAGCATCCATCGTCTTCATTGTGCTATGCTGACCCCGTCTTGAAACTAAAATATTACTTGAGGGATATGATTACCGTATGGGACAGTTAGTTGAATACAATACAATACGATGTCATCCAGTTATCATGTCCTGTTTATTGCTTGATAAAGTTGAATTATTTACTATACGAATAATGGAATTTCTGTGGTTAATCGGATTTATTAGGATAAAAGTATTGAAATTGTCTGTTAACTTGAATACTATCAGCGCTTGGATAAGGCTGACAATTGGCTGTGTCAGCATTCCAAAATGAATTTAAATTTCGACGAACTTTATGGGTATTTTTTTGATGTAGCCGTTGGCATAATGCACAAAAATAATCTAATGTATCATATTCAACAATAGTATAATTGGATCTCCAACGAAAGAAACTGTTATATAATTGATCGTCCTTGCTAACCTTGAGGATATAATTAGCTAATTCAGCAGCGTTATTAAATTGCAATGCATCAATATACGATCCAGGTGGAGCGACATGATGATCTTGGTAATTTGCACCGCCAATGACAATGGGTACAAGACCACGCAATAGAGCATTATGATAGAATTTTTCAGTCACATAATCTTTACAAATTTTATTCTCGAAACTTAGGTAGAATTTATAATGTTTAGCCATATAGCTCCAGCATTCTTCATCACGAGGACAATAGCTAGTACCACAATCACCAAACATATCCACTTCGATATGTTGGCTTAAATTATATACAAATTGTGTTCTACCTTCGTAGCATTTGCTTGATGCCCAAGCAACAAGACGAGTTTTACCCTCGCCATAATTGTGATAGGGATCATAGCCGTTGCGATGTTGGCCATGGAGAATAGCACCATAACGTATGATAACATCAGCATCGCGCGAATAGGTCATGGTCCAGTTGAAAATACCATTGTGTTGTTCAGTCAATTGAACACCCATATTCAAGCTGATAATTGGATTTTCCATATTATGATAAACCCAAATTTGATTTGTAGAACGTTCTTCAGGGAAAAAAGCTGGATCACTGCATGCAGAGTCAGCACCATGAAATACCACAGCTTTACTATGATCATAGTAAAATTGATCACGCGTTATATCACATTGCAATTGCTTATTACCGCAAACTAATCGACCTTCTTCATACGGCCAAGATTCACCAAACCAACTTGTCCATAATAATATAACAGGGATATTGGCACGTCGTTCACCCGCTACACTACTATTTAAAAATTGATTGATTCGAACTGGTTGCGTTGCTGAGCCAACCATACTATGGCGTAGTAAGGATAAAGTTAAAAGTTGACGACGACTAGCATGAATTAATGATGTCTGATTTGACAAGATTACAATAGCTAAGACGGATAACGTTGCAATGATAAAAATAGCACGACGAATCTTTTGATTTAAATTTCCAATTTTCATTACCGACACCATGGCAATTTCTTTCCAGTAATGTTAGTAGTCTTGATTTCACCGATACTTTCTTCAATCTATAATTATTTTCCTTGGCATAATCTACAAATGGATTCTGTTGAAAAACGGCTTGTCAGCGGCTAATCCTCTCTGTCCATGCTGCCATGAATGGCGGTGCAAGTGCTTCTACTACAGTCATCCAGTTACGCTTCCAATGCGTACCGGTCCAGTCCACTTTCCTGTGACGGTCATAGCGAGCATGCGTACTAAGGCCACAGACAATCCCTTCCAACGTTTGGACAAGGTTGTATTGACCACTTCTCCACTTTTCCCCTACATTACATGGTACAACGACTGCTGAATGAGATGTAATACTGCAGATGGGCATCGTCCGGGTGGTGACAGTTGGTCCCATTCCACACAATAACTTGATCCAACTAAACACACTACCCAATCATGGCCAATGGTGACGTATTACAGTAATACAATACTGAACTGCAACAATTGTTTCACTTCTTCCTTTCTAGTTGTCGCGTTAACCTGTAAACTGCAGTGTCAAGAGCAAGCCGGTCGATAGGAAATTTTCTTTTTTTAATTAATTTGAAACTCCTGTATATCCTTCTACAGGGTGGATCTCCAGGGCTCATTTAGATTCGATTCTTTGTATCGCTGATGTGTTGATCATCGTGGATATTTAGATTCGATTCTTTGTATCGCTGATGTGCTGATCATCGTGAACAAAAGCTTACCTTAAGCATTTCATGATAAACCAACTACTCTAATCTTCAGTCGGTGGACAATAATAATAATATCAATTAATTAATCATAGAAGAAGAATTAAATAGTAATTAAGGAATGGATACTCCTTTGACAGTGCATTTTATTCATAACCACAGTAATCCCTGGTAAGATACACAGTACAGTATGATACTCTTTCTAAATTTTCTCAACTCTATCCTGTAAATTGAGCCAAGGGCATACCAACAATTAGTCAGTCGTAGCGGCTTTGGGGTAGTTAATCCTTGCTATAATCTGATCAAGCACTCAAAATAGCGAGGATCAACATTGCACGATTGTACGAGAATAGTAAAGCCATACGCAGGTTCGATTGTAAGATGGTGATAAGAGTTTATTAGTAGTAGTTAGACGAGTCTAACTTATGGAATAAAATAAAGTTTACAAGAAACTGTAATTCTTGCTTTATTTTGATGAAGGCACTTTTATCCCATTTCTGCATAACAACATCAGTGGTTAAATCAAAAAGTTAAAGGAAAAGTAAATAAATAAAGTAAAATAGCTAGCGGGCTAGTGCAATATCGACACAACTATAGAAATCATCTTTTTGAGTATACAGTGGGATTGCAACGTGAACAGGAAGTTAATTTTTCACATCCCTTGTGAGGCGGCTTTTCTTTTGTCCGCCTCTACGTATCTTCTGAAGTGGCACAGTTTATGTACGCAAAGTATGAGATATCAAAAACCTGAAAGTTAATAGGTACCATTACTATTTTACAGTGATGCAATCTCATTCTATAATTTCTATTCTACACGGAATCACTAGTACTTCATGACAGTGCATGAACACAGCATATGAATAGAATCCGCTGTCCGAACAATAATCTTTATTAGTAACGTAAATTAATCACTAACCTTTCTATGCAGCACTACAGTACTGTATAATGTCTGTGTAGTGATACACCTATATTTGATTATACGGATAGCTATATTTAATATAGTTCGGTTGCTTTGAATAGATATTACCGTGAAGCTAATATTACATGATTGATAACTATTATATTAGGAATTGTTGATGACTAATAGTAGCCAGTTGATTGATTATGGTACTAGATTTAGGTAGCTAGAAACACTGCAGTTGTTAAGATGCCCTTCGGAGAAAGGGCCTAGACGTGAATAGAAGAGTAGTGACATCTTAAGTAGAATGATTTCGATTGTAGAAAGTAATGATGTTCTATTCGCCAAAAGTGTTTTATTTGATGGCTCATCTCTGATTGTAGATTGATCAAGTTGTCATAAATGGATTGAACGAAATGTTTATAAGAACTGCATAGATGAGCTCACGGAGAACAGACTTCACTTCACTTTGAGCTCGGAATACTTTCGATTTTAGACTAGATTCTTGTAGTAATTAATTATTGCTCTACTATTCCTAAAACCTTGTAACAAAAGCCTTTTAGAAAATACCTTTTGACTAAGATAGTTATTGTGTGACGCATTTATTACAGTCTAAAATAGTTTTAGGCTTTTATTCCCTGAAGATAAATGAGCCATCTTTCAGTTTAATTCGCCTTTCTAGACGATGACGTTTCTCGAGATTGATTCATCATCTTTCCCGTAAGCTGCTCTATAAAGCACTGTAAAGCGTTAAGCCAAAATTATAACTTTTCTATGCTTTACTAGCTACGTAGTGGACGAATACAATCAAGTACTATGATAGTTACATCTACTGCATACTGCACACTAAAGTATATACCTTTACTATTAAAATAAAAAGCATATCTTTTCCGAACGATTATATCTATGGAGTGCAGTACAGCATACAAAGGTAAATAATTAACTACCTCCAGGTTACAGCATAATTTAAATATGCTTCTCAACGTAGTATTTATGAGCAAGTGCGAACTGTAATAGCCTATCCTATACCTGACATTGCACTCATTACATTAAAAGTTATTATGTGTTCTAGAATACTGCTAAATAAAGCAGTGGTTTATCGATATGAGCAAAGCTACTGTCGATGGCTGTATCAAAAATAGAAGAAATTAAAAACATCATTATGTACGAGCATACTATGAGAAGATTTCCTTCAAATCTCATTACTTGATGCGGAAAAAATACGATTAACAGTAAATTACGACTTTGCCCTAAATACGTGCAACATAAAAGCTTGAAGGCGATACAGTAAGTACTAGCATGCAGTACTGTAGAAAAGCATCAACTTACCTTAAACTTGAATCTCTACCCGCACGTAAGAAGATTTAATTTGATTTGTAAGGCGTTAAGATGACGTGAATTTTAATAAACTTTAAAATCTTATACTAGTTAAGAATAGTAATGTGCAATGGAACTCCTTTTTTTGAGCTTTCAATTTATTAAGATAGCAATCAGTGACAACTAAATTTATAGCAATAGAAAACTTCTGTCTCTATTACTTTGCTTTGTTGATCATTCTATTTCAGATATTTCGTTCTACAAGACACACTGTCAGTCTTACAAGCAAATTTTACTATTATTCAGGGTGATAATAATGTTACTACAACCGTAATATTCTTTCCAAACAGTCTCTTAGTTCAAAAATGTTAATGAACCTATTTTGATCTTTACTATACTGTGTACGTACAATTAAGCTGCTAACTACGTTGACAGTTAATAATGCAAAGGTCTGATAAGATAACGTCTTATAACATAATCTAAAAAAGTTGTATGCCGCCGAAATGATATTAAAATAGTTACAGTTATAATTATCTAATGAGCATTTTCGATTTGTATGATTGCCTTCGGACTACTTAATATCTTCTTTGTGTATTAGTTAGCAAGAATTGGCTAATTAATAAACGTGATTACAGATTGTTTTGCTTCTCAAGCTCTTTCCTTCGAAGCTCACGACGTAATATTTTGCCACTCGTTGATTTTGGAATCTTTTCTAAAAATTCTACTCCTCCACGTAATTTCTTATGAGGGCCTACTTTACTAGCCACATAATCCATAACCTCTTCCTCGGTTATGTCACCACATTTAACGATGAAAGCTTTAGGTAATTCACCGGCTTCAAAATCTGGAACGCCGATAACAGCGGCATCGGCGATTTTAGGATTAGATATTAAAATACCCTCAAGCTCCGCTGGCGGCACCTATAAATATGTACATTTACAAATTACATCCTTAATAATGTACCTTAATATTCCATTTTACATTATATCTATGTCTCTTATTTTTATTTCGTTTTCTCTAAATGTATCCGTATAATATTATATAAACCTCTAATCAGAATGTATATACAATTATACTATCAAATTAGTAAATTAAACTTTAAATTAATATTGTATCTACTGTACGAGATATATACGCGTATTACCTGAAATCCTTTATACTTGATTAATTCTTTCAATCGATCAACAATATAAAACTTCTTATCCTCGTTATAATGTCCAATATCGCCAGTGTGTAACCAACCATCTTTATCGATGGTATTGGCAGTCGCTTCCGGATTGTTGAAATATCCTTTCATTACTTGCGGTCCTTTTATGCATAATTCTCCGTCTTTTCCAGTTCCTAATGACTCACCAGTTTCTACATCGACAATCTAATATAAAAATTGAATAGAATATAAATAATTGTGTGTAGGGCATGACGTTATCTACGAATATGCCATCATTCATATCGCTAAAATGACTGAGTGTTGGATATAACCTTAGCAAGTGTATTAGGTAAGCAATGTCCTATCGATCCTTGTGATGAATCTCCATCTATTCTTCTTACAAGATGAGAAACAGGACTTAGTTCAGTCATTCCAAATCCTAAACCCCGTAGATAAATATAATAAACATTATTAATTACTCATATACGAGATTGTGCCCCATGGATACACACCGTTGCACCTCCAACTATCATCAATAAGTAGTCTACCGTACTTGCCTTGTCGAACAAGTTCCAAACCTAGTCGCTGCTTCACAGCTACACTAGTTTTTGCATCAAGTGGTGCAGCTCCAGAGATAGATTCTTTCATTGAGGATAAATCGAAATTTTCAATTACTGGACTTTTAGTTAAGAGTATATAGATTGGTGGAACCAAATTCGCGTATTTGATCTAATATGTTTAGTACATATATCGATAAATTATTTTCAGCTTTATCGCAAATGGATCATATTTACTCATTACGGATTTTATTAAAGGATGATTAAAATGGAGGCAAATTTTAGTCTAATATTTTCGCTTTTAACCTCAACTAATTGATATCCCTATACTTTGAGTGGGTTGTTTAGTATCGAATTACCTTATATTTTTCTATAGAATTTAAGAATACTTGTAGATCGAATCGTAGCATAGAAACCAAATGTCCGCCTCTGGAGAGGGTCCCTGCCAGCACAACTGTGAATCCGTAGATATGATACCAAGGTAGCAATCCTAGATTTGGTCCATCAGGTTTGAATATCGAGAATTCTGGAGTCAGAAGCTGGATTATATTGCTGCAAAGGTTGCGATGCGTCAGCATAACACCTAGTTAGAACAGAAAGTACACAGTTATAATCAATTATTAGCAAGAAAAAGACATTTTCAGTAAGCTTAAAATTTAGTATTGAGAAACCTTTCGGAAGCCCAGTAGTGCCACTTGAATAGGGAATTAATACAACATCGTCAGGATCTGCCGATGGATCGGTCGCAAAGAGAGATCCGTCATCTTCTAAAAGTTTCTTGAATGGGGTTAAACCTTCAACTTCACCGAATACGTATGCCTCCTTGAAACCCCTAAAAGTAAGAAAATTTTTGAGATAATCATAAAAAATATGAATCGTTCATATTTAAAATAATTTATCTATTAACATGAAGAGACAGCATATACAGTATAGGTTCTGTCATCGAGATGCATACGCTCAGATAATTACATAATAAAAAAAACAATGTTTCAACTGTACCCCTCAATTTGTCACGATTGATAGATATAGTCAGTAAATTTTGGTTGGAAAATGCGTAAAAAATTGGTAATTTATCATGAAGGCTAATATTCAGAAAGTAAATTACTATATGAAAATCTAATAATAAAACTATTTCATTTTGATTAAGCAACAACGGCAATGGTTAAGAGGTTATTAACACTAATGTACTATATTGCAAGTACAGTGTAATATGTCAGGATAGCAGTTCCAATTAGGCGATAGCACAAAGTAACTATAATTTCAATAACAACAAATTTATTTACAGAGATTCTTTCGCCTTCATCACATTGGCTGCGTTACTTGGAAAACCCAAAATATAATTAGCACCAGACAGCTTAAGTTGTTTTATCAATTCTTCAGCGGAGTATAATGGGTTAACAGTTGTAGCAACACCGCCAACTGCAATAATACCATAGATTGCAACGGCAAATTCCGGTAAGTTAGGGCTATAAATTGCAAAGACATCCCCTTTTTTCATTCCCATCCTCAACAATGCAGATCCAAATCGTCGAATCATATCTAAAAGTTGATTGTAGTTTATCGTTCGATCACTATTAGCATCGGTCTGTAAAAGAAATTAAATTCTGTAATGCATCAGCTCGTAATTGCATCACAATAAATTCGTATACGCGTAAGTAGCTCAAAGAATGAAGATAAGCTTTCACTGTATTTGGAAATCCATTTTAGTAATGACGAATGAAAATTACTTTTACTATTATAATCTGTATGATAAACGGCTAGTATAATGCTAGCCAAGGATTTACTTGTCCATGTACTAAATCTATTGCCATACAGTACTACTATAATACACGAGTAAACGTAAGTAACCTAAAAAATCTATTTATGCAAGCTGCACTATATAATAACAACAAATAAATATTGTTGTCATCTCTAATCTAACTACTAGCTATGAGAAAAGAAATTTGATGTATTAATGAAATGCTTAAATCACTAAACAATATTACCGTTACTTTAGTTGAATTTAAACCATTATAAAATACAGAAAATCTATGATTTTATGCTGTAAAGACTGTCGAAATTATGACCCCTAGAGTGCCATATACTATCATAAATATGGAATATTTAGATAGCCTGTAGCTTTTAAGGATATCGTACAGTACATGGTTGCTTCTAGGCTACTTATATCATAAGCTATCCTGCATTGTTTAAGCAGAAACAAAGTTAGAAACTGATGGTGAGAAAAATTCTTGAAAATAAATACGCAAGCTGCACTATGAAGTATTTGGCAATTATAAGACTTTTGGCTCTTTTAGCTGTAGTTAGTATGGGGTAGTCGTTATCGCAAGATTTCAATAACAGCAAAAAGGGAGTAAAAGCAATAATGCCAAGTTACTGTAATATCGCTTGTGCTTTACTGCACCTATAAGGTACAGCATGCAACAATAGAGTGCCATGCATAATAAAGCTTAAGTTCGAAAATTTGTTAAAGAATTTCTTGAACTGCTAAACTAAGAGAACTACGAGTAGATCATATCAAATTCGATAGACTGCTTGGATGAAGGGCAGATGGCTTTTAAAATGGATTACTTGCATAGTACTATAGGGCTGTGTCACACACCACTAGTGACAAAGTAGTCTACACACGCCAATCCTTGCGGAGAACGCCACTTACTAACTTAAAGAGGCGAGATTAGTTATATCACCAACTAATTCAGTTCCAACAACCGAATACTATGGTATAATTATAGCGTCACAGATGATGTAGACGAGATAGTCAGAGATTTACTATCATTTATTACTGAAGGAATCTTGGCACCCAAGATTATAGTCTTCACAATTAAATATCAATTGAAAACTAGTTGACTATCTAACCGACTAACGAACTAAAAAGGAATCTTCACAAGCAATATTTAATATTACTCAATAATTATAATTAGGACGAGCTTACGCATCGTAACAGGCTGTAAGAAAGTAACAATTTACGACGATATTGTTGTCAACGAACTTACAATAGCGGGCTTTTCACCATATTCAGAAAAGTTTCTACAAACATATTCATATATGTTTGCATTTTCAGGTAGTTCAATATCAGGCACTGGACTACGAATAACAATTTCTGAGCTCATGACGATGCTATTGGTCGTTTTTATAGTATATAACGCCGATAGATTAAAACTTAGATCACCAAACTCCTCTTGCTAAAGTGAAGTGAAAAGCAAGAATTAGACTTCTACCGCTGTAAGGTCATGTATCGAGAATTGTCAATAGATTGAGTATTGACATATGCTACACAATGGGTGCTGGCCGTGTCTTGCAGTGTTATAATTTTTAATTGTAACTTTAAAGACTCAGTATTATTATTTATTCTTATTTTTTACCTAAATAAATAAGTACTATTACTCTCTATATCATGCCAGCCTATCGCAAGGCCCTAACTACAACACACTGTATTATTAAAGGGGGACTGTTTGTTTTAGTAGCAATGGAACGCTACCAGGGGTTATTGAGACTCAAGTTGCCATTTAATAATCTTGAAGGCAACGCATGCGTTTTCATGCAGGCATACTAGCCTTGAATGGAATACTTAATGAGATTATTTCACAGCAATGTAAACCAGGTTGATATTGGAAACCGGTAGTTAACATAATATTCGTAATGAATGGGTAGTAAAATCGATCTTGACAGTGGGCACTAACGGAACTGGCATAAGCATCAGATATATCATGAACATACAATAACTTCCTCTAGAAATTACGAGGTTTTTGCATCTTTGAAGTACATGTACGAGTATAACTTTTTGCAGTATTATTTTACTCTACTATTGGACAATCTCTGATGCGAAGGTTCTTTATCTACTTGAGTGAGTTTACAAAACTACAAATTTAGGCAATATGTGTATGATGCAGATTGTAGAATCTAGGTAATTATAATAGGCGTAGATTAGAGTAAAACAAGACAGTCAAGACTCATACATGAATAAGTTTATAATAATACAATCTATACCCATAATAATAAATGACTAATTATTGCATTGATGACGATATCACATCCGAGTTTATAAAACTACAATTTACCTATACAGCTACAAATGGCTGATTACGGTGCCTAGTTAATTATAATTGATAAATCAGAAATAGTCTCTGGATAAATCCTCATTATTTACACCACATAACTACTGGATACCGTACTAATTTAAAATTCAAACGTTAAGGTATTTTGAAATTTGATTCTGAGCTAATTGTACTATCGTTACAGTAACCGCAGTGCCTTCGCTTCTTATATGCTTAAGAAGATGCAAGAAGATGTCAAACGATATTAGTGCGGCAAAGTTTATTAAACCACATTAAAATATTCAACTTTTATTGTAGGCAAAATGCAACTATGATATATAGCAGTATACAGTAGTAATGAAAAATGGCCATTACTAGTAAGGCAGGCAGCCCTTTTTCTTGATGTATACGGGTATGCCATGTTACCAATGGCTAGCTATAACATATCATATGGCTTAATTATGATTGGTGGTCGGTGTACATACAGTATTAAATCTTTCTACAAGCGTAGTCATCAGCTAACGTATCGATACGCTAACCTGCTCGTATACATTAGGTTACAGATCGACTACAAGCACAGTAAAAGTCTAGTATTTATAACCTTGTAGAATCTTCCGATCTTATTGCTTGCAAAATGAAATTTATTATACGTTACAAGCTCAGTTCCCAGCTTATACTAATAAATCGATGTAATATTCTTCCGCAGTTTTAGCTAGAGCTAGTTAATAAATGCACTTACAGTAAACTTTACAGTAATGTCGATTTGTTGGTAATACCAAGGTATACGATATACTTGTACATACGTAAGTTATCATGTATACGAATTTTAGGAACTACCATAATACATATGTAGATCACATTATACACCACACAGCGCTTAAGTATAGACTGCAACTATGAATTCTTACGTCTACGTAAGTACTATGTGCTATTGTAGGCAATAAGTGAAATTTTATTAGCTTTAGTTTACTATACGATATGCTTTAGCAATAGATATAAACTACGTCTACTCGAAATATTTCATGAAAAGTCCAGCGCATATATCGTTGAGCAAATTCAATCTGGCATACTTGCTACTATAAAAAAAGATTCTGCCAAATTAATTATCCTTTTTCTTTGCACTCTCTCTCTTTCGGAGCTCACGACGTAATATTTTACCACTCGCTGATTTTGGAATCTTCTCTAAAAATTCTACTCCTCCACGTAACTTTTTATGAGGACCTACTTTAATGGCCACATAATCCATAACTTCTTCTTCCGTTATATCATCACATTTAACAACGAAGGCTTTCGGTAATTCACCAGCCTCATAATCTGGAATCCCGATAACAGCTGCATCGGCGATTTTAGAATTAGATAATAAGATACCCTCAAGCTCCGCTGGCGGTACCTATAAATATGCATACGTAGAAAACCATTTCAACCACTGTTATATTACATCCTTAATAATATATCATAATATCTAATTTTATATTATATTTATGTCTCTTATGTATATTTCATTTTCGCTACATGTATGCGTTTAATCATATATAGTCACTAATCACAGTGTACTGTATACCGTATACAATATTACTATCAAATTAATAAATTTTAATTAATATTATATTTACTGTACAAGATATAATACCTGAAATCCCTTATACTTGATTAATTCTTTCAATCGATCAACAATATAAAACTTTTTATCCTCATTATAATGTCCAATGTCGCCAGTGTGTAACCAGCCATCTTTGTCGATGGTATTAGCTGTTGCTTCTGGATTGTTGAAATATCCTTTCATTACTTGCGGTCCTTTTATGCATAATTCTCCATCTTTTCCAGGTCCTAATGACTCACCAGTTTCTACATCAACAATCTAACATGAAAATTCAATAGATTGTAATTATCGACAAAATATAACATTATCAACGAATATGTCATTATATTTTTAGCTATTGCAACTCAGTATTGGATATTACCTTAGCAAGTGTATTAGGTACGCAATGTCCTACCGATCCTTGTGATGAATCTCCATCCATTCTCCTAACCAGATGAGAAGCGGGACTGAGTTCAGTCATTCCAAACCCTACTCTCAAAATACCAGTAAAGCGTAAAATAAATAGCATGCAGAACGATAGATACAACTCAAATCTGTAAGTACTTCTAACTATCGTTAATAAACATAGTACTCGTAAACGTGCCTTGTCGTACAAGCTCAAAACCTATACGCTGGTTAACCGTTGAGCTGGTTTCTGCATCGAGTGGTGCGGCTCCAGAAATAGATTCCTTCAAAGTAGATAAATCGAATTTTTTGACCATTGGACTTTTAGATAAGAGTACGTAGATCGGTGGTACCAAATTTGCATACTTAATCTAAAAATGTAGCATAAAACATAGTACATGACGATGAAATTGTATTCATTTTTACCGAAAAATGATTACTTACAAATTTTATGAAATCGTAATTTGTAAAAAGGCAGAATGAACGCTTTTTATCTGACATCTTAAATACCCTACATGAGAATACAGTATTTCGATAGGCTAATATTAAATATTATCTCACCTTATACTTTTCTATGGATTTCAAGAATACTTCTTGATCGAATCGTAACATGGAAATCAAATGTCCGCCGGCGCGGAGTGTAATTGCCATAATTACAACAAAACCATAGATATGATACCATGGTAGCAATCCTAGATTCGGTCCATCATGCTTATATACCGCGAAATCTGGATGCATGAGCTGAGCCATATTACTGCAAATATTGTAGTGGGTCAGCATAACACCTATTTCAAATAATAAAATATTATGGATTATTATTCAATCTGACAAGTACTATACAAATGTCTCACGATGATAGTTAGATTAAAGCAAAGCTCTTGTGTCATTTTGCTAGTATACTGGTAATTATCTAGAAAAATAACATTCGCTTTACTTAGTTTAAAATAATTATATTATTGAGTAGTGTACAAGAAGATACTTTCTCAACATACAGTATATTCTATCCGAAATTAAAAATTATGATAACATTAGTTTTGCCTCTGGTTATTATATTAACTAGTCTAGTAGGTATAAAATACACTCAGTAATAAGTATATTCGTATTGCATAGTTGATCGATTCTTCCTTTGCGTAATTTCTAAATCTGATAAGTTTTATATAGCGTCATACCATTATAAGATTGACAAATACCCGTATTAAATGTGGCTCATACATTACTGTAGAATTTAATGCTGTTACATGAAGAGGTTGTGATAGGTTATGACAAGAAATACATAGTAAGTAACCTTTTGGAAGTCCAGTAGTACCACTTGAAAAAGGAATGAACGCCACATCATCGGGATGGATTGATAAATCCGGCAAGAAAAGTGTGCCATCGTCCTCAAAAAATGTACTGAAAGAGGTTAAACCCTCGGCATTACCAAATACGTAAGCGTTCTTTAAATTTCTGAAATTTAAGGAATGTGTATGGATATTACTATAACGGCAACAACTTGAATACGAACAATTGAAAATTTCCATTATATATCTTCCATATTACTCAGAGAATATAGCAAACTATAGCAGATGATTCAGTATTCGTTTGCATATTCTATGCAATTTTCAATCTCTAATCCCAGTTGGAATTTATAGTACTGAGATCAACAAATGTAATTTGATCATTTAAAGGCAGCTGTAATACTTCAATAACGGCATCAAATATGTCAGACGGTCTAAATTCATGGTAAGTAAATTTGCGTACAATCGCATAAATAATATTCAGAATTTATCAACGAATTTGATATTATATGGCATAAATACATTCAGACAAAAAAAAGTAATGGCTTATATAGTATATCATAATTCGCCATTTATCTGGGACGTTTTAAAATAAAATTGTCAAGTGATACATCTAAAGTACTACTCTACAGTGCAGGCACTTTTTCTTTATATCATATTATTATACTACGTACTGTATAATGAAGATGCAGTACTTTATTTACTGTGCAGTTAGCTATGTCAACTATGAATATAATAACATTTTTTAATGAAATAGCAAACTTCTGCTTACAGGGTTTCTTTTGCCTTTATCACATTAGCGGCGTTACTGGGAAAACCCACGATATATTGAGCACCAGATAACTTTAGTTGTTTGATCACTTCTTCCGCAGTGTACAAGGGATTAACAGTAGTAGCTATACCACCTATTGCAATAATACCAAGGACTGCAACGGCATATTCCGGCAGATTGGGGCTGTATAGAGCAAATACATCTCCTTTTTTAAATCCCATCCGAATCAAAGAAGATCCAAATCGTCGAATCATATCCAACAGTTGATTGTAATTTATAGTCCTATCACTAGAGGTATCAGTCTGTAAAAAAAAATCAAAGCATTATGAGTAGGATCGATTATTATTACATCATCTAGCAGTGCAGTATTGCAATTCACTATTGATACCATTTTAGCACCGCTCTGCAGTGGTTGCATAGTAAAAGTCATTATAAATCACAAATTTATGGTGTGTTGGACTGAAAGATTAGATACATAGATATTCTGGCTTTACTACATCGATTTCTGGTTTAATTTAGTTTGTTGCACATAGCTTAGTCAAAGAAATTGTATTGTTAACTAAAAAATAAGAGCTGAAACTTTATTTGCCTTACAGCCTGCACAGCAGAGAAGCCTCTATAGATGGGTGATATGAATTTTTGTTTAGTAAATAAAACTCAAACTGTCTTCGAGGGTACAGAAATATCGTATTAGACATAAATTTGTATCTGCCATTTGAAAATTTCAGCGATACTTATAGAATAAAAGCTCATATCTGTCCAATCCTACCATATAATTTGGACCTACAAAGTATATCGAAACTATAAGATAAACTCTTTAATTAAGTAATGCTTATGAATTAGGTATAGCAAGGGCTACTCCCCCCCCCCAAAAAAAATAAAGAGAGTAGTTCTTGAGTACAGTAAAAAAAGCAATGTGCAAGAGAATCAGAAATTCTTTTGTGCTATTATCTTCATAACATACTTGTACGTGTTCCATTAATAAGTGGATTAACTAATTCTTAAATTGCAAGTGTAGATGACATAAAAAGTACATAGATGGTACGTAGTTTGCATATATTTCTCCTTCTCATCATAGAGGATTATTTTACCTCCATGTTCACCCCACCTATCTTCCTATCTATCTAATAAATAAAAAATCATCACAGAATTATTTGGCTTACAATAGCTGGTTTTTCTCCATATTCCGAAAATTTACTGCTGATGTATTCATATACAGTTGCATTTGCTGGCAGTTCCATATCAGTTACTGGGCTGGAGATGATGATTTCTGACTTCATGATGAATTATTTTGGTGTAACTATTTCAAAAGTGCATACACAGTTTTTCTTCGCCTGCTCAATGACAAAGTGATTACTGGAAACAACTTAACACAACTCAACACTGTGTAAACAAAAATGATGGCCTATTGTTGGGAGACACCCACTAATTTGGTAATAACACTGTATGTTAGATGTTTAACAGCGTGGGAAATTGTGAAGCAATAGCAGAATACAAGTACAGTATATCATCACCAGTACTGCCAAGTCTATAAGTACATCATTGCATTGTAACTACAGATTCAGCTAGTGGCTTCCATATAGATAGTAAAATATTCCAAGACATGTAATATTCAAAGGAGCGATGAGAGAGAGCCTGCAATTGCTTGTGAAAAAGCACCATAAGCTGTATCGTAAAAGTAAAAATTGAAGAGTAACAAGTGGTATAACATGTCTGTAATAACCATAGAGAAAAATGAAATAACACAAGCACTCACTTTACACTCAGTAATAATTAAGAGCAGCCGGAATGAGATGTTTTGTGTTGCCCTGAGTTTCGCATTAAGGTTAATTCCTATTTCGTATTGGAAGGACTAACTCGTATGAGCTATATTACAATAAGTAGAGAAGTAGTTCTTAACTATATAGCATAGTTTCTTTGACAGGTAAAGATTTTACTACAATACAGTTTAATTTGATTCTGCCTAATCCGGTTAGTTTAAATTTAGGAGGAAATTTTAGAATGATCAATCTGGTCATCCCTACAGAAATATCAACGGGATTAAAAACAATTACTAAACTAGCAATATAAATAATAAACTATGCTCTGCAATTATTATTAAACCTCACACCTCATATTGCTATTGATTTACATTATATACATACAGACCAAAAATGTAACCTACATACACTATGTACACAGTGCTAGCTACGAAGCCTGACGTAGCCGGACATGATGGATAAAATGTTTAACATAGTTTTCCCTCTCACTCGCCGTTTAGCGGTGATATGTTATTACAAAATATCGGCTTTTACTTTTATTATTCCATGCAGTCTGTACAAACAGATTTACGGCATACCATGCGCTACAAAAGAAGGAATACTGTACTACTGCTTGTACAATGTACAGTATTGACATTTTGAAAGTGCTAAGATTAGTGCAGCACCTACAGTAGGACACAGAATAGCTATGTTAGGACCATAGGGGGAAAACACAGTGGTCAGGACTTCCAAGTGTAGCATGCCACAGAATAGCTCTGTTAGGACTGGAGGGAAAAGCCGTATTCGTTAGGAAGGCTTACTAGAAATTAGTGCTGCAATACTAGTATGACACAGAATAGCTATGTTAGGACCATAAAAGGGGAAATCACAACGGTTAGGACTTTCAAGGATTAGGAAGGCTTACTGTAGATTCTGCAGACACCCTACGGGATAATCCACCGTCGAGGGTATAAAAGCCGGGAGTTTTTAGGCGAGGGAGAGTTGCGGATTATTTTATTAACGGTGAATGAAGTACCGTAACACGTTTATATAGTATTTACACACTAGAAGCCCCAATTTTTTAATTTATGCTCGTGGTAATGCTAAATGTGAACCTGGAACTGGAATTATATTACTATAAGTGGCCCGTCCGCACAGGATTAAGCTTCCCAAATTGATAAGCCATATTTTGCGGTGACATGTAACGGGTTTGAACGAATTCATTTTACAATCCACTTTTACAATCCGCCTTTTAGTATACTCGCATTCGTTCAACATCTAATTATTTGCAGTTTCGCATCTGTATTCTTGAAACTCCATGGATGTATTTGCCAGCCGTCAAAGTAGTTTTTTGCATATCTCAATTTAGGAACTTCAAAGAGTTATTATTCTCTTTTTAAAGTGCTGCCATTTTTAGAATTTACAGTTAATAATGTTCAGTTGTGACAGTGGAGACATAAACACCATAAATATACAGTATATATATGTTATATACAATTAACACTGGTCTTTCCATTAAAACTGGGATATCTGCGTTAGCGAAGCGACAAGGCGTTAAGCTAGTCATTCCATTCGATCTGCTCGTTGAATTATCGTATCAATGCGCTACATTATTAACGTAATTGATCAATTATCTAATTACGAATCAAGATGGTAACTACCATAAGGTAGCTCTACATAGAATTGTTCAAACGAAAGTAATGGATGGCTTGTAAAGCAATATATGATAGGTTTCTACCGGTAGAGCATCTCATTTCATTAACTGATTACGCCAGCTCAATTAAATGTATGACAGTGAATTAATTGTTTCGATCACTATACTGCAAAAGGGGAATCTTTAAATCGACTTTACTACTGTCGTAGAAGTTTGATTTATCTTTTTTTATAAAACAGAACGGGATGACTTCAACTTGATGATTGGCAATCTGTGCTTAGCTGGTGGACAGTTGGCATGGTTTTTGATTGGGAGAATTGGAAAGATTATTATTGTAGAATAACCGACAGTGGCGAAATCTGAATAAAAAACAGCCAGTCAATGCTGTATTATTAAGTTGATGAATTCATAATTATTGAATATGCATTTGTGGAGTAGACTTGTAAGCTATGTCAATAATTCATTAATTCATTATAAGGGAGATATTGAATAGTATTTGAAGGTAACGAGTTTTGCACGTGAGCCCGCTGTTTTTGTTCCAGCAGTGGATGATGCCCACGGGATAAGTGGTCTGGTTGTAGTCACATGCAAACGCTGCAGCTTGTGCAAGTCATGCTGTTCTCATGTTTTCTATGCCTCGATAAAGTTGATGCAATATGCCCGGAGGTCGTCACTGCTTCTCGACTGTCGATATCTCGCTACTTTTCTGCAGGATGGCAAAAATAAGAGAGTATTTTGAAGTAGTTTCGGTCGATTGATGCAGTAGTATGGTATATTGGAGATATAAACTCTCGAATAGAGAGATACCTACATGTCACGTAGACTTGAAGCCATGCATGCATGCTGTTGAAGATGATCTCAACAAGATAGCCTATTGCTCTCTATTTCCAGATAGAGCACTCAAGATGTTGCTTATTGACGATCCAAGACTGTACACTGTACAGTCAATGATGTCAGCATCGTCAAGTTCAATCTGGTAGCGTTGAAAATGAGCAACCATTTATTTTGTTACATTAGCATCTTTGTCTGCCAGAGGACGTGATTCGACAGGCTAGCACTAAAAAAGGCTGCGGGCTGCAAGCCTGCAACATGCGTTGTTGAAGAAGAATATGATCTCGAATACTGTACAGCCTAAAGGATCATTTTAATAATAGCTAATTAATAGACGCCATGTTGTGCTATGTGATGGACAGTATATCATTTAACGTTTCCATAACCTGCTGGATATCATTGTACACAAACAACAATCGAAATCCATACAAGATACTATCACTCTCGCTGCCATGCGTCGCTCCGTCATGATTGTATTTTGCTTGCCAGTCTGTGTACTGTACTGTACGGAAGTCCGTCCTTGATAGGCCTGTCACGCCTCACACACTACCTGTTCGTGTTGACTTGTCCACCTCAACCTACAGCATGTTACCGTAACGACCAAAGTGACGTCCTGACTCAGCTACATGCAAACCACCAATCACATGACACTTACGAATCGTGAGAATCATATGACCACAGCCATTGAATACAAAGCAAGGGTATATCTACTGACGCTGGACTGTCCTATCCAACTCATTTGCCACAATTTTTCAACAGCTTGTTGGTGATCAATCTATCCCGTGGAAAAGAAAATGCGTTCTATACTTCTTGTTTTAGCGCTGGTCCTATCCTGTGCTGCTGCATTGCAAAGGTAATTTCTATTACTAAGTGATTCTTCATGTAGAGTAGGCTTTCTATTTGTTAGAAGGACTTTCTTTGCCATCGATGAAAGAGATTGACTACACTACAGCATGCTGGTTTTGCAACATGGCATTGCGTGATCGATTGTGCAGTGTGCACAGCTTTTTTCAATGTCGTACTAGGCTTTCTATTTGTTAGAAGGACTTTCTTTGACATCGATGAAAGAGATTGACTACACTACAGCATGTTGGTTTTGCAACATGGCATTGCGTGATCGATTGTACACAGCTTTTTCAATGTCGTACAGTGCAGTAGATGCCCAAAATGAAGGATAGACTTGATCACGGACTAACTCAGTCGACGTTACTATTGGTATCAAGATAATGTCGGCAGTAATGTGATAGTACAGTACTAGGCCGTAAGTAGTTCGTTGAATATCATTGACATGCAATAGTCAATTTCTTTTATTGCCAGTCAATGGACCAAGAGGAAACTTGAACCAATCGCTTGAAAATGGCGAGTCTAGTATCATGTCATGTAGGACGTCAAGTGTACGGTACAGTATTTTGTGGTTACCCATGTGTCTTCTGAGTCAACTAGTCCATCATGATGCAAAGAAAGACAGAATGTTTATCCATACGAACCATTTCATCAACAACGCGTGATCTACCATCATCGAGCACTAGATGGACCAAGATACGAGTCATGCATAGATTACCCAGTGTGCTGGTTAACCAGATCAATGGCCACTTGCACACTGATCAATGAATTAATTAAAAATTAGACTTCTGATTGTACTAGTAATAAAAATTAAATGCTACCGTCAATGCATAATTGACTCGAAATAATGAATCAAGGATAATGAAGATACTTTGCTGGAGTAAGGTTGCTACAAAATATCGGTGTCAGTTGATCATGATGCATTCATCAGTACTGTATAGGTTAGACACTTTATTTCAATTCACCCCCATGATCAATACTGTAGTGTAAAACTTTGTGAAGGATAGCTTTAGCAAAGATTCGACAATATTGCAAAGAATTTGGACTCACATTTGCAGCCTGAGAAGTGGATAAAGTTCTCAAGATAGTGGTAGTACTACTTCACGATTCAAACTTAGAATAGACCACAGCTGTTAGCATAACGGAGAATCAATAGAGCCTGGCGATTTACCTTTCTTGCTAAGAAATGTAGTTATCCATAACATGATATTATCTTGTTGGATTGACTGCTGTACTGTACATGTACGGTACGGTGTTTTCAGTAACAGGCCTAGAAAAATACTCAATTATTTAGTATAGTGGATGTGCTATCGAGGTGATAGTTTGATCGGTACGATCATGATGCGTTGGTATTAAAATGCCTTAAATCTTGCCACTTATGTATCTATACCCGGCCTATAAACTCTAGTAGCTGTTTAGTACAGTATAGTGGATTCTAAACATACACGACACAAAAAAAATCAATTCAAATTTTATCTTTCGCTGTCTGTAAACATATAGGATCAAGCTTTACAAAATGAAAACCATCCGCCAAACTTTGTTGGATGCTGGTATCACTGCAGAGATGCTGAAGGCGAAGTACTCTAAATTTTCTGCCAGCAGAGGCGATGAATCTCTCAGCAATTACTTGGATGTAAGAATTTATTGCTGCCTTAACGAAATTAAAATAACACACATAACTGATCATAATACTAGATATATATATATATAACTAAATGGTACTATGACTGATACGATCAACGCTTGTAAGCTCTTTTGCAGCGACACGTATACCGTTTAGACGTCTATATCGAGAATGATTGACTAGTATGAGATTTAGTCTTCAATCATTTAATTTGCGGGATGTGTACACTTAGGCTCAATACTACGGTCCTATCACTATTGGTACACCACCACAAAACTTTAAAATCCTTTTTGATACTGGTTCTTCTGATTTATGGGTGCCATCAACAAAATGCAATGGAAATGCTGCATGCGGTGAGTAATATTTTCTTGTTAAAAGTGTTATGGAGCTTTTCTACCTAGTGGCACGCATAATAATTTGGTAGCTATACGTTTTGTTTCATATTTCTGAAGCAAAAATATTCTTCTGAAATTGAATATCAGCCGTATCTTGCGTTTGAAGTTTATTATAAATTTTTGATCTATAGAAAGCCATGATAAATATGATCATACCAAATCCAGCACTTACGTCTCTAATGGACAACAATGGTCCATCCAATATGGTTCTGGTGCTGCTAGCGGTTTCCTCAGTGAAGATGTTGTAACTGTAAGTTAAAAAATAACTATTCATTTTTTCATGCTGCTATTACAATGGACAAATTATTATGAATAATCCTCCTTTGCCGATCTAATTTAGGTTGCTGGTATCAGTGTTAGAAATCAAACTTTCGGTGAAGCTGTTGGCGAACCAGGTCTTTCTTTCGTTGCAGCCAAGTTTGATGGAATCTTGGGAATGGGCTACAAACAACTCTCTGCTGAACGCACTAACCCGGTATTCGTCAATATGGTACAACAAGGTCTTGTCCGAAAGCCAGTATTTTCTTTCTATCTTAACAGGTATTAACGAACGATTAATAGCATTAGCATTAAATAATTAATTGTTGTGATGACGTAATCTGGTGTAACCTTTCCTGAAATATTGTAAACGTTTGACTGCCTAATGTCATGTAACAAACAAGGTAATATACGTATATCTCATAATTATAGAAAGCAAGGAGGTGCTGTAGGAGGTGAACTCATCCTTGGCGGTTCTGATCCTAACTACTACAGTGGTCAATTCAACTACGTTCCACTCAGCAGAGAAAGTTACTGGCAATTCGCAATGGACGGGTAAGCAAGCATTCATTGTAAGCATATACACCATGATTAATTTTTCCACCCGTGCGATCGTAACTAAATTATTAATTTTTCTATTGCACCTACAGCGGTAAGGTAGCTACTGGTACAACTGTCTGTAATGGTGGTTGTCAAGCTATTGCTGATACTGGCACTACATTGATCGTCGGACCTCCAGAAGATGTTCAACGAATCCAACAAGCTATCGGAGCTCAGAATGCTGGTGGACAAGTATGAACTATAACTATAGCACTACGGTAGATTATTAGCAAATATTAAAAGTGATATATATTATTTTTGCCTCTATCTGTAGTACACCGTTGACTGTAGCACCATCAGCTCTTTACCCACCATTACCTTCACTATTAACGGAGTCAATTACCCACTTACTGGTGAACAATACATCTGGCAGGTTCGTACACAATTAGTTATGGAAGATTTTTCTACAACTGGTCAATAGATAAAAGTATCTCAATTATCGTATTAAATGTGAATAATTAGGTTACCCAACAAGGACAGGAACAATGCATCAGTGGCTTCCAAGGTGGTGTTATTGGTACCGGACCTCAATGGATCCTTGGTGATGTATTCATCGGTGTCTACTACACCGAATTTGACATGGGCCAGAACAGACTTGGTTTCGCCAAGGCTGTTTAAAGCAAACATATAACTATAGAAGTAGAGTCGTCTTAACGTCGTAACATATGAGCGAGTACGGCGCTGTTACGAAATGCGTTATACAAGTACCTGTAGCGACAATTTTGTCTTTTAAATCTCCTTTTACCGATGATAACACTTTTGTGATGATACTTTCTAAATAAAAGTGCTTAGATGTTTTTGTAATATTGATGCAGTTGACTGTTAAACGCATTGATTTAGTAAGCGACGACAATCGAGTGAAGCTTGGATTCCACTGACAAATTTGTGTATTATAGTCTGCAACGATGTTATTTTCTGATTTACTATAGTATATCTAGACTAAGCTCAGCTACACTTATTACACTATTACTGTACTGTCTTGTGATTGTTTGATTATTAAGCGTTAGCGCCAAAACGTTGCGATCTGGTTAAATCTACTTGCAAGGAAGCTTAACTTTTTTTAATTTTTGCATATTTATGTACAAGTGTGAACTGTAATAGCCTATCCTATAGCTGACGTTGCATTCATTAAAATTAAAAATCATTACAACATTAATGATAGAATACTTTATCGATAAGGATAGTTTGTTCAATACAAGCAAAGTGGTTATCGATGCTGCTGCTGTCATAGTTACGTCGTATAGAAAATTAAAAAGTATCGTTACGAGCATATATACTGCACGTGTAAGGATTTTTTTCAAATCTCATTACTTGATGCAGAAAGATATGATTAAGCTTTATAACATTAAGTTAGTGACTTTGCCCTGTAGCGTAGAAACTGATATGGTACATACAAGCATGCTGTTCATAATAAGCATCAATTTGCTCTTACGCTAAATTTATACCTGCCTCTAGTAAGATTCAATTTTGAAAATGTCGGAATCCTAATTTTAATCAGTGATTTGATGATATTCATTGCCGCCACGGATAAATTATATTATTTATATAAGATAGTATCGCTAAAGAATCCAACCTATTTCAGTCTTCTTACAAAAAGGCAAATTGATATGAAACGATATACGAGACGTTTCCCATGTGTAACCAAATAGTATAGTATTTCTGCATAAGTTGTGTACTTAGAATGGGGCTAATGGTCGCTACGTAAATATCGCAGAAGAATCTTTCTTTATCCCTCCCTCGAAAAACATAACTGTATAATTTCGACATCAATACTGTGAGCCACAAGTACTTCATGAATCAAATTTTAGGTGCTTCGATGCGATACTTGTCTATCAGGACGTGATTTACTATTATCGAAACTTTAAAGTTCTAAAATAACCCTTGTCATAGTCATAAATAAATAATAATCAATAAAGTAGGCTGAAGTATGGCTGTACATATCCCGCTATGTTAATTTTATTCATGTTCGTACATTTACGCATGCTGATATAAAAGTTTCACAGTTGTAATAATAAAATTAACCATTTTTATCAACGGCTCAATTGCCCTTTTAACTTCCAAATGCCGTCAGTACGTTATCATGCCGATTAATTAATGCAATGCTTCACTACTATTGTCGCCGTTGATTTGGATTTAGTAAACTATCATTTGACTCAATGATATAATATAGAATAGGTTTGCAAGTTACTTCTCGTAACGTACATGTGCCCAACATACAGGCAACCAATTGCTATCAGCATTATTTGCAATTTTCCATTGCTCGAGAAGATTGATCACATATAAAGGAAAGTGTTAAGCTAAGTGATGAAGTCATAATATTATATGCGTTCATCCGATTTAGTTGCAAAAGAATAAGTTACATTCGTAGAAAGGTTACTTTACTGACATTAAATGATCTACAGCTCAGAGTAGCAAACAAATTTTTAAATTACATAGAGTATGTTAATTAACAGCTGACATTAATTTTGAGCTACACGTTCGTGAATATTAATCTCTTATGAAATTTTAATAACCATTCGTTGTACTTGCTAAACTGTTTGCGTTAAATAGATTTATGTAGAAAGGGGGAAAAAATTGTCCTTTATACTACAAGCAATAATTCAAAGTTGGAAAGAATCCTTAGAATAATCGTAAGATACTGAATAGAATGTAAAATAAAATTGCGGTATACAGTATACGAGTCGTTAGGAGTTCATTACAATCTCACCGATATATACTGCTAACATAAGTAGGTTGATTTCAAGCAGAGGAGAATAAAGAATTTATTGATCATTAAGACATGACCTCTCTCGTATTTTAAGCATGCTGAGATATAGATTAACAATATCTGTTCTCAACTTACATCCGAATATTGTCGTCATTCAAACACGAAAAGATCATTGCCTATTTACGATACATTTTATATTAATTTATTTACCAAGACAGAATGGATACGACGAAGGCTTACTAGCTATTAAATGATGCTTGTCCATAATTCGTTTTGTTTGAGATGTATAGACTGAATTGCAATAAAATAGCAATCTATTTGAATTATTACACAAAATACGTGCTAAAATGGCACAACTACTGTAGATAATATTAATGCTTACGAAATGGACATGATAGTATCAAGTGATTATTAAATCCATAAAATCCACAATCTAATCATGTCTGAAAGGCTAACCTTACACCTCTGGCATCTTAAAAGCCTAAAAAAATGTGCAAAAAAATGTCTGTGAATCTACTAATACTAGTATAACTACATTAGATGCTAAAATTACATACTAAAATGACATTGTTCATCTTTACCGTAAGTATTTGTAAATGTTTATTGTTGAGCTTTTGTCAACAAGGCAAGCTTCCAATCCAGTGTCTAATCAAAGTATGGGAGTGATAATCACATGATAAAATCAATCCTCACGTGAGTTGTAAATACCGAGACATTCTTTCAATCTTTATTTAATATAAAATGAGAGAAACATTTACTTTTCAGGTAAATTAAACTGAATACATTACGCTTTAATAGTATTAATTGATTGACTATTTTTCAAGTTAGACATTTTGATTAGTCTATTATAGAGTCGATTGTCAAGGATCAATATCATCAAGCCTTACATTTCTTTTTTATTTTGGATATTTATCAGCAGTAGATCTAAAGAAAATTAGGCATAAACATGGCGAAGGCTGGACTATTAGCCCTTATGATTACCATTTTTATTGCTCAAGCAACAGCATTGCTCAGGTAGAGTGAGTCCATAACGCTAAATGAATTTCCTTTCTTACCTTCTCCTTCAATGAACGATCATAATACCTTCCTTGGACATGATCATTTTCATGATCATGTCCAATTGCATGATATATAATAAAATGGAAATCTATACCCTTAGGCAGTAATAACAACTATTGTTTTACAAATCATCGATTCGCCTATTAAAAAGGTTGCACTGTTATCAAACCAATAAATTTACTAATTTGTTTTAGTGGTTACATTTAGTTAATAATTTCTTCATTATTTCGATGAATGATTCCTATCTTGGCAATTGGTAGATGGGTGTACTCGAGAAAACAGTTATTTCATTCTTTTTCTATATTGCTCATCCTTTATTGAGAAGCGTCTTCTACTTGAATTCTGAGCTTATTTTAATTAATGGTCAATAAAGTCAATGAAGTAATTGTAATTTCTGACTATTTAGGGTTAAGCTTTATAGGGTGCCAACCGCAAGACAAAATCTTCTTGAAATGGGCGTTAATGAAAAGCATATCATCAGTAAATATAACCTAGAAACTGGCCGTGATGACCTAAAAACTGGCCGTGGTGATGAAATTCTCAATAATTATTTAGATGTAAGTTTTACTAGCATCCAACTGCACTTTTTTCGTCCTATTGATTATGTCATTGAATAGAATGATGACAATTGTCATAACTGACTGGCGTAATTTTTAGCTCAAAATTGAACGGAGTTATTATAAAAGAATATTCATAAGTTGAGATAGATTTAGAGTTAGTAATTAAAATCTACTTACATAACTTACGTTATTATTGTCACTACTATGACGTTTTGAAAAAGCATTAGAATGTTCATTTATGATTTCATTCATATTTTTGATTTAAATATCTTTTAGAATGTAGTTTCGTAATAGATTCATTAGCTTATTCTATTCGTTGTTTCTTATTGCGATCTTGCTGGAGCCTTTACATTAGCTAAAAATATATTCTCCTTTAGCTTAAAAAAAGCTTCACCGCACTATACTTTACTAAAAGCAGTGCAAAATAAACATTGAATGATTTTAATGGTTGCAAAATTTCGGAATTGATGATCGTACGAAGATAATTCTATGTCGATACCGTAAATAGACAAGAAATTATTGATGGATCAGGATTAATATAATAATATTACGAGTAATTTAATTCGTTAAGGCTCATTAAAATATTTTCTTGCCAGCTAGAATATTTGCATCCGGTAAATTGATAATGCCCTCTAGACTTGAAAAGATATTCAAGTGTTTACGTTGCAAACAGCATCATTTTATCAGTTTCCGATTTTTGGATACAGTGGTGTTTCAGAATAAGATTACAGATTGCAGCTTAAAGTTGAAGATTTTTTCTATTTAGCTAAAACAATTAAGAGACTATACATTATATTGTAGCTTAAAGCTAAAGAATTTTTACTATTCAGCTAAAACAGTTAGGGAATGTACATTATCGAATTGCAGCTCAAAGCTAAAGTTTTTTTGCTAATCAGCTAAAATAGTCAAGGGATCACACATTAATGGCTTGCAGCTTAAAGCTAGAGGATTTTTACTAATTAGCTAAAGCAGCTACGCGATCACACGTTAGCGATTTGCAGCTATAAAGGTTTTTTGCTAATTAGTTAAAATAATTAAGAGATTACACATAAAATGGTATTGCAGTAAACAGCTAAAATTTCCTAGCTATTAATGAACGACCAGCTCTAGAAACACAAAGAATTTACACCTATAAGCAGTAGAAACTAATTTGACCTATTACTGTATACTAATTTCAAGTTGATGTAGTAGCAATAACTTCATCAATAAGTACGGTAAAACCTTAAAACTATAGTTAATTAAAACACATTCGAATTATTGACTATCATTTATCGTTGCATTGTGACGATAAATACCTTTCAATTAATTTATAGCCTAACTAATATATCTATTCTCTTAACATCTAAAATAATTGAAATCAAATTGGAAATAGGCAGAGTATTTTGGACCAATTACTATCGGCACTCCACCACAAGATTTTTTGGTCCTTTTCGATACTGGATCGTCGGATTTCTGGGTACCTTCTTCAGAGTGTACTTCTCAAGCCTGTGGTACATAAATTATTTCATACCATGCAATACTTGCTTTACTACTTGTAATTCTAGATGATAGTATGAATAAAATATAGCAGCACTCCTGACACTGCAATAAAAGCCAGTAGTTAATCATATAAATTTTACTATCAAAATGATTCACAGAGATGCATCATCGCTATGATCACAGCAAGTCTAGCACGTATAGACCTAATGGTAAAAGATGGTCAATCGAATATGGTTCGGGAAGTGCCGAAGGATTTCTTAGTACAGATGTTGTTAAAGTAAGTACCATCTATGATTTCATATGATTTATAGTCATAAGTAATATTTTCACTTTATGTAGAATGGCGGAATAATTACCAGGTTTGGGTATAGGATCAGGGTATATTGTTTTGCAAGTACCAAAATAGTAAAATAGTTTAATACCTACATCTTTACGATAATATGGATTGGATATCTATTTTATGAGTAACCTGTTGTGTTAATAGCTAAAGATATTTCAGCTGCCAAATATCTTTATGATTGCATCAGATTATTAATGACTGCTACGAATGGAGATTTATAGTTATTTAGATACACTTGTATATATAATACGTTTACTTGGTAATAGTTACACATAAAAAATAAAAATAGAGAATTAATTTGTAATCTGAATACTTCATTTGAGATTTTAGATAAGGAATGGTTAATCTAAAATTTTATATTCTATATTGACATCATCAGCCTTAAACTAAAACCTTGCAAAAATAGCCCCGTTAGGGATTTATTTAATATTAAAATAGATTATGCAACAAATATTTACTAGTTATTTTTCTCCGCAGCCATAATACTAAAGTGCAAAAAATGATAAAGTCTATCTACGTATCTTTGCTGATAGCATCTTAATACAACACTTCTTGTTAGGTTGCTGGTATTACTGTTCAGAATGTAACCTTTGGTGAGGTAACTAATTTACCTGGACCTATATTTGCTGCTGCTAAATTCGATGGCATTCTTGGTTTGGGCTTTGCATCATTGTCAGTTGAAGGTGTTAAGACCATTTTTGATCTTATGCTCCAGCAAGGACTCATTCAAAAGCCAGTATTCTCGGTCTACTTGAATCGGTAATTTTGCATTTTTAATCTTTACCTTTTTGATATTCTATTATAAAGATTATGCCAGTAGAAGCTTAAATGCTTAATTATATTTTATTGCTTTAATTTGATAAGTACTGCACTCTAATTGGTATTCTAGTAACATTCGTAAGAGAATATTATCATCATCATTTTAGAGCTGTTATAACTGCAGTATTTCGTCAATTGTATTTGAATCAATGTTTTATTCATATCTATTAAATCATTTACCCATTTTAAGCGTCATAATTACTAATCTACTTGCAGACAAGGAACTCAAAATGTTGGTGGTGAATTAGTATTTGGTGGATCAGATCCTAATTATTACACTGGTGCTTTTAGCTATGTTCCTCTTTCAAAAGAGGGTTATTGGCAATTTGAATTGGACGGGTAACGCTTATAGTCACTGATAGGAAAACGAAATTAACGATAAACATAGAAAAATAATATTAACATCTATAGTATAAGCTGATAATTTAAGGCCATAAACTAGCTCAATCATTATCATATCGTCACTTTAGAGGAACTATCGAAAATGAATTCTTTTGCGAAGGTGGTTGTCAAGCAGTGATTGATACTGGTACCTCGCTGATAGTTGGACCAAATGAAGAAGTAGCTAAGATTAACCATCTAATTGGTGCTGATAGTATTCAGGTAATTAATTTAGAATATTTTAATACTTTTAGGCAATCGATTTCAATAGCAACGACCTGATCTATATACTGTATTACTGCTTTATGTAAAACGATACAGGTAGTGAAAATAACTATGCATTCGGGTGCATGTTATAATAGAGGAATGACGAAAAATTGAATAACATTTTTATTAGTCATAAGGAATGAATTTCAATCTTCACAATTGGATTCTACTATACTATATTTATATGAAATAGCAGATACACTTAAATCTGTTCTGTATCAAGGCAATATGGCTGGGTTGGTCCTATTAGTTTAAAAGACACTGTAGCGTGTGTTGTAATAGGGAAGAATTATTGAGGAAATTATCGAATATGCAATAATAGCAACTAATCTACAGTATAGAAAAAATGTTCTTCTACTGTAATTCAGCGTTGCTGCTATTCATTCCGATACTTAATAATTGTACATAGTTAGGAAATCTGTGTTTGTTTAAAAATAGTTAACTCATTCGTATAATGGAACTGAATATAGGATTAGTTGCTGGGAAAAATAATTAATAATTAGTTTTTAAATCATTTGATAGGGCTTGAAAGTACTTATAAATAATAAGTAGTCTAAAATAGCAAAAGTATTTTTCGGCTTTTTAATTTAGGAAATCTGTTATAGAACTAGTACTATCCTGAAAGATTAGATGAATTATTGCTAGGAAAAATTGAAATTAGGAATAAGTCCATTTCGATGAACTTAATTCTGACTGATTTAAAATGGTACTAGTCTCTAGTTAATTGCAATAGCATGCCTGAATTGCCCGTTATTACGCTTACCATTGGTGGTAAAGAATATTCCTTAAGTGGTCAAGAATACATACTGAAGGTAAATTTTGTGTTACAGTTATAATATCACTTACGATTACATTCATCGGTTGTTAGTACCGCAGTTTGATTAATGGATAGCGGTTTAATTTTGTTGATGCTTTTAGTATCGACAAGGTGAACAAGAAATATGTCGTAGTGGCTTTCAAGGTGGTAATTTCGAAGGTATTGGCGTTCAATGGATTCTTGGTGATGTCTTTATCGGCACTTATTATACCGAGTTCGATAAAGGAAATGGTAGACTTGGTTTCGCTAAAGCTATCTTTCAGGAATGAAATAGCAGGTGGATAGAATGAGATTAACTGGTCAAAAGAGAATATTAACATTATCTTGTAGATACTAAGTATTTAGTTATAAAATTAAGATTACTAGTAAGCCAGGATACCTCCAGTAATAGTTGACTAAAGATAAATTTCAAGGATCAGGATGAATATTTAAAATACTTTATATGTAGTATTGTATTTGATTACATGACATTGAACGTAACTAGAACTAGGAGATGGTTTTAGTAATGGAAATGGAGAGGTAATATTAAATCATTGTAGATCGCAAATATTTAACTATCTGTTAGGATGAACAGAATCACTGAAATATAATTATGTGCACGTAGTACAAACATTTAAATTAAACTTATCCGATAACGACAAATGTAGTCAAGTTGAATAAAAAAATAAAATGTGAATTAATCTGCAGAGACCTTGTAACTGTCAATATAGTCATCATTTATATTTTGTATGTGACGTGGAAAAGACATTCTTTTAATATTATGGCTTAAATAAGCTAAATTCAAGGTTGCTTTAGAATTTTGATACTTGATCCTTACGATCATTTACGTTAGCTACTATTTCTCTAATCAAACCATATAAACTAGATCGAGCTACTGCCATGCACGAAATAATGGCGTAAGATCAATTTTAATGCACCCGATATCGTAGTACATCCATTCGCTTGCTTATTCTTCCTTGTTCCCAAGAATTTTTGACCATCACATCATCATCATCTAGAACATTCATACAATTCTATATAATTGTCTACTTGTAGGATTAAGCTTATAGATGATGGTGGAATTTACTTGATTTTGTATTACCCACAAAGCATTTTAATATTTCAGTCATACGATTCGAAAGATAGGTCGTAGTCTTATTGATATTATCACTTTAACACGCCTTTTTCGGTTTCTACAAAATTCTTTGTCTTTTCCATTTGAATTCTACTTTGTACGACAAATGCTATAGACTGTTGCGTTGTTATAGTCTCTAATTGCTGCTCAAAATTACTTTATAAGTGATAAAATGTTGCAATAGTATGATTTACGGTATAAATTTGATGTAAATTAAACACCATTAAATTAATCAAAGTTCGATTACTGATTCCGTACAAAGGGTATAATTATTATTCTTAACTATTCTGGGTATGAGGGGAAGAAAAATAGAATCTTTCCGCCATGAAATATTTGTACTCTTGGAAATACAGTAATGATTTACCCACTTGTGGTAAATTTAAATAGCTAATACATGATCTAATCAAATTTATGATGTAAATATGTACAAATCCATCGCCGGATCGGTTGCTCTCTTTTAGTATAGCTTTCCAATCAGATTTATGAACGGAATAAAAAGCCATTTCATTCCTATATCTTCGTACAATGGATTCAAGCAATTGTACAATCTGATTATTTTCGATATCACCCTGTCGTTAAAAATCAAGGTTGTATTCTGTTGAAATTTCTGTGTAATATTTATTTATATATGCCCGTATATTTTGGTTACAACTACATATAAAATTTATCTAGTTTGAGCATAATTAACTTATTATTTTAGGGTGCAATCGAAATTAATCAGACCGCATGAAATTGAACTTTGACTTCTTATTGCTTAGTATAGAATATATTTATATAATAAATCGATCAAGATAGATGCAGCATGAATCTATTTCTCTTCCTTAGAATTGCCTTGAGTAAGAGTCAGTAATCGCTTTCCTCACAGTGATATCAGTGTTTAGCAAGATCCAATTTTTAAACGGAATCAATGTAGATATATATCCTATTTCTTTGTAGAATGAATTGAATCAGCGGATCGTTATTAAGCAGATCAGGTTCCTTATTGATCAATCCAGTTATAAATCCTCTACCAGTGGGTCGACGATCAAAGTGTCGCCCTGATTTAGCAGTACATTAAACTACCAATCTCAAGGTACTTTCCTATCATCAAAGTCATATCGGTATTGACACTCCTCTAAACTACAAAATGTTATTTACATAATACTTAGTTTACAAAATGTAATTTACATAATATTTAGACAATTTGCAAAATATAATTTGCATTATATCTATACAATTTACAAAATGTAAATGACCGTAAAGTTAATTACATAATCGAATGTTGGGTATATTTACTGACGCTCGACCTTTCTTTCAGATCATTTACCAGTTTTTGATATCTTGAAGGTGACTGCTCTATCTCGTAAAAAAGAAAATGCGCTCTGTACTTCTTGTTCTCACTCTTGTCTTATCATGTGCTACTGCACTCCACAGGTAACTCTGCTACTAAGTAATTCAAGTGTATTATATTTTCTGTTCGTTAGAAGAATTTTCTTTACGATAGAATAAGAGATATAGTTTGGTTATCGGCTAGACTTCGTACCGGTAATGGCTCGTTTTATAATGTTGTATAAGGTCTATCTTTGCTATAGTGGATGCAAAATGATCGATAGACTTCATTTTATCTCTGTCTAATCTAGTCGATATTACTACTTGTATCAAGATAATGTAGAGAATAACGTGATTCTAGTAAGCTATAATGAGTTGATTATCATTAACATCGACTAACAATTTCCATCACTAGTAAATTTACAAGGAAACTTGAATCAATTGTTTGCAAATGGCTAATTTATAGTAAGGCAGAATATGGAGTGTTCTGTTTTCTGTTGCCTTTATGTCTTATTATGCATTCACAAGTCTGCCATATCGGGAAAATCCCGCTGCTATTTGGTCCATCAATTAAATTTACCTAGTGTTCTTCTCTACCAGATTCTGTACATTTGCATACTAATTAATTTTAGAATGATGATGCGAATGATATCGCAATGATTATTTACTCTAAATAAATAAATAATCCATCAGAATTCATTAACTAATTAATTGATTAATTTAATTAATATACTATACTTTCCCGGAATAGAATTACTAGAAAATATCCCTGTCAGTTTTTCATGATGCTCTTATCAGTATGCCTATGAAATTTGGCTAGCGATAACATAATATTAACTAGTACATCGTTTTCAGTAACAAGCCTTAAATTAATAAAGGCCGAAATATGGTGAGTGTGCTATCATAGTAATAGTTTGATCGAAACGAGCATGATGCAGAGGTAAACTGTAGAGTCTAGCCTTCTTGTGTTACGTTATAAAGTGACTCAAATGTTTGCTCTTATATAAATACATATGAATATCCGTATACGTATAGTCTTTATCCGTTTAGTAGTATATAGTAGAGTAGATTTCTAAACATTCATATTACCAAAAATAAATTAAACTTTTCTATATCGCCGTCTGTAAATACCTAGGATTAAGCTTCACAGAATGAAAAGTATCCGCCAAACTTTGTTAGATGCTGGTATTACTTACGAAATGCTGAAGACAAAGCACTCTGGAACTTTGACCAAAAAAGGCCATGTAATCCTCAACCACCATCTTCATGTAAGAATTTATTGCTCCCTTAGTCAAGTTAAAATAACAGTCATAACGGATCAGAATGGATCAGAATACTATATATACGCGCATAAATATTTTGAAATGGTATTTAATTATTACTGATACGATTAACACTTGTAAGCACTAAGCTCTTTGAAACTATACCACTTAGACTATCGAGAATGATGGATTAGCATGAAATTATTGTTTATCATCTGATTTGCGGTATGTGTACTCTCTTAGATTAGTTACTACGGTCGTATTAGTATTGGTACACCGCCGCAAGATTTCAAAGTTATTTTTGATACTGGTTCTTCTGATCTATGGGTACCATCAAAACAAACCCGTGAGGATTATAATTGTAGTAAGTAAATATTTGTAAGTTTTCTACCAGGTGGTATGCGTACTAATTTGGTAACTATACGTTTTATTCTATATTTATCAAGCAAAAATATTCTTTTTTACTTAACTGAATATCAGCCGTATCTTGTATTTGAAGGATATTATACGCCTAATTTAATTTATAGAAATCCTCAAAAAATATGATCATTCCAGGTCCAGTACTTATATTGCTAATGGAAATCCATTTAATATCGTATATGGTACCGGTTATGCTAAAGGTTTCTTGAGTGAAGATGTCGTAACTGTAAGTTAGGAATGACTATTAGTTTTTTCATACTGGCATTACAATTGATGAATTATAAATAATCGTTTGCCTAACTAATTTAGGTGGCCGGTATTAAAGTTAAAAATCAAACTTTCGCTGAAGTTTGTAATGAACCTCTTCGTCTCTATTGCGCTAACTATGACGGAATCTTGGGAATGGGTTACAGACTAAACTCTGCTACAAACAGCAACCCTGTTTTCACTAACATGATACTACAAGGTCTCGTCAAGCCAATATTTTCTTTCTATATTAACAGGTATCGACGAGTGATTAATAACATCATGTATTAAATAATTAATTGTTGCCATAACGTAAGCTAGTATAACCTTTCTCTAATATTGTAAACGTTGATAGTCCAATGTCAATTAAACAAACTAAATAATGTACATCATAATTGCAGAGAGAAAGAAGGCCCTATAGCAGGCGAACTCATCCTCGGCGGTTCTGATTCTAAGTATTACAGAGGGAAACTCAATTACGTTCCAGTTAGCGTAATAGGTTTATGGCAGTTTGCAATAGATGGGTAAGCATTCGTTGTAAGCATATACCTTATGATGAATTTTTTGGATGTACAATCATGACTAAGTTACTAGTTTTTCTATCGTGTCTGTAGGGGTAAGATAGCATCTGGTGAATCATTTTGTATAGGAGGTTGTCAAGCTATTGCCGATACTGGCTCTTCACTAATTTTTGGACCTCCAAAAGATATTATACCAATTTTATACGCGATCGGAGCTGATCCTCGTGATCCTAACGTAAGAACTATGCGCATATGTAATAGAATTAGAATAAGCGATCTTGATATAATCATGTCCCAATCATTGAATAACTTGATAAACTGCACAAATAGACCAAGACTACGATAGATTATTGACAAATATTAACAGCGATATATATTATTTTTTCCCTCTATGTGTAGGGGGTCGTTGACTGTAAGACTATCAGCTCTTTACCCATCATTACCTTCACTATTAACAGAGTTGATTACTCGCTTAGTGGTGAACAATATATCTTACAGGTTCGTACAGGATTATGTGTGGAAAATATTTTCTAGAAATAATCAATAGATAAAATATCTCAATTATCATTTTCATATTCAATGTGAATAATCAGTTAACCCAAGATGGAAGAAAAGAATGCTTCAGTGGCTTCGCATTTTACAATGGTCCCCAAAATTCTGTGTTGACCCTTGGTGATATATTCCTCCATGCCTACTACACCGAATTTGACATGGGCCTGAATAGAGTTGGTTTCGCCAAGACTGTTAAAAGCAAATATAAATATTAGCCATTTAAGTAAAGTCGCTCTAACATCGTAACATATGAGCAAGTACGACGTTGTTACCAAATGCGTTTTACAAGTAGCAGTAGCGATAATTTTATCTATTAATTCTCATTTTACGGATAATAACACATTTTGTAATGATATTCTCTAAATAAAAGTACTTAGATATTTTTGCAATATGAATGCAGCCGACTCTTAACATTTTTGTTTAGTAAACGAGACAATCGAGCGAAGCTTCAATTTCACTGACAAATCTGCGCATTAGAATCTATAACGATGTTATTTTCTGATTTACTATACGGTATATATCTAGATTAGCCTTAGTTATACTTATTTCGCTATTACTGTACCGCCTTGTATTTGTTTGATTATTAAGCAATAGCACTGAAGCTCTGTAATCTAGTTAAGTCCACGTGCGAGCAAAGTATAGCTATCGTTGCATTGATTGAAATTAAAAATCATAACTACATTGATTATATTTAAATTATAAAATGCTTTATAAACAAAGGTAAATTGCTTATATTAGCGAAATTACTGTCGACGTTATTACTTAATGCAGAAATATGAAATTAACAGTAAGATAGTGTTTTTGCCATATACCGTGTATAACATAAAAAAACTAGAAAATTGGTACGAGCATGCTGTTTCTAATTACATATACCTATAAGCATCAACTTGTTTTCTTATACTAAATTAATGCCCTAAATGTAGAAATCTTAATTTCAGATTAGTGATTCGATAGTACTCATTTCGGTTACAGGTAAACTACGTTGTATGCTATAATATTACTGATGATGAATACAAACTATTTCAGCCTTGTTACAAAAGGCAGATTTAAATGTAAAACGATAGACGAGACGTTTTTTTAGAGTGCAATCTAATAGTGTAGTATTTTCTGTATAGGTTATATAGTTAGAATAGAGCCTACGATAATGGCCGCTACTGTAGTTATTAAGTTCGTGGTAAACGGTGTAGGTTCAATTGAGAATCGTTTATTAATAAATTTATGAAGGTATTTATACATTTGCTAAATTACTTCACTTATGGTTTAGCTAAATGATTATCCATGTAAGATGTAAGATTAGCTTAAAATGATAATTACATAATTAGAACGTTAATCATTTTAAACTGTGATCCTACAGTACGACTTTTAATCATTCTATATATAATACTACTTTACAGTATGCTGTATATGTAATTGCTCCATATATAACAGTAGTGTTGCAGAAGAATCTTTCTTGTCTCTAAAAATATAAACGATTATAACTGTATGACTACTACATCACGACTGTCAGCCACAAGTACTGAATGACATGATCGCATAGAGCTAGCTAGGCTCAACAATTTCTGGATTGGATAGATTTGTAGTTTTAAGGCTGATATCGTTCAATACGACTAATTATCTGGAATGAAAGTGCATTTCGTCAATTTTAATTAGTGTAACGCGGTTCTTTTTGAAAAATGGCGACCTATCAATGATTTATTAAGCTTGCTCTTTTTAATGACGTTGAATAAATCTTTAGATTTTATAGAGCATCATAAATTGTAGATTTTCATGATCAAAAAATGAAATTGATGTCAATATAATGACGATAACAAATGACAATGATCATGTTCAAATCACACTAATCGAATTGAACAGACCCTGAGGCGAATTTGGTCATAGTAATCCAATCTATCTGTTCAAATTTCATTATATAGATGCAATTATTACGTAAGATTTTTTCCAAATTTTGTTATTGTTTAAAAATAAGCAATCAACATCATCAATATTGATCAGATAGACTAAAAAGTACTCATCTTGTTATCTTGACACTTAATTATTGTACTAAGAATAAACAGAACGGAAATAATGTAATCCCAAGATGCGTAACTACCGCATCTTGGACAATTTTTCCACCTGTTCTTTTTGTAAACAATAGTAATTACAGCATGAGTTTAATAAGAGAAAGTTATATTTTATTGGTTTTGGCATACTATAATATGATTTATAAATTTATAGACTAAGTCAAATTGTTGCTGTTAAAGACGTAATCGATTGTAACGATTAATCGTGTAAAATTGACTTTGTACGTTAAAGAGGATGATGGATGACGATATTAAGATTGTTATTGTCGGTGATTCTGGAATTGGAATTAAATCGATGATTAAAGCTTACTGTGCGCGCAATCCATCGAGAATTTTGGGTAAATCATTACGTATAGGAAGTGAAGATACTTATATTCAAGTTCTTTATAAGCAATATAGATTGACGTTACTGTGCTGTGAAATATTAGATGGAAAAGAGCACCAAAAGAACAAACCTATCTGTTATAAAGGGACCGATGTTGTACTTATTTGTTTCTCTCTAGCGTCACTAAAGTCGTTCATTCATGTTATCAATAAATGGTATCCTGAAACCAATCAATATTGCCCAAATGGAACTAAATTTGTAGTAGCTACTATGTCGGATCTACGTCGCAACGATCAAATTAAACATTACAGCAATATCGATAATGATATCATAACCAGAGAATTAGGCGATAATTTAACTCGTTATTTTAACGCTGATGGTTATTTTGAATGTTCGTCGGTATCTGGAGAAGGTTTGAATGATCTATTTCATCAGCTTATTGACTTTGTCCTACAGAAAAGAGAGCAAAAACGTCATGGAAAACTTTGTACTATATTGTAATTTATCTAAATATAAATAACGAAAATATTTATTGCAAACTAGTTGATTTTGCTTCTATACTACATACCCGCAAATTTTTAAAGCTCTTCCGTCTTATTCATGACTATCGATGAGCGCTAATTTAAAGCTGGAAAATGATGGAAGAAATCCTAGATATCTAACAAAGTTAAGCTACGCTACCGGTACTTGGTTTATAATATTGTAGACGATATGGAGCCAAGCTATTTAATCCGTGATAAAAATCTGTTGTCATAGAGAAACTATTCTCGTACATAACTATACAACTATATTTAAAAGGAATTTTTGCTTTTACGAGTTGGTTATAGCTTATCATGTAGAATTATAACTGTTAAATCATCTATTTGAACTCAAGATTAACTGCAGCTGGGGATGAAAGTCGAGAAATGATTGAAAAAGGAAGAATAAAAAGATTTTGTTACGATTAACTTGATTATAGCTGATAATATGGCGATGATAACTAACGTATAACTTAATTATGACTCATGATAAGGCAATGATAACCATTCTATCTGATTGACGGTTAAGATCAACTACCTTTGAGTGAATGAAAATAGAGAAAAGAGGATTATGTATTGCATAGCTCGATTACAGCTAATAATATGGTAATGACAACTTTTCTATCAGATCGGTAAAACTGCCTTTAAGTGAATGAAAGTAAAGAAATGGCTGAAAAAAGATTTGTGATGTATAACTAGATTATAGCTTATGATATAGCAATTATATGAACTATTCTATTTGATCTGTGGTCAAGATTAACTACCTATGAGCAGGTAAAAGTCAAGAAACGATTTGAAGAAAATTTGCCTTATATTACTTAACTATATGAGCATAGCTTATATATAATATGGCTATTATAACTATATCATCTAATCTGTGGTCGAAATTGACTACAAAAAAATGAGTAGTAGTGGCTTAAAGTAACCGAAAAAATTTAAGCTTGTAAACCTTGGTTATGGCTTAAAATATGACACTGATAACTATTTCATTTAATCTATGATTATGATTGACTATTATTGCGTAAATAAAGTGAAAAAAAAAACGACCGAAAAAGATTTTGCTTGTTATAACTCGATTATACCTTATAATATAATGAATATAACTACTCCATCTGACCTATGATCAAGATTGACTATAATTATAATTGAATGAATAAAATGAAAAATTGATCAAAAGAGCGATAACTTAGAAGAACCTGACTACTACAATGTCATTTAGATGTAATATTTAGCTGTAGACTATAGCACAGATACCCTTTCGTATCCTATATTATTTCATAAAAAGTCGAAAATATTTAGTCCACAGTTACTGCGAACACTTTTAATTAACTCCTATTTAGGAAGGAAACTCTGTAGTCTCTAAGCTATTTATCCTACAATACCGTGCCTTCACACAGGAAGCCTTACAAATAATCCTACTTGTATTTGGAGGCTTATTGATAGATAAATATCTCGCCATATAAACGAGCAAGATACGAAACATTGATAATAATTCTATTGATTTAGAAAAGTTGCAACAGTTATCATGTAAGTCTGCTCATGGGTCATTCAAGGTAATGTTGGATCCACCTTTTTCTTTCAATTCGATATTATCCTAAGTATGAAGGAATAATTAATTCAAAGCAAACGATATCCAAAATGTAGTGTAGCCCCCTCAATTGTAGGAAATCGCTAAGTGATATTTAATTTAAGTAACAATTTGTCATTGAATTTTGATCATTATTTGCTTCGTTTAAATTCTACGGTAACTAGGTCACCATAAATGCGTATTGGATCTATTTCTCTCTCATAGAATAGCTTTGAGTAATAGTGTGTAATCACTTTTCCAACACTATCGGTAACATTTTGCCCGGATGCAATTTGTAAATGGAATCAATGCCCATAATTTCTTTTTACATAATGGATTTAAGCAACGTTCCCGCTGAATTTTGATCCTTAAATATGTTGAACATGAAAATCGCAGTAGTGATGCGGATAATCCTGCGATATTAAAAGTCAATCTTAATACATACTGGCGCTCTTTTAAATAGAAATTGTACGCTATAACGGAATGGAAGTGATTCATTGACTGCTATCGGCAATCACTGGTTTCAATAAAGTCGTTGCTGAGAGAGTTTTAATTTAGAATTTGCAGATGGTTTATTCCTAGAAAGCTCTTGTTAATATGAATAGTATAGCGATGACATCAATTTGCCTAAGGGTATCGTCGAGTGGAATAGACAATATCACCGATCTGTTAAATAGAATACAATAAACATTGCTTACAAGTGAGCCAAGATAGAGCTCTAGGATGAATGTAAGCTATAGAAATAAGGTGGCTAAACTTGTTTCTTATTCACTATGTTGTTCACGAATTGGCCAACTGAAAACTTTACTACGCCAGCGATCGAGGTTAGCCATTTATCCAGCCATGGCCTGCTTTCATAATAAAAATTAACTCATAATAACACGAATAGATTATTATCATATTATTTTTTTCATCCATATAGCTAGGAATTCTTTTCACACGGAATATAAATAGGTTATAACGGTATGGTTATTCTCATCTCCATTTGAATGAAAATTCTTTCTGATTGGATCCAAATAACAATTTTGATGATCGCACTGAGCTGTCTATCCAAACTTTTGCCTGCTTTCGTAAGAAAAGTAGACGAAAGCTTAGAATAACATTTCTTTCATCCATTTGGCTACAAGTTCTTTCAATTCTCAATTAAAATGAATAGTAACATAGGTGATCAGAGTTCGATAATGAACTAAAGCTTTGTCTGCTTTCGTAAGAAAAGTAGAAGTTTATAATAACATAAACAGGTTATCATGATATTGTTTCTTGGGCTGGAAATTCTTTTTATTGAATTCTAAATCAATATAAATAATGTCGACAGTTAAGGTTAGATATTGAACTCAAGCTTCGTCTGCTTTCACAAGAAAAGGAGATGACAACTTATAATAACGTGAATAAGTAATCATGACATTGTTTCTTTCATCCACTTGGCTGGAAATTCTTCTAATTAAGTTATGAATCAAGGTTACATAATTAAGCAAATTTTGCTTATTTTTGTGAGAAAAGTAGACAATAATCTATAATAACATGAATATTGAATAGGATATCATGATAATGATTCTTTAAGGGAGAACTTTTTTTATTTGAGTTATAAATAAAGATCAAAGTTAGATATTTGACTAAAATTTGCCTGCTTTCGCAAGAATTGTAGGAGATGATTAGCAGTATAATAGGTCATTCAAGATATTATTCCTTTAACTAATAATTCTTATTATTGAATTATAAATCGACATGATCAAGGTTCGATATTGAACCAGAATCACCTGCTTTTGTAAGAAAAGTAGACGGTAACTTATAATAGGTTATTCTTGATATTGCCCCTTTCGCTGAAAATTCTTACTGCGGAAATCAGAAGGTCAAAATTCTTATTATTGAGTCATAAGCCGATAGAGCAACAATAGTGATCAAGATTAGATATTTGACCAGAATTTGCCTGCTTTGGTAAGAAAAGTAGAAAATAATTTGTAATAGTTCATTCATGATATTATTCTTTTAGCTAACATTCTTATTTTTAGGGTTCTAACTCGATAGAAGAACGGTAATGATCAAGGTTAAATATTGATTGAAATTAGCCTGCTATCGTTAGAAAAATAGACGATAACTTACGAATGTAATAAGCCATCATGATATTGTTTCTTTAGCTGGCTATTTCTCTTATTGAATAATAAATCTATAGAATATCGTAGATGATCAAGGTTAAATATTGAAGCAAGGTTTGCCTAGTTTGACAGGAAAAATAGACGGTAACTTATGCAGCAATAGATCATCATGCTATTTGTTTCTTGATTGTCAATTCTTCTTATTAATTGTAAATTACAGATCGACGGAACAAGATGAAAGATTAAGGTTAGATCTTTGACTAGAATTTGCCTGCTATGGTAAAAAAGAAGGCGATCAATTATAATAGGTGATCATGATCGTATTTCTTTCATTCATTAGGCCGGAAACTCCTTTAATCAAATTATAAATCAACACGCATTACAGATCATTTTTTTCATCGTTGATTACCGGCATTCTATTGCCATGCAATCAATTAGAAATGATGGCAGACTGAGCTTAATTTCTACTTGTTATAGAAATTGGACAGATAGGAAGACAATAACTTGTCATATCATCTGGTGGTTGCCGAATAATTAACCTTTTCAACGGCATTCTGGAGTTCATAAAACATGCGGTAACAAAGCATAAGCTTATTGAATGGAACAGCTTCCGATGCCGCCACGATAAAGCCTATTCATAATTTCACCAGGTGTGGGCTATTCTAGCCTACTTTATACAGGCTAAAAACGAACCTAAAGGCATAATATACAGTTATAATGGATTCAACCCGATGTCTAACTCTTCAATGCTGTCCCAAGTGATTGATTATAATAACCAACACGCTTGTGGTCTTTTGTCATTCAAGATGGCATCAATAGGGATAAAATGGGTAAGCAAAACTATTAAAGTCTCTTCATTTCCTTCTATTATCCTCAGCAACCATTAAACAACTTGTAAACTCCTATTAAATCATTCTACTTGAGTTTTCTTTGCGCAGTCTGTCATTCCATTTAGCAGTATTACCAGTCTCTGCCTTTATTGCATTCAGATTGAAAAATTTCTCATAGGATCAAAGTGTTGGATTGCGGTACATTTTCTACCTATATTGATAAGCATTTTCAAAGGATATTCAAACTATTCCTATCAAACTGATTTACTTTAACTCGATTGATTCTCTTGTCGATCTTTCATAATGACAAAATTGGCTATCAAATGCCTTCTCGTTGGCGATAATGGTGTAGGTAAAACATCTTTAATGATTACACATGCTGAGAATTCATTTTTGGAAAAAGGTGAACTACCGAAAGCTTATCGCGATTTCCACGTTAATATGGGGTATAGTAAATCAAAACAGATCGATTTACATTTATGCAATACACTGGATGGAGAAAAAAATGAACCTGTCAATGCCATACGTTATAAAAGCTGTACTTTTGTTGTATTTTGCTTCTCCTTGGTATCACCAGATTCGTTGGAAAGTATTCGAGAGCACTGGATTCATCAAATCAATGAAGATTGTCGTCATGTGCCCAAGATATTAGTTGGAACAAAATTAGATCTACGTAACCGTTACCAACAACAACCTATCGAGAGGAATGAAGAAGAAGAGGAAGAAAATGTCAAGGTAGAAGTAGAGGATGAGGATCAAGATGAGTACCAGGATCGCTACCAGCAACAGTCTATAGATGGAGAAGAAGAAGAAGAAGATGTCAAAATGGAAGTACAAGATGAAGATCAAGATGAGCACGAGGATGATGATCATCATGAGACCGCTTCTGAAAAAGAAGACAATAGTAGTGGCCAGGTTGTTAGTAATGGTCATAATCATGTCAAAATAAATTATGTTACCACCAACATGGGCAAGGGTGTAGCCGATGAAATTGGAGCTCAATGCTATCTTGAATGTTCATCATTAGATGGAGAAGGACGTTATGAAGTTTTTGATCAAGTCATTAAGATTGCAATAGATCAAAATAAGAAAGCCAATCACGGAAAAAGTTGCAACTTGATGTAATATTTCTCAGCTCAAATGATTGTCTATGAGGGTTGAATAGTGTAACTTAAAAATAATCGAATGAGAAAAGAGAAACCAAGCTGTTCTTACTTTCCCCTACCGCTTTATTTTCTATCCTGGCAATTCAATTACCGTTATAGACTAGATATGCCAGTAGTATTTGATGCTAATCGTTCAAGATAATATGAAACTACATTTGAAATTGGTTCATTAATATTTAAATAAGTAGGAGTGATCCATTTTTTAAAAGGACATGATCATAAAATGGTTTTATTTAGGTACTAAGTATCTTTTCGTATCATTACATAATCCACATATCTAAAATGAAATGAAATATATATGAAACTAAAAATTTTTCAATGAATTAAATACTTTTAATCTTTTAAGGTAAAATAAGGAATCATAACTATTGTATGCGCTAAATGATTCTAACGGAAAGAAATAAATTATCGTAATTTATGCTTTGAATGCATTATTTTAAATTTCTTGCTTTGACCAGCATGTCTGCCATATTATTCAAGTTAAGTTGACCTTTCATTATTTCATGATTGTTGCGACTTCCAGTTCAAATCGTTGTCAAGTTTAGCAATCACTTAATTAATTCATATTCAAAAAAATAGTTTTTATTATGTCAAATCACCATGAATGGTGATGACGGCAACATATCCAATATAGATCCCCATTGGATGTCATGCTGATTTTCGATATATCAAGAAAAGCCTTGTAATGCAATCATACTGCTTAATTAATAATAATGAAACTCGATTAAAGTCATAGATACTTTAATTCTATACTACTCCCAAAGTATTTCTATCCATTTTGACTCTTGTTCTATTCATATTCATTTTTGTTACTGTCTATCTCGTCATAAAATAATATTCTCGTTAAAATAAATGATTTAGCATAAATAAAATAATATTTGCTATCAAATCTGAAGTACCCTGTAAACCATTCAAAAACGCATGCATGTCCATACTTGATACTTTATAATATAATATAATAATTATAATTCGTAATGAATATAACCCATGTAGCAATTATGCATAGTGCATAGTCTGTGTGCTAACATGTTGTTTAATAGGCAATAAGCGACAACGACTGTATCGTTTTAAAATTATTTATCAAATAAACTGCTAGTCACCGGTGAATATGTTACAGCCAGTAAATAAATATATTTAGCGAATTTTATTTATAATGGTGATTGCATGTAGATTTGATATTTACACCTATAATTGCCATATCTGTCTTTTACTAAAGATGTAATCAATTCATTACTTGATAGCTGTTGATGTTGGTAATTCATTACTGAACTCTTGACCAAATACTATATGGAAGTACTTACCTAATTAACTTATATAAGCGGCTTATGATGATAGAAGCAATTATGCTCAGACTTGGAATTTACATCCGAATTACCAGATCTTTCACTACAGATACAATCAACTAATAACTTTATAACAGCTGTTGATGAAATACATTACAAGTCACGAATTATTTTATTTAAGCGAGCTATGTTTACAAGAGCAGTTGTATTTCCATTTAAAATTTACACTTATGTTGCCAATTACCATATCTTTTACTACAGATGCAACCAATTAATAAGTATAGGCTAACTGATGTTAGCAGTTCATTGTAGAATTGTTGACAAAATACATTACAAGTCACGGATAGTAGTTGCATTTCGATTTAAAATTTATACTTATGATGCCAATTACCAAATTTTTTACCACAGATACAACCAGTTAATAACTTTATAACTGCTGATGTTAGCAGTTCATTGTAAAATTGTTGATAAAATACATTATAAGCCACGGAATATTATTTTAAAGTGAGTTATACTTACAGAGAAGTTGTACTCGTGTTAAGATTTAAAATTTATACTGATGCTGCTATATCTTTTCGCTATCCAATTTACAGTACTAGTAAAGAGATCAAAGTTTTCAATTTGGCACTATTACAGCCATATTATCGCTATCTATAATTATAAAGACTATGATTAGATTGATATCCAGACACTGCTAATACGATGTATAATAGCTATCTAATAATAGTGATATTACATTGTACAATATCATAGAATTGTTCCCTTACTTTACCATCTTACTATAGTCACTACGCTAAAGATTCGCTCGTGAAGTGAACAACTACTGTACGATATCAGTTGATAGGCATTGCTACCACTCTTAAGCAGACTGAATCTATTCCATGAATGGTACTAATTAATTTTGATTTTAATCACTTTATAGTTACAGGAACCAAGCGATGGTTTTAGAAGTATTTATCACTTGATGATCGTAAACTGCTGAAGATGATCAGATAACGTATGATTATAGGTGGACACAAATTGGGATTGGAAATAATTCTCAAAGTATAACTATGGAGTAACTGTATTGCTGGGAAATTGCTACATCTTTTGACTATAGACTATAAATAAGATCGATTAATGTCAGTAGCCCGGTCATTGCTAGGATAAGTAGCTAATTTGAAGCCGAATTATGCGTGCTAAGTAAATTGCATTCAACGGATTAATGCAATGGTGATAGTCGATATACGCTTACAAGTGCTATGATGTTTAAATTCGAAATTTAATTGCATAGCAATATTATCACCTGTCTTTTTCCTATTTTATTACGGCCCTTTAAAATGCTTATAAATCAATCCGCAATTATACAGAATTGAAAGGGTGAATTTTTTCAAATCAACTGAGTGGATCTGGATGCTGCTCATATCATGTGTTGTGCTAGCATCATACGCCAGAATTTTAAATGTTTTATCATTATGCTACAGATCATAGTACTAATCAAAACCAGCAAAATTTTGGTACCATACATGATGCTAAGTGAAATCTTTAAGTTAGTCATGGAATCTATTATCAAATCTTGGAGATTATCATTGCAATATAGCCTGTACTTTTGTAAGTGACATGATCTACTAGACGAAAAGTCGAAGGTCAAAGACTTCATTACAGTATTACAAGTACACAAATTTAGTTATGAAATAAATTCTTTGCATATCAACTTGGTTACAATTTCCTATTGGTCTGATCATAATCGATCACAAGAGCGAGCTTCTAGCAATCTAAAAGCCCATATAGGTATATTTGCTTGTCTAGTTTATAACATTGAACTATCTTATTTGGCCGAGCTCTAGGGATGTGAACATTTATTTCGAACAAGTCAACGCTATAAAAAACCCTGAAAATATTAAACTGTAATATTAAAAGTAGTTATCTTATGTATGACTTTTAATTTTATGCCACGTACGTAAAGCATCATTAGTGATAAATCCTGATCAAGGACGTTCGCTGCTTAATATAAAGAATTAATTTTTCAACTATTCAATTACTTTTCATAAAAATAGCATAACATAATGATACGAAGTATATTGATAACAAGTTGATTTTCTTACATTTCCATAATGTTGAATTCTTGATGTAGGTATTTTACTTTAAAATTGACACCTGTGCGTAGGTTCGTTCAAGGTAGTCGATTAGCTTAGAAAGATATTTAGCAATCTTACGACCGCTGTAGGAACTAGAGAAATATTTTTGGTTGGTCACTGACTGACAATTACTGCGTATAGTAAAAGTACGAAAGCTACATAAATGCAGTAGTAGAAGCAGATTGTCCAAATCTACGACGCCTTTAATCATTCCACAGTGTGGTGAAATCAAAGCCTAATACATAAATATCACTCTTGCACAAGATCATATAATATTCATTTAATGCGTTAAAAACATGGATATGACGTTTTGGTAATCTATAGTACAATTCGATTCATCGGTTATGAACAAATGCTACATACATGAAAGGTATGTCGAATAAATAAAGCACCGTAATCGACGGAGAAGTTACGAGATGTAATGGAAGCCTTTCTATCGAGCTCTGCTACTTAATAGATAGGATTATATGTAACACAAAAAATTGTAGAACTATTGTAACGTTGGTTAATCAGAGCACAAATGCAACGTCACTAATTGGAGTAATACTTAAAACTACAATTATTATCCGATAGCAAGCATGCTATAGAGACGCAACATACTATCCATAAGGAAAGATCATTTGGATATTGTAACATTAATTATGATTATAGAGGTGGCTGATGGAATCTTGTTTCTCTGTCCTTATTGGAAGCGTACTTTTGAAGCATAGCCATGATTTCATTATCAAATTCAGTAGGTACCGATTTCGTTCCTATGATCCAGTAATAAAGTTCCCATTCATTGCTAGATTCATTAAGGAGTCTGTCATACTGGTCCAGCTGTTGGTTGTCCATTTTATGTAGAAAATGATGGGCAAAGTTGCTATAAATTTACCGAAGAGCAAGAAAGGCGGATTAGTAGTTTTATTAGATCCTTGCTATTATTACTGCAGTTTATTATAGGTTAATTTCTATGGAGTCGATTGATTGCTAAGTAATTTAAACATTATGTTTTTTAAGATATTGTCACGATCAGTGATTTACCTTAGGAGTAAGTCATTTTCTTTAATTCCACGTTTTCTGCAAGCATCCAATGAGAACATTGAGTATTTGATTGATTTAAGCTGTAGTATATCGATGCTTCCTTGCACACTACCATAATGCTACGGGATCTACTACAGTGCATTGAGGTACTGAATGTTGTCAGGGATTACTACCAGCTCATTTTTGCACTTGTTTTCGTAATCTACCCCCTATTTTTACCTTGGGTATTTTCAGCCTGGGGAGAAAGTATAAAATTAGCCGGTAGTAGTCCCTGATGTTGTACAATTGATTCCTGCAAGTCTGTTTGCAGGAAGGATCGTACTATAATATGTCTTGAATCTAGCATTACATGACCTATCCATTCGTAAGCAAGTATGTAGAACTAGCTGTTGATGTGCTTTATATTATTATTGCACAACGACATTGAGTCTAGCTTAGAATGTGTATCAGGCCAATTCAGCATGTACCGAGTCGAGTTCAGACACTTTCAGATCATAGGCGTCTATCCCCATGACTTTCCATAATTTTGTGCATGCTAAAGTTCAAAATCTGAATCGTCCTAACGTGCAAGTAATACAGTATTTTTTCCTCAAGGATTGCCAAGAGCGCATGGATAAAACAGAGAGCGTTGCCTTGTTATTATTGCACAACAACATTGAATCTAGACTAGAGTGTGCAATTGTGCAAGTAATACAGTATTTTTACATCAAGAATTGCTAAGAGTGCATGCATAAAACAGAGAGCGTTAACGGTCTTGTTATTATTGCATAATAAGATTGAATACAGTATTTTTACATCAAGAATTGCCAAGAGTGCATGCATAAAACAGAGAGCGTTGTCTTGTTATTATTACACAACAACATTGAATCTAGACTAGAGTGTGCAATTGTGCAAGTAATACAGTATTTTTACATCAAGGATTGCCAAGAGTGCATGGATAAAACAGAGAGCGTTGTCTTGTTATTATTAAACAACAACATTGAATCTATACGCAGTATTTTTACATCAAGAATTGCTAAGAGTGCATGCATAAAACAGATCGCGTTGTCTTGTTATTATTGCATAACAAGATTGAATCTAGGCTAGAATGTGCATGGATTGCTTTGCTTTACAGTGGTAACTATTGAATTATCATAACCGATCGAGGCATAGGCAGCCATATCAAGTATGTAAAGAAGGATAGATGCAAAATTTCATTAGCTTTACCTGCTTTGGTATAAAAGTCTTGCTTTCCGTTTGCTAACCTCTTCGTCTACACGTCGAGGGTAAGTCAGTTCTGGCCAATGATGATGATGATCATCATCCACTTGCTGTGATAAAAATCGACCATTGATGCATGGCTTTGCTAATCTACCATGCGATAGAGTTCTACAGTAGATCAAGGATAACATTTTGCTTCTGTAGGCCATTTTTTGGCGTCTTTGCAGTGGATGTTGTTGGGCAAGTTAATGGAGGCTTCTTGTAGAAGATCCTGATGAAATGGTAAGCCAGCGATGCTTGCTATGGTTTGGGATAGGATACTGTAGACGAAGGAGAAGAAGAGATGTTCCCTCTATGTTGTAACCCTAATAGGAGTCGATATTATATACTGAGTAGTATATTGTAATTCGTAGAAAGTGTCATGATGGAAACTGATCATATGCCAGTCAAGATTACAAATAGGGTAGTGTTCCATACATGTTTTCATTTCCATACTAATTGCATTATGGTAGTCTCTTGAATGCATACTACACTCACTATCTCATTCAGGAGTATGATTCGCAGTGAAATCGACTCAGCAAGACGACAGGAATGGCGATCTAACTGCAAGTATTCTCTTCATCAATCATTTGCTTGGCCATCGCCTCCGATTACGTTGGCTTGCAGCTGCTGCCTGTGGGTGATCAATTTGCAGTGGCTAATTGGCATTTTATTCCGTCCCAAGTGGGCCACCAACAGCCAAATCAGGTAGCGATTGTAGTAGAACAACTGTCTGTCATGTCTAATGCAAGTTGGGTTGATGTTTCCAAATTGGAAGCGCGATCACCGATCAAGCGAAGTCCTCCAACGAGCACGAAAGGTAAAATGCATGCATGGATCATGGTGCCATTGATCCTGTCCATAAATTGTAATTATGTTCATGATGATTACGATGAATTGAATCTCTATGCAACAGTATTGAATAAGACAGTCTTGGCTAAAAGTGCCATTACCATCGATTGTAGCCAGTAGAAAAGACATCGATCCATCCAAACGATTCAACACGGACCATGGCATAACGATGTCGAAGATACAGTATCCATATGCACTAGTTTTCTTGTTGCATAAGGATAGAGGTTGATGAATCATCAATCAGTCCTAGTCACAGCACTAGTGTATATATATATAAAGTATTCTCACCGGTTAATAATGCAATCCTTAGTAAAATGATCATCAAACACTACAATCGTAGTACCTCGCCAGAATTGTAGCCTATCAAAAATAAAGTAAATCCACCCTATCAGTCGCAACGATGTAAACAACTTGCTCCATTCATCCTGTACAACAACGATCAAGGCAAATAGTCAATACGTGCCCAAATAATCTTGATCACCAGTGATATGGCTCAATAGGATATGTATGCACTTGTATAGGTAACTTTAAAGAAGCGCGCAGTTGGAGACTAATAATAAGACTTATAAACTGGACCCTTGGCAAGACGCTGTCATGGATAGAGCTGACGAATGCATTCACGCACTGACAAATGGATAAGCAATGCATGAAGACAGTGTATTGGCTTGTATTGCATCAGTTTACCCTTTTACTATCTATTCCATGGTGTCCAACGATTAATTAATAGTGTGTGTATGTCCTGTTTTATACGTTCAATCGGATCAAGACATTTTTATCTTTAGCTTTGGTCATAGTCGCCATGACCAAACTCTTCTGGCTGTAATGCAGTCATCATCGTTGCAATCACTTCGATCTGTATAATGTGGTTAATCTTACTTGACACGACCAGTTAAATCAAAGAATTTTTCTCTTTAGCTTTATCATAGTCACAATGATCAAATTCTTCTACTTACTAGATCGTTAGTACTGTATAAATAATATAATTAATCATAAGCGTAATAGTAACAATTGAAGAATCATGATTGCAAACGGAACAGCAATAACAATGTTTATTGACGTATTTATTTCAACAACATACTGTATCTATACTTGTTAAAATCCAACAATCTTTCAATGTAAAGGACGAAATGACGACGAGCCTATGCGGACTTACTTCTACATTGGATTACTCATCACAACCTTTGCAATCATTGCTATTGTGATGCGAATACTCTACTTGACATTTCCTACGTTAAAAGAGTAAGTACTAGATCCATGCATAGAAATAATGGAATGAAAACATCAGTGGTTAGCATAGATATAGAGTAATAATAAAATAGTATGCAATGGTAGTATCAAAATAGCCTCGAATGTATGCTCGATGCCTATTTCCAATAGTTGCTAATAGTCAATAATTTCTATTGCATACATACCTACAGTATAGTGAATGAGGAAAGAGAGTGCTATCGATCCAGATGTGGTTGATCAATGGATTAGGATAGTAGTGATGGGGAGTAGTAGGTAGCTTGCATGATCGAAAGGTACTGTAGAGATCATCATCATCAATAAAATCTTTCTTAGTATCAATGATATACTGGCAATTAATCAGGCGATAATGCTGCCTTTCAACACTATGCTTGATTAGATTGTAATTAACGTGGATAAAGGCAGAGCTAATTTGCTGTAGTTGCAAGCTTACTGAACTAATGATATATAACTATGACTGCAATCAGTTGATACGATGATATTATTCTCATCCAGAATACGGCTATGAATTTCAGATTTAATGTGTTATTGTAACATGCAGCTTTGTTATGTTGTTAATGTCCCAGATTGGAAGGGTTACTCTATTGCTATTCTACAAAATCCATCATCATAATCAAGCTGTTGTAATATCTTTTGTATATTATAGGGAAGATGCAATGCAGCTAAAACTACCCAAAAACCTTAATGACACAAAGCAGCTTGCTTTATTGTTGGAAAAGTATAACCACCAATATTTTTATCATTTGATCATCATGTTTTGCGGTATATTTCTAGTGTATCCTTTGTCATCGATATCGGTTTAATTTTTAAATCATGACATTATGGTGAAATTTCTTTGTTAGGATATTCAGATATAGTTAAGACTTAGATGATGAAACAAAATATTGATATTCGGTATACACGTAGTGTAGTCTTAAAGTAGCAAATTATTTGTTAATTATAGCACATAGATGTCTGCCAATGATGCCAAATAGTAAATGCACTTTTACTGCTAATTTACTTATTTTGCAGTTGTAAAGTTTGGTGGCATTGATTTGTAAGTTTTATTACAGTATAGATTTACCATAAAATCAATCAAAAGGTTCTAGTTTAATAATGATTCTAATAAGCTCAATCGGTAGTGAATTAAATTCATCCAAAGGTTCTATGACGTCAATTGTAGAATTAGTAAAGCCGGAATAATAGTTTACACTAGGTAAAGAGACCTGGAATAGAGACAAAAAATAGTCTAGATTAACTACTACCTTATTCAAATGTTGAGCTTGCATTGATCAATGATAATACGTCTTGCGAGTAATTAGTTTTATCCATAATTTACTTAAGAATTGTATGACCGTACTTTAAAGGAAGATTCTTGACGGATCTAGGACTACTGTATTAACTTTCTTATTTTGATACATTATTTATATAATTATTGGAATATTGACATTAAGGCAGTGTCTCAGCTTTTTGATGAACGATAGTAGCTATGAAAATATCCAAACTATGGACAACTCCTTTTACCAGTAGTAAAGCGCTTTCGTTAATATTGCCAATATTGATACCGTTTAATTCTACATTTATTTATCACTCTTATCAATTGTACGGATTTCTCTGCATACAGTCCGAATGTTTGCCTTATTTCTTTAATTATCTGCCAGCCTACAAGCTTTTACAATTCCAGGGACAATATTTCTTGTAATTCTTTCCGGTTTTCTATATTCGTTTCCATTGGCTCTCGCTATAGTTTGCACGGTAATTTACCAAACTGTTATTATTGCTATTATCGTTCAACACAAAGTATTGTAATATATTTTATACTATCATTCAACAATTATTCTTAATTTCTAATAGCGCTAGCATCAATTTTATCATTAATAGATTCATTCTGTTATTATATTATACACTAATTGTTGTAATGTATTGTGATAGTGTTCGGCTTTTGGTGCTACATTTAGCTACTTGCTATCCGATGCTTATGGTAAAAAGTTGTTAACTCGTTATTTTCCTGAACGTATAAATAGTTGGAATACGCAGGTGATTCATGCTAAAGTATTAGTTTTTGATAACTCGAAAATTATGATTTAAAATTACAGACTTGGCTACTTTAACTGTTAGTTTAATGGCTGCTGCATGGATCATGTTGATATCATGTCACAGACAGTATTGTTACAATACTGTGTATAGTATATTAAAAGTATCATTTTTTTTGTTACTCAGGTACAGCAACATCGAGAACACCTGTTTAATTATATTGCATTCCTTAGAGCTACTCCTTTTATCCCTAACTGGTTCATAAATGTAGCTTCTCCGATTGTTGGGGTACCACTTTCTCCCTTCTTTTTTGGCACCTTAATCGGTATCAGTATATTGACTGGATTGTTAATATTTAGACGTTGAAATAGCGGTTTGGGATTCTAGCAAAACTTGCTCAGCTCAATAGCATCCAATTTATTTCTGATATCGTCCCTTAATGTTTTTGTAGGTGTCTCGCCATTATGCGCTATGTGGATCCGAGCGGGTACTACACTCCATCAACTGACGACTACTCGCGACGCCATTTCACCTACTTCTGTCATAATTTTGATTGTATTTGCTTTGCTGGCAATATTGCCTGCGATTTACAAGAAAAAACTAAGAGAAAAGTTAAGCTAATTTGCTTTGCCTAACTAGACTCTGTTGTCATTATTTAAAAATATTACATTAGCAAACATATACCACCGTAAGTTGGACTTCTCATATTGAAGATTTTCGATGTACAGTCGCTGTTAATATGGTATCGAAAAATTTATCGTTTATTGGAAATTTATTGTACTGTATAAGGATTATTTTATTCACTATTTCGTTTCGTTGCATAAAACAAAAGACTACGAGTAATATTGCGCTTCTGGTCTAGCCAGATATTTTATTGTGCTGTTTCAGTTATAAAACGTTTTCATTGCGATAGTAACTAGTTCGTAATGAGCGTTCCTTTAAAGGGCAATTTTGTATCATGATAATAGCAATAAAAATTTTATTACGCAAGCAGTTCCTTACAACATTTTGCTTTACGCAGAGTAATTTAAATCTTAAAACCATAACGCAATTTCTATTATCAAAAATTACTATCCACATACAGAGATAAATAGCAGATTCATTCATATATCGATTAGTAAGCGTGGTCGATAAGACATTGCCTAGAAATAGTATTACATGAGATAAATCGTCGCAACATAGAATTGATTTAGTCTGTATAATTTTCATTATTTTATAAACAATTTTGAATTCAAACCTTAGTAACGGGTACTTAAGAATTGATAGGTACGGTAAAGGATTTATGACGATTGAATCATAATCGCAATGCCATATCAAAAAAGTAATAAATATGGCAAGATGTTAGCTAGCTAGCTTCCATGGTCGCATCGGGCATAATTTGTTCAGTTGGGTTTAATCGGAAACATGAACGATATTTAATAACACAGTTAGAATCTTTCAGCTTACACATACTATACATCCAGGAAAGAAGATAGATTTGTACGATTACATACTATTCTAAGGTGCAACATATTTAATATGCATTGTATAAATCGTTTACACTTGTATTACACTACTACGGCATTAAAAGGATACAATTGAGCCATTTCAGTAAAAGAATAATACAGCACTAATTTTTATAGATTTAGAATACAAAATGTGTTTGCTTACTAAACATCAAGCAATCTCTCCTCTGATGAAGAATCGGATCTTTGCCTTCTCGCATATCTTCGCTTGTATGCCACAATCTTCACAGGTTAGATAAGATACGTAAATTAGAAATCACGATCGATTACTTGGAATAAGTCCCAAAAAAAGTATAATGGAATTCTTACCCGGCCATAAATAAATGAAAATAACGTGAATAATAATATAATGTAAAAGATCGTATAAGCCCACATTCGTAATATTCGTTTTTTCCTTGCCCTTGAGAATGAAAGTAAAATGATGTTGCTGTATGGATTGGTTATTAAAATATTCACAAAAAATTAGTGTAATCCTGGAAAATGTGCTGTACCATTCTTCTAAATCCTTCACATATAAAAATCGATTACGATAATTTCTCGGCAGTTCGAATTGCGATGGTGTCGGAAACAGTGTTTCATATAGTTCAATGAGTAGCCCCTTAATCTAGAGAGCAATATTTAGATTTCTAAAATTTATTTAAATAGTTTTAAATAGTGACACTTTGGCTAATTCTGCAATTTAAAAAACTACTTACCAAAATAGCATTTTCGTGTTCATGGTCAATATCATCATTCAGACATATAAATTTTCTTAACAAATCAATACAGGGAAAATGTTTCAATGGTATGTATACCCATTCATCTACGACAAGATAACATTCAATGCTACAACATTGCTAAATTCTTACTTTCTGTCTCTTCTGATTGAGTCTAACTGAATCATAACCTGTGAGAAGATTGGTTTAGTACGTTAATATACTGAATAAATGAGTAACTAGCTCTTAAAATAGAAATGAATTCTCACTGTTGTAACATTGTTGCGGAGCATTTTGAAAGCTACGTTTTCGTCGTCAACAGTTTCAAATCTGAGGAAATAAACTTAAATTAGATAATGATTGCGGTATCTCTATGAAAATTTACTTACTTGTGCTTGTTTGTAGGCGTATAACTTTCATTAATTAAACTAACAATTGGATCGCAGCTCGATATAAGTTCCAAAGTAATTGGAGGCTAAGAGACGATACCAATTTCATATTACACCTAGATGCTTTAATCACAAACACTACTGCTTTTCGAACTTGAGAAGTTACTTACCAACTTTGCTTCAAAATACATTTCTTTAGCTAATTTTTCAGTTGACGCTGTCGTAGACATATTTAAAGCCACGGAACAGTTAATTAGCGTCTTTTCTACATTCGATAAAGCCTAGCAAGTGATGATAAACATGATGTAGTTTAAATCAATAATTTTCCATTATTTTAGTAATGACATTAGTTCTAACAATTCTTGGTGAATGAAAAAATACCTGGAATGATACAGGCAACGGAAGAATTCGGCTAACCAATGTACGCAACTCTCGATCGGAAAGTACCCTAATTATATTATTTAAGTTATTAATTTCTGTCAATTTTACGAGCGAAATAGCTTCACACTTCAGCTATTGTAAAAGATATCAGCAACAAATTATGATATACCCTGAGTTGTCCGTATCAATGTCCTTAAAAAACTTAGACACATTTAATTCTTCCATTTTGCCCATGATATAATAATAGTAAGAAAATGAGAATTGCATATCGTCTGGACTCCGAAGACGGTGAGCGGAAGTCTTTTCGAACTCTTGCGGAAGGCTGCAGAATGCCATTTATTTATAAATCGTAACTTACAGAGGTGCTTAATTATCGACTTAATAGACAATGACATTATTACAATACAAAATACGCACTTCAATCGGTCATTTATCTACTAATACATACACATCATGCAGTTCCTGTAAGATATCTTTATCCATCATATGGGATATATGGGCAGGAATTTTTCTGACCACGTATCCAAACATTTTGTTGTAAATGCGATTAACGTGCTGCAGAGATCCTTTAAATGCCTCTAGTAGCTTTCGACCAATAACGGGTTTAGGTCTGAGCTGTTCTATCGCTTCTAATTTTTCTTTCGTCTATTCAGAATGTACATGTAGAGATTTAATAATATATCGAAAAAGTTTTATTTACAATGACAATTGACAGCGTATAACCTCAATCAAACTATCGAACATTCTTTGCTTCTCCCAAGGAAATGATCCTCTACCCTAGTAATAAATATAAGAAAGAAATGGACTTATTGCGATATATATACTAAATTAAAGAAGAAATTCTTGCAATAGCTAACGAACAGAATAGCTTAAAAGGCGACGAGGGGAGGAATGAACTGCCTTTGACTTTCTGGGTTCGTTGACGTTTCTTTTTTTGTCTAGTCTAGCCTTAACTGTTATCGTGTACAATTGAATAATATATAATTTATTTATTCAAATATAGGTTAGAATATGTTCAATTCGGATTGTATTGCATGCTTTCTTACCGTATGAAATTAACAATTGAGACTTTCTAATTTCATATCCTTTGCGTGTTAAATAACCACTATTGTAATCATTTTTCAGTGTGATTAAAGAGCGATTGAGACTGGTAGAGATATCATCAAGGTCGGATATGGTAATATTATCCCAAGAAAGACTTCTAGGCGCTAAGCTTGGTCTATATCGCCTGTGAAAGTAAATTGACAGCATAGCAACAATTTTATATGAAATGATTACCGTTGACAAGTCTTTAAAAGTAATAATTACTTTAGGTTTGGGTTATCTTTCCAAAAGTTTTGCATGGTTAAGGAGAGAGTCTTATTCGGCTAGAAAAAAATTACAATTTAGGTTTTACAGAAATAAATTATTTACAACAATATTACTATGAAATGATACATAATAATATCCGCATTCACCTGGGCTGTATAAAAAGATTGAGTCGGGGAGTGATATACTTGATTTAAATTCACACTAAATGTAAATTGAAACTAGCAGGGTTGTAAAAGAATTAATAACCAACTTGATATAATTATTGCCTTATAACAAAACTGCAATCATGAATACTACCTTTCGCGTTGCCGTATCAGATGAACTCACTAAAGTAACTTTAATTTGTGTGTCATTACAAGCCATTTTGGAAGCTTCATAGAATAAGAATGTTAAAACTTTAGCTTTTTCGGAAACAACAGCAGTTCGAATTGCGCAACTCTTTCCGTCATATTCTGCGTCGGTAATTGTTGCATACTGAAAAACTTCTGTCAAATTAATATACATAGCTTCCAATCCTAGTGGAAGAATTGAAATTCAATTCCTTACTTTGATAGTATAAAATTTAATAATTATATAATTTTATTTCGCATTATTTGGAGTTTTAAGGGTGTAAGACAGCATACTAACCATGCGGGACAATAACTGAAGTTGTAGTATTATGCAAATCCACACGATAAAGCATAGAGTATCTGGCAGTTCCACAGTCACCACCATCAAAGCCACAAGATGCTACATCGCAAGACTATGATAATAATTACAAAGAACGATAACGTGATGTAATTAATTCAAATGTATTCGCACTGCTATTTTAGTTCTCAAGAAATCTCAGATTGGATATAAATATATATATATTTAACCTGGTCACAGTATTTATCTCCAACCCAGCTATCAGCACAGCCAAGATTACAATAACTGATTATCGCTATAAATTTTTTAGAAGTTAGTTATCAAATTCCAGCATTATTTCCTTATATTAAGGTTACTAGTGACCTGGTTGGTGAAGTCCTGCATTTTGTCCTATGCCGTGTAATGTCGCCTGTCCAGCTTCTGTTCCACCTACGAGTTACCACAAGAAGTGAATATGTCGTTATTACTCAATAAACTAGGATTGATTTGATAGTATGCAATTATAATTGCAACACTGAAAAAATTTACTGAAGCAGACCTAAACAATCTCCTCCATCCCAATCGCAGGATGAGGTATTGCAAGCTTTATCACAATAACCATCTCGGATCCAATTTGGAGGACAGCCCTCATTGCAGTTAGGAACGGGCCATGTTAGGTAAATCTATGTTAAGGGTACAAAAATGATACGCGTATTATCATCAACATTGTCGAGAACTATACGCGCAAAAGTGAACTCGGTTTACTTTTTGTCCATTTGCATGAGTATAAAAGTCATCTGGCCAAACAGGTCTTCCAAAAAACACGTCATCATTTAGATAGATAAATTTCTTAGACAATCCGGGTATTCTATGAATATTACTCTCTATAGATGGTGAACTAAAGGATGGTAAGTGGCTGCGGTTGAGGTAGATTTGCTAGAGAAACGTCCGATATAAAAAAATTGTTAACATTCTAATTTCGATATCCGTAGGTTCTACTATTGTGTATATATATAAGCAGTGTTAGTATCATTATTAACGATTGATTTATTTGACAGTCAGTTACTGAATTACAATTTTAGATATAATTAGTAATCTGTGACTGCATCATTTAATAACGAAAGCTGAACACCAGCTTATCACCTCATGTGTAACAATCTGGACACGGGGATTTTCTAGATTTAACCAGCTAGGAATTTGTCCATTTGTAACAATAAAAATCTTGCGAACCCATGGTGCATATCGCTCAACTGATCGTATCGAAAATCGTAGCTCCTATATCAGTTATGAAATCCAAGGTTATAATCTAGAAATTAACAAATGTTGTGAACATCGTAAAGTAACTGACTTGGTTATCTGAAAATCTGTTTGAGGCCATGTTGATATCTGGATCGGCATCATTGTCATCACCGTCCTTACAGCATAAGTCGGTAGATGAAATTAGTGTATACAGGACAAGAAATATGTATTGTAGTCATTCAGGATGAGAATGAAAAATCCGTATCGTGCGGTCACAAAATATACGATAATCTGAAGCTAATACTAACCGAAATAGAGCGTCTTGGTGCCCAGACCAGGTAGGCCTGGTATACTTTTATTAAGTGACCATTAAATTTGATCAATTTCTAGTTATTTTGTGAATAGTAGAGTATTTGAGTAAAGATAACTTTAAGTGATACATTCTATAAGGAATCGATTTACTCACGGTTTCGCTAAGTTTCGATCCTGAATACTTTTCTGATAATTCAACTAAAATAGTGCCTTGAGTAGCGTATGCTTTAATCTATTTTAATTAGAAAATACAGTTTACAGTAATTTATATGGACCATGAATGTTCAATAATATTAAGGTTTTATTAAATTAGCAATCAATATGCGACGGTTTATTTTACCTTTGGTAATGTCTCATTTCTTAAATATTTTTTTAGTATGACTTTAATTCTTTTTCTTAAATAGGTCTCATCCATTAGATATCGAATCGGAAGTCCAGTAACCAGAATATGGCGCTCTAATGCGACTCCAAGAGGCTCAACTTTGTTAGATGTCTAGAATGTTATAAAAAAAAATAAAGGAATATCCGGAATGCTGTATTATTCTTAACTGTCACATTAGTTACCAGGTAAGCCTTTGATACTGCTAATTGCTCATCGTGCATTTCGATTTTAGACTTGAAAGCGAAACGAACTAGCATCAAAATAATTAGTCATTATTAGTTTTAGAGGAGTAAAGAGAGTATCTATTAATTTTATTGGAGCTTAGACAGATATTAATTACCATTTTCTACTTTTTCAACATCTACAGCGTAGGATAACTTTTTATACATAGCATTGGTAACATTGGCAATCCAACGAACTGAGCTCAAAGACTCGTGTAGTTCACGTATTGATAGCAACGTTACATCAGTGGCTAGCTGAGATCCTTCTAATACGATGATAGTAGAAGGGATGCAATTGACAAAAGAGCACCAGCTGTTGATAATAAATTTGCATTAGTAGGCAGTTTTATAAAAATCGAATAAGTAGTATTTGTTTCTACTGGATGGTCTTTATTTTAAATTAGTAAATGCGAAAACTTTACCTGGAAGAATTTCCACTGCTTGCGGTTTCATGTTTATGGCTAATTTCAACAACCGTAGTATCTGGTAGATACTTTGCACAATCCCCCAAAAGAGTAAAGTTGCGTAATTTACTACAGTACATAGGAATAGTTTGACCGTTATTCTAAAATATATATTTCAATACTTACAACTTATTAATAGGTTAGAAATGTGATTATGCAGGAAAATTATTATCTTCCATCGTACGGAATATTAAAAAATCATTGTTTCACGTATTACCTAAGATCGATGTTCTTGAGATGAGGACATTCCTCGTAGAACCTGAAATAAGAGTATACATAATACCGTATCATAAATATGATGCTAGCGCAGATACTGAAATTTAATAAGAAACGTTGATGTACAGGTTTAATAGGAAAAGTAGCGAGCAGCGATATTTCTCGAAGTATGCATGCAGAGTTGAAATGCTTGATACATTGTACCGTATGGATTATACAACATCCAACGAACACAATTGAACTCACTTAATAAGCTGCCAGAGTAGAACACATAATATAAGCACGCAATAGTTCGCGTAACATATTATAAAAAAAAATTAGTTAATCCTTATTGGTATTACTGCAGTTACATGTTTATTTGCATTTCTTGAACTTCCTGTTGCATCTGTCTTTTAATAGCGGTTAATTCGCGAATTAATTTTGGATCAGAGCCATTTACCCATGTGTATACGACATCGATCGGCATAGGAGTACATATCCTATTAAAATTAATAAAGTACGTAAAATTTCAACTCTATTTTATGCTGTTACGGAGAAGGGTTACATCCACTTGCAATTTAATCGCAATTAGTGTTGTCAATAATATTAATGTACTTTGTTTCATAATTCAGTAAGCAGTAACTTATCTAATAGAAATTATACAGTCCATAACAGTTTATCGATGGCATTGATTGATTAGCGTAAAGTATACTCCATTCATCATTTTAAAATAACTTTGCATAGTAAACCATGTTATGGCTACATTATGTATTGGTTCTCTACCGTTAGCCCACATTGCTGATGAAGTAGTTAGCTAAGTAAGTTTCTTGCAGCAACTATCATTGTATCCTTTTCGTCTAATTATTAAGCAATGAACGCATAGCAGCAATCTTTACAATAATATTTTAAAGCTGTAAGTATGGAATAGCAAGACTAGTCAAAGTATCATGATAATCAGGCTACTTATTAAGGCATCCAAATGCAAAATTGGACGTTACCTGTCTTGATATGATTGGCCTGCAAGATTGTCATAAAAGCTATCAAATGTAGATGCATACTGGACCTTACTCCATTTTATTGCCAGCTTGAAGATGAAAATAATAATATAAGATTAGGTATAATCATTAAGCATAGCATTAGCAATTTGTATGTTGTACTCAGAACAAATTTTAATTTTAATGAATGAATTTCTGGATCAGCGTGAAGATTTATAATTAGAATAATTGGCGTCAGCTATTGTACAGTACAGTACAGGACAAAGTGCCAAGAGTTAAGCTATTGAAAATGTAGTCCTGTCATGGTCATTGATTACATTCGAGCTATTTACGAAAGGTTCAAACTGCTAAGAAGAAAACAGGCAACATTACCATAAAGATAAGCAATGAATAGAACAACCCTCCTGTATCTATGCTAACTATGATGAGTAATCATTTCATTTTTTTACCTCACCAAGCTCGAATGAAAATATCAATGCCAGAATAAATCCAACAATGGACAAGGTGATTCCATATCGAGACGACAAGCAAGAATAGATGTGTCTCTGAATAGTTTTAGTCAAAGCCATCTAGTTAAAACATATTACTTCAGTCTATCTTCCAACTCTTGACGTGATGAGAATAAGAGGGCATAAGGAATGTCTAAAATTTCAGTGAAGAAAGTCAGCCATTTTTCTCCTTTTATGCAGACATTGGGCTGTTTGAAGACCGTCGTCCCTTGTCAGCTCAGCAGCTTTCGATACCTGCTGCACCTGAGTCGCTCATGATTGCTACAGTACATTATCTAGTACAGTACGCGGTGATTTGGACTGTAAGAAGTTCTGGTACAGTACTGTACAGTACAGTACAGTATACCAGGCAGCTACAGTGTACAGTACAGTACAATACTTCAAACAATGCTGGCAGAGTGGCAGGTGTCTCGGAGAATTCATTTGGATCCAATGCAATAACCTTTACATGAAATACGGCATTTTATTCTCAGTAGAGAACAACGCCAACCTCTGCGTGCCATTTTTCTATTCTGACGATACAACTGGTCACTTATCACTACAAATTGACTAGGCTTTTTCTCATTTTCGGTGTACTGTGCGATACTAAAATACAGTACAGTACAGTACAGCTATTAGAACTGTTTACATTACAAATGGCAGAAGGGACGCGAACACAGGTACAATACCGGTACAATACCAGTACAGTATCATACTCCGTTCTAGACCATCGCGGTCCGGCTTTAGTCCGACTTCGTGTCGAACTTGTTCCATACAGTAGAGTACGTAGGGCCGATGATACAGTAGAATGACGAGGCTGCTGATAGTCTATCAAATAGTCAACAATGACACTTAACTATTGCAATCCCTAGTTTGCTCAGATATTATGGTTAACAAGCAGATGGAAAGATAGACGAGGTAATGGAAGAAACCTCCTATCGTATGAGATCTGTAGAGACGGTCCTGAAACAGAGAGCACCCGCTGTACCTACTGTACTGTGTACTGTACAGTAGACTCATTGTACTGTAGAGGCCATACTGTACACTGTACACGACTGTATTACACTGTGCAAAATAGTCTGTCACCCCCCCTACTATTTCTCTATTCAATAGCAAATAGAAATATAGTGATCATGAGATCATAGGGCATGACGGCTGATTTGACTTGGGAAGTCAGGATCACGACAGAGCATGCTCCAAACACGACGATACTATTTTGCAAGGCACTGGCACTACTAGAGCTCCAACAGCTAGACAGACTCTATAGTAGACTACAGAGTTGGATCCACAATAAAATTGACAAACGGTAGGAAACGCAAGCGCGACAACATCATCCTTTTAGTAATCCTGCAAGCATTGAGCGATCTAGGATTTGCTGCCGCTGCCGGCTTTCAAGTCTAAGAAAACTAGTGACTTCGCCATCAAGAGATCCATTAAAGACTAGCATACGATATGCAATCAGAGAAGAATCCACAGGTTGATTATTGACTTGATAGAAGTAAAAATGAGATAGTTGAATGACTGCGCGTGGAGTACATGAGTTGCCTTGCTACGCAATGCTTGTATAGTAGAGCAGTAAAAGACTTTCTTTCAAGAGGAGTAGCACCATGACACGCTTCTACGGGCCAATGTTGTCCACTGAAATCGTTCAGTACAATCTATGATAATTATATGTTATCCAAACCTTGATAGATGACTGTAGTCTTGTTCGCCTCTTAATGAATAGAAAATACACCTGACTATTGAGATATAGTATATCCTATACTAATGGATAGCCAGTCGTGATATGCATGATGGATAGTACTTTGACATCGTAGGACATTGCATGCTTTGCAGCGATACTGCCGTTTATATACTATCAAATTAGTTTGGTGTTCGAAAGAAAATAATATCGACAACAACGTAGATAAAGACGAATTAAAGGAACTAATTCCATTTTTTCTCTATCAAATAGAATTTATTGCAACAATTACGCCAGTTTATCTATCAACATAATAATCAATCATGCCTTCAACTGGCCAAATCAAGCTTACTGTTATTGGTGTCATTACCTTCTGCCCGTTTGGCTATATTCGAACAACTCAGCGATATTTTTCTAAAATCGGTTGTTGCCAATAAAGAAGAGAGTAATAATGAACTGTATTCAGCTACACAAGCAATTCATGCCACACTAATGGAATTATTACATCGAAGTCCTGATGCTTGGACCGGCATTATTGACGAAGTAAGTATTAATGTAATGTACAGTACTAGATACAACCATTCTCTACCAATGAAAACACCTTCATTGAATACATGCTTATCAAATTTATAAACTAAAATTGGATTATCGTAATTTGTATTATCTATAATATGTTAATAGTAGTAAAGCGCTATGCTATTACCATGTATGCAGTATATGTGATTTCAAGAAATGTATAATTTTATTTTCTCATTACCTTGATAGTGGGCCTTAAATCTTCTGGGTCTTATTAGCCAGCAATGTGTTGACAAGATTGGTAAGTAATTTCATATTCATATGGATTAATACCCTCAAAAATGGCTGACTGCTTTAAGCAATGTACGATATCAAATTATATTTCCATTGGTATTAAAATATGAAGATCAATTTATTACTGTACACAATATATCGATCGTTCTTCCTTAAGTAAATTGCTATACATATGCGTACTACAATCAGTCTGTGTCCTCTACCTATACTGTGCGAGTATATTGCCTTGAAATCTATCATTTTGAGCATCATTAGCTTAAGAAAAAATGACGGTATATCCACTATATTTATACATTACAAGAAATTTAGAAAATTATGAATCTTGACCAAACCATGAATATATCAAACATGTTTGGTTATATTCCTTCCACATTATTCTATGATTTAGTTATTATGCAATATTTATGTAAAGGAATGGAAATAATGCTGAAATACAATATAATGTACTGTATTGTAAATCTTTCATGTTAAGATACGAAGAATGCAATGGAAATAGCTAAATAGTAATACGGCTCTTATACAGTATATACGGTAATTGTCTTTACGGTTAGTTAATGGAAGCTCGTAGTAGCGTTTCTACAATAACAGGTTACACTACGGAATACGTTATTCCATTGTAGTATTTTGCATGTAGTATTATTTTAGTAAGTGCCCTGTAGATTAAATTGGTAAATGAATTAATCAAATTTTACTAGCGGTTATCGTGATTTATGAAAGTAAAGTTATAGCTACGGTGAAAGTATTCTTCTTGATATTGTTTGTATCAATAGTGTAACTGATTTTATTGTTCTCGTCAATATTGTAGGAATTCCTGCATCAAGTTCGGTAGATGAGCGATTGCAATACATGATGGACAATCAAGGTAGAAATGCTAAATGATAGTTATTTATTGTGGTTATTATTGATAAATAGCGAGGCTTATCATGACAGTCTATGTCCTAAAAGGATTTTTTTTCATTCTTACAGCTACTCAATTCCTGATTGATATTGCAAAACAGTGCTTCAACATAAAGTAAACAAAAATAAAATGAATCTAAAATTACAAAGAAGCTAAGGCGTTCTCCATATTAACGTATCATTACAGACTTAATCGCAATGAAGGAGACTGCGTAAACTGCCTACTAGAAACATCAGTAAAGTATTCAAATCAATTCGATTGGGTTTTAACACATTTTGCGTAAGTGAAATTATCATCGACGGAAATAGTGTTTTTAAAATGTTAAATGGATAGTTTATTTTTGTGAACAATTGGATCCCTGATGGAAGTAAGATGGCGTATCATTTCTTTTTTTTAGATCATGCTTTTCGTCTGTCCTTTTACCGCATTTGCTTCTTGGTGGTTTAAAAGATTTTTATCAGAATAGCTACAAAAAGGACGGCATTTATGTTAATGAAGATTCAATTACATCTGGAGTGATACGAGTGTTGAATTATATTGCTGTACAACATCCATCGGAAATTAGGACATCTTTACTAAGTTTCTTCTCGGTACATGTCTATACTAATCGTTTATCTATGATTATATGCGATTTTAAATGCTGAAATTATACTTATGTAGACAAGCTTAGGAACATCAGACAAATTAGATGAAATGTACTTGGCAGCTGTTCCATTCTTTTTGTACATACTATCTGTTTCACCAGTACTATTAGAAATCTCTACTATTGAATTTGTCCGACTTTGTACGTATTGAAAATTGGATATAAATGTCAGTGATTTGTTATGTGTGATTTACGCTTAGTTAAAGAACCTTGCATTATTTTTACAATAGGGAATCATGACCTCTTGATGAGACTTTACGAGCAATCACAAAGGCGAAATGGTTATAATTTAACGACTCTAGTTATCAGTGTTATGCAGAATGTTAAGACCGGTGCTAAGGAGTTGTTACAGTGCTTCGTTAGTATTGCAAGGGAAAATGATGGTAGCGATAATGTTGCCAATTCTGAACAAAACGCAATCTATAACTCTTGCGTTCGCATAATGGTACATTCTCACAGTTTTGATACGGCATATTCTACATCTTGGCGCTAACAGATATTTCTCTATTTCACTCTTAGAATTCCTTCTTAAGACATTTACAACAATTGGTTCAACAAAAATCTGGCTCTTCTGATGAGAATATTAGTAGCAGTACCAGTGCCGAGTTATTGGTGCCATTTTTAGTAGAACTACAAAAGCATAAAGATGTTTTATGTCGGGAAATGTTAAAAGAAAGTGGAATATGGTAATGTTGATATTCTATGTGCGGATCACTTAAAGGGATAGACTATTCATTAACTAAAGCGAAATAATTTCATTCACATAGCCAATTTTGGCTCATCCGTATTCTCGTCTTAATCGGAGTTTATGAAGGAATGGATTCTGCTGCAGAGTTGCTATCTTATATCGTTTTGCACGCACATACTGTGGAAATGGTACGTTTGGTTAAAAGAATACTTATATGTATATTTTTATGTATTATCCATTCTTTTTAAATTGTCATTACAAATTTTTTCTTCATCTGCTAAGCTTGGATTATTTATACAACTGCAATGTGAGTTGGAATCTAGTTATCCTCAATTGACCAATAGTATTGTGCAAAGGTTAATGTCAAGTTTAACATGCGGATCAAATTTTTCTTCCCGGAAAGAGGTTAAAATGCTCTATTTCTTTTAACAACATAGCTGGATAAGAGACTATTGCATTTAGATTTTTATCTAAACATTGGTTTGTATAAACTGTATTAATGCAGGCTTGTAGGTTGCTTGGTAACATTCTACAGTTACTTACATGGGAAAGCCATCCAGAGACAAAGTCTTTTATTAGGTTAAGTGTTACATTTGTAAAATTAATCTGTGCTTGGTAGTTAATAATGTTTAATGCAATATTAATGCATTTTAAATTGTAGGAGCCGGCTTGTACAATCGCTACAATCTCGCATACTGAAGTTCGCAAATTTATTACAGCATCCTAATGACGAGATGTCAACTATAGTCTTGAAACTAATGATTTACCTTAAGCCTGCTGAAGCTAACATGGATGTAAAGACTGTATCATTAATGAGCCAATCCTTGGTTACATTTTTCTTTCAGTTATTGTGTACTTACGAAGAACATAGAACCGGTAACGTATTACAGCACATCATAGTGCCTGCCACAGCTTTATAGCGGAAATATAAATATGAAATTTATTGATATATTATTTCATGGGGCCCGTTTTAGATCATCAAAATTTATTAAAGTCCATCAAGGCTGTTATGATTGCACTGTGCAAGCAACCGATGGGACCAGTGTTTGTTCTTCGTCGATTAGTAGAGGATGCTTTACTGTCACCGGTATTCCCATATATATGCAAATATTGATTGTGTTATATATTCATAAGACACTGTTATTCATTTTTTTTTACCATAATCGTTATTTAGGTAAATTCGGAAATGTTGGGAAACGATAACTCCGGTAAGGGTCCTCTTGTATGCAATTATACATGATATATGTCAGAGTGTCGTACCTTTCAGTTGCTTTTTTCTAAAAATTTATTACTATTTATAGAATTACCTGATATATTACGAATAACGGGAAGGAGGACAAAATATACAATATCTTCTACTATGAGCGAGCCTCATGTCAGCTTACTTAAAGCTAATTGGAGTAATCAATACGATTTAATAAAAACTAGTGGTAGTAAAAGTTTATTCCATGACGGCTTAATTGGTCGCGTTCATAGCAATAACAACGGATTATATAATTCAAATGGAGTCACTAATGGTTCTAACATACAGGTAGTTATATTCGCTGGTTGTATACTTACAATTTGCTGTTCAATAATATTTTGAGTTTGACATTCTTTTGTATTTAGGAACAAGTCCTATTAAAGACTTCTTTATATGTTAACATCTTGAGAGAGTGTGCTAAAAGTAACAATGAATGGGACAAACGAACTAAGTCTGGTTATGTATCTCCATCTGGCGAACCGAACTCCTGGACTAATGTATCTCGTTTGGAAGTTTTAAGTATAACGGTAGTCGATCTTTTATCACCCGATCTTATTCCAGTACCGAAGGCTTGCTATGACGATGACTTTGTTAAACATCCAGATACAATTGAAAGGTCACTAGATAAAATTTTAGTATCATTAGAGTTGTAGGTGTTCTAATTAGAATAATTTCATTTAAATTATTGGGTGAATACAGGGATATCCACGTATTTAAAGTCTTTGATAAGTGTCCACTCCTATTTGATATATTAAAGTTTATTGCCGAAGGTAAGTCTTATATGTCTCCGGTTGATCTCTGATTGGCATTATCCTTGATACTTTATAACTAGATTTTTGCTTTTTCGTTAATTGTTTTAGATCCTTCCGCAATTTGTAACTGTGATACTATTTTACGAAGTTTATTATCTGTATTACTAAATTATTGGTTACGTAATAAAGAAAGCAAAGTTGCTGAATCTCCTGCTCAACTGGAGATGTCTTGCAAATTGATTAAATTATTATCGGTAGCTGGATGGATTCCAAATCCTGTGACAAGCATTCACCATTTATTTAGTAAATGTACTCCTTATCAAGTTTATTTATTACTCATGACAGCGTGGAAATATTTAAAAGTAAGCTTTACAACCCTACACGATAGTTTTGCAATTCATTATTGTATCGATTGGTTGACTCCTTGCTTATTTTAATTGCCAGGATAACAAGCCAAGAAAACCTGACCAATTTATTACTAATAGACATAGTTTACCAGGTAACGTCTTCCAAACTAATTTATTTTGTATTTATGGTATTTTCGTAATTTTTAGCGAGCTATAGGATTTGCATGGATTTGCATAGATTTGCAATTTCCAGGCTATTTTATGATTAATTTTACGTAGTACGTTTTGATTTGGGTACCTTTATAGTATCTATTGAATGCTGATAGTTTTTAATAATCGACTTACTTATGAATCACTTGTAAACGTATTTATAAAATTTTTCCTTAATCATTGTTAGAATGTAAAGAGGAAGATAATCGTCTTATAAGATCATTGGTTCAAGAAAAGATTAGTGATATAGGTTCTCATTACGCAGAATTTATCAACGGATCAATCTGAGACTAAAAACCTCTTAGCGATTTATTTAACCATTGTGTAAATTTTTGTATATAGAGTAATATGTATTCATATATTTGTTTTATCTCAATTGTAAAAAAGGTATCACTCATGTATAATATTTCGTTAGCTTGTCATAATATTACGAAACTTCTTTATTTTTCCACCTTATCTGATACCTAGGTATTAGTGGTATTAGCTAAAAAACATATTAGTCTCTTCAGTAACAATAACAAACAAACGTATCTTGATTGATCTATCGTTCTAGTATGAAATTTTTTATGCATTGATTTTACAGTTAGTTTCATCTTGTAATAACTTCATTGAGTTTGACATATGTTAATTACTATCTTGGAAATTAAAAGTAGTTTTTATACCTATATATTTTTGTCTAATGTGAAGAGCAACAGGTTGCATAAGAAGTGGTATCTGTTAAGCTAGCGAGCGATTAGTTTATTTGAATGATCTATGTTGAAATTACTGTGAAATTTCAGTAACTTGGATTATCAATGATTTAAACTTAAGAACAATCCGATCAGCTTTGTACTTATCTGTCTAAATGTTTCAGAGTATATAAGAAACGCTGGTATTTTTTTTAAGTTTTTCGATTAGAGGTTAAAAAAGATAGTTATGCAGTTAATAAAATCCAGTATAAAAGAAATATTATCATGCAAATATTTGCTATGAAGCTTAGATTGAAATAAAATATTACGCTATATAAATAGAATTCCAAGAGAGTGCAAGTATACATACATTCAATATAGTTCTTTAGCAAGTACTTCAAATCTTTAACTCTCACTCATTAAGGAAATCATTGGTGCTGTTCGATAAACGTTTGGTGAGATTTGTTCACAACGCTGCTGTTACAATACGAGTGTATATCCCATATAGCTGCATGTTATATTTTATTATCATTGACCCTTGGATCACGTATGAAAGATTTGAAAAAAATTGCTATGGAATGTACAATGTACAATGTACAATAATTTATACCCGATAACTACTTGTCTATTTACATGTATACGTACTTCTTTATCAGTTATTTAAGAGCGTGTGTATAGAAATATTGTCTTGTGTAGTCAATCCTTTGATATTATATTGTGATATATTCATTTATCATAAATACGATTCAGATTAATTATACAATGTTGTTGCAATTACGTATATCAAATTGTACAAAGTTATAGCATTAATTAACTGAGCACTTCGTAAAAATCACCTAATGCACGATAAAAAAATTGATTTGTATTAAAATTATCATATTCTTGCGTCAATATTCATAATTCGATTGATTATGTAAATTAAAGTTGTTCAAAGTGAATATCAAATAATTTCGAGTAGTTTACTCTTTATTACCATAAGTGCATGTCTAGCCTTTATCGTTTCTTCTTCCTGTCTCAAGATACCGATCAGTTTGCCTGACCATAATAATAGAATGGTAAAATGATCATCGTCGATAACTTTTAAATAAGTAAAAAAAGGTTGAAAATAATGCAGCAGCAAAAAATCCACGAAATACAAGCTGACGTCGGGTTTTAGGAGCAGACAGTATCCACCACGTCTTTCGTGATACCGATGGTAAAGGAAATGCTGATGGATGGCGTACTACATCGGTAATTATGACTTGAAGTTGTTCCATATTTTTACCATACTTTGCCGATATTAAGACAACATCAGAGTGTAATCCTACCACACTACGCCAATGATTTTCTAAATCGATTAATGAGACACCATTTTCTACTAGCCAATCAATTTTATTGATGACAACAACCACTTGACGAGATCTTCTTTTCAGGGCATCGTATATTTGTTTATAGGATTGATCAGCTTGGTCACAAACGACTAAGATACTAACATCGAATTCTTCATTCCAATCATTGGTGATAGTAACTCGATTACTTTGAATTTCATAAATACCTACGATATCGCCTAATGTATCATGTGTAGAAAAGTAATTGGCAATGGTCGATTTACCAACACCTTGTGGACCAATAAGTGCCACCGTAAACGTTGTACTTTTGGCCATGATATCGAGTAAACGTTACCTATAGATCGCCAAAAAAGAAAAAAAATGATGCAATCTTCAAATCAGCTGGGTCTATGCTTTACTAAAATAAACATCTTATTCCAACAAGTTGACTTTAACTGAATGTTATTTCATCATCAATGTTAATGACTTGTATCGTAGATTAAATTTAACAAAGATCAAAGATAAATCTTTGCTCATAATTTTATTTTCCAGCTGATCCATTGCTATTTAAGCCTTGCCCCTTCTAGTGTTATCATCGAGACCGGCCAGCCTACTGCAGCTGAGTATTACCGGGGGTTTTCAACTAAGAATGCAAGGACTACCTACCCTGTTAATCCTCTCTCAAAGATGATTGGTCACAAGAGTCATGGAATAGAAGTAAAATGCATCTCCATCAGGCAGTCGTAGGAATAATATAAGTCAATTTGAGCTTCTTAAACCCTTAGGAATGGTGGCAATGAGGTAGAAGGTAGAGCGATCGGCGAAGAAAATGCCGGAAATGGCTTTCATTCAAAGCAAAGCAGATGCTACGCGATTGCAGTTGTGGGTTGGTATGGACTGACTGCCCATTGGCCAGCGATCAATGGTTAAAATGGAATAGAGATAGTATAGACTTTGAGCTACTTCCTAGGCGCAATGGTTACACTGGCCCTGGTTAGAAGTTAACCACTGGTTACCCTGCCCCTGGTTAGAAGCGAACTACGGGTTACACTGCCCTTGGTTAGAAGCTAACTACGCGTTACACTGCCCTTGGTTAGAAGCGAACCAGTGGTTACGCTGCCCTGGTTAGAAGTTAACTACTGGTTACACTGCCCCTGGTTAGAAGCGAACAACGGGTTATACTGCCCTTGGTCAGAAGCGAAGCAGTGGTTACACTGCCCGTGATTCGAAGTGAACCAGTGGTTACACTGACCCTGGTTAGAAGTTAACCACTGGTTACACTGCCCGTGGTTAGAAGCGAACCACGGGTTACAATGCCCTTGGTTAGAAGCGAACCAGTGGGCAGTGGTTACGCTGCCCTTGATTAGAAGCGAACCACTGGTTACACTGCCCCTGGTTAGAAGTTAACCACTCGTTACACCATGGTGGCCAATATCGGCACACGTGTGTCAGGCTAGAAAGAAAGTTACGATCATACTACTATATCCTGTACAGCTCTATTGAATACATACTACAGTATAGAATAATTTTTGAGTAGGACGCGATCTTTCCCAACTGATACAGTGACTCCATGGTTCCATCGTGGTAACTGCGTTAGAGAGGAGAGTCGTTATACGTTGCCTGTATTTCATCACTCCTACAATCGACAGTTCATATCATTGACTATCATTTCTTCCAGAACCCACATTGTCCACCCATGGCACACACATCCCACATGACTGCTATGCTCATGCGTAAAAGCCTCTTCTATCCATTGAAAATTGCCTCTCCTCCAGTGCTCCTTTGAAAGAGAGTCTCCATTGCTGTAAAGCTGCCAGTGAATTTCTTTCTTTTCGTTCATTTCCTTTATAGTAAAATGGCGAATAAGAGCGGTAATAGTGATATTACAGAGAGAAAGATTAGACCAGTCTATGGTAAGATGATATTAATTAATTTCATGCCGATATCTTAGTATACTACGCTAGAGTAGTCATAGCCTTGAATTGAGATTGCAAGGGAGGGAAAAAAAGACAATTTGCCATTGGCTTGACTGCAGTGATAGCCTGAGAAAGGAATGATCGTTGCTGTTTTAGTCGTTCTATTGCTCATTTTAGCTGTCATGGTCAAGTTGGGCTTTATAGTAGCATGATAGATGAATATTTTAGCTTAAAATTCTTTGTACTAGACATATCATATCCATTAGATAGGTCGAAATTGAGAAATGGAAACAAAGGACTTGCTTTTCAATACAGTAGTGGATAGATGAATCGGTTGAACATATTGGTCTACAGCATTGTAATGAATTACTGTATAATTGGAATCATGGCACCGTGGTTTATAACTACCACGACAAGTTGTTTCTTGTATTACTAGATAGTCATGGATAACACACTATTCTTAGCCCAAATTGATTCAATGCTCTAATGTACTTTGGGGATTTAGACTAGCTAAAGAGTGTTCAGTCTAATATAGAAGCCTTCTACGCGTATTTGTGGGTGCTCTCGGTTCTTTGCACATTGTGTTGAGAGGCCTCAGCATCGCCATGGCTATTTGATAGACCTTCTCAGCTAGAATCTCTTCGATGCTGTCACATAAAGCGTCTGTCTGCTGTACATACTGCGTTAGAGAGCTTCTTGATCAGTATTGCTACTTGATAGATATTATTTTGAGCTAAAATCTCTTCTATGCTATCGCGTGGAACGCAGATGCTTTACAAGTATGTTTGAAAGCTTCTTGAAGAGCTTTTCTACTGGATAGGCATTATTTCCAACTAAATCTCTTCTATGCGGTTGCATGGTAAAATGCATAATATCATATTGTATTAAAGGGCTTCTTGATGGGTATTGCTAGTTGATAGGTGTTATTCTAAGATTAAATCTCGCCTATGATATACTATATATTCTACCAGTTAGATATCCAAGAGTTTTGCGCGATGCAGTCATACTAGATTGAGATATGAGAACAGAAGAATAATCTAAGCAAAGTTCCCGTCTAATTTATGTACATCCTCTGAATTTCCAATCTGTAACAGTCAATTGAATTGCTACTGTAATAAATTTTAGCGATGAATTACATGACTACTTGAAATATCACACTATTTTTTTTATAACTGCAATGATAATTATTCAGTACATTATTTGATAGACGCTATTCTAAGCTAGAAGCTTCTACTTTGCTATGCTGTATATTCTGCCATTTAAACCGGATAAAGGTACCTAATCGAATAAAGGTTGCATAGTAACTGCGTTCGAAGTCTACTGGACGATTATTCTTACTTTAAATGTAACAGTTCTTTGTGATGTAGTTATTGTCAGATATGATGACGAAGAACCTAGGCTAAGATTCCAGCCTGCTTTATCCAGACTTATAAATTAACAATTTAACGGTCAATGCTATTTTTAATTTAATAGTTCCTTGCAATTGGAGATATGATTCCTTTTGTCATCCATGATGCACAATACTGTAGGCTAGAATCCCGTTGTTACACATCTAGTATTACTTGATTAAAATGGCCAAGATGATCAGTGCAAAATATATCAGCCAATTTGATGAACTGTTTCCAATGTGCAACTCTTTTGCTGCTTTAATCATGCGTTACAAATTATTGTAACCATAACATAGCGCTTTGTTATTATGATGCCTGAGTTGGCAAAGGAGGATCGATCTGTGAGATGATCTTGTTTTAAAAGTTGTAAACGTCAACTTATAAATGAAAAAAATCATTGGCACTAGTTATTTTGGGCCTAATAAATTTGCTACATGATACATTGGAGCGTTACTTTGAATTAATCACTACCTTTTAGAAATTCTGACTTAACACTATCTAACAGGGTTGTATAATTAGAAAATAACATTTGGGAAAATTGGGCTACTTTCTTATTACTTCCTAAGTTTGATACAATACACTGTATGAATAGTTGATTGATGGAGCGATAAATTGACAACTATTTGAACAATTAGACACGATAATCGTAATTAATCTGTGCTATGATTACTTGCTTAACAGTTAGGTTTATCTTATAAAGTAGTAGCAGTAGCAGTTTCATAGTTTATGTAACTTGATAGCTGACTGCTTTAATAAAGGTTCGATTACGAACGCTCAGTTGCAAACACTATATGAACTTCAGATCATATTAAAGATATCTTTTTCTTGTATATTACATTTGCGTTGCATAAATCCGTTATGGTTTCACAAGGTCATGAATAATTAGTAGATATAAGGGTGTTAGCTGAATTTGTGATTTTTATAACATTTTTTAGAGGCTATTGATAATGGAAATTATAAAAAGGCTGTGCAAATGGCAGAAAAATTATTGTCAAGTAAACAAAAGCAACCGCAGTTGATGCAAATGGCTCACGTAAGTTACTAAAAGATTAATAATTCATGTCATTGCAAAGTAATTTAAATATCAATAGCAGGTATAAATTTAAATTGTCAAGTAAGAACTTTACTCAATTGTGAGAATCAAGAATTCATTACTTAGATAATTATGTTATTCTCTTAACTTAGATATATTTGGGATGTATGCCTATGATTTAATTCTATATATTTTCTGCGTTACTCTGATACATAACAGAAACCATTGTTGATTAATGTTAAATAATCTTAAAAGGTTGCCAAAGGTGTTGCATTATTTCGATCTGGTAAACTGTCTGATGCTCTAGAAGAAGTCAGCCAAGTTACTACCGAAGTAATAGTCGATGAAATGGTTATTCAAGGCTTGATAGTATTCTATAAGGATGCTAAACGTAAGATTGAACGTCAATTATACGTAAAGTGCGATTAAATATCAATAGGTAGGCGCAGAGTTTCATTAGATGTTTTTCTTTGTATTTAAATGTTTTAGCGGATGAAATACCTAAAATACTGGAAAAAGCTGTAGCTGTATCGAAAGGTTCAGAGCGTTTAGAATTTATGAACAAATTGTTTCTGGCTTATGCAAGAACTGAAGACTACAAGAAGCAACAGCAAGTTAGTGAATTTAAATGAAAAGAACGGCTATTGAGATACAGTAACTCATTCATGATAGAAAAACAATAAAACGCAATAGTTGTTTACTTTGTCCTAAACATCTTGCTTTTTCTGCCTAAATCTATGGTAATTTGCTTAATTAACAGGCAGCAATGAATCTCTATAGATCGGACGGAAAAAGATCCACTTACTGGTGGGCTGTATTTAGCAACGTTTTGCAGGTGTGTCTTATTTATTTTTACCTGGTTGAGATTATAGGTTAATTTAATCAGGTTTAGGCAATTAAAATTGCTTTTGTTTTATGCCTTATCTGCGTGGTAATTATATCAGGCTTACTATAGCACCGACAAGAATTTAAGCAAAAAGATGTTCCTACCGTTAGCAGAAAAAATGATGCAAAAAATGATTGGCGACGGTGGATTACATACAGAAGCTGGTTTGTATAATATAACATGTTTTATAGAAATTTCTTCATATTTTTCTAGAAAGAATTTCTAAAAATTGCAAACTGTTTCATATCATCGCTTATTGATGTAATTTGTTTATTTCTATTGATAGAAATTCTGTTATACGTAATGATTCTTCGCATGAGTGATAAGATATCTGAAGCACTGAAAGTAGTGCATTGTCAAGTACCAGGTAACGATCAATGACCTATTTTACATATTAATCCACGTACATCATAAGTTAAAACATGGCTTTTACTTCCTGCTGGTTATGTATAGCTTTCTGATGTTATCTTTCTCTACCTATTTGAAAACAGAAATTGAAGGAGATTTGTTAATTCACCGTGACTTTTTGAAAATAGAAATGCTGCAGGAGGCTAATTCTCATGCAGAGTTAAACTCTTGTTTAAAGGCATACTTGAGGAAGAGGTTAACTTATAATTATAAGTCGTTTTTATTGTTTATTGTTTGAGTTTTGTTTAGGCAATACATCATTGATTCATTTTATTGACGGTCGTCATTATTAATAGATGCGATGATTGGCGTAATTTCAATCTCTATCTTGACTCTGTATTTAATTTGATTGATATGGAGTGGAAGCCTAAGGATAACAATGAAGCTGAGATTATGTTAGTTCTCTAATGATCCATTTGTGATCAAATTACGTTTAGCGGTGTATTTATTCGTGCTTGGCCTGTAAAAACGCGTAAACAAATTTTGACGTAATTACAACGTATAATAAATGACGAATTCTGGTATAACGCTGTATTTATAGGCCTGATTATACTATCGATATGGCTACGGAATTTATTTGCAGTTTATTAGAAAATGGAGGTAGTTCTGGTGCTAACTGCAGTCGAGGTCCTTACTTAGCACAGATGGAGATCAAGAAGCGTCACAAGATGCGCACTCAGGGCAAGGAAGTTCAGTCGTGCGGTAATGCTGAATGTAATATTTGTTTAGTGTTAATGTTGCATACTCAAACTATGTACAGTAAGTATAGTACATACTAATTTACTAGATAAAAACTAAATGAAAGCATTTGTTTTATTACTGGCATTGTCGTAGTCCCTGAAACATTTAACACGCTACTGAAGGAATATTTTGCAAGATTCGGTAATAAAGGTTGTTGTTTTCAGGAAATGACATTGCATTTTGATCAAGCAGAAAGTCAAGAAGAGGTACGATTTACTAGTAATAGAAATATAAATATTAATCCGTCGCTAATACTTGTTAAATTTTCTTGATAAAATAGCTAATTAGTAGCTTGGAAGAAACGTTACGAGCGAATGAATCAAGTTACATAGATTTGATAATAGACGGCAAAAACTCCGATCTAAAGGTTATTACGTTGATTGTAATATTTTTCATAAGGAGTAAATGGCTTTAATAGCGTTTTTACCTATTCTATTTAGCCTTCGCATGTTTGCAATAGATTCATATGTGTTGCAACGTTGAAGAATTATGCCGGCTGTTATCGTAATTTATCTTTTAATGAAAAATTGAAGACAGCTCAACAGCTAATAGGATATCATGGAAAAGGCTTAAGTTTAGGTCGAATAGATATAGCCTTGAATACTAAATATGAAATTTTACCGTTTTACTGAAATGAAATTATTTGTTAAACTGTAGGTAAAGAGCTAAAGTCCTCCGAATTACAGTATACTGATGATTTCTGTGTACTTGCTTGTCATTTGCTGTTGGATTTAAGTAAAGACACCGGTAAATTAATAATAAATATTTTATACTCCTGTGTGTGTGTGTGTGTCCTGAAGGTAAGTCCCTTCACTTACAAATTTTTGTTACTTCTTAGATGACGGAAACGACATCTGGCACATAATACTGGTATTAGAATCAGCCTTAAAAGCCAGTCCTCATAACCCGCAAATGCGGATAATACTAATTATTTTGTATTGTAAAATTGGTTAGTGGCTCAGTTGTTTGATTGATTAAAACTAATTATAATAGATAAATAGTCATGAATACTCTTGAGAATAATCTTCGACTTTTTTTTTTACAATTGTTTTATAAATCTATTTAGGAGCGTTTGAACCTGCTCACAAGATTTTTAATAATTTATCCATAAAATATATTCAACATGATACACTAGGGTACGTCGGGTGTTTCCTAGAAATCCTGATACATGTTACATTACTAAAGTTGACGGTTTCAATTTGACTGATGTGTTGTAAACAGGTACCTCATGACGTCTAACGCACATCGCCTTGGACATTTTAAGACTGCACGCAGTATTTACGAAGCTGAAGAAAAATTTTTTTTAGTTAGTCGTAGAGAAGTAAGTTATATTCTATTCTAATATCACGTAGGTATATAATAAATATAGTTATGTTAATTTGATATACGATTTAATATCTTGATAGTGTGTAGACCAAAAATTGCAGGCCTATAAATATGGAAATTTTACTAAGGTTGGTAGTGATGCATTATTTTCCAAAAATATTTTCCTCTGACACATGGTATGATTGTTAAGTTTTGTTTGCGTATCTTCTTAGATAACTGAATTCATCGATTTCGAAAAAAGGTTACAGAATTCTTTGCAGCTATGGACTATGAAATATTACAAATTTTATTTAGATGTGATCCATAAAAGTAGCAGGTAGTACCATAGGTTACATTGTTGTTGTAGGTTATACAGTATCAGTATTGTTAATCTCATGTTTTTAATTTTGATCCTTAATTATCATAGCTGTGATGAAGCGCTTTCCTTTCTAAAATATCCCCCGAATGGTGATATTCTATTAAGCGGTAAAGTAATGTAATGATACTTTGTCTAGCTGTTTTACACTGATGATAAATTTGCTTAAATTTCTTTTTTTTCGTAGAAAATTTCTTAAATCAGCTTATCGATGGTAGAGATGTTAGAATTATTAGACTTTGGGATAAATTGGAACCGTAAGATATTTTAGCTGATGATTTGATTATTATTTATCAAAATACTTAGCCATTCTTTTAATACCTTAGAAATCGATTACAAAGTGAAGCAGATTGGTCGATGCAGCTAGAGGTATAAAAATGGCTTGATGATTTGTATAACTTCATGTGAACTAATCATTAAAGGAAATATTTCAATCTTTACTATGTTGCTTAGATACTTCATTTAAAGTACCTTTCAGTTAATTTACAACTCCTGGGTGATGTAATTGAGTTAAGCCAGAAAGTATCCAATGATTCTGATGCTCAAAGCGTTGTATCTCATTTAAGAACATCTTTAACGAATTTTATTGATGAATCAAAGACTTTATACCAGAGAGTAGTTGATCATCCAGGTTTTAAATGTTTGGTAAGCTTAGAATAGTCGATAGTAGCTTTTAAAATGCATGAATATTGATGAAAGGTGCTGATGTTTGCTTTTAAATTTTACTCTGTAAAGTGGAGATGGCATGGTCCACCTCAAACACGTTGGAATTCTATCATTGATGGAGGATTGGACAGACTCCTATTGGATATAGCGTCTGTTCTTTTGAAGCTGATCTGCCCTTCTAAAGGTTTCTTTTATGAATAAATATGGCATATGTGTCCTTATTAATTTAGTTGTATTTATGGATCGAACTTTAATAGAAGATTTAAACTTTTTTCTTTATAAAGAGACGAACGAAAACGTAGGAGTGGAAATTAGTAAAATTGGTCAGACATTCGCCGGTACGTAAATCTTAGTATGGCATGTAGATTCTACATTTTTGAGTCGATATTTTTTTCTTACTGAGATATTATATCTTACGTAGATGGATTGCAAAGGTATAACTTATGCAATGAAAATGCCAAATGTTTCAATGGTCATAATCTTGAACCTAACGTGCTGTTAGTGGAGGTTGGTAGTATATGACTTTACTTGATGTTATCTTGGTAGAATTAGTTATAATGGGTTGAAATGGTTGATTTAGACTTTAGGCTATATAGTTATGCTAATGGGTGCGTTTGTCAAAACTGTTAAGTCGATTTCCTTCAGCAGAAAGAGTCGAAAGAAGAAGAGCGCCTCGCAGGGGGTAAAAGTTTTACATTATTAGAATTAAATGATGCACAATGATAAATTTCAAATTAATTATCCTTGATATACTGTAGTATGTAGCTGAACATTATTAATTTTTTCTGTTTCATAGCTTGCAATTGATTTAGAAAATTTCAAGTTATTGATTACTTCAGTTCAATCGGCTTGTGACGATGTTGTACAAAATTTGGTCACAATTAAAGATAATTTCTTGGTACAAAATCTTGGTCATTTGAAAATTTCGTTCAATTTACAGACTAAAGAACAGGTAAGATTGTGTTTAGCTACATGAATATTACGTGTTCTTGGATGCCTGTACGTATGAATATATACCTATCTATATACTTATTGTTGTCGCTTGATATGATTTTGTTCGTTAGGCGTTAGAAGAAAATTCCGATTTGTCTGACTTGTGGCTGAAGACTTATAAATCGAATGAATCTGATATGCTGAAAAATGTCCGTGATAGTTATCAAGTATCTATACAGGAATTATTATCCGTGGCTAAATTAAAGCATAATATCGCTAAAACATTATCCTTATAAAAGTTAATGCTGAGATTGATATGCATTTTATTACTCATCAGGAGCAACAGATGAAATAGTATAATTATTGCGTTATTGGTCTATTTCATTTTATTAAATGAAGTAATGTAATATTGGTCATATGGATAATAATTTAACATATGAATGGAAGGGGGGCAACGGATGCTATGATTGTAAAGATTTTTCTATTCCCTTAATAGCATATTGAACGAAGTAAACTATATGAAATAATTTATATGAAGGATTTTATTGAGCTTAAAAAATTTTTAACTAATTCGTTATTAGACATCGTGATTTCAACATGTATGGTATATATATATATATATTTTATATTTTTTATACAAATAAAATTAAAGTATTTGCATAATTTATACTATATTTTTTATATTCCATACGATAAAATTGTCAAATGTTTCAATAATCTCAAATTATATTAATTTTAGTATACATATAACGTTTATCATCATCAAAATATGGTATAAATATATACGCCTTCTCCATTGGGGTTTATTTGTTCTGCAACCATAACTAAGGATCTGTGTTTAATGAAGATTATTCATTTTTAACCGCTGCTCACGACATGTTCATATGTCGATACGTGGAATGTAGATTGGACCAGTTACATAAACATCAAATCAAATTTTATCAGTTAGTTTTTCAACAATTATTTCCAAGAAGGCGAATCAATATTGTTATATTGATTTATATTATAATCGAATTATTAGCTACAAAATAAATTTAATTTATTCAAAGTCGCAGTATAGAGCGATTTATATGCCCTGATATAAATTATCATTAATTTTTTACTGTAATAAGAATTTCTATGCGCTCTAACATTAATTGCTTTTGCCTAACGCATCTAAATATCGTTGTCGTCTTTTTTCTTTATAAATCTCAAGTCGACTTTTTTCTGTTATGTAATTTGAAGTTTCATACTCCCAGCGAAGTGTTTCTTTATTAATTTGGATGCTATCTCTTGTCGTATTGGTGTAGTTATAGAGCCAATCATCAATAACTTTTAATTTTTTCTTCATCAGTTGGCATAACTCGTCATCGTGATCCTTCTGAGCCGTCATTGCTTTCGTTCGACGAGAGTCTACGCCATTACTACTACCTGCGCTAGTACTTCGACCATCGCTTCGCAAGTTATCAACAGGTGGTAGAGGAGGACGCCGTTTTCTTCGACATTTTGTAGTATCTACGGATTATTTCAACCAGAATAGATGACGGGATAGTTAACATCGGAAAATAAGTTTGTTCATTTAAAATATATGAACATGCCTTACCTATTCGCCTTACATCATATCTAACTATTTATGATTGAGTAGCAGTCGTGATTTAAATCTATAGCATATGTCACGTACACAGGAAATTTGAATTGAATATGCCTCAAGATGGTTTACACTTTATCCTACCTACTTTACTATCTATGATTAGGTAGCAGTTTTGGTTTAAATCTGTAGTATAGTATAGGCATATACAGGAAAATTGGAACTTACAGTAATATGACGCAAATGCATATGTCAACATGTTTGTACAACATAGCAGCTTTATAAGTTTATCATAAAGTGGAAGCGATTAAACTTAGGAAAGTAGGTTTACGTTTCACTGCAAGTAATTTTCAGAGTCAAATTAGTATATTGCTTTAATTTTGCATTTACCTTTTCTTAGATGATCATTCTTTCGTCCATCGTCTCGATCAGTCATTAATTTTACCTTGTTTGATTTCTTTTTCTTTCTCGAATTACATATTTTCCTCTTATTTTTTACTAATTTTCTATTATCACTGTCTGATTTGTTCGATTCCATGTCTAGTAGTAGAGCTTCTACGGCACTTTATAGTCTACAAAAAAAATGTAATAATACTACTCAGAATTATTTCAATTTATCCAAGGCTATTACTATGGGAGAAACGACAATCGTTTGGCCACGATGATTCATTTTCTATTGTATAGCAGGAATAAGCTCATGGATTGTGACAGATAATGACGAAACTACTGTACAGTGATATATTGTCAGTAATACTTTATAATCGTGTTGAAATTAATAGAAAAGTACTATATAGTCATAGTATGCTAGAATAAAGCTTGAGTGATCGATGGCTATTGCTCGTATAGTCCTAATCTTGATTGGCAGTGCAGCCTTCCGCATAATTACTATGGCAACTAGCAAACACCTGACTCTGATTTGAAGGACTGGCCAATAACATGCGCAGTTGCGTCTTAATGAGCGTAGGTACAGTGTGCAAACTAGTGTTAGGATTTCATATTGTTTTACTACCATATTTATGAATAAGGTTACTGCATTACTCGATCACCAGGTATGGACGTACAGACATATGGATTGCAGGTTGCATACCGTTGACTACCGGTGGTCTTGCTGCTGTGCTAAGATTCTGAGAGCTAAGTTAGCTCATCAAAATTAGAGCGTAAGAGTCAACGGTGATAAATTGAGAAGATACAGCAGATGAAATATGGCTTTAACTAAAGGATGGGTAGAAGTTTCTTGCCTTTCATTTCTAGTCGGAGGTGTATGTGTAGGATGGGCTCTTCGAGGAATGCGGATTATGCACTCGATCCCGCCAGAGGAGAAAAATGATGATGAAGATCTTCCAGCGGATTCTTCCAGATCGTCTACAGAATCGGTTATTCTGCTTAATTCATTCTATTTTAAATCTTTTACTTAGATTTCCTTCAATCTATTACTATATGCAAAGTAGATTTTCATCGACAGTGTAGACAATGAACAACAATATAGGATGAGCTGTTCTAGAATGATATGGGAGAATAGCAGATATTAATGTAGCCATATGGTGTAGTGCAGTAAAACATTAAACGGATATAGCATGCAATTTCATCCAGTAATGATCTATTTCAGCCTCCTATCGATCCTAGAAAATATGAAGATTTCAAAATGGTCATTGCTGTCCGAACTGATTTACATATGCGCAAAGGCAAGATGGCCGCACAGGTATGTTGACAAACTACAGTAGATCATGTACTGTACTGTCGTGCTCTATATTAGCATAGTATTTTATCGACAATGATATTAATATAAATGATAATTATAATTATTATTATAATTAATGAATATGATCTTCATGAACTTTCGAAATTGGGAATAGTGAGTCATACTATAATCGCGGTTTCGTACTTTAATCAAACTCTAAGTAGATAGAAATTTATTATGCGGTGCATTTAGACATAATTTATGGATCGTGATAGTTAGCTCTTTGGAAATATAGCCGTGAAAATTTTGCGATTTTTTTAATTATCAAATTTAGTGCTGTCATGGTGCTATTGCGAATTACGTTGGTTGCATGCGCAAAAATCCAGAGGTAACGCGTTCAAAGCTGGATAAAGTTACTTCTAAATAGATATACGTATACTCTTCAAAAAACACCTCTGCCTTTGTAAATCGTGCTATTGACTTGCATAGTTTGTGCATATACTGGATGTGGTATTTGATCTCGTATATTCTATTAAGGAGGCTGGCATCATATCTCTTTAAATTACGCTTTATCGTTGCGATGGTTTTTAGGCTAGATGCACAATATACATGTCAATCTAGTAATTTAACTTTAAGAAAGTTAGTTGCGGTATAAATCTATAACCTCAACGTACTTTCGATTTATGTCATACGTATATTGTAATCAGATAGTTTATTGTTTAAGATGATACATAAGTGGAAGCGTAGTGGACAAGCAAAGGTTGTTGTTAAGGCATCTGACGAAGCAACACTGTAAGTATGTATAAGTGTTGCACTGATACAGTGATATGCACTAAGTGTATATCTTTCAATTTGTATAAATATTTCATAGATGCACAGCATAACGAAGTGCAGTAGCTAGCCTAACTACATACGTTTTGTTTGTGGATGTATTGTATGGTTTGCGTTAGGTTAAAGATGCAAAGTCAAGCAAGAAAATTGGGTTTAGAGGCTAACGTCATTGCTGATGCGGGTCGTACACAGATAGCGGCTGGTTCTTTGACTGTATTAGCAGTCGGACCGGGTAAGCCTATTTATGAACTTTGTGTAGTTTGTTTATATATGCCATTTAGATAAAGAAATTATAGTTCTGATCATGAAACGTTAGGAGTTATGCTTTATTATGTTAAATAGGACCACAAGAACTGATTGACCTTGTTACTGGAGAATTAAAGCTAATGTAACGTGAGTATTATTTCCAAATTCATGTTTTATTCAGTGTTACTTTAAATTGTCTGATTCCAATTTGTAATTATAAAAGGAGTTTTTCCTGAAGCTGTGCCTTCCGAGGTGAAATATCAGCTATGATGAAGGTGTAAATAATGCCCTTTATGTTATTTGTATGAAACTTGAGCAGGAAAAATGCCCACTGTAATTGATAATTTTGATAAACACTCAGATAAGTCAAACGTATTTACATGGATATCATAGATAAGTAACAGTTTGCTTAGAAAATGATTCGTTGAGTTTTTAATACTTTACACACTATACCTTAAATCTGGCGTAAAGTACTTGAGTAGTCGCAGCAAGGTAATTACATATAATAAGTATTGTATAATTTAATAAAGGCCTATATGGGCACTGGCGATTTAGTAATGTATACAGTAGTATATCTTGGTGATCCGAATGTATTGTACGCACTAGATTATCAATGGCAATCCTCGTTAATGGTATAATTACTTAAACTAAATTGACCATCTATGTATTTTAGCATTATGGATAGAACTGAGTCGCACTGTCGTCTAGTTTAAATTTCGTAGATTGTTTTAGTCTACCTTGGAAAGAATAGAAGCGTCATCTCTTTAAGTAATGGTTTTATGTTTAAACCAGACTCGATTCAAAAATGTTTGGAGCAGTAGTACTACATGGTATTGAACAGATAGGACTATTCTAAGTGAATAAATTGATATCAACATCACTTTTACAGTGTACAGAATATTTAATAACCTTCAATTGAAAAAGCAACAAAATAAAACTAAATTTCCGTAATAAATGAAAATGTGTGTCACAATGGCTAAAATACAAGTCAATATCAGATTCTGCTCTCATCTAAAATATGGTCTTCCTATATTCGTAGCTCCTAGTATAAACAGATCAATTGGGTACCTTTGTAGGTAAAGTACCAAACTTTAAATAATTAAATATAGAAGCAAGTGTTTAATAATATTTGTATCGTAAAAATATATATTTTTGTAACAAACCATACCGGTAAAGAACTTCCTGGTAGATAAAATACTATAATACTACAAGGCGATTGTCTGTGCATATTTTTTCTGTAATATAAGCAGTTCATTAAAGATGATGCGATTTAGATTCGAAAAAACTGGTACACTATAACCATCGACATACAATAAACTAACATGTAATAGAAAACTCTAAACGCTATTTTTGCATACACAATAAGCAGTATATGCTACTTTGATTGCTTTAAGATACAGTATATAAAATTTTGCTTTAGAATTATTCCATTTCGTCTAATGATCCTGTTGTATTGGCGTCACCGTCCTATACGATGCCAGAAAAGTGTAAAAAATTTTCGAAAATAGCCAACTGAATGATTAATGACTCCTATGATTGCAAATATGTATTACTCAATTACCTCATCATCGATGTCAAAATGAAGCGGGTGAATTGGATTCAATTCATAGTGAAGACTACTTTCTTCAATATCTCTACTTTCATTTTCCAACTTGTCAATGGCCTCTTGAGCTTCCGAACAGTTACTATCCATACTATATCAATCAATTAAATGATTTGCTTATTTATGTAAAATTAGTACAGAAGGTCATTCGTGTGATATATAAAGCATTCTGTCATACCTTAGAGCAATTCTATATTCGTCCAGAGCCTGTTGTTTCTTGTGGGTTTCACAATAGTAATTACCCAATTGTAAGTGTACTTTTGAGCTTGGTGTTGTTTCTAAAAATTGCTGTAGTCTAGTTTGGCAAGTAATTATACGTATAAAAATGTTTCAGAAACTCTTGCTATGTACAATGTACTTGAAAACGACTAAGTAATTCTTACAATTTTATAGCCTTGTCACAGTCTGAAAATTTATCAGCGTAGATATTAGCTAACGAGCAGGCAGCAAGTTCGCACGATGGATCAAGATTTAATGCTAACTGGAATGATGACTTCGCCTAGTATAAAACGCGAATCATTTTAATTTCGTAAGAGTAATATAAAAAGCCTAAAAGTTACTATAAAATCGTATACTAACTTTGTCCACACAGTCTCCTGAACTTCGGAGATACACGTTGCCGCAAAGCTATAGATGATATATCTTACATTAGCTATGTGAGCAATCTTAAAATTTAGATTTCTTTAGTACGCTATTTAATGATCAATCTCGCCATGCTGATTTAAAATGTGTTTTCTATATTGATATCATACGGTAATTCCAGTTGGCAAGGATGTAAAATAACAATCATATTGCTCCATCAGTAACTGTATGAAAAGGCTAATTCAACTTACTAGCAATGTACTTGGTGTTCGTCCAACTTTTGTGTAAGCTTTAGCAGCTGTTGAGGAAGCCAGAGAGATCTTGTTATCAGCTAAGTAACAGTTTACTAAACCTAATTTAGGTAATTTTAGGAATATAGTAAAATTAGTAAAGTACCGATGTAGTATAAATATCAGAATGATAAGCTAATTGATGGATCTCATAAAGAAAATAATACCAATATATGATTCCACTTGATCAGGTGCCAATTTGATGGCTTCTTGATAATGTAGAATAGCCTCCGTCGTTTTATTCATTTGCAATAATAATGATGCTAGTAACAGTGGTAAAAATCATATCATCTACGTTAATTAAAGGTTATCGCTGCGTAAAGTAATAGCGTAGATTGACATGCAACATAATTAATGATGACTTGAGTGAAACCTTTAAGAACAAGGGCTTGAATATTTGAGCTATCAATAACATGGGCCTATAAACGTATAGAAAGAAAGAGTTTAAGAACTGCACTTGGTAGTGTAAGGTCGATCCAGGAAATTTATAAAATAACGTCATTTAATAACCTTTTGAGCAAAATATATAGCTCGTTGTACATTATCCTTGATAGCATTGTATTCAGCCATTACTAGCCAAGTGTCGACGCTATTTTCATTGACTTGTAAAAGTCTTTTAGATAGCCTAAGTTGTCACACCAATTAGGTAAAGTTAGAAAAATAACCAAAACCTAATATGGCAAATCTCTCGAAAATGATCACTTACATAAATAAACTTTTAACATTTTTTTCCTTCGCTAAAATCCTTGCATAAATGCCTAACCCCTTTACAGAATATGGGTCCATTTCTATAATCTATTCAAGTAAAAAATAATCTAATATTACGACACAAAAGCTACTTATCGATCGGTGAGATGGAGTAAGGAATGGTGTATTTTTGCTAATGTTTTACCTTCTCAAAAAGATGTTTTGCGTTTCTGTAATCTTCTTGTCTGTAATATCCCATAGCGATACTGTTCATAATAGGGATGCTGCTATGTAAATGCTGCAATCATCCCAAAATTTTGCAAGGGATCAATTACATTATAAGAAAAATGTAAAATGTTATCAATGGCTTAGACAAGTTTTTGCAACAATAAAAAATATAAAAGTTGACAAGCATCCACAAGAGGCATACATGTGATTCCAATTTGGATAGGGTTTCAATCGCTTCTGTAATTTAACGATAGTAAAGACTTTATTTGTAATGATTACCTTTATCTTAAAGTAAATGCTCAGTAAATTATACGAGTGTTGTCACACTAGACAATTTTACATTGCTTAAAATGATAGATTATCAGTTTCTGCTTACTTTTGTATTCTTTACATGCCATTTGAGAATGACCATTAATCCATTCATTGAGCCTAGATTAAATGAGGATTTATCGTCTTAATTAACATACAATTTGTACACAAACTAGGAGATATTAGAGGATTGACAAACCAAGATGGGCATGATATTCCAGCCGCTGATATTATATTCACAATATCATCTCGTGTACATCCAAGCTGTAACAATCCGTGGACCGCACCCAATGCTAGAGGACATTTTCTAAATAGAATATAATTATATGCTGCAATATTATCATACTATTATTATATTGAATGGATTTTAAAATAGCTATCGGAAAACACTGATCATAAGAAAAAGCCAACCGTAAAATCTCTTTATAGCAGGCAATAGCTTGCTTATCGATATTGGATATTTGATAGAGATGAGCTAAGCTCATGAGAACTTTAGGTGTCCTCTGCCTAACGGAAATTCCTTCTAACTGTAAAACGATACAAAATATAGCAGTTATACACTTGATGTTCCTGTAGATGTAGAATTGATTTATTAACTGTTCCTATAATAAATCATGTTAATTGCGATTTGATTGCAATCAATATAATTGCTTTATCATTACACATCCATAGGCTAAAAATTGGACGCCTAAAATATTGTAGTTATAATATGCAATTTAAACATTAATCTGAATGATCAGGTATTAGCAATATACGAGCGTATATTGAATAGTAGTTACTATTTACTTGATAGTGAGTTGAGCATCTCTGTAAATAGCAGTAATGTTCAAAATCACTGGTGCATTACATAGCATTTAACAATATTACGTACCCCACACACCCATTAGCTTTACAGTAATGGTATGTAGTATTTAAAGTAAGGAATTTATCCAAAGTAATTGAGAAAATCTATCGTAAGTAGATTGTATATATCATCAATATTAGGTTAGGATGAAATCACGTTACCATAGCAGTAGCATTTCTAGCATCGCCAAGTTTCATGTAACATTCATATAATTTATATTTTAATTCCACTTCAGATAGTAATAATTCACTTGTTAAACTCTTGACTTTAGCTTTATTCAGATTCTTTCGTAGCAATAAAGCTTTCTGGAAGATATCCTAAAATGATTCAATTCATCATAAGTTAGAATAAATACACTGTTTAATCACTACTGTCTATATGCTACATCTATATCAGCGTGATTTTAGGCCATCATTGATGGATAAAATAACTACAGTTCCATTACATTCCACGCAAGCGAAGGTCTGATAGGTCATTGTCGCAGTGTGTTTAGTAACTGATGCCAATTTAGGAATGAATAGTAAATATAACTGTTTGAAACGTCATTGCTGTAGCTAAATCAATAAATAAAGTCAATCAATAACTTGAGAAATCACTTTTGCATTACACTCTAAGATCTTGATTGTGCTGTAGTTTATAGTCCTGATATTTTGGAATGCGGTTCTACCATTCTTGAAAGATTATATTATACATCAATCGATTGATGTAGTCTTAAATATCGGCTGATTCTAGCACATTTAGCAAAGTATTTACAAGACTGTGATAGATTACTACTATAGTTAGATCCACTATATAAGGCTAATTGGAAGCCAGAGTAACGAATCTATCTTATGCTTTAATGTCTCTATTAGAGTCCATTTCAAGCTGTTAGTACTTTCAAATAGAGATTTCATACTTCTATATACGATTATGTATTGATTGGAATTTGAAAATATTACTTATTCCAGTACCTTCAATTGAAATGTTTGTTAAAATTTGACAGATTACTACTGTAGAAAGATGAATAAATGGAGTAAATTTGTAATTTATGGGACAATCATTTGATTTGTCATTATTCTGCTGTAACGAGATTAACTTCATGAGGCCAACTGGAAGGTTGTATAACAACTTTCTATTTTTTATCCTCTAAGATCTCTATTGTACTGTATTCCAAAGTAGAGATATTTTGAAAATAAGGTTACAATCTTTCTTAATGATTATATACCATCTCATAAAGGGCAACTACACGATTTAACATTCTGGCTAATAAATAGCAAATCGAGAACTGACATCAGATACGTATAAATCTATCAACAATTTTGTAGCTACTGAGAATAGTATTGCAGGTGTTCGATTCTAATTTATGATCTATTATTTAGGTAAAGGTCTTTTACGGAATAGTCAAGGCTATATCAACTACTCATGATTTGTATAGTATGATGAAAACTGAATGCTTTCTAATTAGCTTATGAGCTACTTTACCTCTGCCTTCTTGTACTGTCGTCCTTCATACAATGAATCACCATACCATACTAGAATTTTATAGTAATGAGAAGAGGCTACTGAATCATTTTTACCGCACTGATTGACCATAGGTAGAATAAGACTGATCTAAAATATCAAGAAATAAGATCATGGTTATCCAATGATACTTGATGATATCAATGCAACCTAAAAGAACTATGTTAGAATCGTCAATTTATCGTTGTTGGAAATGATTAGTAATTTATCAAGCCTTGATCGATATTGAAATATCCGTTACTACAACAATTCCTTTTGCAGCTATCATTAGCTGTTTCAAGGAAAATAAACAAGCAATCAGTACCAGTAATTCGACATCTTGATACAATTTGGCATTGAGCAGGGATTGAATTTGCTCTAAGATAGGTGTTATAGACTGCATTAGTAAGAAAATGAGCCTAATCAATTGGAATAAATTGCTTGATGGCGTTGATGTCTTGCAAGTTAGAATGGAGATTTAGTTTGTGAAAGGGTTAGGCTGACGGATTTGCTATAGTGATATGAGTAGATCGATGGTGATACTAGCTACAGTATGAATTTGATTAGCCTGTATGGGATAGTAGATTGCCATTGAGTGAATGCCCTGCCTACCGAACTGGATGAAAACAACAGGAAGAAAGTTTGAATTGGCACGCATGCGCAATGACGATTATCGCGATAATCAATGACGTAAACATAGTAATTTATCCTTTATTTATTATAATATATTATATATTATATCTCATATACACTATATATAATTATAATTGATTGATTAGTTTTATCTTCCCTTGGACAACATTTCCTTTTTAAAGGGAAATGTTGGTTAGCTCTTGACTAAAACAGTCATCGACTGGTATCCCGTGCTCTACATGATGTTGTTAAGCTACTAGAAAATTCTTAAGGCAATCTTATCGATGAAATTAGAGCTAAACTTCATCTCATTTCTGCACGCTATCATCATGTAGTTGAAGGAGAGGCAGTCCAGAGTGGAAGGATTTATGACTCACTGGTAGTAAATTACAGTACAGTCATCAATATCCTTTCATGCTCTGCTTTGATTGTAATTATTTAATTTACAGTAATTCGTACTAATTCTGTCCATACTATGCAATTAATCTGATGGGATGAGCAAAATGTACTGATTGACTGAACTACTCGAAAACGGTCACGGGCTTTGACTGCCAGAAATGTGTGATGCAAGCCGATTATTTTGCTAATCATTTCACTATACTCGTATGCTACAACTATAACTCTGCAGCACATACACAGTACGTTATAAAACCAACCTAGCAGCTAATTTAAAGCATAGTCATATACAATACGATTAAAATGACCATTTCTAGTATTGTGTCATCATCAACAAGCATGTACTGTCCCTTTCTCTGTTTTCCAATATAGTTCCTGATTTGCAGTGATTAATTCATTTAAAATAATTTGATTTTGGGTATGAAATCGAACAATTGATGCCTAAAGATTGATAAGCCATATTATACTGTATATTGATTAATTGAATTTGTATTGACTGTCTGCAATAATTCCATGCAATTAATGTGATCGGATGGAAAAGCTTAACTCTTATTTTGTAAACAATTTTATTTTAAATACGAACGATTTACACCCTTCAAGAGCCCTTGAATTAACTAACGTGCCTTTGATGGCCTTTGGTAGATGAAGAAAGCGGCTTCCCTAGCTAAGCCACGCGAATGCAATGGCACTGTGCAAAATGATGTCATCCGTGTCAATTTGCTTGGTTCAAGGCAATTGCTATCATACTGTACGATGACATTATTTTGCTAGTAATTAATCCTTCTTTCTGTCTTATATAGAAAAGGCTATTGATAGTTTCATAGACTTTATTTTATCTTTTTGCTTTCGTTCTATCTTATCATAAAAACTTGAATTTCTTTACGATAAAGAGAGACCGGTAAAAATTTCACTTGAGGGCTAGTAGTGACATGTACAAAAACTTGCAAAATATGATGGTGAAGGGTGACATTACTTTTCCTTTTTCCAGATAGGCCTATGGACGGACCGACGTACTGTCTTGTGTGGTCCAGTGTCCGTCCATACAGTTACGTTCATGGGGGCTCTATCAATTCAAGTACCTTCAGTATGGAACCGCTAACCATATTGACTCGATCAGGCCGATCCTAGCAAGACTCTGTGATTTAAAAGGCAACTAAAAATATCGCAAATTACTCATCTTCCCATTGGAATGGAGAAATATTATGGTGGAAAATCGTTCTAATTATTGATCTATGCCATGCTAAGAGTAATACTTGGCATGAATACACATGTTAAGTAAGTGGATGAACTATTTCAGTTGAGATTTGAAAGACTAGATGACATCGAGTCAATTGGAATACGGTGGATATTGATCAGCGAGGGAACGCCATTCCTCTCATCGATTAATTTAATTTATACGTGTATATAGATTGGAGTCGACACAGCGTTAATGATAATGTGATGGAAAGAGGATAATAAGCTTAATCGTGAACTTCTTGCTAAACTTTTGATCGATTAGCGAGGGAAAACTGTCCCAATTAGATATTTAATAGACGATCGGACTTTAGTAAATAATCAGTGGAAGCTTATGGTAGGAATGGTTCTCTTTTCATCACGGTGACATTATCCTTTAGTCGGTAAATGGACGTTTACAGCGTACAACTCATAACCACTTCCTGTACTCTTTCTTTCTCGATAGTAATATACCAGGCCAATTTGTAGAAAAATGATATGACCACTAGTTAGCTCTAGAATTGGGGTATTATCCTGACTTTACGTAGAAATAGAGGATTGCTTTTACCAGTAGTATCGTCGGTATAGATCGTTCCTTTTCTATCCTTTACAATCACGCTACCTACGTTCAACACTTGCCTTTCCAATTTTCCTATCGAAAGGATGATGGATATCCATGACAATAGTTTATCTATTGTCAAGTACAGTACTGTAATTATGGATAGTTTTAAACTGGAAACTTTGTGTTCGATCACTTAGGGATACAGCAGAAATGGATGGGAATAGCAGACAAACTTATTCCATGTGTATTAAAACTACTCTACTCACACTACGGACTTATTTTTGAATGTGTTGATTTTGATCAACTGTAATGTCGACGTTGAATTGTATAACATTTTTAAAAAGGAAGACTTTGTTTGAATATACACTTAGAATAGTTCTGTAGCAACAAGTTTTTTCGGTATGATTATGAAATTGGAGTTAATGTACGAGTGATGATGATGCTTTACACCAATATAAGTTGATATTGCCATCAGCGTCAGTATTTCTTTGCATACTCGAACAAGCGCTTGTTGTTCACCTTTACGAGAGAATAGGAGAACAGTTCGATAGATGCAATTTTCCAACAATTTAAGTCAGTCGATAGTGCATATGTAATCGAATTCTCCCTAATTTACTCCAGAAAGACTAGTATATACGTATTATATGAATTTACTTTCGGTTCATAGACTCCAAGTCCAAGATATTCCGATTTATTTTCAGTACAGTACTAAAGCTGTTCTTCTTTCGTAACTTCATTTCATGCACAGCTGCATGCCATTACTTCATCATTTGTATATAATACAATATGTAAAAATCATCGGTCAGTCTATTAAACTTGATCCATCATTTACCATAGCCAGCAACTAATGCCTAAGTTAAAGTTGTACCTACCGTGTTAGTGATAATAATATTGTGTACGGTCTGTATTGCTGCAGTGATTAAAAATAGATATTCATTAAAAATTTTTAAACTTTAATTTATAATTCTCCATTTTACAATTAATTCAATGCGATTACTAATGATATTTTCTTCTTGCACCATTTCATGATGCCTAGCACCGAAAATAGAAGATAAATAAAGCCCACATGTCATGTTGGATCATAAAAATTCTCACTAAAGTTAATAACTGAACGTCTAATTGTTGCAGATAATAAGAAATGAAGATCAACGATAAAAGTATTATTCATTTAGCTAATAATTTTGAGCATGTAGACAAGCAAGGCTTCTTATATAAAAAGGGTGAGATCAACCGTAGCTTGCAACGTCGATGGTTTGTATTAACGGGAAATTTACTTTTCTACTTTGAAAAGCAATATTCTCGTGAACCTATCGGTGTTGTTGTCTTAGAAGGATATGTAGTTAGCCGTGATCCAAATAATACTTATGGATTTTTATTATGTTTTGCTGGCGAGAATACTCGTACATGGACTTTTTCCGCTGAAAACAGAGAAGATATGGAATCATGGATGCAGGCTTTAGCGCGTTCGTCTTATGATTATATGAGGGATTTAGCCAACGATTTAGACAGACAAATCAAAGAGCTTCGGACATTACCGACATTGAATTATAGAAATGCAGCGTTAGCGGAAACAAAAGTCCCAATTTTAGATGAAATTCAGGTACAACCCGTAATGTCTGATTATGTCCACCATGATCAGCAAGAGGGCAATGTAGTCGATTTAGTCATTCCATCACCGTCTTCTACTAATGATCTTCCCAATCTTAATAATTCATTATTAGATTTAGTAGAGGATCATTACAGTACAAATACAGATGCTGCAGTTGATGATAGTCTACCCGCAAGCCAAGCTGGTAGTCGTTTAGTGTTCCACAACAGCAGTAATAAAGGTAGTGGCTATCGAGGTAAATGTAGATCATTTGAAGAGATGCATGAAGAAATTAGCGATCGAATTCGTAAGGGGATAAATGATTGGGAGCAATTGCGAGCAGCTTTAATTTCCGAACGATCTCAACAACAAGATAAAAGCAAGACATATTGGTTTTATCACTGACGATATATCGATAGTAACTAGTGTAGTGTAATAGAATTAGCTATGATATTACTAAATTTATTTTATTATTCATGATGGACTCATTCTTGCATGAATTAATTTAAAAGCAGTTAAAATCAATTTTTTTTTACGCTATTAGATTATTATTACAATAATTATTATATGGAAGTAACAGTCAGGTATATACGGGAAGATCGTATTGCCAACTATGACTGGGATAAATAAATGTACGGGTGTAGTTAGCAATCTTGTTAAATTGAAATAATTATAGTTACCCGACCGTCAATGAGATATGTACAGATGAGCTATAGATGCAATAATTATTTAATTCGTTGATTATCTCTATTTTACAGTCTAAAGACCTTTTATCAACAGCTTTGACTTAATTTATAAATTTCATCAAAATGTAACTTTCCTTCGTGTGCGTATCCGATAAAATTAATTCTTGATAACGAACCAAAAAGGGAGTGCGAATATTGTTAGAGTATAGCTCAGAGAGATATCCGCCTAACCTTAAGTCTTGAAAAGTTTGACGCTGTTTTATTAAAATTGATTCTTACTGCTATTAATTGTGCTAACTCTGCACTGATTTATTGCAATATTGCCCCAATAGGTCACAATTTTTTGATATCATCCCTTGCGTGTAATATACTAAGATTTTCCTAATATTGCTTAATAAATTCTAATACATTATTTAAGTGATTTCAAAATTACCTTTTTAAATTACTAAATAGATTAATTTTACATGATTGCAGTCGATTGTTCAGATTCAACGATATGTTTTTACTATTGTTTGAAGCTTAGTGCCATCGTTAGCATTAGCTTCGGATTTCAAGTAGGATTGCTATGAAAGATAACTCTATTTTCGTACAATCACAATAAATCGTAATTCCTGACAAAATATCTGTGTTGTAAATTTGTGATCTAAGTAGCTAAATAGATTATTACGTACTGCACTTATCAATGTTATTTCATATTTAGTTGTAATTGTTGCAGCATTTTTTGATTATCAAGCTTGCTTTTGTATATACTGTACAGTAAGCACTATCAATTCGCTTTGCATACTATTGGCAATTCTGTTCTTGCCACATATTAACGATGCATCTACACTTATATCGGGTCATAACTACCTATCTTCGTACAGTAGTTAAGATTTCATATTTTCATATGTCATCGCTTCCGTTGCCAACTGAAATGACCAGCAAATAAAGATAATTTTTTGGGATAAAAATTAATTTTATGGTTTATTTTAGTAAACCCGCAATTACATAAGATATATATACGTATATACAGTATATAAGTATTCAAAATATACTGTACTAATAAAAATTGAAAACAGAACGATATCGTACTGTGTAACAGTACTAAATTAGATAAACATCTGTCAGAAATTAACTAACTGCAAAGTAGTCATAAATGATAAACAATTTTTGTTGTACCTAAAGGTCGATCGGCAGAAATTCATAACAGTAGTAATAAGTTTAGCCTTATTTGTACAATTGCTTGATATAGGAAATGTTAGTTAGTCCTGCTGGTTAAAGATTTATTGGATATGACTGGAAGGATTAAAGAAAAGTTAAATAATAATTATCAAAATTGGTACAAATTGATCCTATTTCATTCTAAATTTATGAATGTATTCAGATAATTGATCTGTCAGAACACTATCCAATGCCAATACTGTAAAATTCTGTTCAATTTTTTGAACGTAGTGTTTATTACGTATTTCATCATTCGCTTTGAGTCAGTACATTTGCACAAACTTCACAAACACGGACAGCTTTTCCAATATCAAATTTGAGAATAGGAACTTGACGAGACGAACACTTTCCACAAAGGACACGACCGCAATGGCGACTGAAAAGCATTAATAAATTTACAGTTAAAAAAGCTCTTACAGGTAGGTACTTTATAACATAACTACAAGGTTAAATTAATATACTGTACAAAGTTATTTTATCAGAATATCAAGACAAACTCTCGTTAGTACAAGAAGTATCATAAGAGGTATCATAATACCAGTGGTGCTTTCGAGTTGTAACTGTAAATTTTGCCATACAGTTATGACAATGAGTGCCATCGATCCATGCAGGTTCTCTATCTATCATATCTATAAAATAATAATTACAAAAAATGACTAGACCATCAAATAGAAGTTTAACACGGCAAAGGATAAAAGCAATTTCAACTATTGCTAATGTATGCATAGATTCATTAGCAACCTTGGTTTATATATTATCACATTAATTGTATAATACTGTATTAATTGTTAATGTATACGTAACATATATATACATAAACGAACTATAACTATAATACTTACCTAGTAAGGTATGAAGCAATTTCTTTGTCGCAGTTTGAAAATTAAATATCGAGTCTCCATATGCATTTACCGTTGCGATGCGAGCTCCAGCTTGAACTAAAACTTTACATAAATTCCCATTGCCGTTGCAGTATGCATAATATAAAGCTGTCACAAAGATAAGATAACATCTCAATTCTATAACTTGGACAACAATGCACATTCCTTAAATACATTAAGCGTTATGATATTATTACAGTCTTACCGGTATTACCATCGGGATCGACAGCATCTAGTTGTAATCCAAGGCTAAAGTCTTTTAAGATTCTAAATAAACTAACAGCTTGATCTTGACCATATTTTGCTAAAACTATTAATGGCGTTCGACCCCTGAAATTTTCAAAAGTTTTATTAAATAAAGTTTTAGAACATTGCAAAAAAAATTCTTTAGGCTTACTTTCTGTTTACAGCATTGATGTCAATTTGTGTTTTATCCATCAACATCTCAACTGCTTCTAAATTTCCTTCTTGTACCGCAACATGAAGAGCTAATACAATAATATCATCTCTAGTAAGAAAAAATAGTGCAGAATGAAATATTGAATACAACTATACTGAAGTCTTACCGTTGTTACCATCGCCATCAACTCTGTTCCAATCCGCCTGGAAATCTAACAAAATTTCTATAACATTCGTGTGGTTATGAGTAGCTGCCAGATGCAAAGCCGTTTCACTAGCTCCTGTAATCGCATTAACGTCTGCTCCAGCTTGAAGCTACGAAAGAAAGGTAGTATTTTAAATTCTCAATTAAGTAAGTCAAAAAATAAAATATTGTAGCTAATTGTTAATTTACCAAACTTCGGCAAATATTCTCGGAATTTCGTATAGCAGCTAAATGTAGAGGAGCATTCTGATCACTATTTCTTGTTTTTGAATTTAGATTAGCATTTACACCAACTAAGAAAGCCACTGCGTCATTATCGTCAGATAATACGGCTATATGCATGAAATTTCGACCCCGGCTATCAAACTATAGGTAAAAATTTTTACAGATATAGTGTATCAGTTTTCACGTTAAATCAGTAAATAATAAAAAAATATATTAAATTAAGAATATTCAAGTATTATTATTGTATTTGCCTGATCAGCAGCAGTTGGATCTCTTGCAAGAATAGTTGAGGCCGACGTGGTATCTTTGTTAGTCATGGCAACAGCAAAAGGTGTACGACCACTGCTATCGCGAATACTAAGGTCTATGGCTGGATGACTCAAAAGAAAAGAAGTTATAAATCCATCTTTATTCTCAATTGCAATATGGATTGCAGCACGACCAATAGTATCCTGAAAAAGCATGTTTTGTTATATAATTTAATATTAGCTACTCCACGTAACTTAAAATAATTATTAAAGCTATTAAGATTGCATAACATTTTCAACGTGATATTACCTGAGTATTTACATCAACACCATGTTCAAATAGACTTTGCACCAATTTATCCATACTTGCTCTACAAGCAAGATGTAAAGGAGGACTAGTTATTTGCTTGCCATCATTAGAAGCTATAAGACATGGCGTGTTGATGTCCGAGCCACTACGTACCAAGAAACAAGCAGCCTCTTCATCCATACTAGAAATAGCTCGATGCAGTAGATTTATTTTACCACCGTTAGGTCCAATACACCAAGCATTGGTATCACATCTATTTTGTACCTTTAAAACATGACAATAACATATAATTCAATACAGTCTTTAGAATATAATCACTTACAGAGATATAATTACAAGTTATACAACTAATTTATGCTGTACCAAAATCGAGGCTATGTCAAACTGTTTGCTGCGAATAGCCATCCATAACGGTGTATTTCCGTCTTTATCAGCCCCGTTAACGTCAGCACCGAGTTGGCAAAGATTCTCGACGACAGGTCCTAGCTCTTTTTCAATTGCCATTTGCAATATCGTTTTATCTTGTTTAGTCCTATTGAGCACAATAATAATCTTTACTTAATTAAAAATCATTTTCTGTGGCTATAAGACTTAATATCGTGTAGGTCATAAGCTTCATACTTTATATCAATTCGAGCAGAATTACGCAATAAAAATATAGCCCCAGTTAAGTCATTACGCAAGATACAGCAATGCAGCAATGTAAGACCATTAGACATCTGGCATTCTATATCTGCCCCGGCTCTTAATAAGTCTATTGCTATGTCATATTCGCTTATCCAAACAGCTAGAGACAATGGCGTCTGATCTTTTTCATCTCTCACATTAAGATTAGGAGAAATAACAAGACCACTGTTGCCAAATGACATTGTGTTTGCTAAAAATGTCAAAATAATAGATTGTTAAATATTTAAAGCTATCCTCTATGCTTCATACACCGATTTCAACGAAAGACTACATCATATTATACATTTAGCGATGATTACAAATGTAGATACTAACCTTTGTGCTTCAAGATACAATTCACAACATTCACCCTTTTACTTAAAACTGCGTAATGTAAAGGTGTTCTTAAACCACACTCAGGTACCGCAACAACTGATTCCTGTTTGGCGGTAGTGTTAACATCCTTCGATCCGTCTACCTCAAGACCAAGATGAACATCATCTAAACCTGATAGTGATGGATAGGAAGCTACATTGGGGTCAGCACCCATCGATAACAATGTCGCAACTAAATCTCCTAAGCCATTTCGTGCTGCAATGTGCAAAGGGGTCTCACCACTACTATTAATAATATTCATTTGTGCATGATGTGAAACAAGAAACAATCCAGCAGTTTCTAGTCCACTGGCAGCTGCAGCATGTAGTAATGAATTGCCGGATAATGGATCAATATAATCAGGACTGCAATCATGTCGTAATAATTTAGCTGCGAATGAACCTTCATGTTGGTTTACATCCTTTGGTAAGTGAGTTAATGCAAGCCATAACACTGTTCGTCCATTACTATCACGAATCGTTAAGTCAGGCCTGCATAAATAATAATAAAAAGAGAATGGATTAATAGTTAACGCTAACAGATTATATACATACAGTATGCTATGTTTATGTTACGTTAATAATTCTGATAGTGTAATAGAATTACCGTTGGCCACTTGATAATATCGATTCAAATGCATTTTCATTATCACTTTCAATTGCTTTGTGTAAGGGCGTTCTAAAGGTAATGTAAAAGGCTTAGACACGCACAGTAACCAACAAACTTTTTACAAGTTTTGATTATTTGGATAATAATATTGACCGATATTTAATTAAATTATCGCCAAGGGTAAATGTAAAAATGTTGAAAATACCTTCCTAGGCAATCTTGCGCATTTACATTACAGCCTTTATTAATTAAGTCCGTTGTAACTTTATCCATGCCACCGCTGAAAGTTAAAATATCCATGGACAGCAAATCAGTTCCAGGTATAATCTTGGTTGATTGGGATTTTGGTTTTTTTGAGCAAACCAAATGCAAAGGTGTATCTTTTGTAACTATAGTCGGATAATTAACATTTGCACCGTTTTCGATAAGGAAACAAGCACCATAATCATCATCACATTCGATAGCATGATGCAATAGACACTTTCCATCGTCATCAGGTAGGTTTACATCACATCCATGAGCTACTAATTGTTTAGCGATAGCTTCCTGCTTCAGTTGAAGTGCTAAGCCTAATGGTGTAATCTTTGAAGTCTCATCCCGTTCATTAAGAGTTCGAGATAGCTGAAAATGCAAAATAATTTAAATTATTCATTCCTTTATAAAAAAGGTTAGAATAAATAACGTAGGCTTGGCTTTGTAAGGTTATCGTCAGTGACAAGATAAAAAAATGACTTACGCTGACGCTATTTTCAACCAGGTAAATAAAGACGACATCTTCGCGTTTATGTTTAATAGCCATATGCAATGGGTAGCGAGATTTATTTTTAAACATTTCGTAAACTAGCTCCGCTCTAATCAATTCAAAATGGGCAGTCTCGAAATCATCCTGCATATTAAAGAAAAACTTTATATAGCAGTGCAGTATGAAATGATGTCTACAAATATCATGAACACTACAGCTGAAGATAGAACATGTTATAGCTCTAGTCTTAATAAAGTGCTCTCACCCAATGATTGGCTATAAGCTCAGCGCAATAGTTTTTTAATTCCATAGCACCGATATCATTGGCTGTTTGATAATATCGAATACAGTTGCTGACCGTTACATGGGACATCAATGCTTGTTCACATCTATAGTGGAGTATCATTGAGAAAAGTTACCCGTTAGCCTTCTTGTTATGGCATGATTTGATTATTGCAATCGATTGATGTGAGATCACATGTAATACTCCAATCCTGCATCAAACACTTGCATTGACTATCTTAATGTTTTTGCATAACAAAAGTTATAGATAGACTTACTTTTCTTTTAAATTATTCAAAACAAATTTATTGGCTGCAGCAACTAACTGCAGCGTAAAATCGTCGTCACTATCGTTAGGTAAGTGGACTACATCTTTGTATACCCATTGAAATAAGCAGCGGACAACATCTTCTCGAAAATCGAAAATATCCAATTGTTGAATTTCGCTTAGTGGGCGTTCAGACCAAGCTGTTGAACGAATACTTAACACCAGTTTATGGCCAAATAGCTGACCACCCTTATAACGGATGGCTATATCGCTAAAAGACGGATAATATGATTACGTTCAATACATTTCAATAAATGTAGCTTTGTTAACGACTTGCTTGATTACACTAAGTTATTATCTTGAATCTTTTTATACTTCTATTAACGTAACGTAGCGATGTGTTTCATTCGATGATGGTATTGGATACAGCCGCAGGCTTACCTGTAATCTTCAGTGTTATATAAATCACCAACTTGTTTGATTAATTGAAGTTGAAAGTTTGTATTGGCTTTTCCATCGCCGCCATGGACTGCTAGCAAGGCATTATACTTCTCTTCAGTTTTGGAAAGTTTAGCTTGCAACTTGACATATTGCTGGCGAAGCAAAGACAAGTGATTTTGTAATTTTCCTACTTCTTTTTGTGAATCAGCCAACGGTATAGGCACAGCTAAAGAATGGTAAACAAATGGTCATGAATACTACAGTGGTATCATATTATTTGCCAACTAGGTCGTACTTCCTTGCACCCAGGGCAGTACAGTACGTACCATGAACATTGCACATATCGTTATCAACAATTTATGACATGATGATTGATGATGATTCGGTGATATTACATCAGCGCGATTCCACCTTGCTTTTTAATAGCTAAGTGTTGCTTTTATGTTCACCAATTGACTCTTTGTGATACTACAATACTGTAATAATAGTAGGTATTGAATTTTCAGTTTGATGACCGCAAGGGCTATTGGAGATACTGTAGGTTACATCCTATGAGTGTCAAAGACGCGTATTCTAATCTATAATGTAATCGTCGACGTTATCAATCATTGACTCCAGTGTCTCCTATGAGAATGTCTCGACACACGGATCATTTGATGATTTCATTTCAAGTATTTAGTGCTAGTTGCTTTAGTGCAATAAGTCATACCTACCATAGGATAAGCTGGTGTACGTTGGCGAATATCGTTGTACGTATCGACCGGTGGAAAATTACATAGGTGTAGCTGACGCTATCACTGGTACACCTGCGCTAAGGTCGAGATAGTGTTTTTCAAAGCTTTGGGTACACATTAGAAGCATAACTAGCTAACCCTCTACAGTACTATACACATGTTTACAATTTGATGGTAGCAAGATTGGATTTCGATTTTTAGACTAGAGTTATTTTAATGCTAACTATGGATTTAATTCAATTCAATGCATGAATTGCTGTTCGTCAGAACGGAGATGAATGCAGTATGAATGCTACGAAGAAGCGCTCTCTTGATGCAGTGATCGGATACAATAGACATGATATTTGAACCAATCATTTTTACATAAACGCTGTATAATTATAGAATGAATGCAATACTATGAATATTCGCCATTGGAAAGAAAGATGTAACAATGAATTTAGTTCTAGCAACTTTGTCACCTACCAGCCATATTTCGAAAGTTTACAGGACCAGCCCCAATCGCTTGCGAGGAAATGCCTAGTATTGCGCAGCACCGTACAGTATAGCAAGTCTGAAGATGCACCAGGTGACTACGTACAGTACAGTACAGTAGGTGAGGAGATGTCTGCTACTGCGCAGTACCGTACGGTAGGCTGGACTCTCGAAATTGACATTACAGTACATGTACTGTAGAAGTCCGTGCAAGTACTGTACAGTACAGTACAGTACTGTAACTGGTGGTAAAACTTGATAGCTGAAAAGACAACCATTTTCTTATACGGTAGCACTAGGTGACTACGTACAGTACAGTACACTAGTACAGTACACACAGTATGATTTGAGCTCTGATCAGAGCATGAATCGCCTACTCATACAGTTCACACTTACTCTGGTCACTGCTGTGGTTTACAGCAAAGGATGCATATCTCTATCATAGTCTATGATTGATAGACATGGCCTATTCACTTAACCGAAAGGAAAAAACAAAAACAAGCAAAAGGATTACAGTACAGGTAGATTCGTCCTTTTGGACAGATACTGTACGGTACAGTACAGTACAGTACGTCATTACTTTGTACAGTACGTGTACAGTGTACAGTACTGTACAGTAATTCTTCTACAGTACAGTACAGTACAGAACTGTATTTTACACTGTGCGTACTGTACTGTACAGTACCGTATAATACAGTACTGAGAACAGCACCTACAGTATAGGGTACTGTAAACTTGATACCGTGCGACGACCCATATGAGCAGCCATCGCTTCGTTCACGCATTTCCTCAACGTGTTGCTTCAAATTCAACTTCTTGTGCTCCCATTAGCATCTAGTTTTACAAAAGGGTAACTTTATTTTTGCCGATATGCCTCGCAGACGTGGTGGTGGTGGATTTGGTCGAACAAGCTCTGTTCCAGCTACAAGGCCAGCACAGCCTTCTCAACCTGCTGTAGTACAACAGCAACCAAGACAGCCCGGACTATTTGGTCAGATGGCTTCAACAGCGGCTGGAGTCGCTGTTGGTTCTGCTGTGGTAGGATGAATGATACAACCAAGCTAACATAACTAGATATAATTGCGATCTACCGTAGTCGATAACCTCAACTAATTTAATAGTGAACGTTATTCCTAAGCTCATCATGCTATACGCCACACGTTACAATAGATAGGATTGAAATATAGGAATGGATTACATTAGTCTGACAATGGGGCAAAAGTAGTGCTGAAAATGATGATGAAAGATGACATGGCACAAGTTGTACAGTGCGCATGGATGGACACACACTGGATGGTAGTGTACAGTACAGTACTGTACACTACTAGAAAAAGACCATGACACATCAGCTTTTAGACTGTGACTACCATAAAGTCAATTCTCCCATTTCACTGAAAATTCGACCAACTAAATTGGCTTAAAACTGAATTAAGCTCTTTAGTTCACAATGTATACAACCGTATCAAGAACAAACTATCGGCAAGAAGAATACTCAATTGACACGTTTATATACTCTATTGTATGACTTATTCTGTTGCCTTCCGCGATAGCGCATATTGGTCATTCCCAAACCAAATAGCAATTTAGCCTCAATGCGAAACCAACAACACTACAACTTGTGGTCTACTAGGCTTTAAGAAATACTTTCTTGTCGATATTACTCTATACTTGAAGTACATTTAAACCGCTATTCATGAACGAAACCTACTGTAAACCATAGATAAACTAAATCATGCATTACTTCTTATCTATACGCGCATTTAAAAATTATCCAAGCTTGTGTACAAGGTACAGTATTGGAGATCGACTGCGGACTCACGATCAGTATCGTTAATTAGTGTAAATACTATAAATTTTATTTTATTTTGTACAGTAATATATATATAACAGCGATTGTGGCTATCATAGCCAATTAGCTACTATGTAAATGTTCAATTGAACAAATTTTGGATGTCGTACTTTGTAGGGCCATGTCGCTGGAGCAGCCTTAACGGGGGGATTTTCTGGCAGCAATAGTGCTCAAGAGGCGCCACCCCAACAACAACAACAACAACAAATGCAACAACAGCAACCTTGCCAGATGGAATTACAGCAATTTCTACAATGCGCTCAAAATCAGTATGATATTACTTTATGTGAAGGATTCAACGATGCTCTAAAACAGTGCAAGCGATTTAACGGTATGACTCCTACTTGAGAAAATACTGTAGAAGTTACTGACATTTCAATTCTACGGAGAACACATAGTACAGTATTGCTGTAGTGACACTTTCTGTCTGCTCAGCAGTAGTAATTAATCGTGTATAGGCTAGAATGATGTAGTATCTACCCCATTCAATATATAGGTAATTATCGTACATACGCGTAATTTTTGACCATGTTAACAAGCAAATATCATGTTTATACTTACTATAGGTATGGTATAAGAACGAAGATATGGTGTCATGCCGGCCAGACATTAAGCGATCATCAATTTGGATCAATTACAAATGTGCAAAAAGAATGGAATATGCCATAACGCAATAATTGACTATGCTTTCTATACGAGTATTATCTTCTAATATAAAATAAGAAAAAAATTTTGAATTAGCATGCAATTAATTGATGTTATAACTAATTCATTGCAACTACCGCATTTTAATGTAGTACTTTTTCAAACATTGAGGGAATTTAATTGTAGGAATTCAATGCATTAAGTGTCGCTTACTGTACACAATGATGCCATCCTTTGTGCCGCGCTTATACATTATTGCGTTGTAAGGATTCATAAGTTGCAATGTGAATGCGATAAATAAAGCTACTAAAATCTGGATGGACGCGTATTCTGCAAGCAGCTGATATTTAGCGATAGCAGGTCACTATTCATGCCGTATCCGTATTTGACTTGTAAGCATTTTAATCATGGACCATTCAGCAACAGAAGGTACAAAGCTGCGAATCCACTACATTGCTAAATTCACACAAGTCGAAATGCTACATGTTGACAGTACATTTATGCAAAGTATCCACTTTGACGCATTACTGATCTGTACTGTTGGGTGTTGCGTTCACCTGGTATACTATATAAAAAAATTTCTGGGGTTCAGCATCGTTTACCAATCTTGCTACAGTACTGTACGTATATCACTGAGGCAGGGACTAGTACAGAAACTGCATGGCGATCAATAAACCCTTGAGAATTTTAATTGATCTTGCAGCACAGGCAATAAACTGAAACATCAAGTCAAATCGAAATAGACATCCGTGCCTATGCCATTGACGTCAGGCTCAAGTGATGGCATATACTGTACATACTGCTGTATACGGTATGTCGATGATTTCTGAGCAAGGACGTGATCGATTCTTGCGCTAATAGATACACTACTGCATTGGTAAGTCTTGAAAGTCAATGGTACACTCACTCACTGGACAGGTACAGTCCATTCCGTTTCCTGAATTCTTCCTCCATCCCGATAAAATTGGAAATAGCCCCAAAGTGTCCAACACTGTACAGTATGATATTATCCGAAACAGTAGAACTTGAATGCATGCCAACTGAAAGCTTCCTAAAAAACGCAGCATGGACCAACATGAATTCTACAGCGCGATATGGGATGACAAGTAATGACTGGTTAATGACATATTGAAGACATTATCAAGACCACTTGTGGCCATTCCTTTTTGACGTTGAGCATAACAGAAAGCAGCGTCTTCTTCCAGCACAGTTCTTCAGTACTGTATTAATACGGGGGGGGGGGGGGTCTTTACTACTGTACATTGTAAGTGTACAATCGTGGACATACCTGGACTACATGGCAGCGATAGAGTACTTGAGGCTAGCGATTTACGCTGCCGATGTGTAGTAAAAAACATTTGGAGTACTCTCTGCTGTCCAGATATAGAAATTGTATCTCCCTAAGGACGTCCAATTGCTAATATCGCCATTAATATGAGCAGGACAATTTCACGGGTGACATGTTTTTTTCAGAGTCCTATACACTGTACTGTACACTGTGCACTGGACACGGTACAGTACCGTACAAGTCGAGATCAGGCTTACGGTCATACTGTGCCACTGTGGTTTACGTTGTTGCCCTTGATGATAATAATAAAGTATAATGAAGATTCGTCAGTAGAACGTTCTGGAGACTTTTGTTGCTGCAAATAGAGAATTTTTCATGACTGATAGACTACAGCCATCGTTAATCAGACGTAGAGAGTGGATCGCCATTCACGTTATGCCAAGGCAATAAAATCTCGCTGGGTTGACGGGTGACATGGTTTTTGAGAGTCGAGTACACTGTACACTGTGCACTAGACACGGTACAGTACCGTACCATACCTGATCTCGACTTGTGTCGAGATCAGGCCTAACGGTCATAATGTGCCACTGTGGTTTACGTTGTTGCCCTTGATGATAATAATAAAGTATCAATGAAGATTCGTCAGTAGAACACACTGGAGACTTTTGTTGCTGCAAATAGAGAATTTTTCATGACTGATAGACTACAGCCATCGTTAATCAGACGTAGAGAGTGGATCGCCCTTCATGTTATGCCAAGGCAATAAAATCTCGCTGGGTTGACGGGTGACATGGTTTTTGAGAGTCCAGTACACTGTACTGTACACTGTACACTGTACACTGTACACTGTGCACGGTACATTTCCGTACCATACCGGATCTCGACACAAGTCGAGATCAGGCTTACGGTCATACTGTGCCACTGTGGTTTACGTTGTTGCCCTGGGTGGCCTTAACGGTCATACTGTGGTCGTTGTTGCCCTTGATGATCATAATAATAGAGTGTCAATGAAGATTTGTCAGTAGAACGCGCTGGAGATTTTTGTTGCTGCAAATCGCGAATTTGTAGGTAGAATTTTTCATGACAGATAGACTGCAGTCATCGTGAAGCAGACGTAGAGAGTAGTGAGTGAGTGGATCGTTATTGGTGTTATGCCAAGGCAATAAAATCTCGCTCAGTTTAAGGAAGAAAGATACACTACAAGCAAAGCGCAACCAGTCGATTGACGACCAGCCCTCATCGTCGACGTCATAGGCTGCTCAATGACGCTCCAAAGCAAATTGCTTTCTCCAAGGTAGGATATAACTTGCGAGTAGAATCCATCAAGATGGCTGTTGTATTGACATTTTTTTTTTTGGGGGGGGGGGGTTTAGCACAGCTATTCTGCCTTGACTGACGTAGTCCAATCCATTGGAGGCTCTATTTATTTATTTTTAATCCACATGCGATATGCAATAACACGCAGAAGGGATCACGAAACGTCGTCACCAGCGCGATAACGTTCAACTAGATCATGTTGAATAATTAATAATGTGGAATACCGCTGAGATTAACTCTATTGACTTGAGCTGGAGTGGATTTTATGGGATATTTCCAATGTTTTTCCCTTGCCTTTTTTCATATTAACATGAAAAAAGGCAAAAATTACTTTTCTACTCTATCATGGAACGGATGTAGTAGTTTGATGGACTGATAAAATGCATGTAGGACAACATAATAGTATACAAGCAGAGCAATCAAAAGGATAACAATCAAGTTGTTACGACTGCCAAGGAACCAAGTTATTCCTGTCGGTAGTAGTGGCATTTCCTTCTTCTTTACTAACTGACTAGTAGAATCAAAGTCTTGTACAAGACTTTTTAATCTTTATGTCACTTTCAATGATACAAGTAGTTTTAAGAAAGGCAGACGTACAGGAGTATTACCGACGATGATAAAGTCAATAACATGGACTAGAATTGGACGTAGTAGGAAACATCAAAAATTGGATAACTTGACGACGATAGACCTCTTGTCAACAGATTTACTTGCTCTTGTCTCGTCAGGGTACAATTTTAGAGTACAAACAGTTTGGCTAAGGTTCGTCAATGTTTGATTGTTGTTCTACCTTTTTGTACATAGATTGATTGGCAAAGTGCAAGCAGACTATGTTATATCACTATCGCTGTAACGCTAAAGTTATCTCCACCAACGCATTGTATTGATTTATTGGCTGGTCATCATCAGACTACTGGCATTTTTGCACATTCTCAACATATTTTCCCCTTCATCCATTCCTCGACCTCCTCCTTCAGACTGCTGCTGTATGTAAGCCTAGATATTGTGTAGAGGAGACGTTTCGTTCTGTGCCGACGTCGTTGAAAACAACAACAACAACAAACATTTTGCAAAGATTGCTTCAAAAACATGGCTAAGAAAACTCCCTACCCTTCCAGTGCCGATTGCGATGACTGTGGCGCACCGTGTAAGTACTAAGTAATGATTATATTATTTGTCCAATCAATGATGTCGATTGTCCTTTGCGGTTTACTTATTTCCCCCCCCCCCCCTCTCTCAACCAACCTTAATTTAATCCATCTTAAATGATACCCTACCATGTAAAAAGATTACATGATATTTGGGAGAGTATTGTTGTTGTCTCCACATCAGTTCCAGTACAATCATTCAGTGGGCTATTGCCACTGCAATAAATAGTAAATGGGCATTCACTGAAGAATGATAATAATCGATAGAAATCGGTCATTCACTTTCTCCATGCAACTATAAACTGGTACTAGCATGAATAGAAGATACATGCAATCAAGTCCAATATACGCGTAATTCTAATCATAGTGGACCAAGGTCATCATGATTTAGCTGTAGCTTGTAGGTTATTCTTTTTACTTCATCTTATCAATCAAGAGACTACTGTACACCATTGGTACTTTAAAACATTGAATGATTGATGGCGTGATGATGATGATAACCATATATTATTCTTGATTGGACGTAATTGAACTCATCATGCATTTAATGACTCAATTCATTCCTTTGATTATTTTAATTAAATGAAGCAAATGATGAAAAATGTCATTTGTAAGCTATGCAGTACACTACAGGATATCCATTAGTTTGCAAGACGGTCTCAGTGCTTATCGACGCGTAAAATTATTCCTGACTAGTTAGGTCGTTAAGTTGTCGCTTTTTAACTGTGGTCGGGACGCAAATCATTGCATTATCCTACTGCGTACAGTAGTGTTCTTTTGTCCTTCAAGGACAGTATTTCTTCTTCCTTGGCTATTAAACGTTGTAAATTGCTCTGTTGATACGGTCCATGTCTAAAATCGATTCTCTAGACAGCAAACTGACATTAATTAGTTCAATATTGAGGATAGACTGTTCTACTGTACGTACAGTAGAACCAAGATTGAAGCCCGTTGACGTACAACAGTAAAATAATTTCCAATCTCCATCAACATGATCAATATCATAAAAACGTAACATAAAGTTGGCACACTACTGTACATGGAGAACTTGAGCATCTTTTCTTTCATAGGTTGAAATTAGAGTACAGTATATGCTACTATTCTTCATATGAATAGTTTCAAATCGTGTAAATAGATCTTGAATAGTTGTGTCTTGTGATCATTCTTAGTTTTTGTAGTGTAATAACGGTATCCTCAACATGTTTATTGATCTATGACGTTCAATTTGGGTCAGCTTGTCAATACGTAAATATATATACACTTTGATACATGTTTATTGGCTACGAATTCTAATTCAATTAAGGGCAACAACTATATAGGGATACTTGAATTACTATGATACTGTCCGCCGGTAGATTAACTGAAATGAAAACCGAGACATGCTTACAATATATCAAACTGATTACAATGAACGTTGCAGTATGTTATCCAATATTTTTCATTACCTATCCCAAGATGTTCCGTTGAGAGATACAAAAAAAGAACAATAACAAATTTCATAACTTACTGATTTCTTGTTCTTCAAGCATCCATCAGTATTGTTGCTCTGATCGTTGACAGATTAAAATAAAAAAACAAATAAAACCGATATACCAGTATGAATAATTTTAGTCAATAAACGTCCATGAAATACCAAATCAATTTTGTAGACAATAACGATAATCATCCGAGCATATCTACAAATGAAAAAGCTTTAAAATTTATTTTTCCTTGGCGTGATTTTCGGTACTCAAGCAAGCCTAATTCTTTTAGGCTAGCGATAAACAATATTTTACGGCCTTCGTCAAAGAATGCCAATAAACATGACCAGTTTGAAGTAGCTGATTATATTGTTATCAAAAAAAGCAATCTTTGTCGGATTTTTACTGTACTTCATCTACTTGAAGGGCGATCAACTCGTATACTTTTACATTATGCTGTTCAAACACGTATAATAATTAATTCATTAATAAAATATAAAAAAAAAAAAATCAAAGGCAGAATGCATTGTATTTCTCTGTATACGAGTATTAGCGATTTTAGGACAATTATAACATTTGATTAATTTTTTACTTTGCATTTTATTCATAAGATGGAATGTGGGCCTCAATAAATCGTGCTGTCTTTCTATGTGATGAATGCAGCAGTATTCACCGCAGCTTAGGCAAACACATTTCTTATATTCGTTGCTTAGATGGTAATAACTGGCCTTCCAATCAATTACAGGTATTATAAACGTATTGACGAAGCTGTTATAATTAACCTCTTTCAAATATTGCTTTCCAAATCTGATTGTAAAGGAAGGGGCGATCTTTACTAGCGTATCTATCTTCATCTTTACGTGATACGTATTCTAAATAGAATAATTTTACTTCTTAGATGCTGCGCACGTTACACGATTTGGGTTCTAATAAGTTATGGGAGCATAGCTTGGCTGAATTTACGAATATAAAAAATCCGATCAAAAAGCCTACTGACACCGATTCTCTGTAAGAGTAAAATGCATAGTGTTGTACGTTATATGTAGTAGATAGCAGTCTCTACTGAATGCTTACGTGTAAGATTTTAGAAATAAACATATTATCATTACGCGATATAATAGACTAAGTAATGTATATTTTGACCGATAAAATGATTCTCAATGTATATGTGTTTTAAATCTGTATAGCAAAGATAAAGAGAAATTTATTAAAGCGAAGTATAAAGAGTTAGCTTTTACGAACAAGTACGCAAGTCGTGATGACTTACAGCCTACAGAATTAAATAAGGTGATTTTTTCTGAGATTTCATAGTTATACGCGTATTTTCGACTAAAGATTAATGTGATGTCAACTTATTTTTATTAGCTTCAATAATTACATAATGATGTAATTAAGATTTGTTCTTTCTAACTATGACCTAACTTTTTACGTCAACTATGTATAGCAACTACACCTTGCTGTTTGCCAGCAACATCTCGAAGTAGCTTTAAAGTATCTTTCCTTAGGAGCCGATCCTGATTTCATCATTGATGATGTTAGTATACTGTATTTATGTTGAAATTTGTTACGAAACTAGATATTGTTATAGGCTTATTTTAAGGAAATGCTTTCTTCTAATCGAATAGTCGCAGCTATACTATTTTCAATTAAGGTTGCTAATCGCTTTTGCGTGCTACTATTTGCATGTATTGTTGAACAAAACTGTCCTATGGTTGTATTGTATAATTGTACATGTTGAGATTATTTTAATGCCAACTTGACTGATGTAGTCATACAGCTGTATGCAATACAAAATTATCGCATAACGTTTCGCTAAGTTATGATGGACTTCCATAAAATAGGAGAATGACGTTACTATCTTACATGAAGCAGCTGCTTCTGGGTTTCCATTGCTAGCAGAATTGCTATTAATTTACGGTGCTAATCCAAATGCTAAAGACTGTGATGGCAGGACACCAGCAGATTATGCGTGGTAAATATTAATCGTGTGTAACCTTGTACTACTGTACATCATTTAAATTAAATTGTACAATGCCGTACATCATATGTACAATACTATCGCTTTTCAGTAATCTATTCATATAGTGGTATGCTATTAAATATGCCGTACCTTGTTGGGTAATCGGCGCATGTCAATTGTAGCGTAATCATTTCGAAAAGGTGTCATAGGTTAGCATCTAGTTTATGATAAAATCTTGCCAGAATCTACGCGTATCTATGCCTACTAATAGCCAGTTTTGATTCTAGGAATAACAAACATGATAAAATTGCTGAGCGTATCGTTGAAGTTCAGTACGAGGTTATATCAAAAATAATTCATTTTGTATCTGGAAAAAAGCCCGGTAAATAATATATATTTATATATAATTGCTGTATATAGTACAGCTGCTATGTATCTGACATTGATGCTTGTCATGCAATCACATGTCTATATATATATTAGATTTGGGTATATGGTGTCTGCATAGATCACTAGATGATGCTTTCTTTGAATTAATTCTTAATTGATAATTATCATATGATAGATCACAAAATTCGTAAAGTCTTTCCTGTGCCGGAATTGCCTGCAAAGTAATTTCAATATTTACTTCCTTTCTATTTCTATTTTACCAGCTAAGGTTAATTTTTATTTTAATAACTAGTGTTAATATACAACGGGCGGAACATCTTAAGGATATACGAAAGTTATTTAGTAAAGTATGCTAAAGATATAGTTATATATACATTGAAAATTTACTATTGACGTTCATTTCGAAAAGATTTGTTTATTTTGAGCTATGTATACTATCTCGTCAGCCTTTGATTTTGAACTCTAATATATTTGCTTTTCTCGTTATCTTTTATAACTTTAGCTTTCTAATCGTCAGTTTGAAAATTTAGTTGCTGATATATATGATGAATTAGAAAGACGTGATGCCGAAATGGGTAAAAATTTGATGTCCTTTTCGCCCATATTCTACTGGAAAATATACATATAATTAAATGCGGTTTATGTAATTTATAGTTTACTTATAAACTGCATGCGATTGTATCTAATGATATTTATGAGCAATGAATACCATAATTTTGTATTGTAAATTAGCTGCGCCTAAAGACTACAAATTGAAAAGTTTACCGGTAGGCTTCTTACCAAACAACACCGATTTATCTATGACCAGAAATCAGGTACACTATGTTTTAAATGATTGACGAATTAAAAATTATTTATGTAGTGACTAGCTTCTATTCATATCAGGATTTATCTGAAACGCAATTTTTGTGTAGCATTGATATATTCCCTTTGTTTAAAAATTCCAATCAAGAAAGCGTAATTTTCTGCACATAGTATTGCTCTGCATATTAAAATTTACGAGCCCATAAGTGTAACTAATTACTATTCGTAATTATTCTCAAATTTCGTTTAATTTAAACAGACAAGACAAAAACTAGGCCTTGTAACTGGTGTGGAATTCACCACCTTACTGTATGATATATGGTATGAAACTTATCGTCGCCAAGAAGGCAAAGAACCATTCACTAAATGGAAGGAATCGCAGTTTGGTAAAAATTATAGAACTTACTATCGCTGCTATCATCAATTTAAAGCAAAAATGTTATGAGATAAGCGAAATTTTACCCTTTAGCCCATTGTATAGGTTGTTAACGCAATAAATATGCATAATATGCTATTTTGCTTATCGTAAGAATACTTAATTTTCCTATAGTAGAAACCGTTGATGATATTAGTGGTATGCCCCACTCGAAGAAGATCTCCACTGAAAATAATAGCATAAGTAGAGATGCTATAATGGAGGCTAATGTTAGTACTTAATATAAAGTAAACTCACTCTTTATTGAAATGTCAATTTTAGCTTTGCAATCCGAATATAATGGTGCTTTCGTAAATTATTTGCGTCTTGAAATTTAATCCTCTTGATATCATTAGAACAGCGAGGAGATAACTATGATGCAGAAGTTAGCTATGGGAAATGTAAGTTATTCATTAAATTGCTATATTATTGTGCATATTTAGCTAACAATGTAATATGATAAGATGATGCAATATATATTATGTCCTCTTTATTGTATTGTATCAAACCGGCTCTAGAAGCAATATTTACGCATTATAATTTATGATGCAGGATGAACTACGAAGGATATCTAATATAGCTGCACTGCCAAGCGAAAGAAAAGTTAAAACACAAGAACAAAATTATCAACAAATTTTAGAATATATTTCAAACATATGGAGCTCATTACAGGATATACGCAAAGAGGTCATTGGCATACAACTGCTGTGACAAATCTAGTTTCGAGCTCATTACCTAATCAGCTTTTTACTGACATGATTTGCGATTCTTGTAGGTTAATGATCTAAAGCAACGGGTTGATGACAAAGAAAGGAACCAAACATATGGAATGAATCCATATAGTAATAGCTATGGTTCTACAGGATTTATAAATCAATGTACCAATTACGGCAATACCATGGTACCGCTGCAAAATCAACAATTATCAGGTAGTTACAGAAATAGTTCGCAGCCCAACAATTATCTTCCTACTAATGGTTATGGCATGGGTAGAGTGAATAGCACTAGCCATCTGCACCAGGTACGAATACAACTTGTTACAGACACTGCTATTAACTGTAAATAGTATTACTGAAAGATGTATCGTATTTCCTTCGGTTTGCAAAATAACTGATGCATTGACGTCAGAAGATAGTCTTTGAGTGATAGGAGCTCCATTTACTTTGATTACTGTGCTTGTGACTGGAGCGTTGTATTAACACTAATTTCACTTTGGTATAGAATGTTCCTATGGGTATAAATATGAATGGATGTCGATCAGTCCAAGAACTTTCATTGAATGGCTCGTTACCAGAAAATCAAATGTCCATACCAGATGGTTTAAGTAATGATGTAGTAAGTAGTTTTAACTGAATAGTTATCGTTTTTGACCAAATAGTAAAGTATTAACAATACGATTTGTTATTTTCCATCTTCAATGAAATGTCGGTTAAATAATTGTGTGAATACTACAATTCAGAAATTAAGATCCGCAGGAACGACAGATCAATTAACTGCAAGGTTTGGTCCTCCTGGCTATGATGAAACTATGTCGAACGGCAGAACGGAATCTCTTTTGTTTGAAGAAAATGGCGCTAACTTTGGCAATTTACAGGGAGAAAGGATTGCAACGGACGCTTCCGCTAATGAAAATTTCTCAGAATATTCATCATTAGCAAATGGCAACAACTATCAACAAGGCAGTATTGTAGACGAGAACAAAAATACTTTTGAGCAGCAATTGTTCCTTTGCTACAATAAACTGCAGGAACTGATAAATGCGTTAAATCTCTCTGTAGCAAATAAGGAGGTTTCAAAGTATGTAATTACTAGACTAACTTAAAAAACTGCGTAAAAAAGTTGATTTGACTGACAAACACATTAGATGAAGGCACTATTATGAACAGAGTATATACGGTTCGCACAGGCGTTTACTAAACGTAATATTTTACTTATTCTCTTCGTTACGGAATTGATTTCTGTAGCTTTTGGCCATCAGGAGTAGCCATACTGAGGGCCTGTACGAATTTTGTATCCTGCGTTGATCAGGTCATTTGTCATCTTAGTTACAAAGATATTGAAAGTTATAATCACATTGATACGAGGTAATTTTTAAGAATAGTTGGTGATGCAAATGATTATTTTTTAATTTATTAGAGTAACTGTATTTTGGACGCCTTCATTCGAACAAAGTGCGTTTTTCTAAAATCAAATGCGGAAGAATTAATTAATTTTTGCAAAGAGCCAGGCGATCAAGCTCTTGATCCTAAGAATATTCAATGTATAATGCGCTGTTCTCGAGGTTTAGATCAATCAGCATTGGAAATTGTGCATATCTGTAACTCACCTGAACTACCAAATAACGTACAGTAAATAGGTAAGACGAAAAGCGTTATTATGAATACTTATCGTAATTCAAATGTACATTATGTTTGATTAATTTACGTAATCGAAAGGTAGTATCATATGTCCTAATTGAATTGCTGGACTTTATCAAAGTTAGATTTTTAGTTATATAGTATTTCCAATATTCGATTTATCAATCTTAGAATAATTTCTGTTTGCTATCGTTATAGTACATAGGGTGTCTTCAAAACATTTCACATTTTATTCTCGTAGCTTGCTTTATTCTATCCATTCCTAAGCGATCTAATGATATAAATGTGTGTTTACAGACTCGTCGTATTAACATAATGCGGTAACAATATTGGTAATTATCGTTCTCAGAAAACGATAGCCATTTCAAGTTTTCCTCAACAGTTGAGGAACTGATCTCATAAGATCTAGAAATAGCGTCTATTGATTAATATCTTATCGTAAATGATGTAACGTTGTATTATAATTGCGTCTTCGATTAAACTAACTTAAATTGCCCATACATATTCTATTTGTATTAGCTAAGGCAGAGCTGTATAAGAACAGGATTAATCTGGTGTTGTCGTTATCATTTTAAATTTGGGCAGCTGTATTGATAAAATTTTAGATGTATGATTATCTTTTTCATTGTTGGGCTTATCTCATGACTCATACTGGAGTCAAAATTTCATTATAATCGATAATTGTTCATCATTAAATTATTTACCCTTGAAGTGTTCATCTGATACCCAACTCATAATGAATACGTTGATTAATTATACTTATGTATTTATGATTAGTCAAGCGAGACTATGAATACATGTAATAATTTTATAACCATATCCATTGATATGTATAGACTACTGACTAAAGTATAAAGAACTTGACAACTGTATCAAAATACTCATTGGTAGAGCCATCGAAAGTTTCTGTAAATTTCTTTAAACAGATATTGTTTTCCGATAATTTCCTGTTAGCAAAAATAAAAATGTAATAATGGTTGTATGCAGCTATCGCACGAGAATATGTGAATGTTAATTAAGCAAATTGATGTTTTCTGTTCCCTAAAAAAGAATTAGAATCAATACAATATTATAGGGTAAGTTGCGTGTACAGCGATGTAGTCCGAACTACCTTCATTAGGGTCTCTGATCTTGATTATGTCCTAATATGCGTAAGATGAACAACATGTATGCATGTATTCGAGGGATCTACGATCACTGCTATGCAAGCATAAGGTAATGGAGTCTCAGTCGGTAGCAAACGTATCGTTGTCAAATTGTAATACTAGCTATGTAGTTCAGACTATCTTCACTATGTCCTAATATGCGTAAAAGGATAATATACACGCGAACATTCCAGGGATTTGCGATGACAGTTGTGCCAGCATAATAGCATTTGGGCGAAATGCATCGTTGTCGAATTAAAGTGCTAGACTGAGTAAAATTTGCTTAGTGGAAGAAGGTAATAGGCTATAAATGAGATCCTGTAAGCTAAAGGGTATTTGCAAGCTCGTCTAAAATAGAACTAATAACTACCTGTGTAATGGTTGTATCAAGGACCTTTTAGAGGTAATCCACTTAATATCTTAATATGCTGTCTTAAAAACCGAGATCGGAAATCCATTACTCAGTGCGTTAGTACAAGCAATTCAGGATTAGTGCTGCATTTGCACTTTCAGTTCCATACAATACGGTATATTTAGAGACCTATTCTTGTGTACTGTATCACATCTTCAGCCAGGAACCATACGCGGTTAGAAATCCTCACTAAAGCCTATAAACTTGTATACTGTACCAGGGAGTCCTTCATATCGTCTTTCCAGCAATTTAGAACAGGAAATCTCCATTTCTCTTTTAGTCCAGTCGTTCCTAGTGTTTTACCTATGAACTGAGACTCTACTTAGTGAGTATTCGAAATGGATTTAACTACTAACTTCAATGAGTTTCCTATTAGTCGATAGAAGGCAACTCGGGTACATTTATTGTCTGGAATGAAGACCAGCACTATGGCAACCGTTTCTCAGCTGCAACAACTAATTCATTGAGCAATCAACAACTTTGGTCAATATCCAAGTCTCTGCATATTGTAAAATAGTCCACGATTGTAGATTAGATGGAATGATTTGCTATTATCACTATAGATACACTTAGATGCTGATAGCTTCTGGCGGAAGAACTGATTTATATACGGTAAGTAAGGGAAGTTTAACAAGAAAGCCAAGGTCTAGACAAATTAACATATTATTTAGGCGACACTGGATTACACTCGTAGGTTAACGATCAAACTTGGATAGTTTAGAGAGAAATTTACACCGTTATCCATTTAATAATATAAATACTAAATCATACGAGGCTAATCATTGGCTATGGAATGGTTAGTCATCGCTTTAATTGCTGTAATCTCTCCTGTCCTGTTATTTACATTGAAGAGTAGATGGCTTGACAAGAAGCCTTACAACCCTCACTCCAAAACGGGTTGTTCATCACCGAACTGCATGCGTTGTGGTGCAATAGATTACCAATTACTACATCTAAAATTGCAACAGTTCATAAAATTGACTAATAGCCAAGAACATTTAACAAACTTGTATCAAGTACTAGATAATATCGTTAAGAACGATGGAATCACGGTAAAAAATGCATCACCTTGTACATTGCAATGTCCTACATCACTTTATTTGCCTTACATCTTAACCCAACCTTGGTACACATTAGCTACTAATCACCCATTAATGCAAGATATACAGATATTACAAGAAAATCTCTACTTAATACGTGATGATTATTATGCAGCTCAAACGTTTTCAAAGGGCTGGTGTCATAATCAAGAAAAGGAAGGCAGTTGGACGTTATTTTACTTGTATAATCAAGGCCATAAAGTCGTTGAAAACTGTCAAATCTGCCCACAAACAACTCATCTAATAGATCATCAATTGCGTCATTTTATGCGTGGCAATGTCTTTGGTAATGCTTGCTTTTCTAAAATTATACCATCAACAAAGATTGCACCTCATTATGGTCCATGCAATTATAGGATACGTTGTCATTTGACCCTTCATACACCATCTCAATGTAGCTTAAAGGTTGGCAATGAAACTCGTCAATGGGTTGATGGCCAATGCCTACTCTTTGATGATTCCTATCTTCACAGTGTACAGCATGATAGCAACGATCAAGATCGTGTTATTTTGTTAATTGATTTATGGCATTATCAGCTAAGTCCTGTTGAGAGGCAAGCGTTAAATTTTATTATATAAACTTACATTAAATGATCAACACTCTTGGTAGGCCATTCCTAGCATGAATCTAGAATTATAATTATCAGTAAAAGTTAATATCAATATCAATATCAACGCATATTCAACATTAAAGCTAATTTAAAAAGCAATCGTAATGAAGGGGAAACGAACCAGATGCTACGAAAGTTGACCAAGAATGATGTATACGAGATAAAATATCCTCGCAATGCTTGTTTCCCCACAGAAGAAATTGTTCAATAAAGAGAGACTGCATTAGATTATGGAATCCAATCCATACCTACAATGTTAATCTGGCGTAGGAATCATGCAGCAGATTGAAAATAACATTTCGGATATATTTGAAGCTAATGCAGAAGATCAAACGATTTAATAATCAATAGTCTAAACAATAATTTATTAATGCTATGCTCTTCGTTTCGGTATCCATGCAACAGATTAAAAATAATGTTTTGGATATATTTCCAGCGAATGCAGAAGATCAAACGATTTAATAATCAATAGTCTAAATGACATATTATTAATGCTGTACTCTTCGTTTTGGTATCCATGCAACAGATTAAAAATAATGTTTTGGATATACTGTATTTCCAGCGAATACAGAAGGCCAAACGATTTTATAATCGATAGTCCAAACAAAAATTTATTAATGATGTGCTCTTCGTTTCGGTATCCACGCAACAGATTGAAAATAATGTTTTGAATATATTTCCAGCTAATGTAAAAGACCAAGCGATCTAGTAATCAAGATTCTGAACACCAATTTAACGCTGTACGCTTTGCCTTAGTATCCGAGCATTATGCAACAATTTATCAATACTAGAAATCATAGTTTAAAGTCTTGTAACAAATTATAAATTTTTACTATACTCCAATTTTCTATTACTTATTTAAAAATCTCTTAATCAACTTACTATGGAAGCATTTTTACTATTGGACTATATAAAGCTGATATTTTATTACCATGGAAATAGTCAATTGTAATGTTAGTACCCCTACGCATCCAAGTGGTAAAAATCTTCTTATGTTCTACTTTACGATATTAAATCCGTGTACGGATATACAGAGATCTGATATCATATTAATTTTTTTTCAGGAAATAACGAACTATGAATGATATCTGATCAAAATCAGGTATTTTCATTTACATTGAAATTTGCTAGTATAATCATCTGGTTTAAATGTATATCAGCATAGAATCATAACGTAATTACTTTCGTACTACGTCCTTTCAGAAATGAGGCTTTTAAAAATTGGAAATCGATCTTACTGCCAGAACACTTGTGTTTATGACGGCGGTACTGCTGTATACGCGTATCTGATTAATTTATTATCAAAATCGAACTTTAAGTTTAATGATTGATTAATTAAAAATGAAGGTAAGGTGCAACTAGTAATCCATAGGTAAACGTGAAATATTATCATGGCAATTTATCATCATTGACTTCAATTGTCATACTACATTTCTCTCTATTTTTATTCTGCCGTATTAGAAATTTACATCATTGCACGCATTTTCAAAAGCCATGCGTTTGCAGCTTGTGATCCACCTATTTACTGCACCACAAGTAAAATAAAAGTTTAAAATGCTTTTTTTAATAAACTTATCATACGGAATTGCTTACAAATGTTTATTCTTCTATACCATGAACATGATGTTTTAAAATGCCAGAAATAATAAATCTTAAAATGTAGACTTTGATTAGTAAAATATCTTTCCGTACAAAATGAATGCCGGAATTTAACTGATCTTAGGTGTCGAATTAGGAAATTTCTTCGCATCATATATATTGAATAGTCTTTCTAATTACTGAACTTGCAAGTTCAACCTGTGAATAAATTCCAAATTAGAAACTTATATCTATTGATTGAAAGATACAAGATTAGTCTATTACATTTGTGATTGAATTTTTTGACATACATCGATTTTAATAGCAAATAAATAATAGTGACAAGACCAAATACGTAATTCTAAATTAGATAGATTTGGGAATAGTTTTCTGCTATTTGGTTAGAAGCAATCAATAAATTGCTGGCATGAACTTTATATTGTATTTTCTAACAAAAAATATCCAGTAATTTCTTATCTTCTTATATGTATTATCTAAGAAGTGCAACTGTAATGCAATGCAATGAAGATCATATCCTGTAACGTGTAATTTCAATTAGTTCCTATATTTGGATGCTATCACTAGGAATGTTAATCTTGTTATTCTGTAGTTAAGGTTACGTTATTTCAGCTATTTACTATAAAAATTACCTAATCTAGCTAGATGACTGCCTAGATTTTGCTTAAAGTGACAATAATACTTGCATGAAAAGCTTTAAGAAGGGTAAGATCATAAATGAATTAATGTTTTTATGGAATGTAGCAAATTAAACAATACGATAATGCTTTTAAATTCTTATTATATTGCCAGTTTTACCAGTATCTTTAATCACATCACCACCTAAGTAATTCCTAAGTTAGGTATATAATTATTACGGTAAAAATCTGATAAATATGGATAAAAATCCAATTTAGTTAACTTTGATTGCAATTATTATTTTCTACAACAACTATGACATATCCTAGAGAAATAAAATAAATGCTCTACTTCATTAGATGATTAATTTTTATTAGTATAAAATTTATAACGATATGCCAATTGATGATTTATTGGCTAACAACGTTTCAATAACGCGAAAGCAAAGCTTACATTCCCAATCATAACTGCTTACAGTAATATATGATCGAGCTAAAACCCGACCTCGGCTATCATTAAGAGAATAGCTGGCTGCCGATGTTAAAATGGTGCTAGAGTAGGCTTAATAAAGAAATATTAGTAATTTTTATATCTCAATCAGAATGGTTTTGTGCTTAACAAAAATGCCAACATAAAAGAGGATTTTTAAAGCATTATAAATATAGAGAGACCTTCAGGCGAATATTTCAATTTAATATTATCAGCCTGCAATTATTTGGTGATGTTACATCTAAAATTAAGCTTATATGCATAGTTAAGAGTTGCCTAAAAGCTATTACATACAAATTAATCTCAAAGTTTTAGATCTGCACTTTTTAAATCTTTTATGAATTTGATTCATATCGTATTAGTCGCTATAGAACAGATATGGATTAATATTCAAAACCTGTCTAATTTAACTTCCACGATTTACTTGCCAAAATGGCATATGAAACTACAATAGATTATATGCGCGATAAGAAATATTCACGAATTGTAACCTTATTAATTATATGTTATAAATTGCGCGTATATTAATCGTAGAACTTGCCATGAAAATACATTCAGAACAAACTCAGTGGTAACGCTTTAAGCGCTACTTTATTGCATTCTTCTAATACGTTAGAATATTTAACGATATTTTACAGAAGAAATATTTAGAGGATAGCTGCAGTCTTGCATGTTAGTATAATTCCATTTTAAACTTAATAAACATCTTCCAACAACTTTAAATAGAAAACATTTATTGGTCGTTTACGAGGCAGAAGCGATACTTTTTTGCTTCGAAATTTTATTAAATTTATGCTATAGGCATTATAAATAATAAATCCAAGTACTCAAAAGCTGAAATCGCTTTATCAACTAAATATTTAATTTCATTAATCTCTATGCATCAATTAATTAGCATTTGCAATGCATCATGAATATCACTATATCCTTTTATTATAAATCTTCAATTTTGTAAGAAAGCAATGCTTGCCTAAGTTAAATAAAAACATGAAAAGCGATAAAAGGGGTGGGAACAAAATATGAATTGAATTATTTCGCAGATGCAGGGTTTCTGTCTTAGAATGCTATTATAATACTTTTATAGCTATCATCGTTTCAATGTTTTGTTTTATATTTAAGGCATAGAACTTATATTGAAATTCTTTTTTCAGCGTTAAAGAATAATTTAAACGTACTCGAAATCCGGTAATATTTGGCGCTAGCTATAAAATACCTAAAATAGGTTGATTGGAAAAATTTAATAAATAGAAGACAACTCTCACATAAATAACTCCGACCACTAGTAAATCACTTTTGCAAAGCTCGATTCAAGATTAGCTATTTAGTAGGAGATGGTTCCTGATGGTATATGGTGGCTAAGATATCGCACTTTTTGTATGACGTGAAATACATTAACATAGGCGCTTATTAAAGCAGCATTAAAACTAAGTTGATGGCAACTTCAATGGGTAGCTAGTCTAAATTACATCTACATCAACTGAATTAAATTCCATCTAATCTTATGACTCAGTTTAGTCAATCCAGGTGTCTGCAATTCCAATTTATTTTTAATGATCTATCAACAACCTAAACACTACATCAATATGTGGTATATTTTCCTACATCCCACAGATAAGCTTTGTTAAAATAAAATATTCAATATTTTTATGCTAGTAGTAAACTCTAACGTTGTGAAAGTTATAACCTATATTATTATTGATATCAATACCACTTGGTAATTAATACCTTGTCACCTGTATCTCTATTCTTAATAAAACTTTTTATTCTATCCAGCCAAAACATGCGTTAGAAAAAAATTAAGTGATGAGAATACTACACCACATACTTAAGCATATCAGTACCATGAATGCAGTCTAAAACAAATAGGCTTTGATTATTATATCTATACAAGAAGTTTTCAATCAAGGAAGCCTAACTCCACGCCCCTCAAGTCAGCATTATTTAATAGTGCAATGTCATATTTATCGGCTGATATCTTGTATCACCATAGCAACCGCTCATGTCATTGCGGCACCAACAGCTCTAGGCCAAGTTTAAGTGATTACTCGACGTGAACTCAGTTATTGACTTTTTTCCTACCGTTATAGACTTGCACTTGATTAAATTAAAACTGATGATAGTCTTTAAACTTGTTTAAAATCACTATTCATCGATCAAGATTCTTCATTGACGCCAGTGAACCATCACTAACAAGAATAAAGAAATCTTAAGATATATCATTCGGCGATCAAGTGGTAGAATATCGATTTTTACTAAGGAACGTCTATGGTTATTTTGATTGCTATATCTACTTCTTAATTAGAATTGGATTTATCTTGTAATACGCTAACCAAAGTTATATTGTGGACAGATCGAAGGAAGTCGAGGATTTATTTTTCAGCACACCTAAATTATATAGTATATAATATATTCAACGCGGATATATAATTATACCAAGTACATCAATAATTTTCCTGTCTTGGTTTTCATCTTAAAGAAATACAAACTACTTCATACTAGCGCTACATTTTGATTTGTATCTATAATGAGCCATCCAACTTCAAAGAAATTACCATCAACTACGATTCACTATCTACAGGAAGAGCATACTAAAACACTAAAAAGTCTACATGAAGAAATTGAAAAACTACAGAAGAAATGTTCGGGTATGTCTTATCTGAATCTTTTCGATACATTATCGCATATTATCATCATCAACATTAGACAACCAAGTGTCGACGTAGAAAGGTTGATAGTGGTCAGTAATTTAATTTATTTTCGTCCTATTTCTGCTTATATCTAGATCTAACGCTAGAATTAGCCCTGAAAACGAATACCGAGAATGAAAATAGTAAGTCATATTATTACTGCAATCCTATAAACTTTCCACTTCAACTCCATTCTACGAGTATATTCTTAATGATTGATGATAATAGCTTTTAAGTTATTATCCTCATCATTCGGGCTTTAAACTATACTACCGTATGTCCTGGCTAAAATATTGAAGCATTCACTGTTCGTAATCGCAAATGATATAAAATTTACAACTAACCTCAGTAGGATAGAAATTTAAATATTATTGCGGATAAAATAGACGAAAGCTGGCAAGTTGCTAACCACTAGCACGATCATAATTACTATATATTATTCAGATCTACAGTTTATCACCTTTGCTTCATCTTTATCATAAATTTTCTGATGTATTATCCAAAATTTATGTCCACGGTGTTAAAAGAGGCACTAATGCTGCCATCCTTTTCTTACTACACTATCCGATATAATGATGAAATCTATGCAACAGATTTGAATGTAGCAAAGTTATGCGAATCTAGAAACCGGAGTAGCGGTACATACAGTAAGAAAAGTCGAAGTGAAATAACTTTTAATCTAATCGCCCATGTATACTTAATAGATCATCATCGAGGGAAATAACAGTAAAATTGACAGATGATAGCTGATTACAGTATACTAAAAATTGTAAATGAAATCATTCACAAATCCATGTTAGCAGAATTATTTGTACGGTAGTTAATGTTGTTGGAACAAGATCAGTTAATCACTACAGAAGATGGAAGACATGAAAAATTAAATTTTTTACTTGTATCTAACTTAGCAATTCAGTGCCTACAAAAGGAGTCGATATTGCATTAATAGTATTAGAAGATTTTAAAAATTTCCTACATGGAATTAAAAACAATGTCAATGAATCATATCCGAAGTTGTAGTAGAGACTGTGTCTCAATCTACAATGGCAGAGGATAATTGTAGGAAAAATATTGCTACCCTACATTATATCGATATTGATGAGTATGAAAACAATCGCATAGTTACATTAATTTAAAATTTACCCCTATCTACTTTGCTTTATACCAGTGACATTGAATAATCTTATTGTACATCCTATGACAAATCACTGATGATTATCTGCGACAATATTAGAAAATTGATGAAGCTAATATTATATGTTTATTAACGTTACAGTTACAAGATTTCAAATGTTCCTGAAATTAATAAGAAAGATTAAGAATACAATTGTTAGAATTTCAGCATAAAATATTCAGTTTTTAATTGCATAGTGGAATATTTACGGTATCTACAATTCAGAGGGTAAAGCTCAAAATCTTAGTAGTATTTACTTCATAGTTCTATCCGGACGATTTACTTTGCGTAGCAGATAGTAATTTTTATACTTGAGACTACTATACTTTCCACGTAATAATTCGGTTTCTACCATCTATATTTCGCTATTGGATAGTCATTCTTTTGAAAATAGCTTGACTATTTATCTTCTTGAATATATATTACGAGAATACGGAAATAAAACCAAATGAACAATATAGTTAACTAGAAATATTGCTATCATTTTTACTGATTACATGTCACAAAATAATACCCTTAGGCAACTTGGACAGATTAGGACAGAAGTAATCGTAATAAATTTTAGTTTCTGTCACCTTCTGTATATTTCGCTGTCGGACAGTTATTCTTGAAACTAATTTAACTATTTATCTTCTTAAACTTATTTTCATGGGACACGAGAATCAAACAAAATGAAAAGTACTGTTAATTAGAAATATTGCTATCATTTTTATGATCCTATATATTATTTAAAGTGACCAATATCTATTTAAATCAAGCTACTAAGATCCTCTTGGCACGTAATTTTATTTGCGATGATAAGGAGTTTTGCATATATTAATATGAGCCATAACGCTCAAGACTACACATAATTTTAGGATAATAAAGTAACTTAATCTTATTCGCTATTGATAGGATAGCATATTAACGATGTAAATTCGGACACAAAGTAGAGATTAATAATTATTAGAGGTCAATGGCATTAAAATCTGTTTTCGAAGTACTGATCATCCAATCGTAGTGTGCATTTTTCGTTCATGATTGTGTTAGCTCCAGTAGTTTACATAAGGCCTGCTCGTAGCCGAAATCAATATAACGTATAGGCATATTGCTTTTTTATTCAGTTTATTTATGTTTATGTTTGATACGGATAAAAAACTTTCTTCAAGTTATTGCTAAGTATGGACAAACTTGAATTGTATTTCTATTTTTACCATAATAGAAGAGACTGCACAGTCGAAATCAGTTTTTTAAATTATGGATTTTAATTTCTTATTAATTTAGGAATTAGAAATCAACTGAAAGATTTAGGAGGAGAAAATGATCAATTGAGATCACAAAATAATCAATTATCACAAGATATTGCCAATAGGGACTGTATGATTGAAGAGTTCAAAAATCGACTTCACCAGGTCGAAGAGACTCATCAAGAAGCTATTAAAATGAAAGACGATAAACTTATGCAACAATGCAAAGAGTTAGACCTACGTAAAAAATTAATTGCTCAACTAAATACTCAATTGATCCAAGTATCAAACCAAGTCGTAAACTATCAGCCGGCTAATCGACCGATAATTTCACCATCTCCTCCGGCTAGTGGTGCTCCAAGATCTAGTAGTGGTAGGATGAGGACGATTAGAAAGACAACTTCATCTCCACAATTTGTCATGATTGACCATCATGGCAATAGCCGTGGAGATATAACTGCTAATGGTATCCAGAGAACGCCTAATTCCTCATCAGATCATAAAAGTGGTCCTTATAATTCAGGTGGTTTACGAAAGACGAACCCAAAAAATTCTAGTAGACGATTATCAGGTGATTATCACGATCAGAACTTTATTATCTACGATGATCACTCTGGAGATGTTCGGGTGAATAAAACAACTGTTTTACCACCCATTTCAAATGATACAAATTGCTCAGGACGGCAAAGCAGTCCGAGTAAAAGAAGTTCCATTGGTTCTGGTAGTGTTAATAATAATCATAAAAAGACATCAATTCAAAATAATGACATAGGCACGGTTATCGTTAATCCTTTAGCTGTAAATAATGCAACGTGGGATAAAACTATTCAATCTCCAACTAATTCAAAATCCTAGTAGCGTTAAGATTATTAAGATAATGTAATCAAATATACATTAAATAAGGATTAAATTGAGAATATAGGACGATATAATGTCGTTAATGCGTTGTTATCTTTCATCAGAGGAATGCACACGACGTCTGATTGTGACTCTATAAGAAAGGAGTGGCACCCCTATTTTAATGAAGTCCTGATTTGATTTAGTTCGAAATATAAAATCTATTTAAATCATAATTTTAAATTATAATACCGCTACCTTCATAGCTAAAAATTATAAAATACCTTATTAAAATTGTTGATATCATGTCTTAACATCATTAAATCCAAATGAAAATAAAAATATGCAAAGTTTGTAACAATAAACTACCGGACGTCATTTGTTGGTTAGCATCAAGATTCCTATATTCGCTGGCTACTATAGTATTCTTCGTAACTGTAATTATATAATTAAAAGCATGCTAGCCTATCAATTGTTCATATTTGGAAAGGTAGTATGGCCTAATAAGATTGTTTTTTGTATTACAGACCATCGATAATACTCATTTACGAGTGAGTAAAGAAATATGATTTAATAAGATTTCGTAATGTAATTATATGAATCGGCAACATGCTATAAATTCATGAAATAACTATCAAAATGTAGCTCAACCGATCTACAGTCAAAATCTGTTTAAAAATTTCGACGTTAGTCAGAAGATACATAGGACAGTTTCTACGCAGCTTTACCAGTATAAGCACAAAAGTTTGTTACTACACAAATTCGTAGCCTCTTTATAGCTAGGTAGCACTGGCCGAGAAATTTTGGATTACAATGAAAAGATTGAAAGAAATTTACACCTAAAACTACAATAGTAGTGAACGATATCTTTATAAGACAGCAGGCAAATTCTGACGATTAAAATTGGGTCTGAAACACACACACACAAGGGCAACGTAGGCTGTTGCTGAAATTTAATGAATATATTGTATATTGCACTAATAATGTCATCAAATATGATGTTACTCTAATAATTAGATTTCCTGTACTATGGCCAGAAAATTGTGGTAACTTTTCTTACATTCTTTGTATCCCCATTCTCTGCATACATAGAAAGTCAAGATAGTAAAGCTACACAGATTGTATTGATAACACTAGATTTTTATGTGTATTAGCTAGCATCACAAAACACTATCGCTTAGAAATCGTCTTAATTTGAAGTATTGTTGACAAAATGACGCATAAAGAAGACTACTAAATTCAATTTTAAGGCTGTTACGGAGATTGATTGTGAAAATGCTGCTATAGTAAAATATTATGGCATAGATTAGAGAAGCAAAAGCATGAGTGATGAATGCTCAAAAGTGAATAAAACAGCGGGAGGTATGCCATGATCTAAGTATAAATTTTAACTGGATCGATACATTAATTGCTCATTACAGAGAGAGAGAGAGAGAGAGAAAGTAGAATGGACTTACTTCGACTTTTTGCAAATCGCAATATATAGGATTAGCGCTGATAGATTAACGTTGTACAGAAATCGTCTAATACATTTCTACAATATAAATACGTACAAAAAAGTGGATATATTTGCTTATGACTATAAGAATTAAATATATAATATATAATGCGTGTTATAGGACGAGCCACGACAGCACAGGTGCATATACAATATACATTTCGTCTTTATTTCTCCGTTACCTTGCCACTTATTCATTTTCTGAATAAGCTGTACACATGTTAGTGTAGCATATACGTATATGTTATCAGATTAAGTTAACATGTTACTCTGACATATTGGTTGGTATAGCATTGGCATAGTGGCAAGGATTTTAATAGTAGAGATCACTGATGGCTAATCATCTATAGTTTGTACTAGCAAATCAGCCATTTATCAAAGTCTTTCATTATTTTGCAAGTACTCCTAAAAAGAAATGAATCCTTCTTGTCTATAACAAAGTAGTAAATCCCACTATCGCCTATACAGTATATCCTATTTATATATTTAAACTTATAAGCAGAAATAGATTTTTTTTTGTCTACAATAAAGTAGTAGGTGCAGTAATCGTCTATACAACTTCAGCCTGTCGCATCATATTCCTATAGCTTTAAAATATACTGGCAAGATTGTCAAGGTTAAAGTGCTCTTAACACTCCGACCGGAGTCTTTTATCGCCTATTATATATATACAATCTCAGATGTTGACGAATTACTTCTTATGGCCAAAAGGCTTAAATCCTAAACATAATACATGTCTAACATGGACCTGAATAGACTAACAATTTATATTGATACCCTTTCCCACGAAATAAGCAATTGAAATCTTGTTAGCACATAACGTGTCCAAACATGATCAAGTTTATTATAGCAATTATGTACAATCTATATCTGCAATGTTGATCCAACATTGGACTCGATGGCTAAGACATTTCTGTACTAGATAGTTCTAGATCCATTACCATGGTTACTATAGCAACAGCACTTTGATGAGTCATGGACGTCATCGAATCCTATAGTAGGCCCTTATAACTAACGATTGCGCACGCGTTGTTGTCATTACAACGCCGTCAGCTTCTAATGCATGATAAATTCTTGTATAATTAATGAGTTAGAGACAGTAAAAGCTACCAAATAATGACAAATACAATTAATCAACTAACTCTCTAGAAATAAATACATGCTAACTATAAACTATAACACTATTTGCTCATATATAGAGGGCAAAATTGAACTTGCATTAAAAGAAATCTAGGAGAGAAATTGGATTGCCTATCTACTGCTCATTTTAGACGAATACTATAAGATGTAAAAGAGATTTAGTAATTGGAAAGACAGCTATGAAGAAATAAAGTTAAATTCTTTTAATCACTAGGAAATAAAATTCATTTTTCCAACACTTGATATTACTGGTCACCGGCATCATCATGACGTACTTATTAGGTAGTAAAGATTGCTTGGAAAGTTTAAAGCAGGATGTTTTAGATATGCAAAGCACCGTCCTGGAAGTCTTCGATCGCCTACATGAAAAAGTTCATACACCATCATGGAAATTTCCTGATCGTATGGCCTGCGATATTCCAATTGATGAATTATTGAATATTTATCGTTTCTCTAAAGAAAAAGAACATTCGCAGATGTCTCATATTGTCCTTTTTGAGTTGGTAATCGATAGGTAAGATTCAGCACCAAAACAGAATGAGCTAGCCATTTGTGTAAACGGACATCCATAATTAAAAATAATAATATTGTTGATAGAGCAAAATTATTTTCAGTCTAACGCAATAAATGTCGATTGTACTTCATCAGTTTTATGGCCAATTGTTTTTAACATCAAACGTGTATTTACCCTGATTGAATACTATTTATTTTATATTGTCACAATATCAGGATGCTATTATTGATGCAAAGTTTAGCCTCCTACTCCGATCAATTGATCGATGCTGAGGATAAAAGTAACCCTAGTCGACGACAAAGTCGGGTTAAAGCTTCTGCAGCTTCTGTTGGCTTAGTAGTCAAGAAATATTGGAATAAAGTGGTTCATTTTGCCAGGACTTATCAACAAACACAAACGGAGGTAAGATTAGAATTGTAAATTTTTATAGGTTAAAAAAATAAATGATAACTAAATTTCGAACTTTCTATAATATACATTATCTAGCTTGATTGAACACTCTGCAGATTGTATATTTTCTCTTAATTAATCTAATGCAGTGTTATCATTGCCTTAATCCTACTAATGATAGCTTAAGAATAAAAGCCAAACCATTGAACGCCTTGGTCAAGAGATTGATACATTAAAGGAAGAGTGCCGTGCGCTACGTCAATCAGCAGCTTTACCTTCATTTTATAATGTTGATTATGAATCTGAGGAAGATGCTGAAAATTCACGTCCTCGTCGACCATCGAGTGCACCAGTCAGGAATCCTCGAATCACTCATGGAAAAGTTATGGAATCAGCTCGTCCAGTCTCCTCATTTCGTCCTCATAATGTAACCGATTCGCAAACACAAACTATCGAGACAGCATTTCTACCCTGTGAATCCTGCTTAAGGACACAATGTTGCTTATGCGAAGTGGGTAATACACTTTTGGAATTATGCACAACCTACGAATTGCATTGTTCATTGGTGAAAATTCAACCAATGATGGAAAAAGTCCTTGATAATGGCACAACCCTATCACCTTCGGATATTAGCCGATGGGCTAATGCAGAAAGAAAAGATTTAAAATTGCTTGGCCGTTTTATACAAAATTTGCATGGCCAGATTGGACCTTTAAGGGCAGAGTTGGGGACAGCTAACGAAAAAATTCGAGGTAAATCGGTCACTTTTCAAACAGTATTCAAAGCTAAATTCAAAGTTCCGATGTTTTACTATATACCTTTAAATATCATAAAAAGGTACTTATATTGCTTTCGACGCAGTACCATTAAATTGCCTCTATAAAATTTTTACATTGAACAGTATTAGTACAAAGCTAAGATGTATTTTTTGAGTCTCGTAATTGATTTATTGGTATATTGATATTTAGTTATGATAAAAATTCTCATACGTGCTACTAAAGTAAGATAGGTTAGAATAGATCTTCGGCTTTAAAATCAGTTAAAATAGTTATTAGCTGCCTAATTAAGCCATCGTGAATTCTAAATTGTTTATACCATAAAGTCTTCCAGTTACCTTTGTACTCAATTAAGATGTAAGACTTGTAAGCCTCGGTTACTATTAGTTTACCTCAAGTTATTAAAAGGCACTTTTCAATTTAACCTAAACAAAGAATACTTTTAAAGTAGTTTGACATTCTTAACAATTAATAGAACAAGCTGAGAAAATTCAACATCTGGAAAACCTAATTAAAGATGGCGAGCTTGAATTACAAAAAAATAAAGCTACATATGAACGAAAAGTTGACGATCTAGAGCAATTATGCCGAACAGCGGAAAAGGAAACTCAAAATGTACAAACCCAATTGATTAGAACTAGGCAAAAGTTTCAAACAGAATTGGACAGTATTCGATCAGAATTAAAGAGAGAGCAAATTATTTGTAAAACATTAGGTTTGTCAAGCATTTATCTTTTACAAATATAATTTCATAGCTAGTTTTCAATCCTAAATTTTACGGCTGAAGTTGATTTGATAATCGAAGAATTTGATTTAATTTTCTGTCTACTAACTTTTGCTAATATAGAGATGACTAATACCGATTTAAGAGATAAAGTCACGAACGAAATGAATAAAGCGTCAAAAATCCGTACTGAAAAGGAAAAAGCTGAAGATGAAATTGCTAAAATTATGGAAGAATATGAGAAAGCTCAAGAAGAATTAAATGATACTAGCTTAGCATTAAACAAAGCTAAGGCGCACAACAGAACCTTGCTTAAGCATGATGAGGTCAGTTAAGACTTATACCACAGTATACGACATTATTACTTTAAATCGTCTTACTCCCATACAAATTGCGCTAATCTCTTATATTTTACGAAGGAAAGAAAGCAGTTATGCAGTTCACTGACTTACTAATGAATCTCTATGTATGGTTATGATCGTTATATAATAGGTTTTGAGGGGCAAGCACGATGCTTTAGTTAAAAGAGTTGATGAATTAGATGAAAAATGTGAGTCATTACGCGATATGTTGACAGAGGCAGAAGCAAGGCGCGATGAATTAGCGACCCAATTAAGAGATAGCGAAGAAGTTGCTGACCGATTGCTTGGTGAATTAGAAACAAAAAGGGTAATTATTTTGCTAAGGAATTAGATGGATTATCTTACTGTTGTATAATCCATTTGTAATTAACTATTATTCAATCTTTCAAATTAGCGTTTAATTAAAGAGGCTATGAAAGAGAAGGAACGATTAGAAAGAAATATTGAAGAGTTGTATGATAGCATTAACAAGTTACAGGAGCAAGTCGATGAAGGCAAACAACACGAAAAATTATTATGTATTCAACAACCAGTTGATGAACGAGGATTTCTTAATTTACTGGAGAGTGGTAAGATACTCAATAATTTCTCTTTTTGCTTATTAATTGCTTTAATTCATTAAATGCCTACCACTCGAAATTTTTCATGTTGCGATTATGTCTGTATTTACAGGGATGATTAGTCATTATAAAAATATTAATCCATGATTGAAAGGCATAATTTAAATAAAATTTCCAGTCGTCGATGAAGTCTATTAAGTAATTGCTACATGTAATCCGTCTCAATGAAATATTTGATTATATTTTATGTCTAGGGGGTGTCAATGATCTAGAAGAGCAAGTTAAAGCCAATAATATTCGTATTATGTTACTACAAGAACACAATGAAGAGCTTCGACAGTCATTAAATAAAATGATGGAATCCGAGATTGATACACCTCCACCATCAGGAGAGGTAAAGCCATCTACGTTAAAGAACTTTTTAAAATGGGATAAAATAAGTTTATCACATCCCAACGGCCTGCTACTTATGAATGCCTGCAATGAGTGCTATAAAATAGAAGGCTTAATATTATGGATTAATTAGCAGTAATATCATATTCTTCTTCACTTACTTTCAGTAACTTAGAATGAGAAATTAATTGTTTTCGTTGCTATCTACTAGTTTCTCTTGTATTAGAATACTTTAGAATAGATGCATGTATTGCTCTAATTTGATTTCAATTTATAATTGCATACAATAGTTATCTCCTCAAGTATCTCTATGGAAGAAATCGGGTCTTGCAAAGTTGCGAGCTGCAAATAGGAAGATCATGACTCAGATGGCTGTTATTGATGCCTTAAAGTAAGTTGATGATATAATTTGTCCTATACCAAATATATAAGCAGGCATAATATGTTCAGTACTAAGACTGTATGGGACTGTTATATCTCAATAAATTTAATACATATTGTTATTATCATCTCGCCAGTACGCGCAAAGCAAATAAAGAAGAAATACTGAGAACATCGCCTCCACAGCGTTCTCCCTCGCCAGATCGAGCCTCACCAAAAATTGCAGTAACGCAGAGTCGTTTCCCATTACCTCCAAAAGGTGGACTACTAGCCAGATCTCAAAGTACTATGTCAAGACGAGATAATAATAACGTCAATAATCATAATGGTAATGGAACTACCGTACGTTGGGCTAGCGGTAGAATTAATGGTCGAACCAATTCCGATCAAGAATTCGTTGTTAGGAAAACCACAAAGCGATTGACAACATCTGAAGGTTAAGTGTAGCTAAGGGTTGATTTAGCCACTCTTAAAATTTATTATAGATAGATTGTATGACAAGGCAGCCATCTAACTTCAAAAGCAGTAGTTACGGAGATTAATGGTCAAATTTATAAAGGTATAAATGGTTTTTGTCCAAATTTTTATCTCAGACAGTATAATCAATAAATGATTATATTGACTGTTACGAGGATTATAGCACAATAGCGTGAAATTGTAAAAAATTGTTGAAAAGTAAAAAGCCTAATGTAACTGATGATGTTGTTAATAAGTTTATATCAGTATCCGATATAAAATAGAACGAAATGCAGAAGATTTTTCGAAATTTTAATGAATTATTTATAAAGTATGAGACTAAAAATTAATTTGTATATGGCGATGTAATATGCATTTTTTGATGCTTTATTTGTCCATGTTACGTGTCGTGTACAAAGTGTTATCGTAAAAACGTTTCCATAATTGCTGACAGATTGTTGGTTTCGTTATATCGATGCTCTTTTGTTATTTATGTTTCTTTGATCAATTTCCAATGAAAATAAATTCATCTTTTACTTACACTCGATAACAATATTTAAAAATATTTTTATTTTTGCTAATTAGCTGTTCATGTTTTTAGTATGGATTTGAAATTTTAATAGAACAATTATGGGACTGATTGTTATCGGTAGATTATAACCTTTGTTTTCAAACCGAATGCCTTTAATATAGCAGCATATACAGTAGACTCATCGGGTATTCATTTCAGTCTGTTGTTAACGTGCATATTCAAGTGAGCCTATCTATTAGTATAATATATAATTATTATAGGAGGAAAATTAATTTAGTTATCTGGCTTAACATGATTACGAAAATATTCAATTAATGTAGTATTTATGAAATTGGGTAACATTATATTTTATAAAATTGCCATAGGATAAGCAGCACAGAAACTTAAACATTTCCCAGTGAGGATCATTGTTAGCTGGAGTTCTGTATAGAAGCATAATCAAATACTTTATCTAGCACTGCAATACTACAGTAATTTTATACATCACTATTAACATCATAAATATTATTTTGTTTATAAACAGGTAGATTTGCAATATTTTTTAGATTCAATAATAACATAGTGTACAATTGTATTTGTAAGAAATTTCTACAATTTCATTCATGCTTGTCGAATTTTATACAATTTAGACTGCTATTTATCCTTATGATGATGGAGAACTTATTTCTAAAGGTAAGGTAAAGTCAGGGACATTCGTATTCGCGCCGGATTAATTTTGTTCTTCATTTGTTTGCCCTTTGTCTTCTGTATCTTCATTATCATGGGGATGCACTGGCGGGAGGATATCATCAATGATTTGTAATAGTTCGTTGCTTTCTTCTTCAGAAAAACGTTCCTCAGTTTCTTCTATAATCTATTTCATTGAATATGAGACAAAAATATTATATTAATGTTGCGCCTCTATCTTTTGTACGTATGGATTATATATTCATAAGTCTTATCGGCTGTATTAGATCTGAAGGTTTCATTTACCAGATGAAGTTCGACAAGTGAAGTTGGTCTCTGATTGAGTAACATTAACTTTTCCGCTCTATATACGTAAAAAACGACATTTATTTACACGTGCCTCTATCATGGTAGATATTTAATTTATATTTAGGTGTGTAAATCATTTCTCATGATCATAATAAAACTAGGTTTGTAAAAAAACAAATTCAATCGTGATTAAAGCAGCTTTGGTTTAAAAATCTAAACGAAATTAAGTAAACTCCCTTCTGAAACAGGTTAGTTACAGGTCTTACTTTGTTAATTTGAATTTAGATATGGCCAGCATAAAGTCCTTCATAATCTGTTCGTTCTATCATGATTAGTAATAAAGAATATTGATAAAGCTAACAGGATCCTACATTTCATACACTTCACAACGTATTAGCCACATAAAGAGATCCTACTTGCACTGAACATGGCGTATCTTGAAGATGTTTGGTTACCTAAATTTGTCATATTGTTAACTTAGTAATAGATAAATAGGTAATGGTAACTGGATAGTACTGTAACTGATATCCAAATGAATATTAAAGAATTGGTTGTTTGTTTAAGTTAATATACGCGTAGAATCCATTACTACAAGACAGAGCATATGATTACTTACTTCATATGTTACCGTGGCTAAGTTTTCTGGCACGTATTGTGTTTGTTCGGCGATTGCTTTCTTCTTTTCTTTTAGTATCGCCAATACCTACAAAACCATGTATGAAAGATGATAGGTCGATAGCCATTAATAATTATCAACATAAAATGAGACTAAAGTTATTTACGATACGCTATAACGTGACGATTCTTGCCGCATCTGTGCAAGCTAACGAAACACGTATTTCGTTTAATGCCATAGTTGTATGTCAATGCGTATAAAAGTTAAGGTGCAGGCATGTAGTGATTTCGTTATCAACATCATTAAATTGCTACGTTTATTGACAGATATCGAAATATCATCGCAAACTAGTGTATTCGTACAGATACCACATCGAATTAAAGATCGATCGATTGATTTGGTGTTTGAATATTACCATGACATGATACTCGTACCTCATAATTGCTTAATAATCCAGCATTGCCGTCTAACCTATGATTGAATAAGGTGATAAAAGAAGCAGATAGCGATTATACATTATTATTACTTCAAGGGAATTATTGGAATGGCCATGCAGCATGGCGTACGTACGAATTTAAAAAATATATACCGTATTGATAACTGATGCATGGTGAATATTATAATTTATAGTCGATGCATGTTGTATAGGATACATAGATAAGAGTTATTTCAAGACGTTGAAGATTAACTACTGACGCAGATCTATGAAATAGCGATCGAACGGAAGGTATACGCGTAAAATAGTAAGAATCATTTCTAATTTAAACATATCGCAAGCTACTTGAAAGATTGCTATCAACATTCATACATTCATAGTCACTATTTAAATTGCCTTATTCAATTATAATAACGTAACGCCTATCCACTCTGTTCTCAGCATGTAGGATTGTCTAATACGTTATTCAATCTTTTAGGGCGTCTGGTCTGTGCTAAGATTAACATACGCGTATACAGTACATGCATAAGACTGTGCTTTAATCAGCTAAAGTTGCTTACACTTGCATCCTGGCGTTCTTTGGTAATGCGATTTGATTTCTTCTACACCGTTATTATTTCTAAAGAAGCCACACAAGATGAACGAATAAATCAATTAGGTTAAGAATTTGATTATTTGAGTAGGGAGAGCTGCAGGAAATTTGGCTCTACGACGAAAGAAATAGCAAACTTACCTAAATCACCTGCAAGCTGCAACTTTCAAAATAGTTCCTCTAGTAGCTCCAGCTCCAAGCACCAAGAATGGCTGCAGGCACTAGGCAACTGCTAGGGCAACTGCAGTGTCCACTGTCCAGTCAAAGCTGGTGCAATATAGATGTCATGACTTACATATTCGTTCCAGTGTAGAGTAGAGACTTTACACGTTCCTATAGACATTAGTTTTACACATCCCTAAGAGTACTATACGTGCTGTAGGTACTATACACTAGTATACAGTACTGTACAGTGTACAGTACAGTACACAGAACTACAGTACAATACTACAGTATACAGTACTGTAAAGTACTGTACTCAGTACTCTACTATTCTGCCGGCTCCGGCCGAAGGCTAATCACGGTGGTAAAATTTTTTGTGCATTTATATATATATATAATAAAACGTTATAGATATGCATTTATATAGAACAAAACGTTATAGATATGCATTTTTATAGAAAAAAAACTTTATAGATATGCATTTATATATTACAAAACGTTATAGATATGCATTTATAGAACAAATATTTATAGATATGCATTAATATATAACAAAATGTTATAGATATGCATTTATATAGAACAAATCTTTATAGATATGCATTTATATATAACAAAACGTTATAGATATGCATTTATATAGAACAAATCTTTATAGATATGCATTTATATATAACAAAACGTTATAGATATGCATTTATATAGAATAAAACGTTATAGATATACATTAATATAGAACAAAACGTTATACATATACATTGATATAGAACAAAATGTTACATATATGCGTTGATATATGCATTTGCAAGACAAAAGTTCTCAAGGCTGAAAACTTTGTTACAAATTATTTCAATATTGTAGCAACATTCAAATCAAATGAGTATCGAAACGCTTGATATTATATGACATAACCTCATGCTCCTCGAGATTTTCGTCGCGAAGTGCTCTGATTTGTCCACATAGTGGATTCATATTCGCTAAAGGACTGCTACATAAAATTTAATTGGCGATTGAAGCAAACTTGAGCGCTCCAGTATTTTTTAAGTCTAGGCCTTCCAGTATTTCTGTCTAACATTTAATTTACGCCATATAGCGCACATCGTATTTCCCCAAAAACGTCAAATATGCACGTTGCATAAAAAATTTCCCTTCTAATCTCTATCTTATTCAAGTAAGAGAAATTATTTACCTCTATTCCACTTCAACATTTAGAGTTCGTAATAGCCCTATTGAATAATGTAGGAGGCAGGAAAATGTACAAGTAATTAAAGTTCATATAAAACTAACTACTGACTTCTATTCTCTCTTTATTGCTTGCAAAACAAAAACTTCCATATGTGCTTCGTTCACATTTATTAGGTAGAAAGTGGATCATACCGATACAAAGTTGACAAATTAGCGTACAAATCATTGCTGAAAACACCCTTATGGGCATGAAATTAAATGTTAATAAACATCATTAGCTATCGTATATTCTTTGATCTAAATTGGTATAATTAGAGTACGCATATGGTACGAGATTGATCATGATGAGAACACGATATGATCTTAGAGCTCTCTTGTAAGTTAGGTATCTAACGAATTCACTGACCCGAAAATGAATCCTTCTTTCAATTTTAGATTTACTAATGACCTATAGAGCATTATTTCTGGTCTCGATTTGAGTACCATAATACTTACATGCATAATAAAATAATGATTATTTTATTTTGCACTGTCTACGTCATGATCTGGAAATTATTTTTGTTTAAATAGGAGGATGATTTCGTTGCATACCAAATCGATGTTACTAGCGATAAATCGAGATATCACTGGAAAGCATGCCTTTTATTTTAAAATTCTTACGATGGTTATTGTGCCATCTTGATGGCAATATGAATATTGGCCGAATGACTATCCCATCATTCTTCTCTTTTCAAATGGAAGTTTACAATAGTAGAATAAGGATTAATTTCATTATAAAGATAAATGTTAATTGCTACAACTTCCACGTCATAATGATAGTAATAGTTTACTATTATTATTCTGAAAGGATCTTGTTTACGGTGATATTAGCTAGTGTTTATACGTTGAAGATGATTTGGATAGGATGATTTACCCGCGTAAATAGTAATTGACTCGATTCGTTTTAATCCTTAGAGTTAAATCGCGGTTACAAGATAAAATAATGACCTACAGAAGTTATGATTTTAAAATTCTGTCATGAAATAATGGTAGCTTTACGATTGGTTATTGCTATCGGCCCTATCTAGATCAATAAGAAATTTTTGACTAACGAAACGCTAGCAACAAAAAACAGTTTAATTATATGCGAGATTAGCAATTAATAAATACTCATAAAAGTATATACGCATTATTGAGCAAAACTAAAACAAGGGGTATTCTCTAATAATTCGTTTAAGAAGAAAAGAAATTTGATCAGAATATTAGATTGGACTTAGTCATACATAATTCACTTCCTCCATGAATAAGGGAATATATTATTGTTAAATTCAACTATAATCGAACTATATTGATAAATCAACGAATCATGGGCGACCTAACCACCGGAATGGTAGCAGTCGAAAAGATGGTTATTTCTTGAATATAAAATGATCTTAATGTACAGATAATAGTTCTGCATTCAGGAAAAAATATTATTAAGTAATCTTAATTGAAATAGCAATTGCTGCACGTCATACGCATCGTTAATTAATGATTTCTTACGTAAAATTGATCTTTTAAATGGTTATTTACTTTTCATTGGCAACCAATAGATAAATATCAACAATATTATAACGTTTCAAAGATTCCTAGATACGAATTCTATTTATATGTAACGTACAAGTAATTGATTTATTTATAAATACGGTAGCAGATTAAAAAACCCTGCAGATGGTAAATATCAATTTTTTAGCACTAAGATACAATTTAAGTAAGCAAATGCTGTTATAAACTAGCTATTTATCCCATCTAAGAGATTGATCTATTATCATTAATTCGATAAACAAAATACATCTCAAAGTGGATTGCTTCATAACCCATTTGGAGTTATTAGAAATGTATAGAGAAAAAATTTTTCAACACTCGACGTATCGTTCTATTGTTATCACATCGGAGAAAATATTAGATTTAAATATCTACTGACATCATCGTATTTTAAGTATCAGTAGTAAGTAGCATGACTGATGCAGTTAAAATGTTTATATCTAATTTCAAGTATTATTAAGATATTGACTCTTTGCATTGTTGATTTAATATCATTATTTTAGTGATATCGTCACACTGGACTGACATAGATGGATAAGAAAATATAACTACAATATTGCTATGACTAGAATGCAGAAAGAGATAAAATCAAATGATATAGGGAAAGAAATTGTACAACAAAATGATGAACTAATGATGGATGAAATCACAAGATTATATGAATTAGATTAGAAAATCTTTAAATTAACTAGAAGAAAATAGCATTCAAATCATGGTCCAAGATTTATAAATCTATTTATCACAATTTACAAAAAAGCTTGATTGAGTATCTGACAAAAAGTAAATTATTGATTAATATTCAACGCCTACAAGGTAATGCAAGACAAGCTAAGCATTGAAATTCTCCTTTGTTGATTTTATTTCAAGTGCACAGGTGCTGAAAATCGAATTGAATTTATTTACATGAGAGAGTGATTAGGCGAGCTTGATTGATTAGGATATCGTCGAATACAAAAAAACTTTTTTGAAGATCCTTCCATCTTGTATTGAGAATTAAGACGATCGCAATGCATAATATGTTGATTCAATATGTATACTGTAAGAAATGATATCTATCATGATCATTCTTGTTTAGTTAATAAATCTTATCTTGGTAGTATTATCAAATTTTCAGAAAAAGTAGCAGAATAAATTCTTACTTATTATACTATTGATTTTATATATCTGATCAAAAAATCAAATATTATGGAATCGCATTGTCTAGTAGTTCACTTTATAGGATAATATAATGAATTACAAAATTCAAGAGACCTAATGCAATATCAATTATAACAAACATGCAACTATGAAATAGGAAGATTGATAATTATTGTAGTAGCTATAACCCACTTCTAAATATATTTAGTTTCATGGTGATCGATCCTATATTTAGCTAGGCACGCCAATTTTAAGGCGTTGTTGCAAAAATGAAGATAATTTCATGCTAACTTGATTCGTTCATTTAAAACTGACGGTTTCACACAATCAAAATGATAATTAAAAGTTCGATATCGCTTTAGATCGATATTAATTTATTGCTTAACTAGTGCAGCCATATGCCAAGCCACTGCAATGTTGTTCTGCAGCGACCATAATTTAAGATTTTATGAAAAGAATAGAAAATATCATTATGACACTCATAGTGTTGTCAAGATAACAATAGGGAGAAAAGATCAGCGAAGACTTGGGGGTCAATAAAATTATCTCGTTATTATAAATTGAAGATGAGTCGCTGAGTAGTCCCTTGATGAACTGTAGTAATTAATGACGTAGGAATAACTTTCTTTTGAACAGTATATAGCTTGGTCAATTGCCAAATCTTTTAAAATATAGTGATAACAGTCTAGCCATATTACCCAATTAGATTAGCAAGAAAAATCTTCCATACATCGTAGTTGTTTAAAATATGCAGTTTATGGGGTATCAAATAATCGGAAATTCGAATAAATATACTAACTGGCTTCGTCAGGTATGGCATTACATGCAAGAATTTTTATCTTACTTCCTTTACAAAGGTATTTCTTACAACTAGATAGATCTATAGATTATAATTATAATTATGAGGGTTTTGATCTGTCACAAATTCAAGCTAATATAAGCTTTTCCTCAATATATCATAATCTCAAATCGGCTCGCAAAAAATCATAAGAGTTGGTTGAAAATTGACAATATCTGACTCCTTTAGTAAATATTAGTGACTGTATAATAGTACTTTCAGGTAGACAATGATTTTTCAATTCTTTATAGTCGGACTTATACTTCTACTATTATATAAAAAGAGGCATTATGACCACTGTAGTGATTGATGTGCTCATTAGAGAGAAATAAATAAAGTCTTTTCTAGTGTTCTTGAATTTTCACTTTCGCATGTAAAGCAAACTGAGTTATAGTTCCTGTGTCTTAGAGTATTAAAAAATGGCACTGATAGCAATTACTGTACGTAGATATAACCTGGATGTAGCATTATGCCACGGAGGGATTGTATATGAGTTTATTCTTGGCTACATCCAGTAATAATAATATGGAAGCGCTTATAAAATTTTGGGTAGACCGTAAGGATTTTAAACTTTCAATTACTAACGATTACAATAATTACTAATCGACATCAATCGATTCTCTTATCATAGCTATAATCTTAATCATTTCATGATTGGGTAAGATATTCGTTCTGGATACATAGACTACTCAAATTTTATCATTAATAAAAAATCGAATCGGAATATTTTGGATAAAATATCATTTCGATAAGATTTTAGAAAGAATGAGTTAAATTGTTGATCCAACTAAACAGATTCATTCCGGGAAGTTGATAGGATGAAAATAGATATGAAAGACGATACTAAGCTAACATCATCTTAGTCATGTTACTGGATTATATCTTGTGTACAATACATTATCATTTCAAACAAAAATTGCCTTGTAATATAAACAGCAAAGAGGCTTTGATATAGCCAGGAAATGAAAGGCTGACGTAAACTTTAACTGAAAATAGAAATGAAAGTTGTAATGCTGAATGGTCGATGTAACATTTTATTGATAGTACCATTGATGAACAACATATCGATCACGAAAGTTGGATATTTCTCTTGACTGTTACCTCATATTCATCTGCATAGAAATGGTAATAAAAATAAAGCAATGATATTAAACAGAGGCTGATTCACGATGAGCTGATCCAAATTTTAGTCGTCAACGTATCAGTGATAAGGTAAACAAATGAAATAATGGAGCACAGTTTTAATACTAATCTAAATTATTCCAAAACGGAAAAAGGCACAAATACAGTTGAAGGCTGTATGATTAGAGGATAAATTTGAAAACAACTTGTGATTAAAATGAAGAATTAAGGGTGTGATTCTGATTAAAATAGTATATCGTAGCTGCCAGGACTTAAGCAGAGGCAATCAACCATACAAATGATATGGCGGATAGATTATGAATTATAATTTATTTCTTGATTTTGTTCAACAACAAGCCATGTAATATTAGAAAAGATAAAAGCGATAGTGATGATATCATGATGCTAATAAAAAAAGTTAATTAAAATTATTACAAATGAGGTACTAGAAATCTCGATCTTGATCTTTATAATTTGATTTAGATACATTGATAATTGCAACACCAATTTCGGCGTAATATTAACAGTAAATTCAACAAACATTGTCTCGTCAAAGATATACAGCAAATTCATAAAATAGAATTTGGGGCCTAATTTATCGTAAATACCCAGCAATAGTTTAACTTCATTTCGCATTTCTGTGTACTATATTCGTGTCGATTTGGAATCTTAAGGAAGAATTAATAAATCATGATAAAAGCAGTCAAAAGCATCGAAGATAGTATAGTTTACAGAGATAGAATAATTAACATAGAAATAAACTTGCCTGGCATTCGTTTTCGAATTTCAGTTATTATACATACTTAAGGGAAAATTCCTGGCTGTGTTATGAGTGCGGCTACGTCGTTTACAGCACTGTCTTTTCAACGCCATCATTAAAATACTACGATAGTATGAATTATGTACACAGTAAATAAATGGATTAATAGTAGAGTTGGTTAGAGCTAACCATGTACACAGCAACGGCCATGTAGCTTGAAATGTGGAAGAATTATTTTGTGTATACCATAGCAATAATATTGTACGTGGTATCCAACAACTTAGAAATAGGCCAACCACTAATAACATAGTTTTGGCCGTTTTATAGTCATAATGGCGCATACGTGATGAATTGTTCGAAATAGAACTGATACAAGCAATTCTACGCTTGGTTTTACGTGCTTCATTATAGATCAGGGAATAACTAATTAAAATGATGGTGACACAAAAGCATAAAATACTTAAAATGATTATAATTAACCGAATACTGGAGGAAGGTAATATCCAACATTGAAATTCATGACTAACATAGGCGTATCGACCAATATGGAAGAATGGTAAGCTAGCAATTGTCAAAGCAATAATCCATAAAAACGGTATAATAAAGCGTATAGAGAGTATGGTAAATATTGAGTGATATTGTAAAGGTTTCGCTATGCAGATATAACGATCAAGACTAATGATAGACAACGTTAATGTAGATAGAATGCATAGTGTTGTATTGACGAAAGCAAAAAATTGGCAAGTACTTGGCTCAAAATACCAACCAGAAAAAAGGAATGATACCGCATTAAACGGCATTAATAAGCAACCCACTAATAAGTCGACAATAGCTAAATTAGTCATTAATCCACCAGCAACCGTTCTTATAGCAATTTTAGGGCAGACATAAAGCAAGACTAAACAATTGCCAAATAATGTTAACGCCATAGCTAATAGCATAATAAATGCAATAAATGTTGTTTCAATCGGTGTAAAATAACGAGTTAAATTGGAATCGTTCATCGTGAACAGATCTATTCTTAACATATACTTTTTAGGTTCTTTTAAATTCGATGCTCTTTCATGCTGTAAGATTGGCTTCCATTGAATTATCAGTGTTTTCAAATTCCGTGATATTAAGATTAATTTTAATTTAAAAGACTTGCTACTGAAAATGTTAAGCCAGGATTTCGATATTCTGAAGGTGCCAGTGATATTCCTGGTTGTTGCTACCTATGTAAAGATAGTACTAATATACTGGTGAGTTACAGTAGAATTGGTTATCAGAGATGCCTCTAGAAGCCTCCCTAAATGAAACGATGACAAAGAGTACTCTTAATTTATTTAGAAATCAATTAATGATCTTATTTACCTATTTTTTATTTTGATATTCAATTGGATAGAAGTAAAATAATTGATTCGCTATAAAATGTTAATTAAGCTTCAAAACAGCCTATTCAAACATTATTGTCCATAATTCAATAAAAAATTCTACGCAATTTATCTTCGTCATACATAGAATACAAATCAGTGATTAGGACTCCAATTTATCTATTTCAAAGAAATTAAAGAATTAGATATGAACGTCATTTTACAATATAATCTAAAATAACAATCAAATACAAATTAATTCCTGCTAACTATCACAATATCTATAAAATTATTCATGGTCAGTAGGATAATAAAATACAATGCTACCATCGTACGCATGTTGCTTTAATCTTTATATTTTGATGGCAATAAATTAATTATTAAGTAAAAGAAGATATCACAATTACAAGCGGTGAATAAGGATAATAAGAATGATAGAAAAAATTGAGAAATATTGTTCCTTATTATTTAACGGTCGTAGGATTCTTTTATCAGACCATTAAAAATCCATGATAATTTAAAAAATACCTTAAAAAACAATATACGCTTACAGTTCAATGATGATAACCACAAATACTCACAAAAACCAATCATTAAGACCTTGGTTGATGGCATGGTGAATAAAATTACATGAATACATTAATCTGTATCGAAAATAAAAAATAATAAGATAAAGATGAATGCAAATTTCAGTCCACTTACATGATGTTTCTAGAATATCTGAAGTCAATATTATTTTGAAATTATCGGAATTGTTCCAATGCAAGGATTGAAATCACAAATGTGTTAAATTTACTTCGCTATAAGACCTAGTTAGTTTTTTCTATCAATGTATATTAATATTGTACGAGTGTATCTTTCTTACTAAATCTACAACATTGCTTTGAAGCAGTTTCTTTATCAAACGTACTTACATCCACATTGTAATAAGCTGAAATTAGGTACATATTCAATTAGACTTCATGCAGGTTTTAACTAATTTCGGTCAGATTGATTTCTATGATAGGGGCGTATCAATAAAACTGTCGTATTAGATCATAATCTTTCATTGTAAGCCAACAACAGTCTTTGAAATGACGAATAGATATTTTTAGATTCTATCGTGATAGAATAGACTCATCCCTCGATCTGTAATATCTGTTTGCATGCTGCATACTGTGTGATTTTGAGTTTTAATTGTGAGATTACATATTATAATCTATCTGGATCAATCAAATGGAATCACACAAATTATTTTAATCACCTAATATTAGATATAAGTTTTATGCAGCAGGTAAGTGGCCGAAATAGATACGTATCCTATTTACTAAGAGTTAATAAAATTATTTGAATCATTCACTTCAAGATTTGACTATAACTGCATCTAGAATGTTATCCTCAAGTAGCAAATGTTGATCGACTTCTAGACTGATAGAATGAGTACATAATCCTTCTTCACACTTTATTGACACCGTATGTTTTGCTTTGATAGATTTATCTGACTAATATGTAAGATGAATGAGTATCATAGAATTTATTCTTATTAATTCTATTGTGGCAGCTAGAAAACAAACTAAAGGGCCTATTCATGTAGTTACTCTATATTATCACAAGTTTAGTCGATCAATTAAGGCAATAGGGGAAGAGCTATAACTGTCATGATGCAGGTGAATCTTAATCAGAAAGTAAACAATCACGCAGATTCTGCCGCAGATTACTAGTAGCTTTTTTCATATTATCATAACTACTTTAAGCTTTAACATACAATTTCATCTGTATTCGATGAATGTACTTCATAATCTAATTGTGATGGTAGAATGAGTGCCATTTTAAGTTATTTCATCAATTTTAATCAATGTCTACTTTAGAGGCTTGAAAAATATTAATATGTTAATACATCGACTTCTACTTAGTAAATTCCCCCTCTAATTTCGTTATTAAGATAGTGACGCCATGGCTTTTCATCATAAAAAAGTTCTGAAATAATGAAAGCTTGCAATAACATTCATTTTTTATTGCTAGCTTTTAAAATATTTCGATTTTATTTACAGTATATTGGAATGCATAATAATTTAAGTAATTTTGTTACATTATGATAGCAAATCCCATAGGTGTTTCTAGAACTTTAGTAAATATTATTTCTTTTATAGTATTGAAACTGCCCATCTGCAATCTTTACTTTACAATTGTCCAACTAGAAAATATTGAATATAAAATAACTTTTTAACAGTCATCAAATCTGCTTACTATCAATGTACAATTTATTATACATGGTAAGAGCTCTTTACAGGGAAGACTATTGTTACATAAATAATTTTACAATTATTAGAACGTCTGTAGCTATCGATGGTACCGTTGTTTTCGTTTATCTTATCGATAAGATGAATATAACTTAGTCTTCTAGGTTTAGTAATTTAAAGTCGAAATGCTTTTTGATCTTTGTCATTACAAGCGCGTGATGAAAGAATAGGGCTAAATTAGATCAGTAGCCACTGTAGCTGATGCAATTGACTAAAATATAACCATTTTCTAATCGCTTGTTCATATTAGCAAAATAATAGGTAGAATTGGTAGGATGAAACTTGAAATGGCATACGACGGAAGAAAATAATTTTACTTGTTCTATTGGTCGTCTGTATTTGTGGAAACTGCTATAGAAAGATACGGCAGGGAATAAGTTGTTTACTAACAGATTTTAATTAATTCTATCAATACTTATAGTTTAATAAAAATAGGAGTAAAATAAATACACTAAATCGTATTTACAAAGTTACCGCAGCATGGAAGAGAACAATATCTTGCCTTTATTATCGCTTACCTGTACTTACAAGGCCTGCCATGGAGGAAAGGAAACTGAAAAATTAGAGTCAATAGCTAGCGAAATAAGAGTAACAAGAATAATTATTTGGAATAGAGTCATAGTTCATACAACAATTCATGTAGGGAAAACACCTAGAAATTCATAATTAATAAAAGAATTTGTAATTGACGTTATAATTAAAATCTAAGAAAGCTTTCAATTAGTTCAGTATAGCTCAAAAGGAACAGAATGCTAATTTTCAGCCTTAATGTAATTATTGATAATCTATGATGATTAGTAGCCCTGCTTCGTAAACATTATGAAAGCTGAGTAATTTAAGTACGTATTTGCTACAAGAAATACGAAAGACTCTTGCAATTGTTGTATTTACAGTTAATTAGGTGCGATCAACTCATACTTGATTAAATTTTCATAGTATAATATTGATTTGTATCGCTGAAAACCGTCATCTAAGGCTATTTATTAAGATTATTTCATTATGCTGGTATTAAAATTTAGACGTTGTTATAATTTATTAAAAAACTATTACTGTATAATATAATGATTTAGAGGTGCTGAATTAGCTTGTACAGTCCGCTAAAAGTCTAGCAAATAAACGAAATGCTACGAAATTAAACTATAAATTGTCAAAATTATAACTATTAAAATTATAGCATATTCGGTCTCTTTCTTTACAGGGGTGCTTAAATTAGTTACGCAATATTATCGCGTATACTATAATACCGCTTGCAGGATTTGATCATAAATTAGGTCTGACTTAAAAATAATCTTTCGAATATGTCTATTGTGTCATGCATGCCATGGGTGCAAATTGCTTTTTGCACTAGTTTATGTATATTTTCTATTATAATTACGGTTAAGCCAATAAATAATTATATACTGTATAATTATCTAAAATATAATTTGCATTGGCTTGGAAAGTGTAAAAAGATTTAAGTTCATAAGTGGCTCCATATACTAGATCGTCAATACAACTAGAAGAGCTCTTGATAATAAATTAATAGATCAGTTTAAAATTTTTATCCCTGAAATTGAACAGGGGAATTTTATCAATTCCAAATAATATTAATTATCTTTATCGAGAAAATCCGTAACTTTAGATAGTACTGTCTTATAATGGAAAGATTGCTCTTGTAATTTATTCCAGCAATTGCTAATAGGAAGTAAATTATCAAGCAGTGGATAGTTACGATTCGCTTGAAATAGAATTCAGCTTTATTACTTTAACTGTTGTAACCACTCGATAGCTAGATGTATTATCTGACTATAAATGTCATGTCTACTATTCGACAATTGATGCTTATTATGATCGAAGTAGTAATTTCTAGGAATAGCTAGCGATGTTAGCCTATATGTTGTAACAAAGCTTAATTAATGCATAAGTTACTATCGACATTAATGAGTTTGTGTAGGGCAAATTAAAATATCATCGAACTATAACTCAATGCAAATATATTAGAATTGTAAACAGCATTGTTTATTTATGGATAAAATGATATTTCACAAGTTTCAATTTGATTGAAGAAGCTCACTCAATGTGACGGAATATCTGATTTTATTTATGGAAAATAAGAGGCTGGCATAAAAAGATCGTAAATTTTATAAAGTCATACTTCGGAAAGTGAAACTAAAACGGATTCATGTAAAATTAATTATTCTTAATATAAAAGATTGACGTTATTGAAGGAAATATGACAGCTATCAGAGAACGCTACATATTATACTAATGAGCGAAAAAGATACTTGCTAGTGCTTATAAAAGCAAATATTTTAAAAATATTTATGAAGGAGTCTAGTTTTGGTGATTTTATAGAGAATGGGCTTGCTATCGCTGATTATTATTTCAGTACATTAATAACATTTTATCTACAAGAAACCATGCAAACGGTAGATCCGATTTATTGGAAACTGTATTAAAGTTAAACTTTAAATTTTATTGTATGTCGTATAAGTACGGTATATATTTCACCAATCAGCATAAGTGTTAGTGGAAAGAATTAAAATATTTGCACTAGCCCCATAATTATTATTCTATTATCAGTAATCAATACGGTACTTTATTCTGGGCATATTTAGGAATCACACATTTTTTTACTCAGATTGTTAGGGTCTGTATTATAAATAGCCACTCAGTAATTACTACACCATATCATGGTATAGACACTATTTACATTTCACTTTTGTGTCTATGCCCTGACCATGAGCAAAGTGTAGATAAATTATAAACATTAGCAACTATTTTTGAGGGAACGACGTAAGGAGAATTAAAATTATGGATGTTTTAAAATAGAAAAGATATATGTCTACAGTGTATATAAGTATTTGTATATGCGGTATTAATACGTCAACAGTTATTTTTTATAGTTCTTTCCACGGCTATAATTTTAAATATTTGTTAGGCCATTATTGCTGTAGGCACTATCTGGTAAAGTAGGTTGCAAAAGCGTGTTTTAGGGAATCAACTATTTAGTGTTGGTTAGTTTTGATACGAGGGATTTGCAATCATAATCCTCAACTAATAGAATTGAATAGGGAACCGAGTGAATTGTCTATCAGCCTTATTGCTAGTATATTAGCAGTTAATCCTTTCAATTCGATACGTTGCCTACCGCGGCTTAGTAAAGTGTAAACTCCTTCTTGCTCCTGCTGGTATATCTATACACTAATATAAGCATTCTAAAGAAAATTAAAAAAAATTCCTCGGCAACTTTAGTATGGTTTGGGAGAAACCAGAGATTCAGCATTTAATCTCTTTATGGAGGGAAAAATCTGTCCTTTGGGATGCTAATCATAAAGAACATCACAGAAATGACGCTAGATCAGTTGCTCGGAGGCAAATTGCCGTAGCAGTCGGTAAACCAATCAATGAGATTGTGAAGAAATTGCACAGTTTACGCTCACAATACGGCCGTGAACAGGCTAAAATTGCAGTTAGCGTTAAATCTAGTTCTGCTGAAAATGATGTTTATACGCCAAAGTGGCCATTTTATGAAGAATTATCTTTCTTGCGGGAGAAGAAGCAGTCAATACCTAACTCTGAATTACAGGTAATTAAAATTGAGAGAACAGCCACTGAAGTTATCCTATCGATGATGATTATACATTTTACATTTTATGGCGTTCAGTACTTGTATTCAACGAAAACCAATATCAATATTTTATTTACCAGAATGTAAATCAGGAATCTCATTCAAATCTTTCCACCCCAGAACCGAATTCTAGTGACAGTCGTTCAGAAGAATTCGAAATTAATGACTGCAATGTATGATAGTAGTTGATGAAAGCAATATATGTAACGATTAGCTGGTTTACCTTAGGGCCTGCTAATTCCTCTTTCTCTCATAATGTAAAATATATGATCCATTACTAATAGAGGAACGCAAATGAAATAGATCAGGATACTTGTGAAGATGAAAATGATACTCAGGCAAAATCTATATAGCAGTTTATATTTCTAGGATTAAAAAATAGAATCATGCACTTATGGTATAACCGATAATCAATTTTTTTTCTTTATTTTTGTTGCTTTAATAGCAATTGCAAAATAATTCAGGTCGCGGTGAAATTACTCGATTAAATGAGAGTTCTGCCGATACTGATGCTGTTGAATACGTACAGGTACGATCATTTATCTATTAATTGTATCACTTTAATGCCAAGTTTTTATTGATACTATTTCTTCCTTTATATATCATAAAAGCTCGAAGCTGGCTGTAAACGAAAAGCAAATGCCGAAGAATTAATCGTGTCTGCTATGACTATACTAGACAAGGCTAGAGTAAATATGGACTGCCAAAATGGTTACCTCCTATATGGAAAAGACGAAACGGATGCGTTCTGTGTTTTAGTGTCTAAAATGCTTCGAAGAATTAAGGATGCTCAAAAATTAGATCGATGCAAATTGGATTTATTGCAACGTATTATAGCTCACTTGTATTAATGTTTTGTGGTAGACTATCGTGAAAAGTTAGAGCTTAAATTTGTAATGCATAATATATTATCAGACCAAGTTATGTTCTTAATTCATCTAATACATTACTTGATTCACTCCGTATCTATTATATTTACTATGTCTATCACCTGTAAATTCTCAGTTAAATTTCAATAAAATTGATTTAGAAATGATTATTGAAGATATTTTAGCTCATAGTCGGGTATATGTATATGAAGCATAATGCTTGTGTATCCTTCTTGTATCAACCTTCTTATATATAGGTAGTATACGAAACTGTTTCTGCTTCATCAATAAAATGACATCAGATGACTAAGCAGCCTGTTATACTGATATATATCCAAAAATGAGGATATTTTCAAGAGCGAAATGTCAATAAAACTGATTTAGAAATGATAAGTTATCGAAAACATTTTAGCTCGCGGAAGGATATAAATTTAAGCCTGATGCTTGTATCATGCTTTCATCAACTTTCTCATATTATCGGTGTATTAAGTTAATTATTAGCTTAAAAATGTCCATGATATAATGCAAACGATTCAATAGTTCAAAAATGCCAGGGGCTCCTTCGGGCGCAATACTGTAAAAATATTGATTATCGAAGTGGAAATATTTAAATCACATTTAGCGTCTTGGTTATGTATCATCTTCTATGATTTACGGTATGTTTCTATATAACCCTGCCTTGTTTAGGGTTTAATCTCTTAACATGGGCATGAACATTATTCTTGACGAGATTGTAGTTGCTTATTTGCTAGGAGTATATGGAGATGCCATCTTGCAATTGTTGATATTATATTGAAAATCTTTATTCCTAAAATGTCCTGAATCTTAATGCAGAAATGTATTTTCACTCTAACTATACTGAGGCCTTTCCTTTCTTGACATGTTAGTTATTTATAGTACCATATAAGCTTAAATAGCAGAAACTAGTTACAGTTACTACAATAGATTGAATGATTGAAGAGATGATTGATCATTTTTTTGATGAAAGTAACCATTTTAAGACAGCGGATAAGGTATTTCTGTCTCCATAGCGTAAACTTTTAGAGCAGACAAATTGGTGTCTTCCTATATAGCCTGCCACTAGAGTGCAATTACCTTCTTATTTTTGGAATAATGACGGCAAATATTCTTTTATAAACACATTGCTAATTATATTTGTAATATTGATATCATATCTTTAGAAGTATACCGTAATAGTTGGAGTTTGTGATTTCTATGCGATATATAAAAAAGCTGCTACTTTTCCTGAACATTTGCATTTAAGTACTACTCCTTTCGACGTGAATGTTAAATTAGATCGGAATTGGCATACTGATGGCATCGAATCTTCCGGTAGCGTTTATTATTTGTAATTAGTGAAACTTTGTAACGTTAATAGCTTTAATTCTGCAATTAAAAGTATTGATAGAGACATCAGCCAGATTATAGCAGCTTTCACGTATATTTGAGCGATTGTATGTGAATAACATCGAAGACCGGTAATGTATAAGCTCAATTAATATGGAAAGCGTCAGAATAGCGAAGACTTCATTTAATAACAGCCTAAGAATAGTCTAAGAATAAAAAACTAAACCAGAAGGTCATTACTGCTTCTGAGTAGTAAATGTACTGTCTACTTGCATTTCATTCCATTTCCATAATGTGTAATTAGAGAGCTATTGGATACGAACGCGAAATAATGCAGTATTATACATAGTGTTGATAAAACAGATTGATTCTGATAGCAGGTCCATCGTAAGAAATTTTTAGAGTTAAGATCGACTTTACGCACTTATGGATTTGAGATACTTTGATTAGAATAATTATTTTGCAAATAAATTCGAAAAAAACATTTTTATTTTAGAAGATCATTAATATCTGAATTCATATATAGATTCCAGTATCTACCTACCATTAACTGAACGTGCTTGATGTGGTATTATTTCTAAGTTGGTCTGTCATTTGTTGGTTTTTTGTTGTGATTAATAACTTAAATTTGCTATTAAATATTTCTTGGGCAGATAAGAGTATTAGGTTTTCCATTAGCCCTCTGCTAAATGTATCAAAATTTTTTTTATCATTGTAAAGCCACAAGAATTATTGCCTCATGAGTTAGCACATTTCATATACTAATATTATGATGAAACGTACATATACGTGTATTGCAAAATGCATCCAAATGATTAGTTCTTGCATCATTCACAGTTATACTCTAAAAAATCAACTTTATTTGTTTGCCATTAGTATTTTTAATTAAGCAACACTGTCGTTAAATCCCAATTTCTATACGAGTATACTGCATATCGAATCGAGGTATTGATGTAAACTTACTTATTCGTAGGTTACTTGTGGAAATTATCAACCAGCAATACCATCAAAGAGCAGTGAAACTGATTCTCCAACTGCTGATGGAATCTTAGATGAAATGACAGCTTTTCTGGCTGATCAAGCGAAAAATAATGTGGCTATCGAACACCTTAAAGGTACAGTGGACTCCATTCCAGCAAAAGAAAGTGAAAAAGCAAGCAATCGTGTTGTCAGATTTGAAACCTTCATTAATCGTGACCCAAAATTAAAGCAAATGATAGAAATAATGTCTGCAGAATTAAAGAAACCTGTCAACATCTATTATAATCAACATCACACTGATGATGTGGAACTGGAGGAGAAGATTGTTTCTACTAGCCAGTTGCAAGAAGAATACGCGATCGCTTTTACTAGCGATATCTTCCAATTTATTCAAAGTCATAATGATGGATTACTCCTATTGAAATATATCCTGAGGCAGGAATTATATAAATTGATTTGCCCTATTGATAATGATGGAATCGACGATTATGGTATATTTTACGCAAAGAAATTATCCCATAACGTTTATGCCCATTTATTTGCCCTTAACAATATTTCAAATCAGAATTTAAAAGCATTGAAATATGTTTATTGCGATTTTGTTATATCGGAATTCGTATCCGAAGAAAGAAGGAAAGCTAACCATAAATATTATCAAATGTTACTTGCTATTGCTATCACTTACGATGTCGATCAATCAAGTCTTAAAATCCCTTGTACCAATTTAACTAAAACAAAGTGTTCACTTTCATTAGACAATTTTACTTCGGTCGATCCAAGTTTTCAGCATATATTTCAAATTTTAGAGCTAACTCAGCTTGTTAATTACATTGATCAGTGCATCGACGGCAGTGATGAAGAAAAGTTGTTGAAATGCAAATGGATAAAAGTTGTTTCCGCAGCTCGCAGTCAGAATCAACTTACTCATTCAGATTCCTTAACTCCAAGCGAACTTAAAGACCGAATTAAACGTACCTGTGTCATTGCTTACGCCATTAAAATAACCAAGTGGATTGATATTGTGGATTATTTAAATGATCTACTGGAAATAATGGATTATAACAAGTTTTATCCTACCTCATTGATTGATTTTATCCTTTCTTTGTTTAAAGAGCGATGGAAAAGCTATATCCCTGAAAGTTATAGTTTACGATGTATTGGATGGTTGGTCAAAATATTGAATGGTAATGATGCGAATTTGTCCTGTTTTAGTTTGCAAATTTTAGTTGATATCATTAGTCGTGAAAAGCAACCAGAAGTTTGTAGTAAGATGATGGACATTGCATTAACATCATTTCGCCGATTAGGTTGTTATCAACGACTGTGGAATCAGCTAGAGATGCCTTATCAACGTCTAATGCTAAGTTGCATGGATAAATTTCGACATCGGCTTGATGGCAGCTTTTTGAGTCAAGATGATATAACTCATTTAGCTTGGAAATTAAAAATGCAATGGTGTATCAATATCTTTGATCCTACAGAATGGGCAATTTGTTCTAAAGCTAAAGCTTTTATTACTGTTTTCCAACTTTTTGGTAATCGATGGTCTGAGGAATTTTACAATCATATACAAAAATGCAATCATGAATTGTTTAATGATCTACTTCGAGAATTATCGGAAGCTGTACGCGATCAAGCAGCTTCTATCATCAGTGATTACATGCAACTTCTGCAGAATTTAGCCAAGCATCTCTCTTACAATAATGGAATGCTTCTGGTTATCATTCGAAATTTGGCCTTTTTATGTAGAAACTCCAACAAATTTAAAGTTATTGATTTTATTGGCTCATTTCTAGATCATGATTGGAAAACGAAAGCAATGACTTGTCAAGTTTTCGCTTACTGGGTATATGCCACAATCTATGTGTCGTATGAAGTAAAAAATAAAATTTTGCCTTGCATTTTCAAGACTATTGATCGCATGAAGAATGAAGAGATGAAAAGCGCTGCTATCCTTATTGCTTATTATATTGCTTTGAAAAGGGCAGATGAAGTTGCAGTTCAGGCCATCAATCAAAAATATGGCAATAGTACTCGACGAAATCTCTTCCGAAGAGAAAATTTATATAATAAAGTTAAGCAGTGGCTAAAATGCAAGACGAAAGCAAATGCTGATGAATTTAATACTGCTAATGCTCATGAGAATATTCTTTTTCAGGAATATGCAGCATTTGATAGGCATATAAATCAATTTTACGAGACTGCTCATCTGAATGGTCTACATAATGCTTGCAAGAATTTGATTATAAATACATAACCATTCTTCGTGACTAACAACATTGATTATTCGATAGTGATCCATTAAGTATTCCTTTTGCAGTTTTTTTCGTGAAATGAATGCAATACTGAACTAGTAGAGCAGAATAATCCAAGTTATTGAATATTTTATGTGAAATAGGAAATATTTATCGAGTGATGAAGCAAATGACTTATGTTCAGGCATGAAATATTGGATAGAGTATTAAAGTCAATAGCTTGTATTGAATAAAAATTGCTGTTGATGCTAAAGATTTTGTTTGAAGTATTAAATCTTGAATCGAGTATTGAAACAAATAGCTATGTCGAATAAAGATTGTTGTTGATATTAAATGTTAAATTTGAAATAGGATACGTTTAATCAAGCACTGAATAGAATGGCTTATATTGAATAAAGATTATGCTGTAGATGTTAAAAAATTTATTTTAAAATATTAAATCTTTTTAAGTGATAAAAGAAATGTCTTCCATTGACGCATAAACTATTAAATGGACCGTTGAAGTAAATATCTTGTATCGAATAAAGATTGCTTTTAATGCTAAAGATTTTATTTAAAATATTAAATCTTGAATCAAGTATTGAAATAATCAGATATATCGAATGAGATTGTTGTTGATATTGAATGTTTTATTTGAAATAGGATAACTTTAATCCAGTACTAAATCTAATAGCTTATATAGAATAAAGATTCCTCTTCATGCTGAAGATCTTGATTAAAAGTGCAGCTACGAGTTTTAGTGATTGATAAAGTCGACGATGATCCGCACCTCTAATTTTATGACATTCAGGAAGTCAGCTTGAAGAAACTGAGAATTTTAGCAGTTTACAATTCATAAGCCAACTATAGTAAAGCTATGTAGCTCCAACTCTGTGATAGTAAAAAAGTCAGAATAAAGAGATTGATGTTGAAAACTGCAATGTTGACTAAGAGTTTCCAGTATTAAATAGGATAGAATTAAATCAACTAATTTAAGAGTTGTTGAAATCAACTTTTACAATATCTCATAGCATGCTATTTCGCTTGTTGTTAGTCTATCACCCAAGGAAATTTTACTTTTAGTTTAGCGATCTCCTTGGTAAAACTTATTTTCAATACAAGGCTCACAGGCTATAGGGGAAGCTACTTCAATATAATTCTCCTTTTTTCCTATCTTAACATCTCACTTCAATATGGAATCTACTCGTTTTATTCGTACTTTTATTGTCGGTAAAATAGACTAGTAGCTTGTTTCTGTCATGCATCTTTTCAGTTTCCCAGCAAAGATCAAAAAGTTGAAAGCTTACAATTTTACTCATAGAGTTTAAAAAATAAATTCTACTTCTAGGATTTTAATCGTTGTCCTCCAGCCAATGGCTGACTTACTCTGTGCTTTCTAATAATAGCTATTACAAGTCTCAGACATTTATGGATTCTACAAGTTCCATTAGTGCTGTCGCTAATTTTTGATTTTGCTTTAATCTTATCAATATCATTGGAGCATTATTTGCATTTCGAATTTAGAGTTCTACGGGAATCATGATAAATAGTTCATTGAATTTAGAATTGGTTTTCATGATGATGTTCACTATACACGTTCCATGGGCACTGTTACTAATTTCTTCGATTTGGCTTTAATCCGATCAAATTGGTTGAAACCTTTTTTGTATTGAGAAGTTAGAGTTATATGAGAATCACTAATGTATTATTGAGCTTAGGATTGACTCTGATTCGAGTTGTTAATAGTATATTGAAATGAAAATACAAGCGTAATTTATAGATACGAGTATATCATAAAAAATGAGACATTAACCTGCAGTCGATGTTGTCTCCTTCTGGTGTACTCCTGAAGATTCTATTCTTGATCTTTTGGCTACAAAAGTAAAAATAAGATTAAATTTTATTACTGCGTATTTATAAAGATTTTGGAGTATCATTACTTCTATATTGGCATGGTGTCTGCTAATTGATCTACTGTATAATCGATAAAATTAATGTCATTACGGTAGCGATGGCAAGACTGGCTTAGTTGAGTTTATTTCAGATCGTGTTCAAAAGGAACATTTCATTAACTTAAGCTTAGCATTGAACATTATTGCAACTGGAAATGAAATCTTATCGATGCTAGTCTATATTTATTTCAGGAAAGTTCTGTTCGAGTTTACCAAATTCATATCGATGTTTTAAGCTACAATTGAAACTGTAAATGGGAAAATTTGCTTAAAATTAAAATCTTTGAAATGTTTTCATCGATCTACGATAGGAGAAATAGTTGGATTAAGTAGCGTTGAGTAGGCGACGAGATACTTAGCAATTGCATTTTAGTCACTGAAAGTAAATTATCCAAGTCTAGATAGTTTTCAATCCTCAGTAATCGTAGTGTCTTGTCAGAATGGGTTATTCTACAGCTTCATTTATTTGTAGTTAAGTTTACTCAATTTCTTTGATGTTTGCATCTTCCCGAAGAAGTTTGCATTTGATAGAGGCGATGTTAGGATAGCGTAAAAATGTTCAAACTAAACCTGGTTATTGGTATAATCTGAATGTGGATAAGTAAATTAGAACAGTACTTGTACGTATATTTTCGTAGTAAAATGGATACTTTTTTTTTTTGTCTCTAATCAATCGTATATTGCATTAAAAATGACAATTATTGTGGCAGCAATGAGTAAATCTACTTCAGTAATGACGGTTTCAGCGGCGCTTGTGATCATCTATTCGTTAGAGTAAATAAGGATTCTAGGTTTAGAAATTGCAGTGCCGAGCTAATCTTACTCATATGTACAAAATACTACTTGCCTTCAATAGCAAAAAGCCATACTAGAACAGAACGATTTAAACTTAAGAAAAGAATCGAGTTTAGCAGTAGCTATTTGAAGACTTAAAAACTACTTAGAAATTTTCTCTTAGACACAAATTTTGGCTATAATGTATGATTTGAGATGTTAAGATGTAGCTTAAATTCGTACAGAATGCTGTTAACATTCAATAACAAAACGCCATATTACAGAGGAAACGACTAAAAATTGAAGAAAAGAATTGAGTTCGGCAGAAGCTACATCATGACTTGAAGACTTCTGAGAAATTATTCGCATTGACCCTAATTTATGATTTAAGATTTTAAGATGTAGCTTATCAAAAAGTTTAAAAATGTCAGTGCTGAGCTAAGTGTTGCTCGTCTGTACAAGGTACTATTAGTATTCAATAGCAAAGCGCCTTATTCGATGAAAAATGACTAAAATTGAAGGCAAGAATCGAATTTTAGCGGGAATACTCAATGACTCGAAAACTACAGGAAAATTTGGGGCATAGACGCTAATTTTTGGCCGTGATTTATGATTTAAGATGTTAAGATGTAGCTTAATAAGAGTTTAGAAATGTCAGTATTGAGCTAATCTTACTCATCTGTAAATAATACTACTAGCACTCAGAGGCAATACGCCATATTAGAATGGAAATGACTAAAATTGAAGACAAGAAACGAATCTTTAGCGGGCAGTACTCAACGACTCGAAAACTAGTGGGAAATTTTTCACGTAGACTCTGATCTCGGCCATAATTTATGGTCACTGAAATGGAGCAATTGCTATGCTGTAGTTGAAGTCTTGGATTCATCTATGGAGAAAGAGTCAAGAGTAGCAAGACTGCATAGATCAGGACACAAAATACAAGAAGGTAGAAAAACAAGATAGAACTACAGTATGATTACTCTACGTGATTTCTTAATTATTGCAGCGCCATTATGATTATAAATATTCAATAGCAAGAGGTTTACCAGCTCTGGATTGCGCCTGAGAAGAATTATTGCGTCTTGTTGAGGCACGAGCTAAGGTAGTCTCCTCTACCTCATTAAGAGGTGGCACAAACTCGGTTGATGATGTCGATTCTGATTCCGTTGTAACACTTATTGAAGATAACCGGCTGGAATTATAGTTATTAAGGTACTCTTGCCTTAATGCTGATTTAAAATCTAAGAGATGCTCTTGAGATAAACCAAGATCGTCACCTTCATATTCTAGATTTCTGTCACGCCAAGAATCGTATCCTTTGGTTACTTCCCAGCTTTTATACATTTGATTAAAACAAAAATTTGGCCCTAAATATTGCGTAAAAAATTTCCTGTCTTTGGTTCCACCTGGCAATAATTTCTTATTTCTAATCAAGAAGCACATTTTCATCTTATCTTCAGGCCATGGTTCGTAATAGGGTTCTTTTTGATCGATCACTTCACGAACTCGATCAAAGACGCTTGATTTTTGGGGTAATTTGGAGCTTAATTTTTGTAAGAAAAGGGTGATAGGGGAATCATCATCTTTCAATTCTCCATGCTTTTCTCCTATCGGTGTTTGTTCATCGTTTTCTGTTAGCATATTCAATTACTCTACACGATAATGATGGTCATAATCACGTTAGTTTTTGCAAGCCATTTTGTTAATACATCAACACACGCATAAAATTAACGGCTAGAGATTGTTGCAAAAAAAGTAACTTAGTCTATGAGAGAGAATAGAACACATTTAAAGCCAAAGATAGTGTTAAGAATCTGTTGAAAGATTTGAATAGCAGAGAGTATTTGAAGGATTCAGTAGTTACTGATCGCTTTAAATGCTCAAGGTATCAAAGTGATAACTTTGCAATTTCTACTGTCGGCTAATGTCGTCTTATGAACTGTAGAAAATCAGTTATCGCAGCCAAATTATTTAAATAAATGTAAGAAATGATGCTATGTTGAGATGAAAATAAATGCTTGCAATCATAAATTAAAATTAAAATTCATTTACCTTCTCACTTGATTATCTATTTCTAAGCCAAGCAGTTTTAAGAATTCTCTAGTGTAAGAATGGCCAGGCACGCAACATTGGTTCCATATGATCTTAGATCGATCTGTTAAGCGTTGGTGACGAATTGGGGGACAATAAATAGCAATTCATAAATCGATACGACCTAAATTTTTCTCGTTTAAGATATGCAAATGCTTGAGATCTATTATTCACCGATCTCTGATTTGCCGCCATATTAGATCATTGGTGATGATATGAATATTTACATCAGTAAGTTGCCGAAAGGCAGCACTTGTTTTATGTTATTATTTTAATATAGCACAAAGAAAAATGATATTCAATATTGTATAGGTCGATTTTAACACCGCTGCTTAAAAAAAATAGCTATTGATATTATAATAAGCTTTCTTTCCACGATGGATAACACTTAAGATCGCTAAAATTAGACTGTAACCCGCAAGGTTCATATCCAACAATTTCTATTTGCTACACAATTTTTTGATCACCATCTTGAATCGTTGAAAATTAGAAGACAAGCTAGCTTGCGGGTAAAGTGTTGATTTATTTTGCATCAGTACCCAAGTTTTTGTCGATGCAATCCAACGTTGCCATAATTTAAGTACAAGATAGCTGTAAATTAACTAAAGTGGATGATGGGAAATGGTTTTGATTTTTTAATCTGGATTTACAGTTTAAAACTGCACAAAGTGTACATGAACTAAACTGGGTGATAGGAATTGGTTTCGATATTTTATGAAGGATTTACGATTCAAAATGAACATATCCTATCTTGCTAAAATTATAATGTTATCCGATGTAGCTAGATACTCGTGCTAAAGTCTTGATTGATTGACACTGTAAAAAAAATTAGAGTTGTTTTAAAAGGTTTTAATTTAGTGGTTGCCGGCTGTAGCAAAGCTAATTTTGCAACTTCACAATAAATAAGACGATTTAGATTTATAAAACCGAATTGAATTTATTAATAAAATCAAAACTGTAACTATTGACAAAATAGTATTCTACTACAGTATAGTATATATTAGTAATTCCGATAATAAATAATAATTAATTTCAAAATTAAACTAACACGGCACAACATTAGCCTACCGTAGATCGGAGAAGGTGATTAAGCCTATAAAGTATATCTTTTATATTAGATAATTAAAATTTCCATGTAGAACTTTACACTCCAAGAGGTGTTAAAAGAAGGAATGGCATTTTTTTGTTGTTGAAATACTTTAGGACAAGTGCCATCTACCTGATTGAGAACAGAATCATTCGTTAAGTTACTGAGCAAAACTGCGACGTAAAAAAAGAGCAAAATTGCAGATGGAGGTACTTATTAGGGCTGAATTTTATTGAAATAGTTTCACTAATGATTTTATTTTATCGTTCAACAGGTTACATCTATCAGTAGCAATAATATCACAACATCCCACGTCTATGATGATCAATGGATGACTGCTCTGAAGGCAAGTATAATTAATAAGGTAGATAAATTACCGGAAGAAGCCCTTAAAGGATTCATACATGGCTTAATTCAAGCTGCTAGAGGCTCTTATATGGTTTCATGGCGTCGATATATAAGATTTAAATTATGTACCAATAAGAAGCCTAGAGAGAAAATTGCATTAGAACTCGAAAAAACATTCCTTAAATATCAAGACGAATTTCAACAATTTCTAGATGGTAAGCAGGATTAAATTGTTATCGTGATGGTATTCTTCAGGATAGATTTTAAATTTTATTTTTCTACATAAAGTTCCAGTTCAGTCAAGGGATGATATTCCTAACGATCACAGCTCAGTGCAAGAAAGGGAAGAGGCTGTGGATGATATTTTCTGTAGTTCCATCATCCAATGATTCTTTATCGTTGCCCACGAGGCGAATATCGGTTGGTCATAGCTCATGTAAATCTAAATCAGGAGGCAACAACAAGGATTTAGTTTCCTCGCCGTCGAAATATTCGTTAGCCTCATCGCTGCAAGAGGAAGGATTAACCGAATCGTTTCAAATGGATAAAAATGAAGATATTGAAATGTTCATTCGCAGATTTAATATGATTTCACAGTTGCAAGGGTGGCCAAAAGAAGAACGTTTTTTGAGATTAGAAAATTCTTTAATCGGTAAAGCCAAAAGTTTATATTGCAAGATTAGACAAGAGAGTTATGATAATTTCATCCAGGAATTAAAACGAGAATGTAAGCCGGACTTTGATGAATGCCGATCGCGATTTTTTGTAAGCAAAAACAATCAAGAAGGATTTGAAGAATTTATTAAACAGGGCAGTGATACACTTGAGCATTGGAAGCGTGTTACTGGCATGTCGACTAAAGATCTTTTCCTTCTAGAAAAGTTACGATCTTCTTTAATGGATGCTCAATTTCAAAATATACTAGCCTGCATCAGCAATAGAAGCTGCCAAACTCGCTGATTGTCAGAATTATTGTTCCACTGAATCGCACGTCTAACGGACTGAATTATTGCAAGCATAAACAGTTCAAAACGTAGTAAGCCAATTCGGCAGATCGATAAATAGCGTGATACTGCTTGCGACAACCATTTAAATAGATGAAATTTGAATTTATAAGTTAAACCAAGCAAATTCTTGCTTGCACGATTACTTCTAGTAAGGATTGGCCATGATTAATATCCTATCGGTAGGGCTAATATTGACCAGCTCGGCAAATTTTCGATAACGCTCTGCACTGTTAACGCACGTATTCAACTATTTAGAGTAGTTTTGTTTCATGCTAATTCTGCTAAAATTTTAACTCAATCTTGACGTTAATATAAATTATTACTATCTCATTAATATACTGTTATGGAAACGCTTAACGTGATACTTGTTCTTCATGTAATTGATTCTTCGTGGATTACCGTACCTATCGTTCTAGCTTATCAAAAGTAAAATAAACAATCTATGATGAGGAATTTAATTTACTGCAGACTGTACATAGTAGAGCGTAGATCAGATATGAAAATAATCAATTAAAATATCCGTGGCACTGTTGCAGATCAGTTATCCTCATCATAGCAAATTTGTTCCAAGAATTTCTTTTCCTAGATCCTAAGAAATTTATTTTAATTCCGTGGATACATAGTACTTATGACGAAAACGTTACAAAATCTGTAGGTTATACTTCACAATCGGACTGCATGAATGATAGTAGATCTACGACAACAGACTAAAAATATAATTATTAATCAAATATGCTTATTCGGTTGTATGTTTACAGGTGATTTGCAAGTACTTGCCAGACACAATTTAAAAATTTTTAAAACAGCTTTTACTACTGTAGCGCCAATCATATGATGTACTCGCAATTCTCATTATAATTAATTATGACTCAATGGCAAGCATTTTTGATACAGAACGAAATAGCATCTACTTAAAGATTTATCCTAACAAATTTAAAACAAGCGAAACACCGTGATGATAACTGTGGGCAATTGGAACTAAGAATTGATCCTTGAATAAATAGATAAGAGTGAATCATTTTTAAAACGATTGCATGAAAGTGATCTAGTCTCCTTGCTTTCCATGACTACAGTATATCAATCCAAGCTGGTGAAAGTTATATGAATTAGTGAAACTTTGCGCAAAACAAACTACAGATAGATTGGTAGTAATTACTTTATATGAATAACGATTTTAAAATGGCGAGTTCAATACGGCTAACATGTTCAGCAGAAGTGAAATGGGTTCTTCACATAAAACAAAATACACCTTCAATTTTCGCATATTACTACAGCAGACATTTAAAGGTAATCTTCGACGACATGATATTCCAATTTTTCGATATTAAAATACTTGCTCAAATTCGTGCATACTACTACAGCATCCGTTTACATAATCTTGTAGGATATGGTCTAACCCCATTTTTGTAACCTACTCTTCTTTTACTCGTTTATTGCTGTTGCTTGTTGGAGGTTCTTGCTTACGCTTGGTTTGTCCAAATGTAGCTAAAGCAAGTTCACGAGCTGCTTTGTGTTGTACTATTGGTCGAGGATACGTTTTACCTAGTACTATATTTGCTTTCTTTAATACAGTAGAAGGTGCTTCCCATGGTTTATGTATGTACGCGTTAGGCAATGCAGCAAGTTCAGGTATCCACTTTCGCACATAATAACCATCGGCATCAAACTTTTCACCTTGGGTTATCGGGTTAAAAACGCGAAAATAAGGACATGCGTTAGGTCCACTTCCGGCTGCCCATTGCCAATTGAATGCATTTTGAGCTAAATCAGCATCAATTAATTTGCTCCAGAACCATTCTTCTCCTTTTTGCCATGGGACTAATAAGTGCTTAATTAAAAATGACGCCACAATCATTCGAAGACGATTCGGCATGATACCTGCCACTGAGAGTTGGCGCATGCCAGCATCAACAACTGGATAACCGGTGTTACCTTGCTGCCATGATTGCAATTTGACTGGATCGACTTGTAGTTTTAATTGCTCAAAACTGGATCGAAAACATTTCTGAGGTAAATCAGGGTAATGAAATAGTAAGTGGCATGTGTATTCTCTCCATCCTAGCGAACGAAGATATTGTTTTAAGCTTTCTGATTTGACTGCAGGTGGCTCTGCAGAGGAGGATGCGTGACGAACACTATGCCAGACAGTGAAAGGGCTAATCTCACCGAAATGTAAGTAAGGTGATAAATTGGATGTTGTATTTAACCGCAGGCATTGACTCTTTTCTGCATAAGCATTTAATGAATTTTTAATAAAGGATTTTAGTTTTGAAATTGCTTGCTCCTCGCCTGGATGCCAGAAATCTTGTAATTTCATTGGCATATCCTGTGATAATTTGGCCAATCGTTGCCACACTGCTGGCTCATCGCATTTACTTTGGCACCCAGTTTGATTCTTAAATTTAGGTTTGTCGTAAGGTTTGCGAGGTTGTGGTAATGACAAGCACTGATTCCAGAAGTGAACATATATCTGTACAGGTCCTCCTTTGGCTGTCTTGATTGTCCATGGTTCGAATAATACTCTATCTTGATAGGTTTCAACGGTAACGTTTTCCATTTTTAATTTTTCTTCTATCGAGCAATCTCGATTATATTCAAATGGTTCATAACAACGATTCCAATAAATTGCATCGGCGTTATAACTATCGAGCAACTCCTTTAAAATAGTAAATGCATCTTTACCGCTTTTCACAATGAGGGGAATATTCCATTGGCTTAGTTGATTACGCAATGATTTCAAGCTATGATACAGCCACCATAAACAAGCTTGGCCTGTTCTCCTTTTGCCAGAGCAATCTTCATCGAAAATGTAAACAGTAATAAGTTGACCACGTTTTGCAGCATGAAATAATGCAGGATTATCAATTAATCTTAAATCTTGGCGTAACCACACCAGCGTGCAAGGTATCTTTGAAGATGACATGAGGAAGTAGGGTTTCTATTCTGCAACAGCCAATGATGCTGATTTGGTTTAATTTTGGTCAGTTTGATCATCTACATTGATATAAACCCAACCGAAATGATCGTTATTATCCTGTATCCGATCCAAGAGGAGAAGTGTTATGCTAAGGATTTTGACAGAGTGAAAACGGATATACTACGTCTTTATTACCGGGGACTACTAATGCCATCACAAGCAGAGCTGCAGCATTCGTGTTCTAGTTAATAGCGATCAAGATCATCAGCTACAAACTATTGATTGCAATATTATATCTTACGCAGCACTAAACAAGATTGCGGCAAGTTCAGCTTACACTGTAAAAAGTTTTAGACACGTTGTAGGAGCTTTATGGCATTTGCTAAGGTAATTTCTGTAGTCTGTGCAGCAGCTACTAGCAGAAGAGCTCAAGCGCAGCTGATGAATTAATTACCACCGCAAACTTGTTCGAACAAGTAGCTCGACTCTTTTCGCCTTTACTATGATACTAGACTGTTTAGTGTAAGAGTGCGGTCCTAATACTGAGCATTGAGCAAGATACTGACAGGCTGGATTACAAACAACACCGTGGTGATACGGTATTGCTATGATACGGTCGTATCGGGCTTGCTTCCATCATTTGCAGCAGCTTCCCTCGACAGCTTGGAGCAAGCTTCTGCTAGAGTAGACCTGATCTATATGCTAAATCAATGCCTTTGATCGTCCTTAGCAGTTGTATGAAGATTTCAATGGGTTTCTCCTTTTGGATTGCTCAATCTACAATTTAAAATTAACAACGATATCATCAGCGGTAGCAGAGAGTACAACGATACAGTCATTGATCAAGATCATATCCAAGTTGTCGAATTCCAAACTTGCAAAGACCTAAAGCTACAAAGCAATTACTTTTTTCAAAATTGGAGAAAGAGTTGGACGTAATTTAGTTGAATTTGTTTATTCTAAATTGCTAATATAGCGAAGTATACGAGGGTGGAGGCTTGGACGAAGATTCTGCCCAAGTTGTCAAATTCCAAATCTGTAAAGGCTTAAAGCTAGAAAGCAATTACTGGCTCAAATTGGAGACCAACGTTAAGGGTTTGATTTGTTCTAAAAAAATTGGACGTAATTTAGCTTATCCTGAATTCCTAATAAAATAAGCATATTGCATGATATAGAGTAAAGGGATCAAGTCGATTATAAAGTATACTTCAACAAAGAGCTTCCTCTAGCATCTTGTGTTATTAGGCCAAACGGTCTGCTAGGTATTTCTTGCTAGCTAGTGATGAAGTGTAAATTACACTAAATATCACATGCACCGTTTATCAAAGTGCATATGCTAAATGACTACTGAATGTATTAACTGCTAAATTGGAAAAAAATTGACAAGAAATGGTTTGTACAGTCGTCTGGCTTAGATACGACTTACGATTAATTGACAACCCAGCATTATTTCATGCTGCTAAACGAGGCCATGTTGTTATCATTTATATTTTGGATCAAGAAACGCCTGGCAAATGGAAATTGGGTAAAGCCAGTCTGTGGTGGCTACATCATAGCTTAAAATCGTTGCAGAATGATCTCCTCAAGTCA